CCAAGAAGCGCAAGTTCGCGAGGCACGCAAGGGTACAGTTGAACAAGTGAAAATGGATTGGTGGGGTGCAATCTTCATTGTCGTAGGACTTATTTTCTTTACTTTCGCCATCATCGATTCGGCCCACGCACCCAATGGCTGGAAGACGCCCTATATCTATGTTCTATTTGTCATCGGTTGCTTGTTGCTTCTTGTAGCTGCATACATCGAGATGCGGACTAAGCAAGCTTTGATCCCAAGTTCATTTTTCAAGGTTCCATCCATGGTACCGCTAGTCTTTGCACTCTTTTTGTGCTATGGTTCTCTGGGTATTTTCTTACTTTATGCCACGTTCTACATGACTGGGGTCATGGGTGGCACCCCATTACAACTTGTGGCGTGGTACGCACCAATGGCTTTGGGCGGATGCATAATCTCTACAGTTGGAGGCTTTGTTCTGCACTTACTACCGGGAACAGCCCTTGTAGTCACAGCTGGTGTAGCCTGGATTGTTGCACCTTTGCTCTTCGCTATTGCCCCAGCTGGTGCCAATTATGTAAGTTTATTTCAAGGATTGTTTTCGTGAAAAGCTGACAAATCTTTTAGTGGGCATATATATTCCCCGCCATGATGTGTGCCACGATTGGTATCGACATAACGTTCACAGTCGCAAATATATTTTTCACTACGTCTCTATCGGAATCACAGCAAGGCCTTGCTGGTTCCATGGTAATGCTCATTCTACATTTGGGCATTGCAGTTTGTCTTGGATTTTCAGATATCATCAACACTTATACTTTAGATCGGCTGGGCCTTAGACAGAGTTACCACGCAGTATTTTGGTTCGAAGTTGCATGTGCAGGTGTATCATTGATAATAATGGCTCTCTTCGTCAAGATCAAGAGAGCGGAGAGTGAATTGACAGTTGATGAAAGAATCGCGGCGTTGAATGCCGTACCATTGGTAGGGGACAATCGGTCGATGACTAGAGCGATGGGCTTGGAAATGGATGCCGCAGATGATGGGAAGTTAAATTGATTTCGTACACGTCCAAAATATCTGCTTTAACCTTATAGATTTATGAATTTTTGCGGAGTCAATACCCTTAGATCGTTGGATTTTAGGCGTTCTTGGATTGAAGCAAACAAAGCAAGAGCAAGAGCAAGAGCAAGAGTAAGAGCAAAAGCAAGATGAATACAAATAAATTACCCTTTTTGCCACCTCAACAATAGAGCATGTATTCTTATTACTATTTAGCTTGGACACAAACGTGTCGAGTTTCAACTGAGTACCGGCATACTAATAAGCTTTTCACATAAGGTTATTTCTTCATTTTAATCTATCTTAGGTTAGGCCTCGTAGTTGCTGACATATCTTTCTGCAGCGTTTCCTCATACAGCTAGCGTCCGGAATCACGGATGCTAATCTCACTCCGACATTCGCCAACCTCAAACAATCAAAGATACACGCCCTCTTTGAAATGGATTTCCTTCGCAGTTTGTTGGAAACGGCATGAATAGAAATTCCGCTGCTGACGACGTTTTCCTGCAGTTGTTTTCTAAGTCGTTCAGCAACTCATAAGCAATATGAACTTTCCAGATTGCGAGCAATCCGCCAGTGTGGAGACCGAGACGCCGGTTCTTAGTAAACTTAGACGCTCGTGTGAAGCATGCCGGTCGTCCAAAGGGAGATGTTTACCAAGTAGGGATGATCCTACTCGATGTTTAAAGTATGCTACCTGAATTTTGATCACGGGATTCGCAACTTATTGACATGTCTGTAGGTGTTTGAAGGGTAGGAAGAAATGTGTGTTCTTAGAGACGAAACCTCGACCAAAGAAGATGAGATCTTCTAGGATGCAAGTCCATATATTGTCTTTTGGAGGGTGCCATGCTGATCAATAATCAGACGCGTTGCCGAGATGGAACAGAAACTCAATGGAATTCTGAATCTTCTGGCAACTAAAACTCCAACTGAGTCTCCGCCTCCTCCTGCCTCAGCACCTGTATCTTCGCCAGAATCCTTGCCTTTGGATCTATCAGATATTTTCGAGCTTTCTTTTCCACTATTACCAATGGATGGCACGAGTCCCAAACCATTTCAGCAAATGCCTTCTTCCCCAACCCTTGAATTTGGCTTGCAAGATGTAATCGCAAGGGGTATAGTCAGCACCAGACAGGCCGAAGAAGCTCTGAGGGAATTTGCCAGCAGAGCTTCAGCCTTCCCATTTATACTTCTTCCTCCGCACACCTCTCTGGAAACTCTGCGGCATGAACGACCTGTCCTATTGCTTGCAGTTCTGACGAGTACTGGCGAAAACAATCTTCCTGTTCATCATGTACTCGAGAAGGAGCTTCGTGAAACCATAAGTAACCGTATTATTATGCATGGAGAAAAGAATATTGATTTACTACAAGGAATTCTCTTACATCTTGCTTGGTAAAGTCTCACAAATATTTCCACCTCTGAAGAAATCGTTTGTTCTGATAATCCTAGGCATCACTACCACTACAAACCAGTTAGAGAAATTTTATTTCAATTTGCGCAAATGGCAAATGCTATGCTGATTGACCTTGGACTTCACAGGTCGAAATCGAGTGCAGCACAAACCAGCTACTCGAATATTCTTGGCTTTGAATGTCCGACAAAATTGACTCCCATTGAGATCGAGGAAAGAAGAACCCTTGTCGGATGTTTCTGTGTGACATCATCGTGAGTCTATCTGTTCTTGGAGTTCAAACAAAAATTAATTCTCCTGTAGAATTTGCCGCGGCCTGAGGAGACCCAATAGTCTAAAATACCATGACTATATTGAAGAATGTTGCCAAGTATTAGCAGAGGTCGGCGCTTCCGAAACAGATAGACTATTACCGCTGTTCACGCGAATCCATCGACTTGGTGAGGAGGTTAGCGACTCTTTTGATTACTGCAATCATGGAGAGCTGGCTAAGCTTGACCCGGTGCGAATCGAGATGCTCAACAGGACGTTGTCCCAGCAGTTCCACGATATACAGCGATATTTTCCCGCTGAAGCTTGGAGCAATCGTGAGTATTGAGCCTACACATTCCGGATCTTGATCATACTAACTTTGATAGATGCAATAAGAATGACATATGCGCATCTCCGCATACACATTACGGAAATCGGCCTCCACGCTTCTGCATCAGATTTTGATCGATTCCCGATCCCTACAGCATCCAGCCGGACCTCTTGGTATCATGCTTCCGCGAGAACAGAAATGTTGATCCGATGTCTACAAGCTGGGAAAGATTATCTCGATACAATTTTATCTCTAACGGCGCATGAGTTTTTCGGTCTCACAGCATCAGACTATCTAAATTTATTCTACGTGCTTTTTCTTCTGGGAAAATTCTGCGAAGGTTGCGATTCACCCTCACTTGACGGCGAACAAGTCCGTCAAGCCACGAACCTCGGCTTTTACTTTGATTCGCTTGACGAAAAACTCGCTTCCTTCCTCCAATACACGAATGGTCAGCTTCAACGAAGCAGCATCTTGAACATAAAACTCTTATGCCAAGAGATCAAGAAATGGTACATGCGAGTTATATCTGGGCCACCAGGCTCCGACCAAGCCATGCTCAATGGCTTGAACGTCTCATTTACAGATGTTGTACCTTCTATTCAACATCTTTGCGGTACCCTTATTAGTTCGTCTACGTATTTGAAAGCGTATGTGAAAGAGGGAGATTGTCCATCCGCTCATACGGTAGCTCAATGGATGGCTTACATGGCTGCCGAGAAGAGTGTCACGATGGGGGCATGATTAATTTGTTGATCATTGCATGGATGGGAAAGTGATGTGAAAAAAAAAATTTATTCCTTTGATGCATTTTTTTGCGAGGGGAAGGGGGAAGGGGGAAGGGGGAAGGGGGAAGGGGGAAGGAAAGATAATGGAACTTACTCTTTTACACTACTCGCCTCTATAGAATTTTGTTTTGATTTGGTGTTTGGTTGGAATCATGGCTGGCTGGCGTTTGAGTACTTTATGAGTATAAGGCGAATGAAGGAATGTATGGAGTGGAGTAATTATACATTGACTCTGATTGATAGATTGTTTAAATTTTACTCCATATATACATAGGTATATAGAGATTGTAAATAGATAATAAATAAATAAAATATAGTATTACTAATAATATATCTTAAATTAATAGTTAATCAAGATAATATATTAATCTATAATCAAGTTTTAAGAAAAACATGTTACGAGGTTTGCCGTCTAGATCACGTGGAAGTGCTCTAGGCTCTCGAAGTGGTTTATGACTAGGCGTCAAGCAGGGACTTAAGTAATGACAAAGATGCAATTCGTAACTAATAGTAGAGTATACTAAATGATTGACCTTGAGCACGAAGCTTTATACAAAGGAAATCCATCTAGATTATATAGACCTTCGTGCCTATGGCTACTCAGTAGGATCAATACGGCTCAGTACTGAGCTCACTGATCCTTACTGAGTCAGTCACGTGCTATTGATTGCACGTGAGAGTTTCCTGTTACCAGGCATAACACACAACTCAAAACTCACAACTCACAATCATTTAACTCCCCCCCCCCCGGTGCTCTAACTAACATTTAAAACCAACACTCAAATACCATCATGATATTACAGATAGATAGGTATATTAAACGATATATTTTATTATTATCTAACTAACTAACTAACTAACAATCGTACATACATACAGATAGATGTTTCTTTGCATCCAGAACCCCTAGGTAAGAATCGCATCACTTACTTACTTACTTACCCATCGCTATTATACATATGTGTGTGTGGAGGGGTGGGTATAACTCCCCTTGGTTATATTCTCATCAGACAAAAATAGATGAGTTTTGTTCTTTTGTTTTTTACGTCCTGAAATGTATCTTGACAGATACTTTTGTTTCTTCTTCTTGGTGTGTTGGCGTGGGATTTAGGGTTTGATGTGCTGGGCTGGGGTGTGGTGGTGTATCTCTTTCTAAAATATCAACCATATCGTATATCTCTTTCTTGATCCTTATGTAGTGAATCTAAAAACCAAAGGAAGAAATTCATAGGTACTCAGGTAATATCGAGACCGAGCACCAATATCCATAGCGTCGCATCGCTAAAATCCACTTTCTGTTCACCATAATAACAAATCTCAAATAGGATTATGCATAGGTGGTAACGCACCCCCCACCAACCTCGGCGTAGTCTCCATCTCCGGACTCCTCCCCTTTGACTTTCCATCCGAGCTCGCACCCACCGTACTAGCCCCCCCACTCGCAGTCCCCGCTCCCAACCCCCTCTTCACCATCTTCCCCAAAATACTCACTAGCTCCGCAGCATCCTCAAACATATCATCGTCCATCCCCTCATCCGCATTATAGACCTCGCCAATAGTTTTCTTGGCCAATTCTCGCGATCGATGGGCTTGATCTAAACAATCATATATAAAAGCTGTGTATTCGACTTTTACCGAGAGACGAAGGGGGTGAGATCCCCAAAGTTGACGGTCGGCGAGTGCGGAGGCCTCTTCAAAACATTGAGTTGCGAAAGGTCGATAATCGAGGGCGGGAATGAGGAAACTACCTACGACATCGGGTGGAGGGATGGCGAGACCGGGAGGTCCTCCTACGGGTCCACCTTCGAGTGGATGTGTCGGTTGGACGCTAGATGGACGGTGCGAATCGGATATTAGGATTGTATCGACACCTCTGCCTTTATCTCTATGACGTGGAGAGGCCAAACCAGGTGGTGTAGATATTTTTGAAGTTCGAAGGGTAATAGCAGGAGTGTTGTGGAAGAGAACGTAAAGATGATAATAGCTAGCTCTCAACTTATAAATCAAGACCTTTAACTCTCCAAAACCTGCCACTAGAGGTAAAACGAATTGCTCTAGAATTTTTAATCCTTCTTTCGCATACCACACAATTCTCGTATACAGCTCGACAGATTTGGTATCACGGGTCGTATCAAGACGCCTGAGCTTTCGCGCTTTCACAACCATTTTTGAAAGCATTGTGAGATTTCCCAAAATCTGAAAGAGGTTTTGCGCGAGGAGTGGATGATCAAGTTGTATATTCTTTGCGAATTGTCCTAGGAACTTTGTGTCAACCTCTGAGGACGCCATTGCGTTGGTCGTAGAATGTGTAAAAATTGACGCGGAAATCGGCGCTGGAAGTTGAAAGCAAAAACAAACAACTTTTTGATGGAGTAGGCTCAGAACAGAGTCAATTGCCGAAAGAAATATTTATAGATAGGCTCGATCCAGTATTGGTTGCTCGACGAAAGAAGCGCGTTGAAGAAATTAAGAGCTGAAAACACCAATTGAACAAATCCAGTGATAAGCTTCTCCTGGTTGATTATGTTAAAGGAAAGAAGAAAGCCAGTCAAGAATTGAAGCTCCGATACGGTGATATATCCAACAAGGTCTTGACAAGATTAAAGAGTGTTGAGGTTCGAGAGTGTGATTTCAATGAATCAAAACAAGTCGCATTCACTTTGGCAACCACCAGGTAAACAAACGTCCTTCGAATCTCTCGTCCCAGTCACCAAAATCCTATCCTCGCGGTGCCACAGCCGAGTCCTATATCCAGCCGTATCCGAGTGTTTAATGGTCTGTATAGAAGGCGCCAGATGAATTGTGAATACCTGGGAGAATTGGATGGTGACAAAAAAATGGATTCGTCCAGCTGAGTGAATAATTGAGACTGAAAAACCGAAACCGAAACCGAATGACCCGAGCGAATTGTTCCCCCCGTCTCAACTTCCAGAAGTTGTAATTTTTTAATTTTTAATTAGTATATTCCTCACGTCGTCAACGACGATATCACATTACACACAAAAGTATACTACAACTTGTCAGAAAAGATCATCAACCAAAGACATACCACTAAAGCAATGGGAGAAAATCAATTCAAACAATTGACCCATTCACTAACCAGATATAATACAGCAAGTTCTCTCTGACGTGAAGCAATATTGACCTAGTAGTCAATTGCGAGTATACTTGGCTTGGCCTTTCTAGTAGTAGGCACAACAACACGAAAGAATCACCGAGAACCCTTTAATCCTTCAAAAGAGAGATTCAAACGAGTACAAAACATTTCGACTCTCTTTTCAATGGGCGCAATTGCACCTGAAATGGAATTACTTTGTACACGAAAGGCGGTGACGAAAAGATGTCCCCAGATGCGTTTTGTACAGAAGTATTTGATTTGAAGGGGGGTAAGAAAAAAGTTGCAAGGAAGTTTCGTATATTTATGTGCGGGAGACAACCAATGTGCGAGAAACAACCAACGTGGAAAAAGGTTACTGTGTACTCAAGTAAAGTACTCGAAGTGAATTGACAAGAAGATGAGGAATTGCTGTTCCAATTGAAATGAGCGTATACAAGAAGAATTAAAAGGTGGTTGTTTAGGAATACGACAGCATTCCTACTTCGAAGAATTGAAAAAGTTGCATCGACAGACCCAAAAGGCGACCTTGAAAAGATCAGGAAGGAAAGTTTGGATCATCAAAAGCTACCTGCTTCTCTTTTAGAATGAAAATGCAAGTAGAATGCAACCCCCCGACACACTTTAAACACTTGAACACTTTTTTGATTATGGCTCCCCCGTCGTGCAGCAGCGTAGTGGAGGGTTTAATGCACAAGCTACGATCTTTAGATGCGGAGAGCCTGTAGTTGCATATTTTGGCGTTGGATGAAGCGACCTGCAAAGATACGTGGCAGCACCGATTGAATGAGGATATTTGGAAATTGAGGACGAAGGAAGAGAGAGGGAGGAGAAAACGAAAAGAAACGGAGGGAATGCTTGGTGAGAAGCTAATGGGCCGTTTGATACACGACAGATTGATGATTGACTGATGATTGACTGATGATTAACGGTAATGATGGAGTGCTGGTATTGCATGAGTGGTGTGGTATTAATATTTATTACGCCTTAAATATAAATAGGTGCTACGAGGTAGGTTATGTAAGATTTATGATGGGTAAATCTCGGACATGAAAGATTGGGCTAATGATGCAAATAACTACAAAACCGCTATAAGAGGGAGCACTTATATTAAAATCATCGAAGTAGTCCTAGCAGGTCTAAAAGAAATTTAAAAAATACAAAAATATAACAAAACCAACTAAACAGCTACTCCCCTTTCAACACCCAGCCTATACCAAGCCTCTACTCCATCCTATTTTCCATTCCAGACTTCCAAGTTCTAGCTTCCACTTTAGAAAAAGGAAGCCAGATACTGCACAGTCCACATCCAAGGGTTCACCTGCAAGGAACTGAATCTTTACCAGAATCCACCCACAAACAACCAGCTATGGAGATTCTTAACCAATAACAACAATCACAAATCATTGTATCCATAAATAGTCCAGATAGATGGAGCTGGCTAGACATTTCATTTTTTGATATTAATATTTACGGAGTAGTATTTTACTCCGTAAATCGTTGGGATGGAATTTCTCCGACTGGTTTCATTCTTTTATGCATGTGTAACCTATTCTAGAATCTGTATATACGTATACTCTGTATACGTATACTTTGTACACTACTCCCTAGACTCTGTACTCGGTTCAGTTGTATTGTTGTAAGGCCAAGTACTCTGTAGCTAAAAAACATACATAAGATGAGGACTACACTTCACCGCTGTTACTCCGTAGGTAAATAGCAGATAGCATCACACCACTTCTCGAAAATTCCTCGAAAATATCATCAATTGTCCAATCAACATCCATCATTAAATCACCACCAACGGTTATGGAGCACTGAAATTACATTCTAATTCATTTTCATAACCTGTCATCAAGATATGACGATATCCCATTTCTTAATTCTTCCATTCACTCATTCATCCACTCATCCACTCATACATCCACAGTTTTCACAATTTCATAATTCTCATTTGTGGTGCCAACACACTCATTTTCCAAGCATCTTATTTCACAATTCGGTCATGAAATATGCAGCCACCCTTATTATCAAATCAGGGCATCCGAAATTCCTAACACTCTTTCTTCTTTTCTCTCTCTTTTCATGGGCATTGCTATACGCAACGGCAACCAGTTATAAGGAAAGAAGCGGTGAGGATCACCATTTTTATTCTTTTAGAGAGATTACGTGAGTTCCAGGCTTGTGCAAGGATCCCGATGAGGTTGGATGCTTATCTTTGGGTAGATTCATTTCATCAGGGAAGGCTTTGGATAGGATAGGAATTCATACATGATGTTTTTTTTCGCTTCTCCTATTTAACCCCTTTTTGGGTTAACCCCTTTTTGGGGATGAGAAGAATGAATGGATGAAGAATTGCTCATGATGGATGAATGGACTGATTGACTGCAAGTGCATATTATGAGCCGCCACAAGGAGCTCATCTCCTTCAATAAGGCTCTGCTCTTCTATGAAAGAAATCTCACTACTCTATTTGTCTCCTTCCAGCAGCTATCTCTACCAAATCTTCAAAAAGAAGAAAAGCCAAACATAGTGTCTAGGCAGAATAATCTGATTGATCTACCCTACAATCCAATCGGCAAGTTACCGATATCTTCATCTATCCTCCCCTGAATCCCCTGCACCCTTCTACAAATCAATCAAGAAAGACTTCAAAAGTCCTACGTTCTTCAACAACATCCCTCTATCAATCCATCCAATCTCTTTTCTGTCCTACATACACATGTGCAACAAGCCGTTGCAAATATATTTCTCACTCAAAATGAACATACATACATATATACATACAAAACAACGCGATTAAAATTCATCAGGAGAAGCACAGCACAATGATCATTTCTCAGAACAGCAAGGTTTGTTTCCTCTACAAGTAATATCTCTTGATTTTTAAAAATGCAAAGGTGCTGTACATGATGGACAAACTTTCGATACCTAAGAAGAGTATGATATCAGGGATCTTGGGGGGTGATATAAAATATGAATGAGTGCTGCCAAAGGTGAAGTTTCATTACTGGATTAAAAGGACGTCGACAAGCGCCAAGCAGACCTCAGACTCTAGATATATCACTTTATTGAATATTTCGTGATTGCCTTTTAAGAGCAAAGTCACTTGTTTATTTTACTTGCTACGTATACATATACATCTCCGATTCCCGCCCACTACACTCCACCACGCCAAACCAAATTCTACCCCCTCACCCCTCCAGCTCAAAAATGTGCCACTAGTAAGCCAGCACCTCTCTCTTCCCCCAAACTCACCCCTCTCTCCCCTAAATCCTCCTCAAACACCCGTCTAACACCCCCCTCCCCCACCAGCTATAAATACAACTACACCTGCACCCATCACAGCAAAGTCCTCGCAAAACTCTGTCCAAAAGCTAGTTATAAACAAACAGCTTGTGAGATTATATCTATCTGGCAGGTTATTTGGTTGAGGGAGGGGTGTTGTAGGTGTGGGTTTTAGGAGGGGTGTGAGGGGGGTATTGATAGGTATAGGGATAGGGATAGGGATGAAGATGGAGGGGGGTGTGAGAAAGATGATGAGGGGGGGAAGTTTAGGGGGAGATAGGGATGAGGATGAGGATGATGATTGCGGGATTGATTTTGCTGGATGATGGGGAGAGAGAGTGGGGAAGAGAGGAGAAAGTAGGGATTTGAAGGGGATAGCTGTAGAAAGGAAAGGTCTAGGGGCGGAAGAGGGAGTGGGAATAGAGGGGCAAGATAGTAATTAAAAGTTATTTAACACATATAATAATTAAGGGCCACTATTTAAAATCCAGAAAGTTTCCTATTTATATGTTACGAGGTTTGCCGTCTAGATCACGTGGAAGTGCTCTAGGCTCTCGAGGTGGTTTATAACTAGGCGTCAAGCAGGGACTTAATGTAATGACAATAATGCAATTCGTAACTAATAGTAGAGTATACTAAATGATTGATCTTGAGCACGAAGCTCTATACAAAGGAAATCCATCTTGGTTATATAGACCTTCATGCTAATCGTCCCCTTGGTCCCCTCGGTCCCTTCGGTCCCTTCGATCAAGAGACCGAGGGGATCTAAGGGACCATGTGATTACATAATTGGTCACATGATACGAGATCCGAAGCCGTCGTAACACTTGAATATTTTATAATCAAGTTAATAAATTTATTCAAATCATTCAAATCATTCAAACAATTGTATGTTATTATTCCTTGCTAATTACACTATGAGAAGAGGTTCCTATTTATATTAGGGGTAAACACTAGAGTTCGTTGAGAGTACGGCTTCATATGAGGCTAGTCATATGACCGTACTTACAATCTCAATACCAGTCAGTAAAGAGTTGGGAAATCCTTCAGATTAACCCAATTCTCCGATATACGTAAGGTTTAGCATCCTCAGCGAGGAAGCCAGCGCAATGAGCCCAAGAAGGGCTAACGGCGCCTCTCTGTCGTTGTCTTCTCCCAATTGTAACGTGGATACACGGGCAGTAAAGCCGCCGGCCACATCACTAATTTCTCGTATTTTGCTGGCGCTCAACCCTCCATTGGCAGTGTATGGCGACGAGGGTGGTTCATAACTTGGAGACAAGGTGCCTCTCTTCTCAGGGGTGACAGAAGTGTCCTCAACAGTGATTTGAGACGGAGATGAGGGCGTCACGCGGCGCAAATGCGACGTCGGCGATGATGGCAACGAAGGACTGGAGGACTCCCGCATATCGGAAGTGAAAGTTTCACGCGCCTTCTTTTGCAAATGGCGATTAGTAGGCGATACGGTTTCACTGTCCGCACTTGTGTTCGAGTTTGTACGTCTGTGTGTATTGGTCGCGGTTAATACAACGGACTCATCTTTTGGACGGTTGTCTTGAACCGATGTTGGAGATAACCTTGATCGCTGTGATAATGGCAAGTCCGGCGGAGCTCCTCCGCTGCCTCCTCTTCGCTGGCTACTCCCTACACTGCCCTCTCTTTCCAACATGGCGCTGGTCACAACTTCTTCTAAAATTCCAACTATATCATTGTCCCCAGTATCCACCGGAATCCGTGTTGTCCTGCTGCAAGTGAACTGAATGACCATGAGCTCTGTGTTCGAAATACACCATGCAAAACGCGTCTTCCTTCGACAAGCATACCACAGCAGCTGTCCTATGTCCGCCAGACGAAGGATCCCGCCAATTTCGTTACGTGATTCACCATCAGATACATCATCCTGTCGCGAAAATTTGACGTCGCCCACAGCGAGCGCTGTACCAGTGCTATTCATTAGGTGCGGATTTTCGTAGACAGCACCTTGAAATACACTATAATCGGGTATGTAAGTAAGCTGCCTCTGCGTTGCATCTTCCTTTAAAGGCTCGAAGAGAATGGGACATGGGCCATAATCGTAATGGGATCGACCTTGCGTAAATCAACGTAGATCCATCGAAGCGCCATTTTGACGTTATAAATGAGGGACCGCCCTAGAACGCACTGAAGCATTACCTCATTGAAAAGCACTAATTCGTCATCGAAAATAATAGGTAAAGTGGTCGGGGTCAAGTCGTTATGGAATTTATCGAGGTAAGGGGCGAGGGTTCTAAGTTGTAAGATGTTGTCGAGGGTGAAGTCATTCCATTTCTCAATTGTTATGCTTTCACCTAATTGTTGATATATTTTATCGCCTGAAGACCGCCGTGATGAATCCGGTGAATACTGGAACTCCTATTGCATTTCTTGCTCAAGCCATTGTAGAATAGTGGTTTTAGAGGAGGTTGTAGAGGGGTCCATATTATCCGGAAGCTCTAGAGATGAGACGGAATTGTCTTTATTATGACGGATGTTCTTGATGATGTCGGGAGATGAAGATAATCTGATATTGAGTACCGGTACAATAACTGTGAAATGGATATTAGATATACACCAAAAGAAAATGGTACATATGTGACAACAGGCATAGGCAACAATTCCCCTCATTTTTGAATCTGACGTCAAGCTAATCTCATAATAGGCATGGCTTCCTGTCGATCCCAGCACACTTATTCCTAAATAGGCTTAGCTTAATATGTGGCTACTACGTTGCTACGGTAACACCGGGCTAGAGGTAAAAGGAAGTCCGAGCTCATGCTTACTAATGGATTCTTCCTCTCTAATTATTATATTAAACTATCTACTACATAATAGTGAACAATACACAGCTACATCAACCACATCCATCACAACACTCAGTTATGGATCTAATGCCAACCAGGAATCATCGTCGTTTATTTGCTAGACGCAACGGTTTTAAATTGGGACACTCCAAGGAGAACCTTCTACTTCGCAAAACAATTACTTCGAACAATGACCATCGCATCACCACATCTGAATCGAAAAGCAATAGAAATACAGACATAAAAAGACACTCTAAGCCAAAAAGACAATCTAACTCTGAAATAACTGATAAACGAATATTTCTACATTTGGGATGGAAAATATACATTGCCTCATTGAAGGTATTTGAAAACTCCTTCGATTTTATCTTTGACATTTCAACAACATTTCGCTATTACACTTTTCAAAACTCATCTATCATCATCATTCTAACTTACGTTTTTCTATTAGCCTTCTTTATCGAAGAATACATTTTTTCTCCAAAAGCAGCTATCGATTCACCTATATGCATATTCCCACATAAATACACAACTATGCACACCCCTTCCTGTTGAAGCACTCGAATCGTATCGTTATATCGAACCTGCCTCTTGTATTGATAAATATGATCAGATACTCGAATTTAAACGTATTCTAAACTTAATCGAAATTCCACCCAAAAATCACATCGATTATCGCTATAGTTCTAAAATAAAACTTGATACTATCAATACACTAGAAGAGGTTCTCGTTTCTACTATCTCCCATCTTCATATCAAACATATATCCTATCCTGTCAAGAATACTCATCAGCTTTTCTTCGTCTATAATAATTATATTTTCAAAAGAACTGAGACAGAAAAGCAAACCTTCAGATTGCTCCTGGGATATAATGAACATACGTCATGGATATCAGATAATTTATCTAGCACTTGGCGATCTGATGAGATCGAACATGCACGCTCTTTATTCCGTCTTCCAAAGGTATGTTCCTGACATCCTCTCACATCTTTTTCTAATGTAAATAATATTCCTACCCGCAGGTCCTCATTAAACTCCGCGACTCACCTAACAAAATTTCACTCGATGCCCAGGATCAACATCTCCTAAAGGAATATCTCACATCCGAAGAACGGTATGAAAAACACTTCGATCTGTGTAGCGAAAAGATTGCGTTCATGACGGTTGAGCTTACCCAGCGTATATCCTCTTTTTATGCTGCAGGAAATGAGAATATCAAAGCTCGTGTTATTTTCGATGCATTCTTTCACAAGTACAATAGTAGTCCAGTCCCTTTACCACCTCTTTCTTCTCGGCGTTCACCTCGGGAAATTTGTGCATTTTATCGAAAGATTCTACGGCAAGGACGAGATACTATGGATGGAGATAAGTACGAGATGACGAATACTCCTAGTCGAAGTACTACACATGACGAAAAGGAAGATAGACGGGAGGGTCTTGATAAGATTCCCTTGAATAATGATTTCAAGGCAGACCCTCAATGTTTGGGAGGAGAGCAAGATGAAGAAGACTCTATGACAACAATCTCTAATAAGAGTTTAGCACGCCTCATTTACGTCCGGACCCAAATGTGCAGTTCTCGCCGTTCCGATTTCGAGGAAAAACTTCAATGGTGGTTTCTGGCTTTGACATTATACGATGCATTTCTATCCGATACTCCGCCTAGATCTTATTCAGAGTGGATTTGTGCTGCGGATGCACATGGACATCGAAAGAGGATGATGGAAAACGATGGCAAATGAGTCATATACATTCAGACTTGTATTAGTATTGTATTAATAAAATACGATTGTCGGCTTGCCGACACTAAAACCTTGCTGTATATATAGTGTATTGTAGTTTATCTAATGAAAATGAGAAACTCGCTTAAAATGAATCGCGAATCTCTGAGCAATCTGATCTAATTTGATCTAAAATACCTTTGATCTTGATCCAAGATAAATAAGATAAATAACACCAAAACACTTTATCAACATCGAACTTGGTTCATGAAATACCTCCCTCTTGATCCACTGCCCCCACCTACAACTCTTCACCACTTCATCGAAAGGGTCTTTAGTTAATCTTTCCTTTTAATTAAATCTTTATAAATTTATACTATGAAAAGTATTAAAATTCAACAACATCTTATAGTGTCACGATTCACCATTAGGATTAGTGTCCTGGGATAAAAGGGAATCACGGATAAGGAGCCAGAAAGCTCCTGGAGGCTCCCTTTATCGTTCATTATAAAGCCAGAATAGTTTCCTAGTTTAGGAGCTTCGTGCTCAACTTAGTTATCAATTAGTTTACCTACATTCTACTTGATCTAGTAACGACTTCACTTCCAAGTGAAGACTAGTGATAAAGCCTTAACCTATAACTACCAACCAGACGAAACCTTAAGCAGCCGCTGCCTCCAGTACAGCATCGTTACAGTTACGTCGCACTCCACAAAGCCCATTATCACGTGATTCAATCACGTGATAGACCCTACATAATATGCACGAAAAATAAAGGTCCAACATATTCTTAGGTCCAGGACCTTTCGGGGTCCTGAAGGTCCATAGCATGAAGGTCTATATAGTCAGGACGGATTTCCTTTGTATAGAGCTTCGTGCTCAAGATCAATCATTTAGTATTTTCTACTATTAGTTACGAATTGCATCATTGTCATTACTTAAGTCCCTGCTTGACGTCTAGTTATAAACCACCTCGAGAGCTTAGAGCACTTCCACGTGATCTAGACGGCAAACCTCGTAACAGTGGATCGAGTGGGGAAGGCCTTCGAGGATTGGATTGGATGATGCTGAAAGTACTTCACATAGTGTCTTTTAGATTTTCGATGAATGAGAGCATGGATGTGAAAGAAGAAAAATCTGTGCTGGTAATTCAAGGAGTATTAAGGAGTATTAGCGAGTTATGATCTCCTAGTCACCACTCACTCATTTGTGTTTATACTTCATAGCACAATATCAAAATGGGACTATTCTGGTAAAAAAACAAAGGGAAATTTTATTTAGACTTTCCACTCCTGACTACTCTCTCCCTCCCTCGAGATATCTTCCACTTTGTTCATATCCTTCTTTTCTTCAGAACAATCCATCGTAACTCTCCATGCTGCAATTCCTCTTCTCCCAATCACCCTTGTAATCGTATTCCAGAATCCATCATCCCCAAAATCCATATCATCTAGATTGAAATGTTTTTCATATTTCCACACTCCCTCAAAATACAAATCTGTCTGATTTGCCGTGTATTTGTCCAGGAAAGTGGCAGATGTGGGTGCAATTAGATAGGTAGCTTCTAAAAGTTCTTCCCCGAATTTTGGAAGACAAGTTGCTAGTTTGGTAACCTCTTCTATCATGAGCTCTCCTTTGATACCCATGAGATCATGAGTGTCAAGCACTTCATTTTTGCCGTTCAGTAGCCAGATTGGTGGACTATATGTTTTCCACCAGATAGCATGAGTGGCATCTAATTGTTTACTCAGGAAAACTTGAGTCGGGACAACTCCTCCCTGATGGTATACGCCCATCAAAAGACCTAATAACATATTAAAGGAAATCCACAAACCACCCCAGATGCGCAAAGGGATTTTTTGTTTTGGTAGTTTTACAGATGATAATATTAAGGGAATCGTTGGAAGCAAAAAACGGGCCTCTTGGTGTTTGAAGAACGAAAGAACAACGACACCAGAGATGGCAGAGAAAAGGCGAAGAGAAGCCAAAGGTTGTAAGAGAAGTAGTGTGGCAGGTCCCAATAGTTGTGGGAGATTTACTAGACTATGTTGATACCATGGATGTAAGCCGTGAAGCGCAAGATTGTCCGTGGCAAGATTGTAGTTGAGATTGTTAAATGGTGTAATTGTAGGATGAGAAAAAAGATAGGACCAAGTGACGGGAACTTTTGCGTAAAAATTCGTATCCAAACAGATTGCGATAAATGTAGCAATGCTACCAAATAATATCATTGAAATGAGCGAAAGAGGTCTGCGCATGATTAGCCGGGGCCATTTTGGGTGGGCTAAAGTATCTTACTTTCTTATAAAGTGTGGTAACAAACGGAGACCGGGAATGAAAAGAAAGGCAGGAAAAGTAATGCGATTGAATATCCCAAAGACTACAACAAATGCAAGAATTCCACACGGTATTACGGAAGAATGTTTCTACATCTATCAGCTTCAAATCCCAAATTCTGACATGTCTTCTATATCTTCCTACCTTAGCTTCCGCAATTCTTTGTATCAGAACCAGACTCCATGCAACTGCCAATGTCTCAATCGAGTTCGAAAATGTATGAGTCTGATATGTCCAGGTAACGTATGAAGATGCCACGAGCAAGACGGCTATTTTTCGATGTCGCGGAGATCCAACCAATTCATGGATAGCCCAATCTTCAAGCACAAAGCTCAAAGTTAACATCAAAAGGCGCAAGGCAAAAAACACAGCTATTGGAGGTATTTCGCCATCATTCCCATTTCCTATCCAGAGCCATCGAAGGAGAAGCATTGGCAGACCGTATATAGGCCATAATGGGAAGACACTTCGAATAGGATTCTCGGATGTGAATTCCCAGGTTAACTTGACAGGATAGCTGAAGATCTGACCTGCAGGTTGTTAGAAGACATAATCAAAAGCTGTATTTTTCAATCTCATGCAAGGACTCCCCATCTGCGGATATGAAAGACCTCACACATTTGCCTGAGCTAGCTGAAGCTATGGAATCACATAAAACTTACCAGCTATAACCTCTGGACCTTGAAAATTCTCATCAGGATGTAGGTAACTGGGAGAAATTGCAAACCAAAGTCTCAAAAGAAGGAGAAACAAGTATGCGCGCCTGAAGAAAGGCATTTTGAATATTTACCTATGGCATACGTATGAAGAATGAGAAAGTGAAGAAGAATTGCATTAAATTAAAAAAAGTATTCGCAAACGCGATAGAAAGATAAGAACAGAGGAAGAGGTCATTGGAATTGGAATTGGAAAATTGGAAAACAACCCAAAGGACCCTCAAGCTCTGATTTAAGTATGAAAAATGAGAGATTGAGAAATTGAGAAATACGAGGAGTTTGCTGCTCTCGAAACGGAAACGGTTGAAAGTCCTGCTACCTTTTTACCTTCTATTTTATTTTATTTTTCCCACTTCAGGGATGGCATTGGGGTATTGATTATGACGGAGATCAGCGAATCTCGGAACAACAGGAGTTCTTGAGTGGGCTGACCAATTAAATTCACTGCCGGGGGTATCTTTACTCGTTTTCATTCCGCATGCAATTTGTCTTCTGTGATGTTAACTCCGTATAGAGGAAGAATATTTTCAGCTAAAAGATTATTTATATCTTTAATAAGATTTCTTGGTGGGGAGGACAAGGTGATGGCACGATGAGCCCTGCGTAGAGTGCTTATTAATGAGTAAAATGTAAAATGTAAAATCATTTTTATATAGTTCGTATACTCACTAGCTTGAACATGGTGATGAATACCCTGTTGGGAGAAAAGGAGTTGTGAGTAGGAAATTTGAGATGGACAAAAAAGGAAGAAAAGTTTATAGATTAATAATAATGGTTACAGGGTAGGTAGGTAGTTTAGCATCTATCCCAATTCAAATAGAATCGATGATTAATAAACTCATCCTGCCTACTCGAGTAATGAAAGTTTGGTGTACTTATGATGTTGGAACATACAAACTTTCATTACTCGAGTAGGTAGGTATACTATACCTACCTACTTATATCTTCCGGGCAATGATCCCCCTAAACTATCCCTCTCTAATAAGTTAGACGAACTTCTAATTAGGTTTGCCATACTCGTACTCCCGAAACCCATCCTTCCAAATTGATAGTATTTACACATCGTGCTTCATTCTCTACAGTCTTACAAATTCGAGGAGAGAAGGTTAAACCCAGACAAGGCTGAAAATCCATGGAAAAGTCACTCTACCAATAAAGGAATCATTTAAAATATCACAGTGCGCATTTGGATCCAAGCTTCAATGATAATTTGATAATTCGACTGCAGCTTGAGGCTCCCCAAGGCTCACACAAGACGGCAGCACCAGGCAACACCCTACATCGAATGATAAAGCAGAAAAGTGCTGATCCACCGTAGACACTTCTATATAGAACCTTGAACTATGTAGTAGCTACAAACTTACCTACCTAGGTATCTGGAATTGAAAATTGTACGATTCAGGAAGGGCAAGCCTGGTTGCCGTTGCTTTTCCAGTCACATGCATTCTTTCTTGACTCAAAACGCTAGGTTCTAGGGAACTAATATCTTATTAGGGATACAGCAATTCACACCTATTTTTGACTTTTCGAATTAAACTTATGGAATTCCATGATATATGCCAAATCCTGTACGTAACACTCATCATTCTAGCCTCTTAATGATGTGATTGTTGGAGATGGCACACTAGACAGTACTAAAATACCTCCGGCCTTTTTAAACCGGGGTGGTTTACTTTAAGCGATAACAAGGCTCGACATAAAGTCACCTCTAAATCCCATTTCAGTCAGATCCTCTTCCTATTCACATACAACCAACTCCACAAACACACTTAACAGAACAACTCAACTTAATCAAAACAGCAACAACTTTTCAAATTACATCAACAAACAAAAACCTTTATCTTCAAAATGTCTGAAGGTACTACCACAAGCATTATTCTCGTCAGCAATGACAATGCCTCTATCACTGTTGGTAAGTTACCCCGCCTGTCTGCAAATTGCGATGGCTGCAGACCAGATTGGATGCGCCCATACTGACTGCACCGATAGATCGTGCTGTCGCAGAGCGATCCATGTTGATCAAGAACATGTTGGAGGATCTCGGAGACGGTGTCCTTTCCACTCCAGTCCCTATCCCTAACGTAAGTCTACATTCTGACATCATTTCACACTTAATCTTATCGATATCAATCTAACATTTTTATTTCTTTATAGGTCAATGAGGCCGTTCTCCGCAAGGTTATTGAGTGGGCTGAACACCACAAGAACGATCCAACTCCAAATGTCGATGACGATGCCGATAGTCGCAAGAAGACCACTGATATTGAGGAGTGGGATCAAAAGTTCATGCAAGTGGACCAAGAAATGTTGTTCGAGATCATCCTTGTAAGTTATATGCTACACTGCGAATATGAAATGATTTGATCATTCTAACTATTCACCAATAGGCTGCCAACTATCTTGATATCAAGGCTCTTCTCGATGTTGGATGCAAGACGGTCGCAAACATGATCAAGGGAAAGTCACCAGAGGAGATCCGAAAGACTTTCAACATCACCAATGACTTTACCCCTGAGGAGGAGGAGCAAATCCGTCGTGAGAACGAGTGGGCTGAGGATCGCTAAATCATTCTTCGGGTACAAACCAAATCATTATGCCATCATGATTTGGAGGTTTGTTCATAACTGTGATGGTGGTGGATACCGCAGGAGTTCTTTGATTGTTCTCGGCTACCAACCAAAAGTTGGAAGTCCAGGTCTACAACTTCAAGGCGTGCAGGGGTTTCCATTTTATTTTTTCCTTGGGAGGGTGTGCAGTATGCACATGGGGGCGTTTATGGGAGATACTGAAGTTTGTTGACTTTTTGGTTTGTCTGTGAAGGATAATAAGATAGTCAACGGTAAAAATACAGGTATTATACAATTTGCACTGAGGTTAAAATATCATGATTGGTCTTTGCTCATGTGAATTTGTCAAAACAGCCTTTTTGGAAAATGCTTCTTTCCAACTTACTGAAATGCGGGGTGATCTTCTGAAATAAATTTCTTGAATTTTTCTTCCTGTTGCCCGTATTCTGTATATTTCACTTGCGTGCTCCTTTCTGTATTATCACCATCATCATCATCACCCAATTTAACCTCCTGTCACGAACCACGACTAATATTATACAATAAAACCGAGTATCGGGGTTTGGGCCGCTGTTTCCCGCAGGTTCCTTATCGATAAGGAATCCTAGGACAAGTGTCCTAGGATAAAAGGTGTCCTGGGATAATAACTATCCTAGGATAAACGATTAGGCAGCCACATAGGTATAGGACAAGTGTCCTAGGATAATAATTGTCCCAGGACAATTATCCTAGGTTGCGAATCGCCCCAGGATTAGTGTTCTGAGGCAAGTAGGGATCATGTGATGGAGCCTTTAGGAGTGTAGGTTCCTCAGGGCTTCAGGGAAGGATTCATTATATAGTCAGAATAGTTTCATAGTATAGGAGCTTCGTGCTCAACTTAGTTATCAATTAGTTTACCTACATTCTACTTGATCTAGTAACGAATTCACTTCCAAGTGAATACCAGTGATAAAGCCTTAACCCACAACTACCAACCAGACGAAACCTTAAGCAGCCGCTGCCTCCAGTATGTTACGAGGTTTGCCGTCTAGATCACGTGGAAGTGCTCTAGGCTCTCGAAGTAGGTTTATAACTAGGCGTCAAGCAGGGACTTAAAGTAATGACAATAATGATATGCAATTCGTAACTAATAGTAGAGTATACTAAATGATTGATCTTGAGCACGAAGCTCTATACAAAGGAAATCCATCTTGATTATATAGACCTTCATGCCTATGGCTAGTCAGGACCGCGCAGCGGTCCATAACGTGACTTAATCACGTACCTTGGTTTAGTCATGTGACGCGGCGTAGAAGATAGCCGTCGTAACAAAGGCTTTATCACTGGTCTTCACTTGGAAGTGAAGTCGTTACTAGATCAAGTAGAATGTAGGTAAACTAATTGATAACTAAGTTGAGCACAAAGCTCCTTAACTACAAGACTAAATGAATGTTTATATACCCTATATCATCTTTTGAGGACCTTTGGGACCCTAAGGTCCAAAAGGTCCTCAAGGTCCTCGATGTCACGTGAATTAATGAATCGTGACAGTTATATTATTTTATAATTGATTATTAGAATGAAATGGAGGTTGAATTATTGAAATAGGGAGGTAGGTAATGTATAGAGATGAAGATGGAGATAGGTAGAAATGGGGTTAGAACTGGACTTGGTTAGGATTAGAATTAGGGTTTATGTCTGCTGCCTTGCGGAGGAGTAGGTGGATGTTAATATACGTGGGGGTGGAGAATATGGAGTTCGGGATTTTGGAATAGGACGGGATTGATATGATGACGCTTGGGGAGCAAGGATATAGGGGACGTATATGGGGTGATGGGATTTTGAAAGGGAATGGCGCAGAAGTAGTCCGTAATTAAAAATTGAAATGGATCAATTTAACGACGAAAAGGAAGAAAAAGATGATATTCTGCAACTCTTAAATTGTTGTAGACCTGAGTGCGAAACACTGCTGAAGTTGGATGTCCGGTTCGGATACAACACTTTGCGCGAGACTGTCTGGATGTCTGGAATTCCGATCTGAATTTCATGGATGCTAGATATCAGCATATCTTTAATCATGACGAAGGTAATCAGTCCCATTCACAATCACAAACTGTATCCCTCTCAAAAACCAAATGTGTAGCTTGGAGAAATCAGCAAAACATCCCATTTCCTCACTGAATCACTTTGCTATGAACAGAATGATCCTTTCTAAATCGCAATATATGCCATTCATTGAACCGGCCTAGCAATCAGAAATCTTACGCCTCCCTTTTCCCAAAGCAGCATCCATCAATTGTACCCTCCTGCCAAACCGAGCAAATATTATCATTTCATTTCTCTATGCTCCTCCCTCATAAAGTTGCCATTCGTGTCATGAGATCGTGCGAATTTGTAATAAGTAGAGTAAGGTATGGTGGATTGGTGAGAAGCGGAAAAGAGAGAAAATCGTATGAGCGTGGGTATAGGTTGATGAGAAGATGGAATGTTTCGCTGTTGTGGGATGATGCATCTACAGACCGATGCGGGTCTTTCTCCAGTGACGTCTCTTTGCGTTGTATCTGTTTAATGTTATTAGTTAAAACTCGATCGAAATTGATACTATTTGCGAGACGACTCGTTTCGACTTCAAGGATCGAAGGTGAAATCGAAGAGGTAGGAACTTGATATATGTGCTACTGATTGGGGTATCGTAAAATCGTGAACATACCGGATGGTGTTACCAGTCCTCAAACGGATCCATTGTGGAATGGGTCTGTTTTGCTTTTGGGCTCTCGCAAGCTTCTGCTTGGTGCGGAATGACTTTTGGGACTGCAGGAAAGCATCGAATTAGCATCTATGTAATCCGTCGTGTTGTGTTATTCCTCCACAGCCAGATGACATTGTTGGTGTTCGAGATCGTGAATTTCATCCTCAATTTTGCGCCTATGAACCAGCAATCCCCCTACTTCCTCTAACCGTTCCCAATCCTCCGTTCCAAGCAATTGAGAGTGTGCGTATTTAAAAATGGTAGTACATACCGGCATCTTGAAAAGTCGGCGTCGATATTGTCGTTGTCGTGCTGAATCAAAAAGTCTCTTGATAGAGGTTCAATGGATTCACACACCAAATATTTCTGACGAGGGCTTTATTTCTCGGTTGCCCTTTTGACCAACGTAAGGCTTTCAGGCCATCTCTCTGATTTAGTCACGTGTAATGTTTCTCGAATTAGAGTTATGACTAATCACAATCGGGAATTTGTGGCTCCGCGATTAGGATTGGAAATACGGTAAGGCAATGCATGTCACACAGTTGACCTCGTAAAGCATAATATCATCTGTGTAGAAAGTCCTACCTCACGAAACTACAAGATATCTCAAACCTTACGAACGATCAAAGCAGCACTACGAATCACGAATTCTACCAATCCTGTGTGATTTATTGAGGATAAGATTGGGACAAAGAAAAGAGGATTCTAGGAAGACAAGGATAGGGGACAGCTAAGCATAGTTGGCTACAGATCGAATTTAGGAAGAAAAGTGTAGAGGACAGGAAATACCATTACAGACTCAGGAAATATGGGCGCAAGTGTCTCGTGGCTGTCGGGGATGTTATTCTCGAAGAAAGAAATTCGAATATTGATTTTGGGACTGGTGAGTAGTTGGCTGAATAGCTCTCTGGATACTCGAGGAATAGTGAGCAGGAAGAGAAGCTGATACGTCTGCGAATTGGATAGGATAACGCTGGAAAAACCACATTACTATACAGATTGAAGGTTAGTGTGGCTATAAAATATAATTCCATGGGAGAGACTTTATGCTAACGGGAATCCGCAGATTGGTGAAGTGGTGACTACGATACCGACCATTGGATTCAACGTGGAATCGGTGACATACAAAAATTTAAATTTCAATGTTTGGGTAAGCTCGGGTTTTCCTACATGTTCTTATTAATTCTGCCATCTAGCGATTCCTGGCTGATATACTTGATGTAGGATCTTGGAGGTCAGACATCGATTAGACCTTATTGGCGCTGTTATTACGCCAATACCGCCGCCGTGATATTCGTTATCGATTCTACAGATATCGATCGATTAGGCACTGCGTCTGAAGAACTGGCAGCAATGTTAAACGAAGACGAGTTAAAAGACGCCGCATTACTAGTATTCGCGAATAAACAAGATCAGCCGGGGGCGAAAGGTGCTGGTGAAATATCGGAGGCGTTAAAATTAGGAGAGTTAAGGGATAGAAATTGGAGTATAGTGGCGTGTAGTGCTGTAGATGGTAGTGGTGTGGATGAGGGGATGGACTGGCTTGTCGTAAGTGTTTCATACTCGCATGTGGCTGGTTTAGTTGAGGCATGAGAATACTAATGTGAGAATAGCAAACTGTGCAGCAAGAGTCGTAATAGAAGGAGAAAAAACGGGAGCGACTTTGTACCATCATCACGATATACCTATACATCAGTTGAATAATTGAGGGAAAGGATGAAACTGGAGTCCGGGGTACAAATCTTAAGCTCCATGGTCGTTAGACGCATGAATATGAACGAGACCAATATGCCCGAGAGTATAATAGATGTGTGGGCATGTTTGAACATCTACATCTGGATTGAGAGCACTGCATTCGGATCTTTATTGTAAATGGGCATTTTAGATTGAGGGAATAGTGATGAATGCATATTGTCATTGAGACATTGATCTGGCCGCCTTGGGTACGAGACCTCCCAGGAAATTGGGTTCTGGAATTTCTCTCCGACTAGTTGGCTACGTAGGACTAATCTTCTGCTTTGTGATACAATTGAGTCTGGATCTAAGGATTTGTAAGGGCTTAGAAAACTATAGCAAGAGACTAGGTATGTCTTCGGTCTCAAAAACTGATCCATGTATACCATTGTGCATTACTCCAAAGGAAAATGCTGTAACCTATGCTTGTGGATACCGTGTACATGGGTCACTACCATATCTTGAATGAAATGACAAATTCGAAGAGACGAGAAATCACGAGAAAATGCCATGTCGATATCACAAATCCCATATTTGAAGCTAGTAGATGTTTAGATTCTAGAAAAAAAAAACCTTGAAAGTGTCACCCATCATCATAACGTGGCGAGCCACAAGCGCGATAGATGCCGAGATTCGGGATCTGATGAAGATCTTCTGAGAAAGCTGGTTGAGGCTAATCTGCTGGCCCGGTGCTGGGTGAACCTTGGTCCTTGACGTTGGGTACCCGCTCTTATTATAAGGAAAACCTTGGAATAATGTACAGAGGAGACAGTGTAATACCGCCGCTGTTGAGTCTACTGACGGAGCATATTTCCGATGTCACTATCCTGTGACTATCATACTCCCACTTTTTTCCCGAAGCTCTTTATGGAAAGATGTTCCCCCGATATGGTAAGAATTGAAACATCGACAAAGTAACCAAAGTTATTTTTAAAGAAGAGTACAAATCACATCTCGATGTTGTTGCACCTGTGGTAGCTTGTATGTAATACATTGATAACTATTCGTTATCGATGATGATATTTCTCGGCGTGATGTTCTTTCAAAGTGCCCCACAATGCACTTTTTGACGATGTGCGTACTGTTATGTACAAGGATACTGGGTAGGTAGGCAACTTTGGTATTATTGACCAGGGGGTTTGCTTAAAAAAGATGAAGGTGGAGATCAAGTGACGGCATTGATGTGATGGTGGTGTAAGATTTTGGTAAAAGTGTTCAACCACAAAAATAGGAGGGAAATGTGTGTGTAATTTTGCTAAGTGAGGTATACTTTACTGTGTCTATTCATTTTTGATATGATAACTAGTAGTCAAATATTAGATAAATACTAGTAGATACCTTTACTAGACAGAGCGATTCATAGCTCGATTAATTCATGCCAAGCTTCAAACGGTCCAGGAAAGTGGCGCTATGAATTCAGAATGCGGAGAAAAGCACTAAACTATGCCAAGAAGAGAAAAAAAGGTATGTAAGTATGAGGGGAACATTTCGTGTTACCCCGAGTTATATGCATGTATGAGATGTTATTATAGACGGAGGTTACTATTGAATTATATCATTTAATGCGAACACCTTTGGCCAGCGTAAATAAAAGGACTCAGGGCTCATTCAGTCAGGTCCTTTTGCATGGAAAATTTATACATGTTTTTATGTGTATACGTGATGAATAGTAATTTTTAGAGCTACTAGGTACTAGTTAAATATCTTGGAAATGTTGAACGGATAAGGCTTCATTTAACTTTGGTCTATGTGGGTAGTAACAAGCTAGAAAGAAAGAATGGTGGCAAGTCCTTCGATACATGTTTCGGAGAATGGCTTTGAAATACTATGGGTTATACTAGAAGCTACTTACCAGGAAAATCCTATTAAATCGTCACAACATTGCATACGAAGCACTCATAGTAAAAGTTAGTAAAGTTTCCTTTATGCGGAATTGGCCCCGATCATCAATCTTTTTCCTTTTGATAATCAATTCGTTCCAGACCTTGAGAGCTTTACTAATGCAGTTATCAACCCCCTCATTTTCATTGGTTGCCACGAAAGGAGGGGTACTTTTCGGAATTTCTACTTATTTATTTCCCATCCCACCCGTTTCTTGTGCCATCTTACTTTTACTTCTTTTAGTTCATCAAGCATCAAAAGCTTTCTGTTATCTCCAAGAAATTATCAGATTATCATCAAAGTTACTTCACATATATCTTTGATACCCAATTGCCAAGCCTTCAAACCATCTTACAGCCACATCTACCACCTCCCTGTGCAACAACAAGCAATATAATAGCAATCATGGTTGCCGACGAGAAGCCCGCGTCTACCTTCAGATATGATGAAGCACCAGTCTACACAACCTCTAATGGATGTCCCGTGAGACACCCAGAGGAATTTCAGAGAATTGGTAACAATGGACCACTTCTCCTTCAAGATTTCCATTTGATCGATTTGTTGGCTCATTTCGATCGCGAACGTATTCCGGAGCGTGTTGTACATGCTAAGGGTGCTGGAGCTTATGGAGGTAAGTTCTTGTGTTACATCTTTTCCTCTATCGCCACATACTAATATATCACCCGTAGAATTCGAAGTCACACACGATATCAGTGATATCACCACCATCGACATGCTAAGCAAAGTCGGCAAGAAGACTCCTCTTGTCACACGTTTCTCAACTGTTGGTGGTGAAAAGGGATCTCCAGATTCTGCTCGTGACCCAAGAGGTTTCTCCGTCAAATTCTACACTGAAGAGGGTAACTGGGACTGGGTTTACAACAATACACCTGTCTTCTTCCTCAGAGATCCAACTAAATTCCCTCTTTTCATTCACACACAAAAGCGAAACCCGCAAACAAACTTGAAGGATGCTACCATGTTTTGGGATTATCTCTCCACTCACCAAGAAGCTGTCCACCAAGTTATGCACCTCTTCAGTGACCGTGGTACTCCATATTCATACAGACACATGAATGGATATTCTGGTCACACTCACAAGTGGTTCAAGCCAGATGGTACCTTCAACTATGTTCAAGTCCACTTGAAGACAGATCAAGGAAGCAAGACATTTACCAATGAAGAGGCCGGCAAGATGGCTTCAGAGAACCCAGATTGGCACACTCAAGACCTATTTGACGCAATTGAGAAGGGAGACTATCCATCCTGGAGCGTCTATGTTCAAGTCCTTTCCCCAGAACAAGCTGAGAAGTTCCGCTGGAACATTTTCGACTTGACCAAGGTCTGGCCACAGGCTGAGGTTCCATTGAGACCATTCGGCAAAATGACCCTCAACAAGAACGTCGAGAACTATTTCGCCGAGATTGAGCAGGTTGCTTTCTCGCCATCTCACTTGGTTCCAGGAGTTGAGCCATCTGCCGACCCTGTCCTTCAATCTCGTCTCTTCTCATACCCAGATACCCACCGTCATCGTCTCGGTGTTAACTATCAGCAAATTCCAGTCAATGCTCCTCTCCGAGCTTTCAATCCATTCCAACGTGATGGTGCTATGGCTGTCAATGGAAACTATGGTGCTAACCCCAACTATCCATCTTCGTACCGAAAGCTCACTCATAAGCCTGTCAAGGCTACCAATGACCATGAGCAGTGGTCTGGTGCCGCATTGAGCTACTTGGCTGAGGTTGGTCCCGAGGACTACGTTCAAGCCAAGGGTTTATGGGATGTCCTCGGCAGACAAGAAGGCCAACAAGACAACTTCATCAACAACGTTGCTGGACATTTGGCAGCTGCCAAGGAGGACACTCGCAAGCGTACATACCAGATGTTTGGCAAAGTCGATTTGAATCTCGGTTCTAAGATTGAAGAGGCAACCGAGAAGTTGGCTCCTGCTCCAAATAGCAAGGCTGCCGGAGCTGCTCAATCTCGCTTGTAAACTGTAACTGTGTTATAGAGAGCAGAGAATGCAGAGAAAGTTTTTAAATGACATTTTGCGATGATATCTATTGATTATTTTATGAAGAATGAAGGATTCAGGAATGGTGGTAGGACGGGATATTTTGCTGGTTTTACAAAATTGGTTTATAATTTGCAATGACATACCCCTTTATTATTTAAAAAGTCTATAATTTCTTCATGCAGATGGTCACATTGAAAAGACATTGGTGAAATTTCCACGAGCCAAAATCTTCTACGGACACGATTAGTTAGTAACAACTTCAAGTCTAGTTGGTAACAAGAGGCTGCACTTACACCATCAAATACATTGTAACCATTCAACTGTTTCGATTGCACATTTCAATGGAATTCATGAATTCCCAGTCCGTTCTTAATTCCTCTCCTTCTTTGTCATCTAACAGGTACAGGTCATATCTGTCTATTCATTGAAGTACTTACTCTCGAACTACCTACCTACCTGTCCATTTAGCACGCACGGGTTCCCTACAGATATTTTCCTGGGTTTACACCATCGAAGTTGTCAATGTTATAATTTACCTTTGTTGTTTGTATAGAGTAGAATGATATTTAATGATTATTGTTAATTATTGTTAAATTGTTACATAAAGAATGAAGTGGTATTGAATGTGGTAAAAGCAATGTTAGGGTTAATAATTTATTTTTGAAGAGGGAGTTCACCTGATGGTTCTATGTAATTATGTATCTGCTTGGATGGGTTATTATGGGTGATTTAGATTTAGATTTAGATATAGATATTGTTTAAGGAAAATGGTATGTGAATATATAATTGGTAAGTATGCCGGAAAATGTATGAAATATATCTAGACACCTACTCGTGGATTAATATTATATTCTAGACTCTAGACCATCTCAGCTCCAATCACATAATTTTACCCAATACTAGGCGAATTATTAATATCTGTACTTGTGAAATATAAATGATTATAATACTTCTACTATCTAACAAAAAATACACATAATTACAAGAAGAAACCTCAACCTCAAACTAAAAAAAGAAAAATCCCAAAATGGAAGATAATTCACCACCATATCCCCGGTCTTAGAATCCAACCCACAACCCAACATCCTCCAATACCCGAATCACCATCTAGTTATCTATACACCCTGCTCATAAGAAGCATGTGCACATCATCCGTTTCCAATTCATCTACTACTACTACTAACACTACTACAACCTTACATCACTGGCTACCACACCCATCACTCCCAAACACCCTCCAAACTTACCTCCATATTCCCAGTCTCTCAAACATCAAGGACTTCCAAGGACTAGGAACATTTTCGCCTCCTCATCTCAGTAATCACAACAGATACAAATAGTCTACACAACTATCTCACTTCTCTCCTTCCCCCAATACAAACACAAACCCGAAACCTCAATCAACCCAACACAACCCAACCAACCTCCCCACCAACCAACCAACCAACCATCACCCACATAACCACCCACCTCAAAAACCTATCCTCACCATCCTCACCCCCTCACTCCCCTCCCCAAGACCCCACCCAATAAACTTCTACTCCCTCCCAATATAGGGCGAATATCCTTGTCCTTCTTCCTGTTCTCCTCCCTCTTCTCATTCATATCCTCACAAAGTCCCACCCAATACTTTACACCCTATATGGAAATGGAGTAAACCTAATAGTCCCTATGCTCGAAAAACGGGATATTGGGAGATAAATCTAATAGGTGCTATTGAGGATGGGGTGTGGAGTGCTGGGAAGGATTTAGGGTTGTTCGTGGGGGTGATTGAGAGGGGGAAGGTTTGAGGGGTTGAGGGGTCAGGGGAGGAAGGTCGGGGTTTTGGGGTGAGGGTGTTGGGATCTTATTCATTTAGTTTTGCTTTTTGGAGAGAGAGAAAGGAGGGGGGGAACCTGTTCGGAGATTCCTGGATGACTGGATAACTGATTGATAACTTGTGCCAACAGCTAAAGAGGATTCTCCAAAATTATAAATCCCCTACACGAAATAGAAATCTTTTTATAAAAAGAATCATTCAGAAATCACAGAAATGCCCAAGTAATAAAAGATAAATATCTCAAAAAACTTTACTAAAGAATTATTAAACTCGTATAAACTAGCTTTTATATAAATTCAGCAATGAATAAATAACCCAATATAGTATAATAAATTAATATCTCAATATTCTCATTTATTTAATCATCTCTTTATTTCAAAAACCAAAAAGAAAAGTCTAACAATCTTGTATCTCTATTAAAAAATTATCCTTCCCTAGAAAAATTTAAGTGTTAAGAGAGACAAACTCCATATCTTAGAAACTTTACAGATTCAAAAAGACAATATGGTATAGAATTTATCAATACATCAATATAATATCCCAGCTTCTTCTTCTTCCTCTTCTAAAATCATATATACATATATACAATCAGTATTATAATAATAAAAGAGAATAAGGAATCGAAAAGCTCCTCGGCAGATATCTATATCCAGATACTTTGCTCTATGGGAATAATATAGCGAAGCCACTTCCACTTGGGAAAGCCGTGTAAAATTAAGACTACATTATCAGGGTCAGAAGTAGGATATAGATGAAAGTAAGTATTACAGCTACCCATCTTTTATGTTCGTTGTAATCTTCAAATAAATAAATAAATATATGTATATATTTGAGCTATCAATAAAATACAAAAGAGCCCTGCCACCCACTCTAAACTCTAATTACCATTCCCGTAGCCAACGGTGCACACACACGCCTCTTAAATACTATCTATCTATCCTGAATGACGGACGGATTCTACCAACCTACTCATGCTGTCTACTAACACTTCTTCTACTCATGCCCAGATTTTGTAACTCCATGGGCTCACTTAATCCACCACTTCTTCCTTCTCCCTTCCAATTCTCTTTCCTCCTAGTTCTTTCAGTACCCGGACCACCGGTTTGAAATTCACCTCGCTCAGCTCGTCCTTCATCACCATCACCTTCAGTTTCTACAACCCTTTTTCCATTTCCGCTGCTCTCATCCGAAGTATTACCCACTAGCATACCCTCCCTAACAACATCGACACTAGTTGAGAGTCCCTCCTCTTCAATCTCTTCTCCATGATTACCCCCTACGCTAATCATCGTAAAAGGACTCGCTGTTGCTCCATCCAATACTCCCAATTCCTCTTTCGTGAACCATCTTGGTAGCATCCATATCCTTACCGGAATCAACGCTAGAATAATGACTGGGAATCCTACTGCCGCGATTGTCTGTGTGATAGCAAACGTGGCACCAAAACCAAAGAGTTGAATTGCTACGAATATCCAGATGGCAGATTTTCGAGGAAGATGTCGTAAGGGGTCGGAAGAAGGGGTTAGCGAGGAATCTTTGAGAAGGAAGAGAATTTTAGTAGTCATTCCATTGCCGAGAAGAGCTTGAATACCCATGACGAAGAAAAGACCCGCTAGAACACCTTGAGGGATGAGGTGGATGACTATAAGTAGAGGACCAGTCATAGTCCCTAGGGTTAATAGACCTTGGGCTAGATTGCTGACTCGTTGTTCGACGACGTGGGATGTAACTGGCTTGAGATGACCTTTTGAATCTCCCGATTCATCGGTATCAGCAACAAGTTTGGTAACGCAAAGCGATTCAGTGTGGAATGGGGCTTGTGGAATGAGACCGTTAGGAAAAGGGATTCCCAGCAGACCAGCAATACCAGTTGTGAACCCGAGGAGGAAAATATCCCAGTGAAAGCCAGCAGGCTTTCGGAGGGGGTATTCAGTTCCTTGGGCTATCAAAGAAGAGACTATGCTCCGTTAGTGACTGTATATCTGTGTAGAAAAGAAAGATATATGATTTACCATTGTGATCGAAATAAAACAAGATTGTCAGTAAAATAGCAAATGGTATGGCAATAAACACATCTGAAACTCTAACATCCCAAAAATGTATAAACCATCCTCTATCAATTGTTGGAAAGAAGGCTTTACTTGTAGGTAGTGTAGTCAAATCTACTTCTCTCATTTTACCAATGTGTACAAACCCAGTAAAAAAAATGATAGTGAGAGGTGTGCCGTAATCTTTTATAAAAACTCGGACATAATGCCGGAATAATGGACTATCCCCAACAACACCGCACAAGAATGCAACGGTGGTAACTAGTAATGCGATAACGATAGAAAGGTAGAATGGTTCATCCGAGCCTTGACGGGTTAGGACCTGGATACCTTTCTGGAGGTAAATAAATGCTACGTAAAATCCAAAAATATCGCAAGAGAAACGAGTGACATAACGAAGTAAGTTGCATGAGTTGGTAATGGCGAGTATCCAATGCATTAATAGGGACCATCTGCTTTAGTCAGTTTTTTTTCCTATTTTAGAAAAATTAACAACTGCAGAGTATTTCTATACATACAATCCAATTAATGCCATAAATGCAAAAAAGTTTGCTCCTGTAGGAACAATAATATCGTAGACAGTACTATCCAAATTAGCATCAAGTATGACAGGACCTTCACATCACCAAACATACTAATTGAAAACAGTGATTGGTCCTGTAACTCCTACAATAACCAATGGTTGAGCGGCAAATACTGCAAAAACCACTGATCCTAGGACAGAAGCAAGAAGAACTTCATTCACTCCATAACTCATATTCGTCTTTGTAAACCTGCATTTTGATCAGAAACTTTGCCTCATATATGTTTGACAAGAGACTTACATATCCAAAGAAAAAGCTAATGCAGGTAAAATACTGTCATGCAATTAGCTATTTCTGCCCACGATCCGTTTCCACGACTTCTCTTCTCATCACAAGAATGGTTGGCCTCCAAATGGAATGTAACGCACTTTGCAAAATACATATAAATCGTAGCCGGCACAACTCTATAATCCCAAGCATCCGTCCAATCACTCAAGTAAAATGGTGCTCTTCTCTTTACATCATCAGCCATGCCTTTGAACCATCTAATTTTATACCATTTCGGGATATGTCTGCTTCTCGTAGAAGTATTTGTGTTCGCTGTCTGCAAACCATTATGTTCATCCATTGCCTCGGTATTATGCGATGTGGAGTTTGTATCACTGGTAGCTAATGAATTGAAGCGATTGCGCCAGGCTTTTGCTGTAGAGATATTTTGCGGAGCTCGAGTGGAACTAGAGGTGGCGTTGTGAGGCAGAGGACTGGGGAGCGAATAAGGATTCGAAGATTGAGTGGCCATTAGATAATATTGTCGGGAATGTTAAAGATTCAAGAGTAGTAATTGAGGCATCACAATGTCTCTATGAAAGAGGGAGAGATATGGACGAGAGCAGGTTGCAGAAAGGTCAGTTGTCGATTTATATATTTATATTTGGATTTAGGAGGGTGGTCAAGTTGGGAATAAAATTGATGCGTATCCACCTCTTGGCATATTGTGGGGTAACTTAAATTCGGATGACGCCCAATGACAACATTCTGAAGATGGGATGAAAAAGATCCTGGCTCGGCTGCTCACTTTAAGCCGGCCAATCACATGCTGCCTACATGCGGAGTAGATGATTTCAATATTCGAGTCATAATCAGAGGAAAACAATGACTCAAAGGAATGATTCTCTTGTCATACATGCCAAGCTCAAGATTCTTGTTTTGAGCTTTGTTGAAGCTCTGTGCTGTTCAAATAAATAAGCAATTGATGTGTTTGTAGACTTTTTCACCACATATTTTCGCTAAATAGGAGAATATTTCGGCCTAAATGTAACAAACTTTGCTTGAACATTCATAAGTTCTATATGAGCATTTGCCATGTTGGCTAGGGTATCTTCATAAACATGGTTGCCTCATTGATAAAAAAAAAAGATATCACATTCGTCTCGTAAAACCTATCGTCCAGAGAGGACTGCTCTCTTCGCTGCATCCTCCTTCACCCATGTCTCAATCCTTTCACCTACATCACCAACCAAGCTTTCATATTGTGGCCCTGGGAAAAAAAGACCACAATGTGCCCCAATTTCGTCTACTCCTTCCATATAAATTCGAATCCAACAGGCATCTTTCTGTCCCTCAGACTCTGGAGGCAGCACACAAAACTTCTTGTCCTTTTTTGGCTTCTCCATCTTCGGCTCCACCTTCGGGACGTTCTCTTTCCCTTTGGAGGATTTGGAATTCAATGTGGCTTGTCGCTTTTCCTCTTCTTTTTCTTCCTTTGATCTTTGCTTGCCTTGAGCTTTCAATTGTTTCTCCTCATCTTTTCGTGCTTTCTTTTCTCTTTTCTCCATCAATTTGCGACGGTCTTTGAGAGCACTTTCTCGATCCTTCAAGGCTTGGTTATAAGCCTTCACAATGCGTTTGTGTTCCTTTTCTGCGACTTTCCGAGAGTCTTTGTCTGTATAAAGATCGAAGTTCATTGGTTCTGGTTCTGTCGGCGTATTGGGGATAGGAGGGAGGGGAGGTTCGGTGGGTGCTTTTTGTGGAGTAGTATCCGAGCTCTCTGTTTCCTCAGCATGTAATAGACCTGCTATAGGTACAGGTTCGTCTTCTTCAATGGGCATTGAATCAATCTGTCGCAATTCTGGTGATCGTGGAGCACCTTCCTGAACCCCTGAACTGTTGCCTAAGTCTTGCATCTGTTCCCCAACCTGCTGCATATGTATACCGTTGGCCAAATCAAGGTTAATATCCGTCGTAATTTGACTCTCCTCTGATGTTGAGGGCTGAGTTTCGGAATGATCTAGGCTCAGATTACTCATTCCTGCCTTCAACGAGGCATTATCATGAAGGGATTCTTCAACGGCAGAATTTCGTGGCTTCCTGGGCCGACCAGTACTTGCGGTATAATAATTGATGAATCTTCTCCGTGGGGTTTGGTTTTGATTTACAAAATTGCTCCCCCCAGCAAGTTCATCAACATCTTCCAGAGCACGTATTTTGGAATAACGATTCATCAAGCCAGGATAATCTGCCAGACAACTACCAAACTCTATATGCGATACAAAGTACTGTGAGGTTGCAGAAGTCAAACCACCTAATTTTGCTGTTATCCCAACACCCTCAGCATGTTTGTTAACGAAGTGTAAGAAGTTGTCAAATCCTTTTCGCTCTGGTATTCTGATGTCGTTGAAGAAAGGGGCATTGTAAAATTTATCATTTGATGGTGGCATAGCTAGCGATGTCATGCTTTGTCCATCAATTTCTTGGTACGTAGTATTCGAGTCTGAGAGTGTGTCTGCTAGGCTTGCTGTAGATGCAGGACCGTTCATCGACGGCGAACTTGCCCCGTTGGGCGATAATGACCCTGATCTTGAGCTTGGAGGCTCCGGTGCAGGCCTAAAAAGACTTCCAATTCCACTAAGCACGACTCCAGGATGCATGCCTAGATATGGCGTATCAAAGCTAATTGTTCCCAATATCCTATGGCGAAAGAGACGATTTGCTGGAGCAGATGGAGGTTGGAGGACGACCTCCGAAGATAGAATCCCTCCCATACTATGGCCTAGTAGTATAATGTCGGTCAAAGAATCTTCATGGGGCTCTAGCCTAGCACAATCTTTAGCTGGTAAAGAATGATGATAGTAAAAGAAGGACTTACCAATTGCTAAAATCATCCCGAGCAAAGTTGATAGCTTTTCTGGACTTATATCTAGGATAAACTTTTGTATGAATAATATGAGTCTCTTGGAGCGTGATAGTTAGAAGATTATGAACGTGAGCAGGAAAACTTTGGAAACTGGTTTCGTTGCCCAGGAACCCATGAATATAAATGAGCAACAGTTTACGACGGCCATCTCGATTAGATTCTGAAGGGACCAAAGAATGTGTGGAAGATGATCTTGGGTCATTTGAATGCCATTGCTCTGAGATTAATTGGTTCCTCTTCGCATCATCATCGGTGTACGGTGGAGGGGCCTGGACAGACTCTCCTCGTGGTGGTAGCGGGGGCGGGGTATGATGGTATCTTATTGTTGGAACTTCTGGACGATCCTGTCGAGCCTTCTCCTCTAATTGAGCAGGAGTAGCCATGGCTTATTTTGATTTATCAGTTTTAATATCTGATTATCAAATTCTTAAAATTTGATAAAAGTGTTCATGAATTAAATACGAAACATTGTATCATTGATGTTTTGATTTCATGCAGATGCAGCTTTCAATAAATTCAAGGGTCCGTCAGGGGTTGTGCGGTAGTAATTCTACCTCGTGATGCAAAGTGATGTATTTATGCGCAACGAACGAATTTGATGCATTTTCATTCCATGAATAATTATATTAAAATAATATTTCTGATGTTTGTTTTGTACCGTACTAGTTGATCATGTTGTTTCGAATATTCCTCCTGTTGACTTTCATAAGATTCCACCATAAAAGTACCTATGTTGAGTCTGATGTCCTGGCCAATCAGCTATGAGTACAAAAGATGAGATTGAAAACAGTATTCCGTACTTCGTACTAATAACAAGAAGCACATCGTTCAAAATACTTGAGGTATCCACTCAGACGCGAATCGCTCCCAATCCGCTGGGCTCGTTGATCTGGCTCGGTTGGCTGGCCAAGTTGTGTACTCTGTGAATTGTAACCGCCGCATCAAAGCTCTAGGTACCTAACACTCACTAATGCAAGCCAATTATGGCTTATGGCGAGATCTTTGAGAAAAATTGATCTTGCCAATCTTAAATCGTGAACCACAAGTCAGGTACGAGTTACACTAAACTAAAAACTAACAAAGTGATCCGTTTTTGCAGTAGTAGGAACTAGGTAGTATTCTTACTTGAAGCAAAATTACTAGAGGGAGTTACTTGAAGACTTATTACTTCACTATACCTAGGTAGGTATATATATATATATACCTACATCCCACCTGTTTATGAATACATCCAAGAAATTAAATGGCCTTGAAAATTATTCCTTCTTTGAACTCCCGCTCACACTCCCTTTTCCATTTCATTTAATTAAGACGATGGATTACTGGATATTTCGGTAGCGACGAATTGGCATAATATGACCTATATCTCGGGAATTCAGGAGAAACCCGTATATAGTAATGCTCATCCTAATGTTACAGAAAGACACCATCCATTATTGATGACACTTATTAAGTTTCCATCTCCGCGTCCCATCGAATTTGCCTAGATGTGATGAGCAAAACGATGATGTGATTGTCTCTCTTTTCATGCAGTAAAGAACATCTAGTCTCTAGTATCTACCCACATAAAAGGGGCACGTACATTCTGGGATATAAGGACGGAGTGAAGCTACTGATTAATATCTTCCTAGGCAGGTAGAAAATTAGAAAAGCTAGATATATTCTTTGCAGCGCTCCACAAGTTGACGATCAATGTATTTGTGTTGAATCCTTAGGAGTCTCGACAACTGTTGACTTGCTATTTTAAGTGATACGAATAATGGATAGTTAGGTTATTAAGTCGGTCATTCATTTCAATAACAAACTATTACAATCACCAATTCATAGTAACAAATTATTAACAAGTCATCAATCTCGTCCACATTACTTAGTAGATAGTTAGTATCTACCCTCGCCCTCACCCTATACAGCGTATTTTATATCTAGAACATTGGAAGAATTGACGGGACGAAAAGGAACCGCCCCAGAGACAAAATACGTTTCCTCCGTCTCCGTTCTCCATGCCATGCAGTCATGCTTTATCCTTGAAGCCTCGTGCTTATTCGATAACTGCCATGTTAAATTAAATATCTTCTCACGCCGTGATTGGTCAACTGACGGGTGCATCCACTTTTCATCCATGCTAATAAATTTCTATAAAGTGAAATAATTCGTCAGCCCTGACTATTCACGAACCTCTAAAAGGAAGCAAAAAGTCTCTAGTAACTCTAGCGAAATTTGTTCTTGGCCCGTGCTAATCAAAACTAACCAAAAATTGATCTGCTGTACCTGAGCGAAATGCTGTGTGATCCTGCGAACTATCAATAATCACTTTTTATTTTCCCCCCCCCAAAACCCAACCTTCACGAAAACGAAAATCAAAAACCCTCTTTTTCCGCAACGGCAATGAGGGCGACGAAGGAGTTGTAAATATTACGTCCCAAGTTGGCGAAAGTCACTCTTTTGAATTATCAGGTACCCGTGGAGCGCTGTAGACGCAGCTGCAACAAAAAGGGCGCGCCATGAACGACGCTGAGCCATCACTCTTTCTGGCCAGACATGAGTATGCATACGGGCAATCTCACCACAATCATTTAAAACAGCATCAAAAATTACACAAACGGCAAACGACGGTAGTTGAAACGGCAACAGCTGAGGCTTCCGCCATAACAGAAGTTATTCAGACAATATCCGTGGTCCAACAGGTTGATGTCGATGCCGATGGATCTACTATTGCGGTCCAGACCTTTCCAGCGAGCGACTACTCGTCTTTGAGATTACAAGCTGCAACAACAACTACTTCCTCGATCTCTTCGAATAGAGATAATTCTTCTGCTGCTTCTACAGTTCTTGGAGCTCAACCTACATCATCGGGCCAGGTCATCCTATCGTTATCGTCGAGCACTGATGTGACTTCGACTTCCACTCCTTCCACTAGCTTTTCAACGCCCATTCCTAATTCTAATTCAACTACATGTAAGCTAACCTCAGTCTTCACGCAAACAATATATTAATGGTATGGTATTAGTAATTTCTAGCTCATTTCCAAATTCGACCCCAGGCCCAGTATCAATCTCGCTTTCAGGCTCAACTTCAAGCTCGACAACATTATTTTCCAATGCGACCGCTTCTGCTTCAATCTCTTCCTCATCATCCACATCTAATACTACCCGACTTTCTTTTACTGACTCCACTTTGACATCCTCATTCGAAACCTTTGCATCGACGATAACATCTTCCTTCTTGTCATCACCTGTATTTCTTTCTTCGGCTGCATCATCGACAACTTTCAGCTCGACCACGCCCTCGTCTTCGTCCTCATCTTCTTCGTCCTCATCTTCTTCGTCCTCATCTTCGCCCTCATACTCGTCATCTCAAACAGATTCGACTAGCAGTATCGCTTCTGTCGGTGGAGGTACCGAAACTAGTTCGGCATCCGGGAGTAGCAGTGCTACAGGGGGTGCGGTTGGTGGGAGCGGCAATGGAACAGCTGCGAGTTCGACACCATCCACATCCACGATAGTGGGGGGTGTAGTTGGTGGGGTAGCTGGGCTCGCTGCACTTCTCTTTATTTTGATGTTGGTGTTGAGATGGAAGAAGAAGAATGGTGGGATGTTGTCAATTGGAAGTGTACCTCCTTCGACGATCGCCGGTGGCGGAAGGGGTGGGGGAGTTGGTGGAAATGATGGTAGTGGTTCTGCAGGTCAATCCCAAGGTTTCCCTAATCAAGCTCCTCGTAGCATGACGGAGCGCAGATCACTCGCAATGGCCGTGCCTGCAGCGCTGGCCAGCCTCTCGAAATCTAAGCGATCATCTCAAAACACAGCCACTAACACGGTTTCATCAGCAGGAAGTGAAAGAGGTTTCTATAGGGTATCTGGTAAGAAGCTTCCATCTGTCTTACAACATGGAGGTGACGGATTCGGTGAACCAAATTCAAATACAATGAGCGGATCATCGTTTTACCCCTCTGGTGTACCTGCTATGCCGATCTCCAACACTTTAAGTGGCACCTCATTCTACCGAGATTCTCAGGGGTTCTATGGAGGACAGCCAAGCCCACCTCTCGAGCCCCCAAATAGAGACTCTGGAGTCCCGGTCATGAGGCCAAGCCCGGCAAGAACCCCGGTTACGGAACATGGCCCTTTTACAGAGCCACCTGGGCCTATACCACCGAGGCCGGATCTTCTGGGTCGTTCACTTGCCTCACAAGATGGCTCCCACGCCTCAAGATTTACAGAAGAAGTCTGAAATAAGACATTTCTGAGATTGTACAGGGCTTTGGTTGGAGGATCGCCGGCATTGATGCATGTGAAGCTTTTTTGCTTTTTCGTAGTTATTGTGGGGACCCCGCCTTGGATTGGACCTGCTTAGGGCTGTCCTTGGATATTTAATGCACCTCTGCATTTGGGTTTGGCGTTTTTGTCCTGATATGCAGGACTTTTGATACCAGTGAGCGCTTGAAGATTTATCTGATTCGCTTCTTATGTTACGACGCCTCTCGGCAACAATCAGGAGGGAATAGTGGATTTAGGATAGCCATTTCTCCTGGGATCGGTAATAAACTGATACCTGTCCTTTTTCTCGTGGTAAATTTGATGATCTTGTTGGATAATATAGGCGCCACTTTTTAGCATCGGACGAATGGCTAGGATATAAGATCAAAGAGGGTGGGATAAAAGATAATGTCTTTCTATGTATGAAACTCAACGTGCCAAATTGGAGCTTAAGTGCATCGTGCCTGACAAGTTTCTGAAGCCAACTCAGGTTGTACACACAAACACCAGAGTGGCTGTGTATGTGTGATGCTACCTGCAGTGATATTTATGTAGCCTCTCGAGTCCAAGCGAAAGATGCTCGATGCAGGAAGTTCTGGGTTAAGCCGGTAGAATCTCTCCTCTCGTTTCAGCAGTGTAACAGGTCAATCTTCTCGAGAACTCATTGGTCCATATCAACCGTACATAAGATATACATTGGCCGATGGCGCCTAGACTTGTTACCCGTAGCATCGGAATTGAAGAATTGTGCTCGAGAAGTAAAATGAAGAATGAAGATATTGGATCACTATGGCCACGTGATGAAAGCCTTTTAAGTAGGTAATATATATTACGGTACAACTCGAATGTAGGACAAGATGAAGGACAGGCCAAAAGATTAAAAGCCATTGAAGCCACTGAAGATTTTATTGGTTTTGTGTACCCCGCCTGTATTATTATGATCTTATAGTGATATGGATATCTACCTGATCATTTATAAAGGTGATAGATAGATACCTACCTTTAAGCAATCATTATTGTGATATTACTGTACTGTACTGTACATAGGATATTCCGGGACAGCTGACTTGTAGCTTTATTTTGCTAGCTCTGGTAGATGAATAATTCTCTTCATTTGGTAATACTTGGTCTACCTACATTACCCATCTCAAAATATTGTTGATTAGTCATATATAAAATGCCGAGGTGGTTGCGTGTGGTGACATGAGTTGTGAGAGGATAGGATTATAGTAATGATAAACTCCTATGATGGATGCAACACGTAAGATTTCAGATGGCGAGACGATGCGATTCTTTTTCAGATTGAGTTTTACATTTCTTTTCTATTGGTCCTTCATACTTTTCTATGTGTCCTTCGTCATCTTATTAATATTTAATCATGCCAGCTACAGCTCCAAGAAGCTTAGACATCAATTAATTTACCTACTAGGTACCTAGTTAGTATTTATAACTTCTAGAAGGCCAAGCTTAAACTCCTCCGCCGAAAACGACCCCTCAACCATCGGTAGACACATACACTGTACGATCATTTACCATCTTCCCCAATACTCCAAATCACATCACATTCACTGGCTTCTTAAACTCTTTGTTCAATAAAATAACCAAATATCATCCCATCATATAATCGCTTTTCTCCATCATCAGGCTGTGCCTGCCTTCAATATCCACAAGCAGCCACTCAGTCATAAAGAAATCTCGACACCCAAGACATAAACCCAGACTCTGGAATTAGTACATCTGCAGCTACGGAGTAAGCTAAGTTCCGCAAACTGCTACAGGAGTTGTACGAATACGAAATAAATTTCTACTTGGGTGATTCGACACCCGGCATACGACTTTTAATCACTTGCGCCTTCGTCAAATTCAGCTATTTTACTATGCGATGATCAACAAAGATGGATTCTATGCCCCATGACAACAATTCTTTTGTGCCCCAGATATCGGCGCCCCCCTTGATGAACCCCCCGCCTCAAATATTCGGGGCTTACAATGCAGAAGGTTTACCGATATCTTCGAAAATACCAGATTTGACGGGTCCGCTTTTCGGCGATGGAACCCTTCTCGATGAAAGCAACGAGGCAAAACGGAGAAGGATAGCGAGGGTAGGGCTGAACATTCTGCGAAGGAATCTGGACAGGAAGCTGACGACGGCAGGCTTGTGACATGTGCCGGAAAAAGAAGATCAAGTGCGATGGGAAGTTACCAGCTTGTACGCATTGCATCAACTATAAAACGGAATGTATTTTTACACAGGTCGAGAAGAAGAGAAATCCACCAAAAGGGTGAGAAATCTAGGTGAAAGATCAGTTATTTCGGGCGCTGATTTTTGAGTAGTGCGAAATATATCGAGGGCCTCGAGAATCGTCTAGGTCGCATGGAAAGTTTGTTAAAGTTATCTGGTTTGTCCCATCAATTCAGGCATATTCAAATGTTCAATGATTGACGGATAGTGTTTAAGGTCTCCTCAGCGAAGAAGATGGTGGGCGAACGGATTTGGGAACGTTGGAGAAAATACTACAGGAAAAGAACCTTTCGCGCAGAGCGTCTGCTGCCCCTGGTTCAGTTGCAACTTCCCCAGTGCAAAGTACTCCAGGTAACCCGGTTGATGCAAATGGTTCGACCCCTCGGAGTACTATAGCATCCCCAGAACCAACCAAAGACTCCGAGAAGCGTAATAGTAAAGACGGTCGAAATGAAGTGGGTGAGAAAAGAGAGGAGCCAGTTGAGGCGCTTTCAGATATGATGTGCTCCTTAGTCACAAATAACTGCGGAGAAACTCGATATATAGGTATGAAATGTTGCTGGATGGGAAGGACTTTGCTGACAAATTAAGGGTCATCTTCTGGATTCTCCATATTCTCGCCTAAAGGTATTTCATGGGTCAACGAGAAGACAGGCGATTCATCGTTTCAGGACATGATTTCATCCGCTTCCGTGGACGACAATAAGATGATGTATTGGAAACCAGAAGTATTCTCGGATTTGTTCGCACGTCCAGTATGGAGGCGACTCCCTCCTAAAAACGAGTGCGTGTCTTTACTTAAGGACTTTTTCGAGAATTTTAACTGCATGTTTCCCCTTTTCCACCAACCTACGTTCATGCATCTAGTCGATCGACAATATTCTAGTGATCCCTATGAAGGCTCCGGATGGTGGGCAAGTCTTAACTGTGCACTTGCCATCGCTCATCGTCTTCGTGTTATGAGCCATCTCGTGCCACAGGAGGAAGATACAAAAGCTTGGGGCTACCTTAAAAATGCCATGGGTGTTTTCACCGAGCTCACCATGCGGAACACTGATTTACTCAGTGTACAAGCATTGTTGGGAATGGCTTTGTTTATGCAGGGTACGCCTAATCCTCAGCCTTCGTTCTTTCTTGTAGCAGCCGCTATTCGTCTTTCACACAGCATTGGGCTGCATAAACGTGGGTCTGGCTTCAACCTCAATCCAGTGGAGATTGAGCAACGCAAACGTGTATTCTGGATAGGGTACATGCTAGACAAAGACATCTGTCTGCGTTCGGGGAGACCTCCTGCACAGGACGACGATGATATGAATGTCGAACTACCGAGTGCCGACCCTGAAGATAACATAGGTAATATTCCTCTTGCCGATGGCAAGGGAAAGGTTAACCTTTTCCGATTGATGTGTGAATTTGCGACCATCGAGAGCAAGGTATACAAGCAGCTTTATTCGACTAAAGCTTCAAAACAATCTGATGGGGAACTTCTAAATACCATAGGGGAGCTTGATTCTCAACTCGAAGAATGGAAAGATAGTATCCCGATCGACTTCCGTCCAGAGCATGAGATTAAAGCTTCACATACTCCACTAATTCTTCACGTTGTCGTTCTTCATTTCGCCTACTATAATTGCCTCACTACAATTCATCGAATGTCTGTTCACCACGGATACTGGACCAGCCGCCTTTCTAACTATGCCATCCAAGGACTGAATGCTAGGCCTCTAAATCCCCGTGTCTTTTCTTCGGCCGCATTGTGTGTGTCTGCTGCTCGCGCTTCCATACACCTCATAAAATATGTTCCTCAAGGCGACTTTGCTTGTGTCTGGTAAGTCAGACTTGCACGCTACCTCAATCAAAATCTAACATATTTAGGCTCATTCTCTATTTCCCGGTTTCTGCCCTTGTGACCCTCTTTGGAAATATTTTACAAAACCCTCAAGATCCTCGGGCACGTTCTGATGTGCGTCTTATGAACCTGGTTGTCAATTTTCTTTCCATGTTAGGCACCGAGGAAGAAAATGGAGGTGTAAAACGTATGCTAGGGGTCTGCTCAGAATTTGAAAGAATAGCCAAAGTTGTTTTGGACAAAGCAGAAAAGGAGACATCTACAAGGAGAAAGCGCAAGAGTCATGATGATTCGGGTAAATCATCGCATATGCCCAGGGCTGGCCCACCACAGACTCCCATGAGCCGTGCTCCTAATTCCACGCCTGGCCCGTTTTCTCCCAACTCGACGAATCATGTGAATCTACAGAATGGCTTTAGTCCTTTGCAAGATGCTTCTCCAAGCTCAAACTGGCAACCAGATTTCGGTGCTCCTGGAAATGATTTCATGGGACAAAATACGGCGACACCGTTTGGAAGTGTTCAAGGTTTTACAAACGAAAATGAGTTCAACTCCCCACTAAATCCAAATGCTTTCCAACAACCTTTTGTCCCTCAGGATCTCTGGCAGATGCCAATGACGCTTGAGTGGGACTGGGCAGAGATGACGGGAGGCGTGTACCAAAGCTTCGAGAATGGTGTTATGGGTGACCCTAATCTTCATATGAGTAATAATGCACATCTACAAAATCAAGGTGGGGGCTTGTAAGCTATGGATTTTTGGCGTTCTCGTGAGGGAGGAAAATTGGAGGTAAAGGTGTTAATTATATTGGGCATATGAGGGGTCGGAAGAGGCACAGATTATGGACTCATAAAGCAGTTGCTTTGCATGGTGATTATGGCGTCTCTAAAGGAAACTCATCTGGCTTCATTAGGAAGGTGTAACTGGTACTCTCCTCCGATTATGTTATGGCTTCAATATGCCCAACAGATGTATTAATGATTTGCTATGGAACATTTACACAAGATTGTACAATAATTATAGAGAATAATATGATGTGGAATGATAGAGATTAAAATAGTAAATGAAATGTGATTTATAATTTTAGTTGGAAAACAAGTCCGAGGTTCCAGATTGAATATATTTTGAGTTTCGATACCAAAGTTGCGCTAGTGTTGTAATCAATCAAGCTTAATCGAGGCATCATCATTATATATATGATTTGCCTCCCACCTCTAACTCCGACAACCACAAACCTTCGAACATACTCTTAAATTCTCTCACATAGTGGTTCTAGTCACGGCAAGTCATCCATAGTGACTCCAGACCACATTTATCTCCTAATTACGACACGAACAGCTCTAGCCAAGCATGACATCGATATTACGGCAGTGCAGCTCTCTTGCTAGAATTTCTCAAACCACCATCCAATCTGCCGCACGAAATTCTCTCCGTACATCATCGACTGCACCTCTATTACGGTCGCGGATAGCTGCACAAAGGGCGCGCACATTCGTAACCAAGCCACCAAAGCCAGACAAGGACACGGAGAAGGATGAGTCGAAGGTAGAGTCGAGAAAACAAAAATCGTCGGAGCCACCCAGCAAGCCCGCTCCTGGGACGGAAAACCTCTACGATGGAAAATCGCCCTTATCTCCCTCCGAGAATAGCGCGAAGCCAAACGAGGAGCCACCGCTGGTGGAAGGTTATGTGAGATTGACGGATGAGGAGATAGAGCAGCTAGAGCAAATAATTGCTTCTATGCAATTTGGCAAAGGCCAGACTCAGGAATTGAGAAGATCTCTGCAGGCGATACAAAAGTCAGGGGTACCATCTGAACTGAGAGATTTGATGCAAGAGGTGAAGGGCAGACCGATGACTTTGTCGGAGGCTGGAAAATTCACAAAACTGGTGTTGCAAATGGCGTGGTCCGCTGCCAAGGTTCAGTCACAAGGAACGAATTTCAATTCAAACGAACCAAGGCCTTCTGCGGATAGTAATAAAGGCGGCCAGGGGCGAGATCAGGGTAGCAAGCAGGGCAACAAGAAGGGCAACCAGCAGGAAGGGTTCAATTTTGGCAACCCATCGGACTTGAAGCTTGATACCACAACCTTATTGATTGGATCTTTTGCAACATACTTCTTATGGCAGACACTTTTCCCGGGCACTAATAAGAAAGATATTACCTTCCAGGAATTCCGAAATAATTTCCTTGATAAGGGGTTGGTTAAGAGATTGACTGTGGTTAACAAGCAGGAGGTTCGAGTTGACCTCCACACTGAAGCGGCGGCAGCAATGTATCCCGATTCCCAAGCCAGTAATCCCAACTTCCATTACTATTTCTCCATAGGTTCTCCGGAAGGGTTTGAGCAGCGAATGGAACATGCACAAGATGATTTAGGGATACCTGTTTCGGAAAGGATACCAATTGGGTACGCGAGTGATGGAGATACATGGGCTCTTATCTACTCTTTTGGTCCTACACTCTTATTCATTGGTGCTATTTTCTACATGTCAAGACGAGCTTCAGCAGGTGCTGGAGGTCAAAGTGGCATTTTTGGAATGGGAAAGAGTCGAGCAAAGCAGTTCAATCACGAGACTGATGTAAAGGTAAAGTTTAAGGATGTCGCCGGTATGGATGAAGCGAAGCTAGAAATTATGGAGTTTGTCTCTTTCCTAAAGACACCAGAACAGTTTCAACGTCTAGGTGCTAAAATTCCTCGCGGTGCTATTTTGTCTGGTCCACCAGGTACTGGTAAAACATTACTGGCAAAGGCAACAGCTGGTGAATCGCAAGTACCATTCTTTAGCGTCAGTGGTTCCGAGTTCGTGGAGATGTTCGTTGGTGTTGGAGCATCGAGAGTCCGGGACCTCTTCGCCATGGCAAGAAAAAGTACTCCATGCATCATATTCATTGATGAGATAGACGCTATTGGAAAGTCTCGTGGCAAGTCTGGCGGGTTCTCCGGAGGTGGAAACGATGAACGGGAAGCTACACTCAATCAAATTTTGACTGAGATGGATGGTTTCAATACGACTGAGCAAATTGTTGTTCTTGCTGGTACCAACAGACCTGACGTACTTGACAAGGCTCTTATGCGACCTGGACGTTTTGACAGACACATCTCTATCGATAGGCCGACCATGGATGGTAGAAAGCAGATCTTCAAGGTTCACTTAGGCAAGATTGTCACTAATGAGAATATTGAATACCTGACTGGACGATTGTCTGCCTTAACCCCTGGGTTCTCTGGTGCTGACATTGCCAATTGTGTCAATGAAGCTGCTTTGATTGGTAAGTTAGATCCCCTCTTCTATGTTTTTACCATTGCTAATGTAATTAGCTGCCCGAACAAAGGCCACATCCGTCGCCATGACACATTTTGAACAAGCTATTGAGCGTGTGATTGGTGGTCTTGAGAAGAAATCTCTCGTTCTATCACCTGAAGAGAAGAAGACAGTCGCCTATCACGAAGCGGGACATGCCATTTGTGGTTGGTACTTCAAGTGGGCTGATCCACTTCTCAAGGTTTCAATCATCCCTCGTGGTCAAGGCGCTCTTGGATACGCACAATACCTTCCTGCTGGCGATACTTACCTCATGAACGTAAACCAGCTTATGGATCGTATGGCTATGACCCTTGGTGGGCGTGTATCTGAAGAACTTCACTTCGAAACTGTCACTAGTGGTGCCAGCGACGACTTCAACAAAGTTACTCGTATGGCTACTGCTATGGTGACCAAATGGGGCATGTCCAAAAAGCTTGGCCCTCTCCATTTCGAAACTGATAGAGAAAATCAACTCATGAAACCTTTTGCCGAATCTACAGCTCAAACTATCGATCAAGAGGTTCGACGAATTGTCGATGAGGCATATGACAAATGTAGAAATTTACTAGTAGAGAAGAAGGCGGAAGTGGGAATCATTGCAGAGGAACTTTTGGCTAAGGAAGTCCTCGGTAGAGATGATATGGTGAGGTTGTTGGGACCCAGACCCTTTGATGAGAACAAGGATTTTGTTAAGTATTTTGGTGGAGGATCATTCGGAAAGAGTGCACCACCACCACCAGCAACTGAGAGTACCGATACGCCTACTGAGGATCCAAGTCCTCTTGCTTAAGGATAGTCATGGAGAATAAATCATTACAAGGGAGGAGACTATTGGGGAAGGACCGGGAGGACCGGGGATTTGTACAGGATGGCTCATCCATCAATAAACTATCATATTTTACGGATAGTGGAAAGGAGTGACTCCGGGGTGAGAGTGGGGATATCAAAGCATACCTGACGAATGGTGGGTAAAATGCAAGAAAGCTAAGATGAAGGCAAAAAACAACATAACATCACTCTCCTACTCTGTTTTTGTGAAATAGCATTTTGTTGCGAGGATCTACTTAGAAGGAATTGGCTGGAATCGGCTGAGATGAATCATGAATTGCATCTGCGCTTTTGAATGTTTTTTGGGAGAAGAAGGGGAAGGGGGAAGGGGAAGGGATTGGGATGAGGTGAGATGAGTGGAGAATAGTTGCTGTGTAGGTAGTGTATTATATATAGTGTGTTACAATGAATATTATGGATTGTGTAGTATGTACTCTTTAGTTCACTGGTTGTTATTTATGTATTATTAATTATTTATTATATTTATGTGAGAACTTTGACGATTTAGATGAGTGAGGAATTTCAATTTTTTAATTGTGGGATTTATATTAGTGTTTGGAGTTTTTTATGTCTGGTTTGGTTTGGTTCGATTTGGTCTGGTTTGGTTTGATGTTATTTGATTGGGTTTGATTGAAGGTGGTATTGTATTGCATGTACGGCATTGTATGGTATGCCACTGGTATATATAGGACAGGAATTCTATACTTCATTTTCTATTTCCTTTTGGGTGTATAGTAAAATAGTAGATCTTATCTGTCCGTGTGCCCTTTTTGGACGGGAGATTTATTGGATGGATGAGAGGAAGGGTGGATGAATGATATATTTACTGCACTGTGTTGTGTTGTGTTAGATTGGATTGGATTATGACAAAGTTGTTTATTTTTGGAAATGGAGATGGAAGTAGAAATTGATATTGAAGATTTTTATCAAGTATTTATGTATTCCGTGCTTTTTTTGTTCTTCTTTCTTTTGCTTGGGGTTTTTTGGGGAAGAGGAAATAATGAAAATTAAAGAGGTTGGTGTTGTGTTATATAGGACTGTGGATTTTTGAGGGGATGAAGGGAGATGTGTGATGGATTTGTTATTTTCTTTACATATCTCCCCTACTCGGAATGAAATTCCATTCCATTTGTTTCCTCTAGTCACTTCCCGCCCATTACCTCACTAAATTCAAAGTTCGTATTTGCCCCTCTCATTATTTATCTACCTCCACTCGCCTCTCCGGTTCCTAGGCGCCATGTGTACAAGTCCTCTTATGCTTTTGCCACCCATTCTAGGATTCTTCACGAGATTGAAAGCATCGACCCCTACTTCTGTGTCTTATTCCCCTTGACAGTACTAGTACTAGTACTCTTGTGTTTCTTCAGAACATTATGTTCACTTGAAGAATATATTGACACACTAGTTCTCGAATAGGTGCGTGAACTTTCAACTACCGTCTCGGATTTCAACTCTCCATGATGCGTTTTCTCCCATGCTTCTTGTTGTTCCTTTCGGAATTGTCTAAAGAGACTCAGAGCATCACGACGATCTTGCTCATCGTCTATAAAACCGTAGTCGTGCATGAAATCGTGGAAACCGTTGAGATAGCCAAATTCGATTAGCCATTGGGCGTCTGATTTTGTATTGGGTGCCGGGGTTGGCTTCCGGGATGTCATGTTGTTTGGTGGAGTTGATGTTGTAGATGGAGAGGAATAGATTGGGTTTGTTTGGTTAATGGTTTGTCAACTAGTTGATGAGCTGTGCTTCTGGTCTGCTCTACATTATCAAAATTTTGCTGCGATATAACTATTCAAAGGAGGAAAGAGCTTGGCTTCTGGTTGAAGTTTGCTTACTAAGCATATTAGACAAAGAGCCATGAATGAAAGAAGCAAAGCTGGATAAACAAAATATAGCTAGATATGTAGAAAGAAAACGGCTAATTTCATAATCCAACTGTAATTCTTTTTGTTCTTTAGTTCTGTTAGCTTGCTTGGAGACGGAACATTTTAAACAACAAAAGGAACTCAAGCTTCCGAGCACACCACTGAGTACGGACCGCCGTCCGATGACATGACGTTGCTGATTTCTTTTCCTTATATCATATATCCTACATTCTCATATTTAGATCAATTGAAAGTATTCAAGACTACCCAACAGTAGTATGATGATAGTGGAACGATAAATGCCTACTAGCAGTCTCCACCAATCTAACCCCTTTTGATACCTCGTTAACTTGAAAGAGATGATCTTCCAGTTTAGGGCTGCAGATCCAAAATGCAGGCAGCTATCCGAACTCCGAAGTCTTTGAATCACCATAGTCACTCTAGTCTTATCTTGCAGCACTGCAGCAGGCCTCGGAGAGAGAGATTCATCCAGTGTTGTTGGATATCGTAGACTATACTACGTAAAGTTCTCTGTTGATTAAGTAAGCATTGTACCAAATCCAATTTTGAGTACTCCGTTCCGTACGTTCATCTTTCTTCATCGGGCGTCCAAGCTTTAAAGTTTAGCTGCAGACAGCTAAAACCAATGTTGATTGGCTTAAAACTTTAAATCTAACCGAAGTGGCTGGAGCGACCTCTTCCAACTGTTGACTTTTTGGAGCCAAATCAAGAGAGCAGCCTTATTAAAACTTTCATCCATTAACTTACTAGGTATCTCATTTTTCGTTCATTTTGAAGTTCGAGGTTGAATACTTGATTGTATTCAACACGAAAAAGATTAACTTCTTCAAGATGGCTTCCGATAATTCTATGGTGACTATTGACAAGATCTATTTGGAGACTTTGCTGAGAAGGTAAAGTGATCTACTTTTTTAACCCTGTACGAAATGTCTTAGATGCGTGAAGCAATCATTAACCGTTTACCCCACAATAGAGCTCAATTCGTATGTCGACATTGATAGATATTCGAGAGAAGGGATGAAGCGTCAAAGACTTATTGTTATGTGTAGCATACTTCGGAGAATAGTGATGATACTCCTGACGATTCCGACAAGATCACAGTCTTGAAGAAGGAACATAATGCCCTAGTAAGTAAGCATCCTACACATTGTGAATTTAAATAAATCTCGTCTAATGCCCATGTGCCAGATAAAATCTGCTCGTGAATATGGTGTGCTGCCTGTTGATTTATATAGGATATCTACTATCATGACGCGAGAGACTAACTCAACGCCCCAGAGAACCTGCGACGCAATCTTTACAAAGGTGGTATTGCGGAGGAGACCTTGAATGTGAGTTTTTGGAGCCATGGCAGCAATTTAATACCTACCAATTCCTGTTCGCTAATATCGTTTCTTCAGATCTTGATTAAGGGCGAGACGCTGGCTGATGAAAACGGTGGTTGTGAGAATGGAACCTCGACTATTCCTGCGACACATGAAGATCATGACAACAGCACCGCCTTCATGACACAAGTTCCTTCTCCGTCTACTCAAGACGCCAATGGCCACCAAGCTTATACATATGGCACACCACGGAATAGCGGCACACTTTTTCCACGTCGTTCTCAGGACTACAAAGGCTTCCAGACTCGTAACTTACAGTATCAACAGTCCCCGAACCATTTGCATACGGATGCTTATGACGATCATTTTAGTAGTCCAGATGGGATCGATACCTTCGATTTTGAGACTGGAAATAGTTTGCAGACCAGGTTTCAACGTCCAACTTATGAAAAGTTTGCCCAGCGTACCGTACTATTGTTCAATCTGCCGGATGGTACCACATATGCAGACATTTGTGATGCTGTTAGGGGAGGCATGCTGTTGGATATATACCTTCGCACTCATGATCATGCTGCAAGTGTATCTTTCCTTGAGCAAGCCCATGCAAATGAGTTCCTTCGTCATGTAAAGCGCAATGACTTGTATATTCGTTCAAAAAGAGTAGGTTTATCTAAATCTTTATCAAGACGCAGACAGTTGACGATAAATAGGTCGATATTCGATGGAACGACAGGCAATTCATTTTACCTAATCATATCGCGAATAAAGTAGGCATTGGAGCTACTAGAAACCTCGTCATTCATAATCGCAACCCTAAGCATACCGAGGAAGTTATTCGGGATGATCTCGAACATATCCATAATCTCGTCGTAATTAAGGTTGCTTTTAATGGTTCCAAGGCTTTTATCTCGACAAATTCTGTTCACAATGCAATGTTTGCTCGCACTTGCATGATGAGTCGTGGGTATGTTGGAATCTAATCATCAATTTGGAGCTCGTTAACTCTTCTTTAGCGCTTATAAAGGTTCAAAGATTGAATGGGATAATGATGAATGCGCAGCCCCGCTGGCGAGACGTCCAACTTCCCAATCCGACAATCCTCCTCAAGGCAAGAAGAAGGCCCCTTTGGTAAATCGGTTTCAGCTTCTTAATATTGATAGGGAGGATGGATCGGAGTCAGATATTGAAGGTATGGGCGTTTCGGTTATGCAGACGACTCCTCAAGCCGGACTTGTTACCTAAAATTGATGATAACGCGGAACAATGAGCGAGACGAGCCCCATCGACCTGACAGTTTTCCAATGTACCCAACGGGGCTAAAGATTGGTCAATACTATCACTTACGTCAAGCTGTGTACCAAGATTGGGAGGCAACGCGACAGCGAGTTTGTTTTTGTTTTCGGCATTTACGGATGGCAATACCTAGACACCTGTATCTGTGTGTCTTTGTGTATCTTGCTGCTTCGGATACCTCTGGAGGATGGTCTGTTTGTGCTTGATTTGTAGTTGATCAGACTACAATGGTGGTTTCCGATGTAAATGCGAATGACTAGAGGGTAACTCACAGTCCTATAGTATATAGATAGTTTCATACTTACATGGTAAATACTGCAGCTGGAGAATAACAGCGTCGGAAAATTTAGTTTTTTTGTCTACTACGGGTGATCCACCCATTTGCAAGTACTCCACTCGTGCGCGCCTAGTGCCTAGCCTTATTAACTGGGACGTGAGCCCTTTGAGCGGGGTGATCCTAAAAATAGCCCGCCCTCTCCCATCCTTTGTTTCGTTGACATCACGTGAAGATTAACACAATCTTATCGCTGTTAGTTCGAACGCGCGGTCGCCCTTTCTTGGGCCTTCCCAGTTTCCAATTCCTAGTTTCATATGCAAAATAGCGAGGAACTACATTAAGTTGACACCTTAACCAAAATCAAGCTTTATGGAAGAGCTTCTCTTTGTACCTCGAGAACATCGACATTTATAATGTAAAGATCGATAACGAACATACCCAAGCAATCAATGCCGATACTTCCAGACGACAAATGTGACGACGCCTGTGTCATGCCAGGTCATCAAAATCGCTCTTTGAGCTCTGCATCATTCTCGACGCTCGCTTTCTCTTCAATTCCCTTAATCCTAACATTTCTCGTTGTTAGTCTCATCGTTCTCCAGAAGCTATTCCCCTTAGTAGCTGGCCTACAACAATCCAAGGAAGATCAACTTCATTATCTTCCTAGCAATGCCCCTCCCAGTTTGCGACAATCGCATAAAGAACATGGTCAAAAGACTGCGAGGAGAAAGGCTATCGCTATCTCATTTTCAACCACGATTGCATTGGCGACTGTTCTCGCCGAATTGATTCTTTGCGAAATCTCGAATTACCTCAATCCCGCGGCAAGGGCGTTTGCGCTCAAGATTACTGTTCCTACACTCCTCTTCCTACTTGTTGTTCTTATACCATTTCTCGAGCTACAATCGATTATCACGGGGCTCGGGTGGAAATTTACTGTATCGAAGAAAGGAGGATTTTCAATAATTGCCTGGCTCCTTCAAGCTGTCGGTTTTACAATATGGTTGATGGGATTCTGGTGGTTGGGGAAAGGAATACCCGGAACGTATATCCATACAATGGCATCTGTACCTGGAAAGGGACTTAGCGAAGCTTGCTTGGATAGGGTTGGCATCATTGGTATTTCTCTGATGGCACTTCTTTCTGGTTTCGCGGCTGTCTCTGCTCCTTGGCAAACATTTGGAGCAAGGCCAAAACCTGTTTCGGAAGCTGATATTGCCCGCAAACAAGCAGGTCTAGACGCTACAAATGATATGCTTGCTGCAAAACGAAGCCGATTAAGGGCTCTTCAGCGTAAAGTTAATGATCATCCAACTGAAGGATTCATGACTAAGGTTATTGGAAGTATACGTGGAAACGCTGATGTACAAGAGTTGAAGTCTCTGGAGTTGGAAATCTCCGGACTTTCATCTATGACTCTAGGCCTTTCGACTTCCCTATCAATGCTGCAAAATCGTTACGCATCAAAACAACGATCCTCCTCACCTCTCGGTAAAATCGTCTTCACGCCAATTTCATATGCCTTTTCACTATATTGTATATATCGCATTGGAACAACCACTTTGGCCGTATTCCGACGTCTTACCTTGCCAGCCGATCCATCGTTCTTCAGTTCATCAACTACGGATCCAGTCAATCGTATTCTTTCTCTATTTGCCAAACACGTGAATCCAACTATTGATCAATTGGCATGGTCTCGCCAAATATCCTTCATCCTATCAGCCGTAATCCTCTTCGCTTCTTTCAATTCTGTACTTCAGACCTTCCATATGCTCACCAAAATCTCGCCCTCGCTCCTTTATCAGGCTCAAGCTAACATGGCACTCATACTTGCACAAATCAGCGCGATGTTTGTGATATCCAATGCACTACTTATGAGAAGTAATCTTCCATCTGAGATGAAAAGCGTGGTGAGCGATGCATTGGGTAGTCCATTAGAGCCTGGATTTGTTGATACTTGGTTTGAGGGGTGGTTTTTAGTTGCTAGCCTCGGAACTGCTGTGGGAATTTTCGTGGGAAAAAAGATCGCCGGCTCTGGATCCGATTGGGATGACGAGTATGAAGGTGATTTGGAGTTAGGACAAAAGCAATCTTGAGTTACTCGAATTGTTCTGAGTTTGGTTTAGGCTTGAATCAGGCATTAGTCAGGGCTAATACTTTGTGGTTGCGGATGTACTGTACTTTTATTGGAGTTCGGACAAGTGAGCGTTCGGTTTAGACGGCTCGGTGGTATACCTAAAGTGGGTGTTTTTTTTATTTGATATTACGCGAATATGTATTAAGAGAAAGGAAGCGGTGCATGATTCAACGAATGATGGTGCAGCGAGGAGGGAGGAGTCATATTTTTACATTTTTACATTACTTGCATGAATTAGCGATGGTTAGTTTTACAAGGTGATGTACGATCAAGAATTTACTGGATATGGACTGAATAGCAAATATTATACCCTGCTTGAGCATACCCATCAAGCTTTTTATTAGGAAGTATACGTCTTTCTTTCTCTGGAATGCATTCTTCTAGTCTGGATCAAGGTTTGCAGAAAACTCGTGAAGAGAACTCATTGGGAGTAAAAGGCTAGTGCCTATTGTCCCATCAAACTTAAATGATTCTTTCACTCTCTGCTTAGATAATGAGGAGATGGGATGGATCTTTACGTTAGTTTTAAGTGGTGAAAGATACTACTCTCATTCCTGAAATTGTGATAGCATAATTGTTTGGATTGGTTTTGATCATTGGAAGAGATTACTTAGGATACCATATTGTTAAAATGAATTGAGTTCTTATTGCCCTCAAATTTTGATTGCTAGTTCAACCGTACTTGGCTTAAGTTAAGTATACCGATATTTGGCTATTTTGGGTATATAGTAAATCATGATCATCTCGTGCTTACGAGTATCTGCTCTCGATATCCACAACTTCCTCACGACTTAGAGATCAGTTGTATAAGCTCCTCCGCCATAAATTGAGCGAATTCCTCATCATTGACTGTGCGGTTTTTCTCCAAGACCTCAATTCCACTCCCATCTAACCCATCCTTGATTGCTTCAAATAACATCTTATCCGCCTCAACATCGTGGAACTTCCCTCCCTCTACAGCTAACATACTTGTTCCCTTTCTCGGTAAACATACTTTTACCAGGTCTTTCCTCTTCGCTTTCTCCTTTAATCTTCCCGCTATAAACTTGCCTATCTCAGCACACTCATCCGCATTCGATCGCATCAATGTCATATCTGGATTATGTTGCACCAACACTCTGTCCTTAAATTTCTCGGGTATCGAGTCTCGCGGTCCAAAATTTACACAATCACATGCGCCTACACTTACGATCTGGGGAATTCCCATTTCGGCCGCGGCGGAAAGTCTTTCGGGTCCTGCTGATAATATGCCCCCGCAGACGTAATCGGCTATTTCGGTGGTGGTTACGTCGAGAACGGCATCGATGCGTTTTTCTCGTATTAATCTCTCCATTGCTTTTCCACCGGGTCCCGTGGCGTGGAAAATATATATTTCATACTCCTTGCTATTTTTCTCCAGGATATTTTTTACCATTTCCACGCATGGAGTTGTGATTCCGAACATAGTTAATCCTATACCTTTCTTCCTAGGCACATTATTCGCCTGTTCTTTCTTTATACAGCGTTTCCAATATGCATAAGCTAATCCTGAAATCGCTCCAGCCGCGTTGTCAAGGATTCCCTTCAATATCGAATTTGTGCCCGCAATGTCAACTACACTGTACATCATTGTGATATCCGTTTCCCCTACATATGGTCCCGTGTTTCCACTTCCCATGGTTGAAACTACCAGCTTAGGGAATCCAATGGGTAACGCGTTGCGCATGATATATGCACATAATGAAGTTCCCCCCGATCCACCTATTCCGATAATCGCATGGATAGACTTCTTTTCGAAGAGCTCACGCACGAGGTTGGTGGCACAGATGGATATATGCTCGATATATTCACCGCGGGAGAGGGTGGAATAATCGATGGGGGAAGAGGCGTGAGAAAGGGTTTCAGATTGGGGAATGTCTATTTCGGGATCGGTAGCTGGTCTGCGTCCTACGTCGGCGAGGAGTACTTTTGTGGTGGGTTTGGAGTGGGTGAGGATTTGAGCGCGTAGGTAGAGAATTTCTTCGCGCTTGGAATCGAGGGTTCCGAGGAGGAGGATGCTGGGATTAGACATTTCGGTTATGGTTTTTCTTGTGAGGATGGGTGATGGTGATGAGTATGTATTTTGTGATAGTCGATTAGAATGAAAGGGCCTGGAATTTGGGCATTTGAAGTTTTGAATGAGGGTATTGTATAAGCTATCTTATTATTTACCAAGACTTTTGGTATATATGGTGGGGTGATATTTTAAGTCTTTCCTGAATTAAAGAATCAATACAATCATGAAAAGAGAAGACCAGGAAAAATGTACCCGAGTAGCCTTCAGAAGCAGAACATGAGTGATTAAATTCTCAGCAAACAAGCTTCGAACCCTGATCTACGTAGATAGGACTAGTACTCTGTAGGTATACTCCGTATTGATGATATCCAATCCAGTTCTCGTCTCCACAATAGCTCTATTCATACAAACTAATATGCGGGCCGGAACTCAAACGGATGTTCGGAATATGCCTATTGGAAGCTATTGGGATTTCCCTACAATAAATGGGGCACTTTGGAGGGGCAATATGGTAGGGGTACGTCAATCGACGTATTTACGAAGTTTAACCCCACCACTATCGTCATTTTTTTATACAAAGGAGTTTTGATTTGATAGTCGTCTCGTCTCGTCTTGTCTTAATCGTCCGATTTGACAAATTTACTTACTCGAGGTTTTGAGTCATTGTCGGAGAATATATTTTTATATTTTTATTCATTTAAAAAGAATCTTTATCTTGTATTCATTTCAGTACCTATATTGTGATATTCTTTATTCTTTGGATTTATCATTTATCCTGCAAGTAAGGTTACCTATCTATACTAGACGCAACTAATTCATCCTGTTTTATTTTACAAGTATACTATCCAAGAAGTAACTCGCTCGCGTCAACATCTTGCACAATGACGAAAGCTACAACTCGCGATGTTGTTCTAGGGAGATTGAAGGATGCGGTTAAGAATAAGAAGATTATTGTTGGAGCTGGAGCAGGTAAACTATCCTCTTACATATATATATATACATGTATCATCTAGCATCTAGCCTATGGCACTGTGTCCAATAGTCCGGACCGCGGCCCAATTTGAGATTCTCGAGCTTTGAATCTTTGGATTTGCTTCTGTCGTTTCGATAAGTTTATTGCTCTGGATAGATTTGATAATCATACAGATTCCCACATTCGAATGATCTGAATGTCTAAAAGCCCTTCATTCCGGCACTAGAGGACTTGACTATTGGACATACTGCCCCCCTTCCCTAATGAGTCAATAGTTAACAAACATATAGGAATTGGTCTTTCAGCCAAATCGGTAGAAGCAGGTGGTGCGGATCTCATCATTATATATAACTCTGGTCGTTTTCGTATGGCGGGACGTGGTTCATTGGCTGGTTTAATGCCATATGGAGATGCCAATCAAGTTGTTGTCGAAATGGTGCGTATACCTACTATTCTCCTAATCCAACTCCCACACTCCAGCGTCTTATTTTATGAAAAAGACTGACACACAACATAGGCCTCCGAAATCCTTCCCATAGTAAATGACACCGGCGTTCTCGCAGGTGTCTGCGCAACCGATCCTTTCCGCCACATCCCAACCTTCCTCACACAACTCAAAAATCTCGGATTCTGCGGCGTGCAAAACTTTCCCACTGTAGGACTAATCGACGGACGATTCCGGGAAAATCTAGAAGAGACAGGAATGGGATATGACAAGGAAGTGGAAATGATCCGATTAGCGCATGAACAAGATTTACTCACCACGCCCTACGTTTTCAACCCCGAAGATGCGATCAAGATGACCAAAGCGGGCGCAGATGTATTGGTAGCGCATATGGGATTAACGACCAGTGGAACGATTGGTGCGAAGACGGGAAGTACTTTGGATGAATGCGTGAAGGCTATTCAGGATATTAGGGATGCGGCGGTGGGGGTGCGAGAGGATATTATAGTGCTTTGTCATGGAGGACCAGTAGCGGAGGTAAAGGATGTGGAATATGTATTGGCGAGGACGAAGGGGATTCATGGGTTTTATGGTGCGAGTAGTATGGAGAGGTTACCGGTGGAAATCGCTATTCGGGATAATATGAATGGGTTCAAGGAGTTGAAAGTTGGAAATTAGTTTGTGGTTGATTCTTAGTATTAGGGAAGGAGGATGTTTTCTCAAATGTTCAATGTTGGAATAGTCAGTCTATATCGTTGGTGAAAATGGAGTCGTTACCTACCCTGCGTACTGTGCTACCTTGTGTATGTACGGCGTATGGATATTATAGATACACAGCTTTTTCGCCTTCGTTCTGTTGTGTAAGGTAGGTCTTGCAAAACTTGAGCTTATAATATCGATTAATGTTTCGCTAAGGCCGAACGAATGGTAATCTAGTACTCGAACAATTGTCTGGGTAGATATGAAATAAAGTGAACTAATGAAGACGAAAATACGGGCTACATAATATACAACAGATGGAGATTGAATAGAGTATGTCAGATTATTTTGAAGATGAATATATATTTGATAATAAATCAGAAGAGGTGTATTGACTAGTGAGCGAATTTGTAGATGAAGCTTGAAGCTTGAAGTTGATGACTTTAAAAGCAGTGAATCTAGTAGTGACAGTGAATTTATAGTAACAGTAATCTAATAATCTAATAATATTCCCAAAACTTTAGACTAGATAATTAATAAGTTCTTCTAAATTTCCATTCCGAGTCTTGATACTTCTTACTCAGTAAATACTCCAATTTCATATCTTGGATACTCATTCTAACTACTCGAGTAAAATAATATCTTTTATTAGGTACATATGCTCTACTTGTTCTTTGTAATTATAACTATGTAAAAATCTTCTAAAAATCTTCTTTGATATTATTATCCTCCTTTTTTCCCCTGATCTTCGAGTTTAACCGAGTTATATTAGATTTTTTCTCCGCTCTTATAATCTGTGTAATGTCCTTGATGCAATAGAGTAATAATATTAAGTAATGATTGAAAGCCAAATACTTTATATTATCATCTCTTTTTTTTTAAGCAAAGCAGAGTAGCGAATGTTAAGATTTGAAAGGAGAGCTATACTTCTTTCTACCTATCTGTCTGCGATGGAAAAGAAGTATAAAACCGTGTAGAGAATCATTGTTCTCAATAGGCAGTGGGAGAGAACGTTGGAAGTATTCGTACTTTGCAAATACTGCTACTTTGATGATTGGTATATATAAAATGTACAACTATGATAGATCATACAGTGCCAATTCCTCCACCTCAATCCAAGGTATAATTGAACCAAGGAGATATACCTCAACATTGACAAAACTAATGCACCACGCTACCACCAAATCCGAGCGGTGGTCTCCTCCCTTCATTCTCCGGCATCATAATCATGACCTTATAAACCTTTCCCATCCCATTTTCCCCCATATCAACCAACCTCCTCCAAGCTCCTTCAATCCTCTTCCGAGCCTCGTCATCTTTCCCCTTTAAGCTTTGAACTAGCATCTCTGCACGTTCTTTAATCCCTATACTCAACAACCATTCACCTTGTTCCATAGGCCCATGGATTTCCACCCCTTCACTCGCATTCATTGCTGCTTCGGCTAGAGCGACAAAATCTACATCGGCGCTGAGATCTACGATTCCTGGTTCGCTAAAGGGAGAAACTCGTTGATGTGCTTTGATTCCCCGGAGAGAATTGGTTGGGATGTTAGAAATTGGTCCATAATCTAGAATAAGAGCAGCACCCGAAGGTTTAGTTTTTGGATTTGTCTTGGAACCACCGATTCGGCTTGCGAAATCAGCAACAATCGCGTGACTTTCAGGTGATATTTCGATTAGCGAGTCGGGGATAGATTTTAAATTTCGATAGCGGTCAAGGATTTCGGGAAGATAAAGGGAGTGCGGGGTGGAGGATTTGGAAAGCGTGAGTTGGAATTCGGGAGGAGAGGATTGGTTTTGGGGGGAGTCGGGGATAGAAACATCGGTTTGGGTGGAATTTGGCGGGGTGGGCGACACTACCATTTCTCGCCATTGGGGAGTTTTGGCTGTGGATGACTTGGAGGTAGAGGGAGCAAGCGGATGAGTGCCAGTAGGCGTTTCAATTGTGATAGGCTCCAAAGTATCAAGATTTGGGGCCACGGATTGGAAGACGTGGATTGGAAGAGCATCGAAGAATTCGTGGGCCACGATAAATGGAGTTTTGTCCGCGCCTGTCAAAGTTTAGTAGGAGCTCTTTTCTTTTTCGGTTTCCGCGTAACCATACCATATGGTACAGATCGCATATTCTCCGTCCACATTATAGGAATACCAGCATACTTGCTAGTACTCTTGAATCCTGTTTCCGTCTCAATCATAGGCGCATCCCCGCATAAAAGCTGTTTCTGCGCATCTCTCAAAGCAGGGCTTGCTTCTACCATATACACAGCTTCTATACTCTCAGCCATTGGTTTGAAATTCTTGATCGTCTATACAACATATTAGCACATATTCAAAACTACATCCAGAATATTTCAACCAGACCCTCAGCATATCATCCATTAAAGTGCCTCTCCCAGGACCTATCTCTATCAATTCAACACCCTTCTTCTTTTTCCCTTGAGACATCCATTCTGCCACAAACCAAATCCCAACCAGTTCCCCAAAAATTTGCGATATCTCGGGTGAGGTAATAAAATCTCCCTTTTTTCCAAACTGATCTCTTCCTTCTTGTTTCGCCGTATAATATCCACCTACATCGGACGTTAAGCACATTCGCATAAACGACGCCAAAGGAATTGGTCCTGTAGCCTAAACCAGATTAATAAAATACACCAGCTTCAAATCCAATAGAAAAACCATACAGTGATAGCTTCAGAAAGTTGTTTAGCAAGGGGCGTAGACCATTGCCTCGTCTCCGTCGAAGACCATCTCAAGGCCGAATATGAAGCTCCATATCTGCATTTCGCAGCACAACGCAAAGAATTGCGGGCCTGGAATAATAACCTAGGCCTCATTTTGATCTTGTCTCTTGTTATAAGCACATTTCACTGCTTTCGAAAGGTCATTGTAAAGGTAGGAAGAAAAGTTGTGAAAAGTGAGAGCCTTGCAACCTCGTCTGGCCTCGTCGTCATTGGCGACCTCAAAACCCTCAGCCTCGACTTTGAAATTCACCATAACCCAAAACTTTGTTTTTCACTCCCAAAAGGTTTGCTGCATGTCCGAGGTGAAATTAGTCTCGGGGGCTTTTACCAATTTATAACTTTATTGTATATCCGGAAAGAGGAAGATTGTGCGATCTTGGAAAAGCTGTCTTGTCGGCCCTGGGAGAGCTGTTGTTGGTTCTGGGCGAGGGGCGCACTGAGCTTCGATTGTTTACTTCGCGAAGGCTGAAACTCGATACCCAACACGGTACAATTATGTCGAGTAAAACCAAGTCGCGCTGGGCAAATGATGAAGAAGACGCCGCGCTAGATTTACAACGCAAACGCGAAAAGGAAGAAAAGAAACGGCTGAAGGCCGAGAAACAGAGGAAGCTCGATGAACAAGCTGCTGCTGCCGCGAAGACCCTCGCTCAAGCTCCCCCAGAACCAGAAATTTCTTCCGAGAGGCCCTCGAAGCGTCGTCGTTTATCACATTCTCCCGCGCCTGCCCAGAAGCTCGATTTACCACCTGCCAAACTATTGCGCTTTCCGGCGCCCAATTGGGGGAAATGTCGCAGTGTGGAAGATTATGAGAAATTGAATGATATAGAGGAGGGAGCGTATGGCTGGGTATCACGCGCGAAGGATAGTCGGACGGGAAAAGTTGTTGCGCTGAAGCGGCTGAAGATGGAGAATGCGAATGATGGGGTGCCAGTGACGGGCTTGAGGGAAATTCAAACGTTGATGGATTGTGAGCATGAGAACATTGTGAAGTTAAGGGAAGTGGTTATTGGGGAGGATACAAGTAAGATTGAGAAGTACGTTGTCTTCCGTCCAATTCTTCCCTTTTTATTTTTGTTTGCCCAGTTTGCGCAATCTATAAGAAAATTATAGCTAACTTACACACCCCAGTATATTCCTCGTTCTCGATTTCCTCGAACACGATCTAAAAACTCTCCTCACATCCCTCTCAGAGCCATTCCTCCCTTCCGAACTCAAGCTGCTACTCCATCAACTCACAACCGGGGTCGCCTACCTCCATAACCATTACATCCTCCACCGGGACCTGAAGACGTCCAACCTCCTCCTCTCCAATCGAGGGGTCCTCAAAATCGCTGATTTCGGCATGGCGCGCTATTGCGGTGATCCAGCTCCAAAAATGACCCAATTAGTCGTTACTCTCTGGTACCGCAGTCCCGAACTCTTACTCGGCGAAGAACGATACGGCAAAAGTGTAGATATGTGGAGCGTGGGTTGCATATTCGGCGAACTACTGAGCAACGACGCCTTGCTCCCGGGAAAGAACGAAGTAGATCAACTATCTAAAATCTTCGAACTCCTCGGCCTCCCTACCGAATCCACCTGGCCCTCCTTCAAGCGCCTCCCCAACGCACGCTCTCTCCGACTTCCGAAGAACCCCAATCCCGCCACCCAAGGTTCAGTCCTGCGGTCTAAATTCCCTTTTCTGACGTCAGCTGGATCATCTTTACTCTCGTCGCTTCTCAGCTTAAACCCTGCGAAACGACCGTCTGCGCAAGATGTTTTGCAACATGATTATTTTAAAGAGGATCCCAAAATGAAGAGTAGAGATATGTTTCCCACGTTTCCGAGCAAAGCGGGATTGGAGAAAAAGAGACGGAGAGGAACTCCAGATGCTCCTCAGAGAGGAGAGGCTCCTAAGGGACTGGGAGGTGTGTTGGATTTTAGCGGGGTGTTTGGGAGTGCAGGGGGAGAGGAGGTTGAGAAGGGGGGCGGATTTAGCCTGAAGCTTATTTGAAAGCATGGAGATGGTCAGGTTAGACATGGAGACTATGGATGGCCTGGTCTTTACTGTAGATATATTGTGGGAAAGGGACGTGGATATACCACTCTGTACTCTGGATATTCCGGGATTCATTCCAGCTTCTCATGATTTTATAGGTGTAAATAAAATATATTATGCAAAATTTCACGAAACTAGAACCAAAGTTTTCATATTTACTATTTTAAAGCAATTTGCTCTCAATCATTCATTAGGTAGTTATAAACTTCTCCCTCCTATCTATGCATGCATGAAAGTGCTAAATCCAGAAAATGCACACTTATACCCAAACCCCCGAACACCATTACCCCAACCAGGATTTTTCATTTTCAAATCTTGCCCAAACGGAAAGTTCCCCATATGCCATCCAATGTTTCTTCGTGTTCTTCTCATCCTCCATTTGCCTCCAATCCAACACGCCCAAAATTAAGGAGACTTATTGCGTTGGCGTCCTTTCGTTACCAAATAACATCCAATCCAGTCACAAACCAGGTAAAGCTGAGCACAGTAACGACACCCATGGCAAGCATCAACCTCATTGCCTGTCTCTCCATATCAGACAACGCACCGCTGCAAGTAGCACATACCCAATCATTAAGAGGAGCGTATGGCTGCGGCACGTACATTCCGAAAGAATATTGACTGTATACCGACAGATAGCCCGGTTCAGGAGTCGCGCTGATACTGCTTTCCGCATCATAGATGATCAAAGTGTAAGTTTGCGTGAGCAAAGGGTTTGTAACAGCAGTCGCTTGATAGCCACTAGTATCCCAGGTTACGGCTTGGACGGAGTTCGTGACAGTTTGGTTCGTGGCTATCGTGTATAATTGAGCGTTGGCTTTACAAGTGGCCATAATGTTGACAGCAGTAGGAGTAGCTTCGAGAGATGTATAATTCCAGGCGAAGGTAATGTAATCACCAATTTTGAAGTATGTCGTGGAAGCGGCGGCTGGGGTCATTAGAGAGATTCCACCTGCCGCATAAGTTGCATTGTAGGTCGTATGGCTATTCGTAGAATTAGAATGAAAGGAAGCTGTTTTTGTTGTTTTCGATCCAGATGTGGTGGCTGAATTTGAGCCTGTTTGCGAGCTTGATTTTGTCGTTGACTTGGAATCGCCTGATTGAGAGCTAGTTTGTGATGCTGTGTTTGTAGGCCTTGATGCTGCAGTGGCAGTGGTAGTGGCAGTGGCAGTAGCAGATGCTGTATTGTCTTTTGAAATGTCAGTAGGTAAACACCAGGATATTGATAGTGAGATTCATACCAGCAGCAGCAGAGGACTGCGAAGAAGTGTCGTCCTGTCGTGCTACAATTATGGAATCTAATTCCGGTAGCCATTTGGGCCATGGCCATGCAGTTACAAATGTAGAAAGGCATAGTAGGATGACGGAATATAGCTGAAATGATCGTTGAGCCCGCATCGTGTGTGTTGATATTTTCAAAGGCCTTTATTTGGCACGAAAATCTCCTATTTGATTTCCTAAATATTTCTTCCAATGTCCGAGTATATTTTGATCAGATCTACCAAAAAAACTTCTCCAAAAGATGTTTCCTTCCTCGCTGGATGATTGATTGGTGAGTATTCAATGGATGTTTTGTTTTGTTTTGTTGATTCGTATAGTCCGCCAATTCAACTTTGTGGTTGGCTTGTGTTGTCCGAGTGAAACAAGCAGTTGAATAATATTTATGTACTGTGTGAATGTATGATTTCCGACCGAACGAGTGAGGTCGTATATTGTTTTTCTAGAAGAATATTAAAACGAAGGTATTTTAATACTGCAACGATTTCATCGATGAGGAGATCGAATGATGTGAAATGCAAATGTAGATAGATGTAAACGATGGTAGCAATTGTTGTATTCTGTAGCACTCCGTAAAGGAGTATGGAATGAAGGGTATCCACTAGGAATGTCTCGGGTTTTACTCCAATAGCAGCACATTTTAATTGATCAGTCAGTCAGGTACAAGGGTTATTGGTAAAAGTTTAGGAGGCAAATTGAGGCAATGCATCTCAAATGAGCCTTTCTATTGGCTCGTGTATCTATTTTCTTGGACTCAAATACGGGCTACTAATAATAGACCTTCCCGGCGCCTTCCATAGAAGGGAAAAAGAAAATGTGAAAAGTTAAAAAGTTAAAAAGTACGAGTTTTCACATCGTCACCTCATCACTGACATGTTACGAGTATTCAACTAAAAATGATGAAGAGCTTAGTGGTTGCAACACAACTTTCGGCTTATAACTAATCTCTACATGCTATATACTCCAATCCCGTCGTGATTTGTGTAATGCTACATCTTCCATTGAAGAAATTAAAGCACTTTCATCATGAAAAGTATCAGGTGATAAATGGTACTCAGAATGAACGAACGGTACTCGGAATCCTTGTATATCTTACAATCTCAAATCCAACTGCATACGGAGTAGTACTACGATCTATACCACCCACCATCTTGGCCTGAAGCTGACTAGTTGGTCACACATTCACATATATCTTGGGAAGCATGACCTGAAAAACGTAACGTGCCTTTTTCTTCCTGTATATCTCTAGATGTGTAATATATATCAACAAAGATTTGGTTTTAAACCCTCGATTAGTCACCTGTATTCCTCGTATACGACCAATAGTTTCATCCCAATCCCAAATACGAACTCTTCTCTATTTGAGTACATCTTTCATCTCTACAATAACAGCTATCCGGTAGCATTACTATCCTTCTCTAGGCCTTACCAAGTCCTAGGCAAGCTGCTTTCATTCATCTACTGAGTCCCGTCTACTTAAACAAACGCTGGGGATACGTTAACTTTCTTCTGCATCCTCCATATCTATATCTATTACCAGCTATGTAGCTACCAAAATGTATGGCACACTACTCTATGATCTCGTCGAATTAGCTCGTACTCCGCCAGTACAAGTTGATGGATGCGATCATGAGGTAGGCAATTGATAGATTTCCAGTCGACTGGGCTCTAAATCACCTGTCTTACTGGATCGTGTATAGTTGAAGAAAATAAGTGGCGATGCGTTGAAAGACAAATACCCTCGTGTGGCGCGACTCGAGGTGATATCGGCATTCTCTAATGACATAAAATCATACTTCGTGTCTTTCAAGCGAATGACAAGTAATAAAATTGTCATCCAACAGTTGGATATTCCGCGTTTTGTTGTCCACATACATTCACAGGAATGACTCTTCCTGGAGCTTTGTACATTGCACCCCAGTATATTTAAAAAAAGAAATAGAAGCTCTCACACCGAATCATTTTCAGCAGCGGGCACTAGGACATAAGATCACAATAAAATGTCACCACAGACACCATCAACCTCCGAGGCAAAAACCAGCATGACAACTAAATTAACAAACGAGATCAGAAAAGCTCCAGAATGCTTAGACTCCTCTACCTTTGCTATTACATTACACCAGGACAGGATCTGCTTTCCGCGGCGGAGGAGCTCGTAGAGAAGCTCGAGGGCTCAGATTTTGGGGTGTCGAGAGTCGTCATCGGAGTCAGTGGAAGCCTTGTTTTCATTCTAAGTGGAATGTAAACTCAAATAAATTGCTGATATTTCTGTGCCATCAGAAAAATGCGGCACTTTGTCCATCTATTTAAATGAGAATATCTGAGGCATTTAAACCCAATGGCGAGTCAAGAAATGTTGCTTGGCTAGCTGAGCAGACAGCAGCCGAGAAATTACTACTTGGAAAGTTGAACTCATACGTTGCAGACGATGAACATCGTAGATCTAGCCCCTGAGCAGTTCGTACGTATCATTAGAGCACTTGTATCTGTCGGTATTTTCACAGAAATGGACGAAGAGACATATGCTCACAACACACGGTCTAAAATGTTCACCAACACTCTCTTTCATACTTGAATGCGCGGGATGCAGGTATATCCCTTCTTTCAGCTCCAGCGCTTCACCTGTTACACCAATGGACTAATAATAAGGTCCTCTAATTATAATGACTTAAGTAGTAAAACAGCCAGAATATCTCTCCAGTACTTCCTTCCAAAACCTGGGTACAGCTCCACAAAACCTTCTCGAGTACACCATGAATACTAAATTAAGCTATTTTGAATCACTACATAGCCCGCCTAGCAAGCTCGAGATTTTCACCCCCACAATGCGAGATTCTCCCAAAGAGCACAAGGGCCGGCCGCAAAACTCGTGTCCTCGCAATTGCCAGCTGTAGATACGGGGAGCAACGAGATAGAAGAATGAAAAATATGAAGAGCCCTGTAAAAAACGAGGTATCGAGTATTGAGAGCTTTTCTTCTATGTTGTAGTTATACAGTAGAATATCGAATCTGGACAGCTAGAAATCTTGTCAAGGCAGGTGAGTGGCTGTAGTCACTAACTAGTTAGTTAATTCTGACAATGATATCTAGACTTCAATTATATTGCCATTTCTGTATATTGTGTTCAACAGTAATGGTTTCAAAACTAACTTCGATTTGAATTATTGCATATTTGATGGAAATAGATCGATAGATTTATTTAAAGGTTGGCGAAAAGATGTAGTAGTCTAAAAGCCTAAAATGATAATTCTTAAGAGAACATGGAGGATCTTAGAATAGTGAAATATTAAGTAGATAGAACAAGATATTTCTAATGGCTGTTATATCGATGAAAGGAATCTTGAAGGTTATCGAGTATTATGATTTGGCTGGTAATAGTCTCTAGACGATAGATAAATTACATCTTACTATCTGAGTGAAACGAATCCACCATGGCCGATCCATTGAAAGAGAGTCAACCCTCAGTTTTCTCCGTGGGAAAATAGATTTCCATAAGGAAAGTAACTTTCAGCGTGGATATCAGTAGTGGAATTCGCTATTATTACCAACCTAGCCAGATGTAAGATCTAAATCCGGGGAAAAATGATGTAAGCTAGCTAGAGATTCAGCCCGCTACTCGGCATTGATTGACGACTTGATACTGGTGATACGTGAGCTATTATTGCGCGACTATTGCGCTGCTGAAACTTACAATAGTAAAGTGGTGGGCCCAACGGCAGATAATTAATGACATAAATGAAGATGCCAAGTTGTAACTACCAAGATTGTCTAGAAATCTCGATGTCTAATCTGAGCTAGTTTTGTGAACTGTTCTGAAACAAGTTCAAAATAGGAATATGTTTTTTTTTTTTGGATATGTCGTAGACTATGTAAAGCGTTAATAGTATTTATCCATACCATGTTCTCTATTTCTGGTGTTGAGCTTCTCCTTGGCAGTTTCCATTGTGGGAGTTGAGGACTGGCACTACTTAAATGTCACTATTCAAGCTTCTTGATCATATTCAGCCATGAAAACGCGAATAGAACATCCATTTAGCTTCAATCTCTTTCGTTTTTGGGCTTGATATATCTCACGTCATATTATCACCACAGCTGTGATACCTACAGCTTCAAGCAGTTTGATGATATGCTCCAAGAAAGATTGCATGCTGGTAATGTGGATGCGGTAGTATCTCTATTACATTGGCATTTTGCTGAGCTTTCAAAAGTGGAAACAACGAACTTGTATCAACTTTGGCTAGAAAAGAATGCGTTGATGGATGGAAGAATAAATAAAGAGTGAATTTGCTAGCTATACGAAGCACCGACGACAATCGGTTCTTTTCTAGTGTATTCATATCTACCTCACTCATGACTATTTTTTCAAGCTCAATCCTTAATTGCCTTCGTAATGGCTCGCTTCTGCCTTCTAGCTTTGCTAGCTTTCACTCTATGTCATACATCTGCGGCCCCAACTCCAGCCCCACGAAACAGTCTTGAGGACTTGCTTATCCAAAGACTTCCGAAAGACGCCAATTCAGGCACTTTCTCTAGGGGATCGAGTCTCCAAGGCTCCACGCTTCAAAAGAGAGGTCGCGACCAAAACTACTTTCACAGTGCACTCCCTAGCTGCAGTGAAGATGATGATCCAAGTTTTGCTTTCGGCAAGAGTGCCTACAAAGATGGTGAAGGCACTTTGGTACAGTCTGCTTTGTGTGATAACGGGAAGAATACTGCTGGATGGAATTGCTGGTATGTTTTTGAGTTTGGTTCTGATTTAATGCATGCTCCGTACTGACATTGCTTTGATGTAGGACCGACATGTATTACACCTTTGTACAAATTGAATACAGCGACTGGACCAATACAGGCGGAGTTATCGACTGCCAAACCACTTCCCAATGCGCTCTGCAGGGCATCTCGCTAAATCAATCCTGTACATCCAATACCGGCAGTTGGGACAATGCGATTCAGGTCGGTGCACAAGCTAAGTTAGATGAAATCAAGCAAACTAAGTGGGGTATCGGCGGAAGCTTCTCCTATACACATAATGTGGGCGGAAGCCAAACATTCTTGACTTGCAATTATGCCACAGACCAAGGGTAAGTCACAATTCTTTGACAGTACCTTGAAAAATGGAATGCTGAGGATGATATAGAAGCTGCCACTGGGACGACCAAGGTTGCCATGCCATCTGGAAGGGTACACGCAATAGGCGAGTATTCGGCTATATGCGCCGCTCATGCAACAAAGGGCGAGAAGGCACGAATTTGAGCCAGCAGCGCGAAGACGGATTTTGGACTGTTGGAATTTTAGATTTTGATGTTCTTCTCCCAGATAACCAGGTTATTGGATGCGCAGCCATGTGCAATGATGTCTCGTACCCGGAGGCAAAGCCAGGGAGTCCTTTAGATAAAGTTCCATTCCCAGGTAGATAAGCATAATCACAATGGGGCAGAGCAATTCATAGATTTAACTCAAGTAACAGACATGGAAGCCATTTAATCATATTCTATACTCCTCTCATTGAGACAACAAATGGCTTTGCTGTGGAAAACTATAGGATGTGGCTAAGTATCGAAGGAAAGCCCGAAAGTCGCCGAGTCGCAAATTCAACCAATCGAGTGAAAACCACAATAATCAATTATTCAGACATGCAACAAAACAAAACTCGTTGTCGTTTACCTTATTTTATCAGGACTGAGGATGGGATGAAAGTGAATATTGAGGTGAAAAAGCGAAGGTCTCACTTGCTTTTCGCTTTACTATTATAATGACCGGGCACTGATAATTAACCGAGGGTCATTTGTTACGACCAATCCTAACAGCTACTCAGGTGACTAAGCTTATGGTCACATGACCCAATATTGTCCCACCTAGAATCACTCAACTACAGGCAGTGGGACATGATGGAAGCGGTGGGACGTACAACACAAAGGTCTATATAGTCAAGATGGATTTCCTTTGTATAGAGCTTCGTGCTCAAGATCAATCATTTAGTATACTCTACTATTAGTTACGAATTGCATTATTGTCATTACTTTAAGTCCCTGCTTGACGCCTAGTTATAAACCACCTCGAGAGCCTAGAGCACTTCCACGTGATCTAGACGGCAAACCTCGTAACATATAATTTTTGTTTATATTAAAATATATAAATAAAATAATTAAGCTTTGGTATAAAAAGGCCCTCGGTTAATTATCTGTACTCTAGTACTGTAATATATTCACTGACACCATCTACCACTTGGTATATGGAAAATTAGTGGTAGGAACGGAGGGATAAAGGAAATGTGAATACGATTACAAGTATTCACTCTCGCATAGCCCTGTACCTGAACAACGCCGGACTCGGCCTCTGCAAGAAGAGGCGTACATTCACTCAAACCATGAAGTGGGATATATATAGCAAAGGCTAGATTTATTACGTAACTGTCTAGTCAATTAAATCCAAGTCTGCTATAACATGGCCATGGTAAAAATGATTTTGGGCTGATCAGACCTATAAATCTCCCATGATATCTCGTCATTGAAACCTGCCAATCCGTGACTGCTTGGTTGCTGCACCCGCTCGCTGAAGTATTTGTCCCCTCGACTTAGCAAGCTTTCATGAAGATGAACAGAACCAAGATATTACTGTCGATGTAATGGCACAGCATAATGTAAAATATATGATTTGCAAAAGTAAGACTTGTAATCACTGATCAAATTCTGGGCATATTTATTCATGCAGGAAGTAGTGCCCTCCTGCTTGATGAGAAAGTTTTGGAAGGCGATCTTGTCCACTTGGTAAGGTTGATTTTCCGGATATGTGGTTGCTGTATAATTGAAAAGACCATGCATTTCAATATTCTGAACTCAAGTAGAAAATAGTATCTTAAAACAGCACAGTTGTGCGATGCTCCTTTTCCCCTAGAGAGAAGGTGGAGTGGCTTTCGGGAAGCGTGGAAGGCCTAGCGGATGATTGACGTGCATAGACCATAAGGCTAGGAACGACGGTCAAAGGCGGCGCAATGTGCATTTTGAACTTCTAATCATATTCAACCATATCTCCCCTCATCCCGGACTCGCAACCACTTTTCTAAAATCGCCGGATAATTCTCTCTAAAATACTAGAAATTCTCTGAACCTAAATTACCATCAAGTCTCTACTTTTTGCGGTTGTCAAAAGTTGAAATCTACTTTGCATTTGCAACAAAACTTCCAAAACTCTCACTCACATTAACAAAATGCCGAAAGCAGAAGTTGGATCAACGAAGTTTCTGAACAACAAATTAAAGTCCAAAGGTCTTCAGCGATTACGATGGTATTGTCAAGTAAGCATCTCCTCTTTGATAATAGATATCCGCCGATTAACATGACAAATAGGTATGCGAAAGACAAATGCGGGACGAAAATGGCTTCAAAATGCATACACAATCCGAGTCGCATGTTCGACAGATGCTCCTCATTGGCGAAGATCCTAAGAAATTTATCAATGATTATAGCAATCAATTTCAGCGCGACTTTCTACAATTATTACGAACTTCTCATGGCGAAAAACAAGTCAATCTAAATCATTTCTACCAGGAATACATTAGCAACAAGGAGCATGTCCATATGAATTCAACAAAATGGCCATCCTTGACAGAGTTCGCAAAATTTTTAGGCAGGGAAAGTCTGTGCCGAGTGGAGGAAACGGACAAAGGTATACAAGTAGCATGGATTGACAACTCACCTGAGGCGTTAAGACGACAAGATGCGATTAGAAAGAAGGAGAGACAAGACAAGGGCGATGAAGAGCGGGAGCAAATGCTTATCAGGGAGCAGGTACGTCGCGCGAAGCAAGATGCTGAAGCTCGTGGAGAGTCGGAGGTGGATGAACAAGAACGAGGCCTCAAGAGGGAGGAGGGGGAGAAAATAAAGCTCAGCTTCGGCGCTAAGCCTGCGGTCTCAAACCCCGAGAGTAAAACCGTTGTGCTACCGGATAGCAAGATGCCGGCTGGCGATGCGCTTCCTCTCGAGACAGCAAAAGGTGTGGATAAATCCTCTGAGGTATTGGCGAAGGACGGCAGTAAAACTGCAGAGTCTACGAATCCCGATGCCGCGGCGCCACTTCCAGCGAAAGTTTCCTTGAAGATGGGATTTCAGAGCAAACCAAAGAACGTTTTTGCTGCGGCCAAGAAGAATGCTCTAGGAGGTAAGAAGGCCCCTGTGTTTGAACAACCGAAAAAGATGAGTGAAGCAGAACGTATTATGAAAGAAGAGATAGAGCGCAAGAGGACCAGGGAGCAATCACATGGAGGGCCTTCCCAAAAAAGGCCACGATTTTAATTGTCTATCATGAGAATTTGGCATTGCATGGAGTTAAATATGAAGGTACTTCACATATGTGGGCGGAATATGGCGTTATGTTTGATACCACTTGCATCTATAGAAGAACCAAGTCAAGAAATTTCTACTTCTCAAGCTATTTCACTTTCCCACTGTTGACTGTGCCAGTGATCGTGCTGGACCCCTAAAAGCCTAGTAGTTAGTTCCACAAATGACTTTGAAATCAGTTTTGTTGTAATGTACCAAGCAGTTCATTTTGGTCTGATTCGAATAATGCTTCAAAACTTAATGTCCTTTCTCTGTAGCTGTTCTCAAATCTAAACTCCCTTGAACTCCTTAGCGCCCCAATAATTATGCACCGTGTCGCAACCCAAATTTCCCGTCCTATGAGACATAGTAGCTGGCCTAATAGTAATTAGTAAAGCTCGGAATGACTACAGCCTTGAAAATTTTCGGTACATGACGAGTTATAGAGACTTCTTTTCAGGGCAATGGTGTTAGTTGTCTCATGGCTTGGTCTCCCAGGCTCTGAAGTAGCAAATACTTTATAAATTGCAAAACATCATACAGACGTATCATCAACTCGCAGTACCAAGAACAGTAAAAGTATTCTTACCTTCACTTGCATGCCGTCGTCCAAAATATTCTCAATCCGCTTCCGTAGCACTTCCATCTCTCCTACTCTCATATTAGCTTCATGGTTCGACCCTCTTTCCCAGCGCAGATCCACTTACGGAATATATTTAACCCTCGCCTCTTCCTCCATCGTCGATACGATCTCTTCCGGTAACTGTCCACTAACTTTCGTCGCGTACACCCCCCTCACATATCCATCCAACCTCTGCCATTTCGCAACCCACGATTTAGATGGATCGGCTAGCGTAATGAGACCCTCGAATACTTGAGATGTGCAGTCGATAATCGCTTCCATAGATCCTTGCAAATGTAAAAAGTCTTCGCAGTTGGGACATCCTTCGCGCATAAAGCGCTGCGATTATGTATGTTAGTCTTTGGTATCTACGTGGATAGATTGCAGGGGAATATAAAGGCAAGGAAGGTGCAGGTGCATACGTTTTGGGTCATGACGATTGAGCAGACCATGCATGCGCGAAGGTTGCGCTGCTGGTTGGGAGGTACGTAGTTTTCTGTCATTGTGTTTGTTGTGTTCTTTTTTGGCTGATGTTGGAGTTATAATGGGAAGGCTTTCAAATATAGTTGAAAGAGTTGATCAATGTCAAAGAAACCTTGCATGCACTATTGCTGCAAGGCTGAGAAAAAGCTTGGACCAAGAGTCCAAAAATGTCGGCACGGCTGAATATTCTAGTTTATCTCACCAGTGCTCTCCAGATGTCCATGATAGAAAACTAGAAACTAAGAATAACTTTACGAGGGATTCGAAAATGGTTGAGGCTATGGAAGTCACCGTAGATACCCAAATGCAAGAAGCACCTCCCGCATCTAAAACCTCAAAACGCAAGCAAACCTATAACGGTCACGAGCACAAATCCATCACGATCACATCACCACTTTTTTCCTACATCCATCTCGAGCTCCAAACCTCGTCATTGAAAAAACCACAGCTAGATGATATTACAGCAAAATCATACATGACGTCAGCACTGACACAATTTCTGGGACTCCATGGCTCTGCTATCTCGATTGATATTCTGAAGACGGAGGGCAAGGATGTTTGGATTAGAGTCATGAGAGAGGATGCTAGTGCGCTGGTAGCGGCGCTGGGTGGATGGGTTAAGAGGTTGGGAAATGGAGATGAGCAGGTTGGTTGGAGGGTGAAGGGGAGAGCAAATTGGTTGGGGGGTTTAGTGGGGGAGGAGGGCATTGAGCTGGTGTGGAATGATTGAGGATTGAAGGGTTGGGATAATTCCTCCTATTTCACATCAGCAATGGACGCTCTCTGAACCAAGTGCCTGATTCCGAGGAAGGAGAACCATTAGATCTCTTGGGTATTGCATCGTCAGAGAGAAACGGGACAAGAACGAATCGGAGACAGTTTCTAACTTCGCTGTGGTTGCGAAACGAGACAAGCTTCAATCAGCCATGGAGCCCGATTGACGCCGATGTACGCCTAAAATTAGAAGTTTACGTCCAGACTGCGAACCTTGTTTCGACAGAATCTGAACAAAGACATACCTAGTTTTAACCATCGGCAAGACGACGCGACTTCCACCGATGAATTCGTACCGATTACTTAGGAGTGAAGCTTAACAGATGATGTACTAGAAGAATATGGTCATGACTGCTGAGGAAGCCATGCCTCATGTAATGTTGAAAATGTACTAGATATGCATTTCACACTAAAGTCTCAGATGGAATTGATTCAATGGTCAAGCATGCAACAAGATTCAAAGATCACACTTGATGTAAATTGCAAGCTATGTTAATATGTGCTTTTAAACGACTATGGAAAATAAAATACTCCTTCTTTGCCCATGAAATATTGCGGATCGGACTCAAAGGTCACCCACAACATCATATTTGCACCCATCCAGCCCAGAAGAACGAAGAATAAAATAAAGTAGAAACTTTTATGGTATTTCCCAATCATATCCGTCATTCAATTCAGCCCAACGCCTCGCAGTTTATTATGCCCATCGTGAGAAGTCTAAACGGTCAACCATGAGCTCGTCTCCATTTGTGTCCTTCTCTGGCTCCACTGTAGATATCGCCGATGATTTTTGAGAAGTAGAGTCAATCGAACTAGAGAGAAAGCTGAAGTTGGCGACGGATGCTCGACGAATACTAGTCATATTCTCACGGCCCTTAGCATCAGAAACCGCACCGTTCGATGTGCCCGGTGGAGAAATATGGATAGAGTTAGATCGCTTCGGGGGTACGTGCTTCACCCTAAGCCGATTGATTTCACGTAGGCGATTGCGCCATGGGGAAACATGTTCTCCACCCTCACGATTTGCCCAGACCGAGGAGAACACTGAAGCATTCATCGCCAGCAAGCGGATGAACTCCGGTAATTTCCTGAGACTGATGATCTTCATTTCAGCAGCAGGGGAGATCTCCGGAAAACCAGGCTTACTCATGACCTGAACTTTGTAGTATGGATCTTTTCGCAATCGTCCTTGCCGCGGATCTCTGGCAGCGGTAAAGGATAGACGAGATTCCGGAGCAATAACAATGTTAACATAGTTGAAGTCAGATGGAAAAGTGTCGTACTTGAATGGTAAGCCGGAGTTATTGAAGATAATATTCACATAATCGTTGCCAATATGCTTCTTTTTGTGAGAGCATTGTGGATCGTGCTCGAGATTTGTCGGCATCTGCGTTGTAACATGAAAAACTATTTCAGAAACGCGGTCTCTCCAACAAAATGCGGTCTCTCCATCCATACCATATTCTCTGTCAAGACCTTGAGTGTTGAATTTAGCCCCCTTCAATTCTGTGAGTGTCGCAAGCCCTGCAAGAAATGTATAGTACTCTTCACTACCGGTGATGTTAGAGAGTATCTCAACTTCTTGTGTCTGGTTGTCACCGATGTAAATAACCCCGACTTTGTGGCCATCCACAGTAGGGTTACGATCAAGGGCCCACACAGCACGTCTAGTCATGTCGTCATCAGGAAGAGCAATTGGACGCGTGAACTCAGTGCCTTGTGGGATTGAAGCAGTTAATTGTAAAAGAAGGTGGCTAGGGAGAACAACGTTGGCATTGGAGTGCTTTGCGTCCCGTAAAGCATCTGTGGTGAGAGAGATTTGATGTGGAGGCGGTGGGCTGAATTTTTCGCGAACCATATAACAAGAAGTACCAGAAGGATGGCGCTTGGTAATTTGGGCCCAACCTTTGTGAGTCGCTTGTTCAATGGTGACAACGCTGTGGCCAATGATCCAGCGCTTTTTCAGAATTTCACCATATAGTTCCGGGGTAAAATCTGGATCAGCTGAAGATTCGTCCACATCGGCATAGGCAACCCTTTGCATAAAATCCAGAGTTACTTGCGCCTGCTCATCAATCTTCTCCTTACCATTCGCATCAGTCGAGACAAGGTTTTTGGCGATCCAGCCGACTTGGCCAGCGCGATCAGTGAGTTTCAAAGACAAGAACCAAAAAGTGATGACGTGGTATGCAAGAGCATACACATACTGTGGCAAATCATCCGAGCTGCTAGATTGGGCGCTTGGATCCCCCGAATTGTGTTCTGCAGAGAACGGTGCTGAGGAAACTCGAGCTCGAGCAAGGTTGTTTCTTGCATTGATGTCCTTGGTCGGTTGATCCCGAACGTTCTGGAGATATCGGAAACATACAGCAAAAACAGTTCGGTATTCTTCTTCCCGAAAATTGGCATATAGTTCTGGAAGTCTTGAGAGGCAAGACAGGAATTCTAGGATGTGAATTGCGACGTGCTGTTGAGTAATAATCTGCGACATCTTTTGAAGAATGGTTACTAGTGCTTTTCTAGTCGAACCAGGCAGCTCATGGCAACAGATTGAAAGAGCGTGAATACAGCATTTGGCGGCGCGTTCCCACGCGCCCACACCTTGTAAGAAGGTCCTTACAATTTCGTCTTCCTCGGCCTTGGAAAATTCCCGGTTATAACTTGTGACCATTGTTAAGACATGAAAGAGACAAATGGCAACATCAGCCTTGCGCAGCCCAGATGACACTGGGGGTTCTTGAAAGCTACTATCTCTAATCAAATCACACAACAAAGATCTGAGCCTTTTTATCTGCGGAATTGATGACTTGAAAAGCGCTTGGTTTGTCAATTGAGATGGTAAGTGAACAAGTATGTAGCTGTAAACCTCCCAGTCACATCCGCCGTCGAGGAGTTGGCAAAGAACATCGAGATAAGAGTCAATGTTAAGAACAGTCTGAACAACTGGCTCACAGGGTTTGACTTCATTATTGTGGTCAGATCCTTTCTCTTGGGCTTCACTTATATCTGGACGGACGGACTCGACTGAGGTATGTGAAAAATTATCGGAAGGATCTATTGTGGAGTCTTGTTTATGCTCCTCTCCTGCGTTTATTTCGGGGATGATATTTGAAACAGCAGACTGCTGCAAACCTTTTTGGTCAGGAACTGTACCTGCGGTATCTAAATCTTGTGCAATAAACTTCTGATCCACACTTTCGATAACTGAAACTAGACGTAAAGTAGCATTTCCAGTTGTGGTGTCCGGCAAGGCGTCTGCATCTGGAGACATCCACATCTGATGGTTACGCTGTAAAGTTCGATTCATGCCACTGCCTAGCCTGAAGGTCTGCTTAGGGAGAGACTGTGCTTGGCCACCTGAGGTAGTCCGGGAAAGACGAGAGTTAGAATCATCTACTCGGGCTAGACGTGTCTGCTGCGCAGCTTCATCTGCAGCGTGCTTCCTAGCTAGAGATTCCGTCGTCCGATATAGAGAAGCCGCTAAAGTATCTGATTCGGTGAAAGGGGTAAGGAAAATTCTATTCATCGCATCTGCTCGAAGTCGGAAAAACATTTTTAGAGCAGATATACGGGAGTCAGTAGGGCAGTCGGAAGCCTGCACAATGGCAAGTAATTCTTCGAACACTCGTAATGACTTGGAGACATCCGTAAACATGGTTCGCATAAATATTTGAATAAAACCCTTCACAACGACATTGGAAGGACTGTGCACAATAGAAGGCGTGGCGTCAGAAGCTGCAGACTTGCTCGACAATATGCCATGACGAGACCCAGGAGGTGAGCCAAGCGGTGATTGCATCCGGTCACTTGTGACAACACTTCTCATAATGTCTATAGCATGCTGGAACAAGCTTTCATCCAGAGTTTGCTCAGCCATGACAACAGCGAAATCGATAAATTCCTGCAATATTGCAATATCCTTCTCATCTCGGACATATGCCAAAACTGTCACAGCAAAAGCTTCAAAGATCTCAGGCTGATCAGTAACGCTGACAATAACGTATACATCTGTGACAGCTTTCAGAGCGTGTAGTCGAATGTCGGGCGGGCGGGACCGATCGGCAAGAAACCCGCCAAGGATCAGATTAATGTTATCCTTCCATTGTAGATCTGATGGCGAACAACATTTATAGTCGATAAAATGATCAATGACCAATCTTGCGCAAGTGTCTGGAAGATAGGCATGAGACTTGATAAAGAATTTAAAACAATCATCTTTTTGAACGAAATTGGGCGGAGGCGAATTCAACAATTGCTCGACACGCAAAATCAGATCACGAATTAATTCCTCCATCTTTGTTATGAACCTCTGCTGCGGAGTTTCATCCTTTAGGGACGGACTTCTGTTGATAGTATTATATATCTGAGATCGGTTCGTTACTGGGTCTGAAATACGTCTAGAGCATATAGACACAATCTCAAACATCAGTGACCAGTCTTCGTCCAGCACATTCTGCATGATTCCGCCTTCGTGAATCAAAAGTGAATGAACCAATTGCAGTGTATCGCAGTCAACTGCAGTACGATCAAGCTCAAGGGACTTTCTTAGAGAGGTCATGAGAAGTGTGAATGGGACCAAGGGATAGCCATTCTTTGCGTCCTTGGCAAATAACTTCTCTAATGTTGAAATAGCACCCCTAACCTCTTTGATATTTTGGCTGTATTGCTTATCGTCGGATTTGTCTAATAGAGGCTTTCCGAGTACCTCAATCAGTATTCTGACCATCGTGAGCCCGTGATGGGATCTGCACAGGTTGCTAATACATCTCCATGCGTCTTGGTGTACATTCCAGAGAGAACTATGTATAGAGCACAGAACCTTCACAATTGGCTGAAGCTCCCTATCTGGAATATCTCCGTATGTTATAACGGCATCAAACACTTGATTGCAGGCTTTGAGATCCGCCTCTGTAGCAGAGGAAGTGCAAATCTCAAGAATCTGAGACAGAAGCTGGGATGATGCTGAATCCGTGACAATATTGGAACTAAACTTGATAACATCCGCAATAAAAAAAAACAGCAGAGATAGGTTAGACTCCTCCTCTGAAGGTGTCGGTTCCTTCGGCAGGGGGCTCTGACGGGTGGCCTTCTTAAGCGCATTTCGTTCTGCGGTGGCTGCAGACCAAGTATCCTTCAGCCATGTAGTCAACAAAGGTAGTAGTTCATAATGGAAACCTGAGAGATCTTTGCCGTGTCGTGATAGTTCGATCAATGAGACAAGTTGCAGGTGAAAATCTTCCCTGTTCGTGGGACGACTCAATACTTGGAAAAAGCTTGCTCTTTCGGGATCATTTGAGGATGTACACTGAACACAGGCAATCAACAATTCGAAACCCGCAATTCGCGCTTGCTGCGTCTGACTCGTTTCAATCAAATCTTTGCCTGCATTGAATATCATGGATATCTGTCACAATATTAGTAAGCCAACAAGTAGATCTCGATCTAGATTACCTACATTTTCCATGGGGTAGTCAATCACGGCTCGACGTAAATATTCCGCTGCGCGAATGCGATCTGCGAGGCTGTGACCTGCCTGCAGTTGTTCAAGCGTCGGCTCGTGGTTGGGTGTACTACCATGGCTAAGCTTTTGCGGAATGCTCCCATTGTCGAGCTGTAAGGGACCTGTTGCTGGAGATTGCGTACTTGGACTTTTGGTGATTTTGCCGCCAGTCAAGCTTTTAAATACACTCGCAATTCCGCTAGAGCTCCTTGGTTCCGGCGTCTGAGCTGCGTCTCCGACAGGTGGAGGCATAGAAGCTCGAGGATTCGAAGCGCGAGGGGTCGAAGCTCGAGGATTTCGTTGAACTCGAGAGTCTGTTTCGAGATTCCATCTGTTAGTAAATGCAGGATACATATTGGTAGCTTTCCTTGTAGAATTTTATTGCAATGTTGTGTGCAAGTAAAGCAATCGAAGTTGACAAGAGGAAAAGAATAAGACAACAGGTGTTTGTGAAGCGCCGAGACAATTATGTTCCCAGATTCCTAAGGCAACCGAGACCTTGCTCTATTTTACATCTTCTCGAACATTGTATGTGGAATCACATTCGAGTCACATGAAGAAGAATATATCAGCAGAAAACTTGGACTTCTACACTGTAGGCCATTCTAGGTCTAGCTCCATCAAATAAGATCGAATGGATATCGATAATCAGCCGATGACGATATCACAAGCCCATGCTTCTATATCTGGGTTCACTGAGCTTGACCTTGATGGGTATCAATGTAGTAAAGATCAACAAGGACATCTAGCAAGCATTGCATGAATGGGAAGTCTGACCACTAACTGTGTTCAAATCATAAAGAGTAGATGTCTTGCTTGTAGAGGTGTGAGGAGTGAATGAACTGAAGCATTTGCAGGAAACCAAATTTTCCGAAACTAGGTATATAAAGAAATTTGAAGTTTGCAATACGAAGCGTGAGGGGTAAATGGAGTGAAGCAGCTACCTAGGCCATGCGTTAAAAATTGAAACTTTCGAAAAGCATTATGAAGATGAATAAATATCTAAAATTCAAGCGGATATGGGACACAATATATGCCTAAGTGTATAAGAGAGGTATCGCATGAACTTCAACAATACTCTCTATGAATTTTTGACTTCACTTCCGAGGCTACCAAACTATTGTCAAGCCTATAAGGCTACAAGGCTGCCAACTTGACTGATGATGACACTAGTCTTCAATGAGAGGCTCCTGATAGGTTTCTTCAACAAGCAGATCAGATAAGAGTACAAAAAAGTTTCAAAGTAGAGATATCTGATTGTGATAGCACATTTGATGAAATTTCTTGACATAACAAAAACTCGACGTACATCTTTCGTTTTGCTTTCAAATAGCTCATAAATTGTTTGTCGCTTTAGCTGGAATCAAGGAATCATTCTTGAAAGACTTTCTTGGCCTGACCCCATTGCATGTTTCTATGAAGTCGGATTCCGGATTATCTCTGCCTCCGAGCTCCATCCTTTTTAGATTCTAGAAAGTTTACAAACAAACATTCTGTGTCAATCACAGCTCTTGATTTCTATTTAGATCTTCACACGGTCTCTTTAGATATGTCTTCAGATATTCAGACAGTTGCAGCTCTACTCCAAGCTACTTTGGACCCTAGGCAGCATAAACAAGGTTTGTAAACTACTCTGGCTCATGTTTGTAAAGTAATTATTGACTGTTTTGTGTAGCTGAAGCAGCTCTGAAAGTCGAGCAGGGCAAACCTGGATTTTCTCTCCTCCTACTCAACATCGTTGCGGCAGATAATCTTCCAGTTAATACCAGACTCTCGGGAGCTTTATGCTTTAAGAACTTCATCAAGTACAACTATGTGGTAAGTATCTCGCGCTGTTTTCACTTCTCTGCTAACAAATCTCTAGGACGAAGAGAGAAACTACAAGCTTCCGCAAAATGAAGTTTTTACGATAAAGACTGAGTTGATTGGGCTCATGGTCTCGGTCCCAAACAGTATACAAGCCCAGCTTGGAGAAGCTATTAGTATAATCGCGGAGTCGGACTTCTGGGATAGATGGGATACATTGGTGGATGTTAGTTACCTTTCCGCCGGATCTATGTTCGTACTGGAAAATTTACTGACAATATGTAGGACCTGGTCTCGCGCCTCACTCGCGATAATGCTAAGATCAATAATGGTGTACTGGAAGTTGCGCATTCGATATTCAAGCGATGGAGACCACTGTTTGCCTCGGATGCTCTATACACAGAAGTCAACCACGTACTATCAAAATTTGGACAACCTTTCGTCCAGCTTCTAGCTGTATGGTTTAACTCGCGCAATGTTATTATAAGCATCAGCTAATTCGTTTTCTACAGAGCACCGACCAGCAAATACAAGCTAATAAGGATAATAAGGAGGTTTTGAAGCAACATTTCGAAACGATGAATCTTTTGATGAAGGTTTTTTTTGATCTTTCGTGCCAAGATCTCCCTCCTATCTTTGAGGACAATATCGAAGACCTATCTAAACTTCTGCACAAGTACTTGACGTATGAAAACCCTCTCTTAGCGACAGACGATGATTCGGAATCAGGACCTCTCGAATTTGTGAAAGCCGGGATATGTGAGGTTTCAACACTTTACATGCAGAAATACGAAGACGCATTCGGTAGTCTTTGTGAGCCCTTCATCACAAGCGCTTGGAGTCTATTGACAACTATTGGCCCCGAGACGAAATTCGACATACTGGTTAGCAAGGCATTGCATTTCCTGACCGCTGTTGCAAGTCTCGACAAGCATGCTCAAAATTTCAACAACGGCGATATCTTGAGTCAGGTGGTCGAAAAGGTCATCTTGCCCAATGTAAGCCTGAGGGAAACCGACATTGAACAATTCGAGGATGAGCCTATCGAGTACATCCGAAGAGATCTGGAAGGCTCAGACGCTGATACCAGACGACGAGCAGCAACAGACTTTTTGCGCAAGCTTTTGGAGAAGTTTGAGCCACTTGTGACGGATGTCGTTGGCCGATACATTAAACACTACCTCGACCAATTCTCGCAAAACGGTAGTGATCATTGGAAATCTAAAGATACTGCTGTATACTTGTTTTCTGCTATCGCAGCGAAGGGTGTCATCACTGCTGGACAAGGTGTTAAAACTACTAACCCCTTGGTGGATGTTGTCGACTTTTTCCAGCAAAACATTGCAAATGATCTTCTGGCGGAAACTAATGTGGAGCCAATCTTGAAAGTGGATGCTATCAAGTTCCTTTACACGTTCCGTAGTCAACTAACGAAAGATCAATGGAAAGCCGCATTCGAACCTTTGGTTAAGAATTTAGGATCCTCAAATTATGTGGTATACACTTATGCCGCAATCACGGTGGAAAGAGTTTTGTTTCTCACAAACGATGCAAACCAGCATATCTTTGGCAAGGAAGACGTATTACCGCTTGCTGAAAGTTTGTTGGATCACTTGTTCCATTTGATCGAAAAGGACGCTGCACCGGAAAAAATCCAAGAGAACGAGTTCCTTATGCGTTGTGTTATGAGGGTGCTCATTGTCATCAAGGACGGCGTTATTCCAATAGCAGATAAAGTTTTGCAACACTTGATCAAGATCACTCAAGTTATTGGCCAAAATCCTAGTAACCCCCGCTTCTACTACTATCACTTTGAGGCCTTTGGTGCTTTGATTAGGTATGTACAAATCTTTTATGCATAGCTCCTATCTAACGTATATAGATGGTCCGCACCTTCACAACCCGATAAGCTTGAGAATGACCTGTATCCAACATTTGCTGGTATTCTCTCCAGTGATGTTCAAGGTATGCTCAATATCCGCTCGGAATATGGACTCTTGCACTAACAATCACCAAGAATTCATGCCTTACGTCTTCCAGTTATTCGCCGCTCTTCTGGAAGCTAACCCATCCACAACACTTTCTGACTACTACAGAAATTTGATCACCCCTATTCTAAGTCCTACTCTTTGGGAATCCCGTGGAAATGTGCCAGCACTCACCAGGTTACTTTCTGCAATGATCCCTAAATGCGCTGCTGAACTTGTAGCGAACAACCAACTAGAGCCAATTCTTGGTATTTTTCAGAAACTAATGGCCGGGAAATCAAGGACCGAATTACAGAGTTTCGATGTCTTGGAAGCTTTGATTATATCTTGCAACGTGTAAGTAATCCCCGTATTTGCACCATTTGTATGCTAACAAGTAATAGCACTGCCATCGAGCAATACTTCCCCACGATCTTGAACATCATGTTCACGCGTCTTAACAGCAACCCTCCGGAAGCCTTCAAGCGTCGCTTCGTCCGCTTCTACCACCTTATCTCATCTAAAGATCAGCAAGGCCTTGGGGCAGATTTCTTCATAAAGCAATCAGACGCGGTGCAAAACACCGTATTTGTGCCTCTTTACTTGACCATCATTCTACCAATTACCCAGCAATTCCCTCGACCACTAGACCGCAAGATAGCCGTCATTTCTTTGACAAAGACCCTGACCGATTCACAAGCATTCGCTGTCAAATATAAGAGGGGTTGGTCCAAGACTTGTGAGGCTCTACTCAAGTTGTTGGAAAATCCACCACTACCCGTCACAACAGATGATGTAGTCGCTGAAGCGGACGTTGATGATCTTAGCTTCGGAGTCGGCTTCACACAACTTAACACTTGCAAGAAGGTGGCGGATGACGAATGGCCAGAGATCACGGATGTAAAGCTTTGGGTGGGGTCATATCTCAGAGATGCAAATGCACGACACGACCGAGCAATCTCGGGTTTCGTCAACGAAAGATTAAATTCCGAAGCCAGAAGTCTTCTGGTTGAATATATGCAGTAGGATGGAAGATTATTACGCATGACACGAAGTTGACGAAATAATATGGTGTTTTGTACTGATACAGGAGCATTTCAGCGAGGTAGCGAAAAGCAGGTAGATTGGTTTCCACGATTCCCACAGTGAGTAGTATTGAGGAACGAGTTGCATCCATGATACAATCTGTCCAATGCATAAGTTACTGCCCGAATTCTGGAATTGCTTGCCATGACCTAGCCTCCGGGATATGGAGCAATCATCAGATAGAGGTGCTTTGGATCTTGAGATACTGGAAGCAATGCTTTTTATCTTCGTATTCCATTTATCCCGTGTTGAACCATGACCATATACATAACAAATACTATTTAAAGATTATTTTGTTCTGGTGTCTTCAAACGATATCCGCGAGCAAGAAGAGAAACCGTTTCATTGTGCTCACACGTGACCGCGAAATTAAAATTTATCCATCAATTCACCCAATTTACCTTCAGTTATGACAACAAATTCCCAAATATTTTCGTAGAAGGTTTTCCAACTGACAATAAATAAACAAGTGCACCATTTTCGAATATCTGTACCGAAATTTAATTATTACAAGCTAGGAGCTTGCAAAATAAGTGCTAAATATTTAGGGAAGTGAAATTGTTACTAGCCCTATAATAGATAACCGAACCCGCGATTTTTGATTTTGAATCTATTGGTGGGGTTGAACCATATTTTTTTCGACGGACGACGACTCAGAGCAAAATCACAGCATCATGAGCGCCTTTCAAAATGGAGGCATCGCATCGCGAGCCTTGGACGATGACTCTGATATCGAGGAGGAGGCTCTCGCAAACGACTACAAGGAGCAGGTTCAATATGAGGGAATGGAAGAGTTGGAACAAGTCAATTCGATGAGCATGGCACAACAGACGGATGATATTCAGTCGAGGCTTGCTGCTGCTGCACAACCTTTGGACTTTTCTGCTCCTCTGGAAGTCAAGTTTGCAAGCTACGATAATTATTGTAGTTTGTTTCACTTTATTTTGAACTCCGACGGGCCAGTTGACCTCGAACCTCCATCTGTAAGCTCTTTGTTCATTCATTGGCGGTATGATATGCTAATTACTTACAGTACTACTGGGCTTGGGACGTTATCGACGAGTTTATCTACCAATTCAACTCTTTCTGTTCATACAGAAACCGCGTCGCGCGTCAAGGAACAAATGAGGAGGAAATTCAAATCCTCCGTGAAGCGCCAAACACATGGGGATGCTACAGCGTTCTCAACGTCTTATACTCTCTCATCCAGAGATCGCAGATCAACGAGCAACTAGCTGCCATGAGGCGCAACGAAGAGCCCATGGCAGTCGCTGGTGATTACGGTTCAAAGTCCTTGTACAGAATGCTCGGATACTTCTCCATCATTGGATTGTTGCGAGTTCATTGTCTTCTCGGTGATTTCAGTCTCGCTTTGAAAACCCTTGACGATATCGAGCTTAACAAGAAAGCTATGTTTGCACGTGTTATGGCCGCCCATTTCACTACCTATTACTATGTGGGATTCTCATACATGATGATGCGCAGATACGCAGATGCCATCCGCATGTTCAGCCACATCTTGATCTACGTTTCAAGAACGAAGAATTTCCAAAAGAACGCACAATATGACTCAATCTCAAAGAAGAACGATCAAATGTACGCTCTCATTGCCATCTGTGTCGCTTTCCACCCAACTCGTCTTGATGACACCATACACACTGCTCTCCGCGAGAAGTATGGTGATCAACTCCTAAAGCTTCAACGCGGTGGACCAGAGTCCCTCCCCATCTTCGAAGAGCTATTCCGCTCCGCTTGCCCTAAATTCATTTCTCCTACTCCTCCCGACTTCGACAACCCGGAGCTGAACGTTGACCCTCTCGAGCACCATCTATCTATCTTCATGGATGAGGTTAAGACAAATATGTGGAGCCCAACTGTGAAGTCTTATCTTCGATTATACACCACTATGGATTTAAAGAAGTTGGCCGGATTCTTAGAGGTTGAACCGGAGAAGCTGAGAGGATGGTTATTGGTCAACAAGCAACGCAGCAGACAAATCAGATGGACCGATAATGGATTGTTGGATGGAGAAGTAGTCAATTCTAATGATCTTGATTACGCAATGCAAGGGGTAAGTAAAAGCTGTAAATTGATGTGGAATTTTGCTAATCATCTGTTCAGGATCTTATTCATATTTCTGAAGCCAAGGTCGGCCGCAAGTTGGTGGATTGGTACCTCAGAAACCTTGCTCGCACATACTAAAACACCTTTCACGCTTTTCTCTTGACAATATTGCTTTCACTCTATGGCATTGGTATGGCGTACTGGGGGGGGTGAAAAAGACAAATCTACGAAATGGTCTGTCAAAAATGGCATGAAGGCGAGGAGCCTCACGAGTAGAATAAAATAAATTATGAAGCAAAATTATGGACCCTCTGTGTACTGGATAACTTTGAAATTATGTGCATGATTTACCACTTCCCCTGTATTGTAAAGCATTCGCAAGGCTAAAAGGAAGGCGCGGCTGCCTTGGCATTCAATATGTATCATAAAGGCTACCAATAACGTAAGTAATTGCTTACACAACCGTTGATTCATCCATAACTCTGCTTAAGTATTCCAGACACCTTAAAACTTCACCATCTGGGCATGAATAATAAATCTTCAAATAATCCTAGTACGACACCGCTGTTTCTCGCCTGAAGCTACCTAGGACGGACCACTTCCTCCATCCACTTTGACAAATCCCAAACCAACAATCTCAAGGTTCTCATGCCCACCTCATTCAGCACAAAAGTATTGGAAAAGATACATTAGGGTCACTTCGAATAGACCATATGTCTAGTATATAACTGAACAACCACCTACCATGTCAGCATCTACTTCCCCACACGTCAAAAGTTCAGATTCGCCATCTCCAAAATCTCCTCTTTCACCCAATACTCCTGCACCGTCAAATGCAGATTATTTTACTTCTCCAAAGCTTAGGTCTATCACCGAACATGTCCAATATAATCATCTACCTAGCCAACGGCTAAACTCGATGTCAAGCATATCTTTCAGAGGAAGTTCGAAAGGACCGCGGCCCTTAAAAGAAGGAAATGGTAAAGGGAAACCTTTGACCCGTCCTCGCCTCAGAGGCTCGAGTCCACCTCCTCCACCGTAAGTTCTTTGTCAGATTCTCTATACTTTATGGGACAAAGATTTAGTACGCCGTAGGGCAAGAAGAAGATGGTACCATCAAATAAGTACTTTGTGACATCTCAAGCTTTCCTTCCCGGATCCTGGCGGCCGAAATCTGGGGGCGGGTGATCAACCCCACTTGGCTTCTATATCTATCGCGCAAAGACAACTCTCAATGGTTGATTAGAAGCATTCTTATATTACCGCCTTAATATTTCTTTGCTTCACTTAGATCTAACGCTAATGGCTCCTCTAAATAGAAAGTTTCAAGGAAAAGTCTCCTTCGACAGCATTGGATCACTTTCGGAGCCCACAGAGAGGAATACCAGAAGCTACACACAAAACTCTAAACATGAGGGATATCAGTACAAGCGATCCTCCAGGACTTTTATGGTCGGCATAGATGAAAATTCGTATTCGGACATTGCTTTACAGTGGATGCTGGAGGAGCTCGTTGATGATGGGGACCAAATTATCTGTTTGAGGGTTGTTGATAAAGACTCGAAAATGATCACTGACAGAGCCCTGGAGATCAAGCAATACCAGCAGGAGGCAAGAGAGCTACTGGATGCTATACAGAAAAAGAATGATGACAATAGAGCTGTTAGTATTGTACTGGAGTATGCCATAGGAAAAGTCCATACCACATTTCAAAAAATGGTATGTTTGTACTTTTCAATCGTTCGCGAAAGCTTGATGCCACTTACTAACAATCTGCCTCTCCAGATTCAAATTTACGAACCTGCAATGCTTATCGTTGGAACTCGAGGGCGAAGTCTGGGTGGTTTTCAGGGGTTGGTAGGGAATAGAAATTCATTCTCGAAATGGTGCTTACAGTATTCGCCTATACCTGTTGTTGTCGTAAGACCTACGGAGAAGAGGTTAAAGAAGAAACAAAAAAGAGATGCCGATCCTGCACGCCAAAGTTACAGTCGTATCTTACAAGAGAGTGGAGTAAATGGCCATGAAACATCAATCGTTGCAAGCAATCTCGAGAGCGCGATCGGCCCTCTTATTGAGGCGCACGCCGTTGCAGCAGCTCTCGGTTTACCAGCGGAGTTCGATCCTACATTGACGCCATTTACTCTTGAGGGTAGTCGACCTCTCAAAAAGATAGATTCCGGCAAAAGCGAAGCAACAAGCTGTACCAGTGGATTTGATTCTCGACCTCAAAGTCCAGAAATGCTTGTGAAGAGTCCTAGTTCTGCACAGCTTGATAGTCCGATCATGAGTGGTGATGATTACAGTGATGGAGAAGGGGACGACGATGAAGGAGAATTCGAGGCCGTACCGGGACACACGCTACTTGGCAACGATAATACAGCTCAGCCAAACCCGGAAATCGAAAAGAAGAAGAAGCTCCATGAGATGGAGTTCGAAGAAGCAAAAGCTTTGTTTAGAAAATCATCTACTGGCTCTACTGAAAGCGTTGATCCAGAAGGTGGAGGAGAGAGTAGTTGACTAGCCGGCCCGGGCGAAACTTTATACGGAACATCCAATGGCGAATACCACTCTTACGAGAATGCTCTGTTATTAATACCTTCCTTCATTTAGCTCATTTTATTTTGCTATTTTGGAATTGCCTGCACCCGGGCCAGGCTTATATGGATGGGGGAAGAGGGGGGGGAAAGGGGAGGAGAGAAGGGGAGGAGAGAAGGGGAGGAGAGAAGGGGAGGAGAGAAGGGAAGGGGAGAGGGGGATAGCGGAAGAAGGGAGCGGGGGAGAGGGAAGGAGAGGGAAGGAGAGGGAAGGAGAGGGAAGGATAGGGAAGGAGAGGGAAGGAGAGGGAAGGAGAGGGAAGGAGAGGGAAGGAGAGGGAAGGAGAGGGAAGGAGAGGTAATAGGATGAGGGGTAATAGGAGGACGGATGAATAAACTCTTACGAATGATACGACTGCTATGATTAATGATGACCTAGGTTCAAGGTTAAACTCGGTATGGGAATGGGAACAAGGCTGCATCGATACTACGGTACATGCAATTGAGAGATGGCACAGCGGGATATGACATATCAGGAAGGACACATCGATAAGGGTACTTAAGTCTTTTTCTAATTTGAGCGAACATCTTAAAGTTATGGGCCAAGCCCTTACAATGGATTCTCTGTGCGCTTCAAAATACTATGAAATCGAAGCTGTTCTGTTTAACGATTGTTTTGCCTTCTGTATTTGAGTAGGATGGAATGACCTACAAGGTTTGGGTGCCTCACTGTAATCTTACTACCCGATTTGCAACTTGTCTCCAACAATTTGATTTACCATAACACCCCTCAATGTTTGAATTGTTCTTGACATTGAGATAGTATCTATGCATGCCTTCACTCTTGTCATTGTATGAAAGTGAATTCTAGCTGTAGTGCCTAGGTTACGATCATCGATAGTGTCGAATCGTGTACTTTTATTATGAGTGTAGGTGTATAGCCATACTTTGGACTGGCCGCGAGCGCCGCGGATATCATGGTGTTTATTTCTCACTTGTTTTTGGCACTTCCTTGGGAGGGGTTTAGGCTGTTGGGGCGGGTTAGTGGCTTGTATTTAGACTGTTTGGCGATTAGAGGTTTGTGTTTAGTAGGTTGTTTTGCGAGCTGCTAAATATTGGTAGGAAGGATAAATTATAAGAGCAACCGTTAAAGCGTGAGAATAGCTATTAGCTATCTGAGAATACTGATCCAGTTTTCCAGAGAGTGAATTAATTAGGTTTTCATAAAAGTCTCTGAATGGTGAGCTTTGACATCATGTAGTCGATTTATTCATTTCATAGATTATCCTTGAGTTTCTCAGGCTTTTTTCGACTCTTGAGCGAATTTCTTTAAAGGTGTTGAAGAATATAAACAGCTAATCTATCTACGTCGTCTACCCAATCCAATCCATATCCATATCCATATCGCACATGTATATCCAGAAACCTCCTCCCTCATAACCAATTAACTCCTATCCAGGATATTGTCCAATACCAACTATTGCCCACCCACCCACAAAAACCACCTAAGAATATAACCCTTCCAATCATGATCTCCTCCCCAGACTCCTCGCAGCAGAACTCACCGTCCTCAAACTCTCCCTCCTCTCCTCCCCACCAATCGCCTCTCCAATACCTCCAACCACACACTTCGGAAACGCCATTTCGGGCATCTCCCACGTTCTCTCTCCATGACCACTCGTGCTGGGGATTCCAACAATCTCATCCTTCCTCACCGTCACTACATCATGACTCCTCGCGCTCTTGTGACTTTTCGCCACGCTTCCCCGTGTTTTATGTCCCCTCACACTATTAACCTTCCTGCCCATCTCCTCGGCATCGAAATCCCATTCTCTCCAAAAATCTCGCTTTCCCCTCGTGGCTCGGCGCACCCACCCCGGTAGCAGACCTCCTCGTACTTTATATGTCCAGTAATCTTTCAGTTCGTAGTCGTGCGGCATGATTCTTCCTCCTGACATCTTTGCCATGGCCCATGCGGAAGTATTGAGGAGCGTGTATGTGACGATTCCTGTGATTAGTCCGTAGGCAATCGAATATGTAAAAGGCATGATGGCTAGCGTTAAGAAAGCCGGGATAGAATCGCCCAGGTATCGCCAATTAATTTCTGTGCATGCGCGCGCCATCATTGCGCCAACGAGGATGAGGGTACAACCAGTTGCCCAGGGAGGAATGCTAGCGAAGATTGGGGCAAAGAACAGACTGATGAAGAAACAAAAGCCGGTAGTGACGGCCGTGAGACCTGTTACTCCACCTTCTGAGATCCCGGCGCCAGATTCAATAAATGCAGTGACGGGCGGAGAGCCCATGAAAGAGCCTAGAGATATACCAAAGGCGTCGACTAGGTAGGCCACGGCACTGCCTTCAAAATCCTGAGTATCTTCATCGATGGCGCCACAAAAACGCGCCATCGAATATAATGTTCCCGTACAATCAAGGATATCGACGTAAAGAAAGGTTACAAGCGCGGAAGCGAATTGTCCAGCGCCAGCTCCAGTGATATTCCAATCCTGCGCAGCTAGCACTCGAGAAATGGGATGGAAAGTGACGATTTTTTTGAAAAACTCAAAAGCCGCATCGCCGGAAACGGTGGCAGGAAAATAGGTTACGGAAGTATTGCGCGGCCATGAAACGATGGAGACGAGGAGGATTCCTGCTATGACGGCACCTTTGACACGATACATCATCAGGAACGCCGTGAACATTCCCCCACCGAATATGCCAAGCCACATGGTCGGACTTCGCATTTTACCCGACGTGCATGTTCCGTCTGGGGCGATGAATTCAGGTATACAACCTGTTACTTGAAGAGGTACATCAGCATTACTGCCTGTGATAGCACCGATTCCCGCGCTGTAAGTGAGTCCAATGAGAGCGAGGTAGAGCCCGATACCTGCACCGCTGGCGATCTTCAAGCTTCGGGGTATTGCGCGCGCAAGCCATTGCCTCAATCCGAGTATTGAAAGTGCAACAAAGAGGAGCCCTTCAATGAAGACAGCTGTTAATGCTAGTCTGTATGAGACGGGTCCTTGACCATGTATTCCGACAACTTGGTAGGCAAAATACGCATTAAGCCCCATGCCTGGAGCTAGAGCGATGGGCATATTTGCGAAAACCCCCATGCAAAAACTTGTTAGAGCAGATATCGCTGCCGTACCTGTAACCAGATCTTGATTGACCTCCTGAACGCATATCTGGTAACTGGGATCCGTTGAACTGTCTAGGCAAAATGGATCCGTGGAATCAGGGGGATAATGGCATATACATGTTCCTCCGGTGGCTTGGGAGGTGTCAGCGACGTTATTGAGGTATTTTTCTATAACTTGCCTGATACGATGGAAGCATTGACTGAGATGATATACGCCATAGCGAAAAAAGTGGCCAGACCAGCTCTCACTTCTGTCAGAAACCTGGAGCCTTTCCTCTCATATCTATGCCCAGAAAATTCCAACCTGAATCGTCTTCCAACGGGGCTCTTCGCCACGGTCATATTCGTCTTCTCCACCTAAATTCCAATAAGCATTAGAATCGCCAAAAGACCGTTAATCATAGTTACCCAACCCATGATGGAAAATTATGTATTCTATCATGCAATGAAGTTGGTGGTTCTCTCTTGGATAAAATGATTGTGTTATGGGTCCTTTTATATGGTCGATGCTATATACATGGCCACAGATTATTGTAAAACTTAAGTATTTATTATTGATCAACCAGGTAAGATTGTCCAGTTATTGTCCGGCTTCACGGACAAACTCTGCCAAGGTAGAATGAGTATGATTTTGTTGTGTTTGAGATATGCCCAAAACGTTAATAAACTCGATTGCTCCAACATTCATCCGTTATAGACATGAAACGCAAGATATAAAGGCCCAAGAGAATTACGATGTTAAGTCCGGCAATAATCTAATACGAGAGGCTTTTGGATTGCATAAAGTGATCGAAAGCACTGTGAGAAGCGGGTTGCGACCGAAAGCTCGGGACCAAATTTTGGGGCTCTTTGAGCCAAAAGGAAGAAAAGATAAAAATACGATGAAGGCAAAGTATAGATGGCAGAAATAGTAACAGAACATATGGATAGCACATGCCCGGTAGTCACTGCAGCCGTGTGTAACGTGTAGCATGATAGAATCAGTCAAACAACCTGGATCTGAACTCTCAGATTAATAATGGACGTAGTTACGGCGGCTCAACTTTCTAAAGGCCTGATAAATCTTGCTACCCCTACACCTTTGTCTAAGGTTATTTTTCCCGAGTATTTTGCAATGAATTTGTCCAATGATGACTGGGTGCAAGACTACATACAGCCTTGTAGCTTCTATCAATCCGCGTCCAGTATCTTCGCAGCACCTTGCTCAGTATATTCGTTTTCAAATCGGGACAATAACCCACTTGGGAATCAACACCGCCAAATTCGGGATACACTACCGAGAGGAGCAGCTGGGCGTTGCCCACATTATCTGATACATTAGAAGTGATTTGTACAGAGATCAGTTTGACTCGCTATGATCAGACGTAGATAAGTCCGCCTATGTCCACTAGGAACACAAACATCTCTCTCGTGCTACAAGTGATGAATTTCAAATACTCCTAATTGCCGAGCTGATTAGACAGAACATTAGAAGAGACTCATTTTCTTGAAAAAAAAATCACCGGACAATACCGATATGTACTGGATACTTTACCAGGAATGTTCTGAAATGAGATTAGCCATCGCGTCCTGAGCCAGTCAAAACACACTCTTGATGATACCAATCATCCAAGGGTTGATAACGGCCAAGATCACCATTCGTCGGTATCCTATCCAATGGAATATTTCTCAAATTCCAAATTGCTCTGCTGCACCGAAAAATAGAAACCTGATTCTAAGAATGTGTTCATTCTTGGAGCTACAAATTCTAAGACAGCCAAACACTCATTTCTCCTGGCTGTGGTGCGAGTAATCTTGTGCCACTTTGCTTTCTTGGATTCCCTATTGATACATACATATTTTTCTCATCCCCCATTTTTCAAACCTCCGTTGTCATGATGGCAACGACTTCTGCAGTGTTTTCTCCTCGTGACACAATACCGGCCGCTGTGGTCAGCGAAAGCTGCAGCTACTTCTTAGCTGTGATTGTTCAGCTTGAGTTTAGCCAATAGCTTTACACTTACGCGCATCATGAATCGTGAATTCCTGATATCATGCTTACTCCGTACAGTTTGATCCTCGGTTAGTTATCCAAGCTTGAATAAATGAAGAGGTTAAAGACCTGCTTCATTATATTTTTCGAATCAATTTTAATAAACCTCAGAGTTCGTTTGCCAACAACGCAAGGAAGGCAAATAAGTAAAATTGCCTACTAATTACACCTAATCATAGAAAATGGTTCCACAAAGTTGTAAATTGCCCTACAGAGTTAGCAGTCCTGAACAACCAGTTGAATGGTCCGATATTGAAGAAGCAGAGAAGCCTTACGGATGCAACATTGACAAACGGGTACTTACTGCTTTTGTCGTAACACCTTTACAGAGAAAGAGGTAATTAACCAAGCAACTTAACTTCGAACCGATTTCCCTTAGACATGATATACGATCTGTACCTATACGTGCGTGCATTGATGTATGTACATGTATGCGCTATGCTGTACAGCCGGTGGGGATTTAGTTTATGCTGTGGAATTGGGGTTTTGTATAGTGGACCACACTAGCACGTTATCTGGGGTTAGCTTGCAGAGAGCAGTTCTCTGCAAACGCGATGAGGGCCAGTTATGATTCATATCCTAGCAAACTTTCTTACTTAAATATCTATAAAAGATGGTGCATACTTTCTTACCTTCAAAATTTCGAAAATCATGTGCATTTGGCAATATTTGAGTAGAGATTGGACATTGGAGATCGGACCATATATCATCCGAAGTGTGCAGCCAATTTTTGATCAATGATGGCTTGACACTGTTGAAGACAAACAGCTGGAGAAATATCATATGTGGAAAGAATAACCCTGATAATAGTTTTCGTCAAACAAAATGATGATAGAATGAGACGAACATACATCGAACGAGATTCTGACATATGCCAAAAAAGGAAAATCGGCGTCTTACACTGTAATCGGTGAAGATTTGTGTTAAGTGAGGCTCATAATCTTGATCTTCTGATGGTTGATAATTGTCAGCTTGGTCGTATGTCAATCTTGAATTGCACAATCTACTCATAGCAAATGAGACAGAATCAAGCAATACTAGATTAAATCGTCCGAAGTATCCACCCAGTAGCTTATCAGACATAGTGCTTGCTATTTCCTTAGCATGGTGCGGAAAGCTACATCGAGCGGGAGGAAGATAATATCACGCAGCGAGGGGAGCCGAAAACAGGCACATAAAGCTCCCGCACATGTGATATTGTATTGTCCAACCCCAGTTCTGACAGTGTGAAAAGTGGTGCATGAAGGCGATTATCTTCCGGTGCGGCACTTGATAGTCGCATGGCAGTGGCACTCAGCATTGCTTTGGTCGAGATACATATTAGGATGATTATGGTGTTGCGACCAAGTCCGTTCTGGGAATAGAATCTCAGATCATCACAATGTCTCGACTTAAGATCATGCTGTGTGCTTCACTTGAAACGGGATTGAAGTGTCCAAGAAAGTTTTCTGAACTTTTGACCCGAAATCTCAATGAGGCTCCATTTCACCGCGGTCGTGGCATTGAATTTTCCGAAGGAGCAGACTAGATCTAAGCTTTGAATGTTCGAAAAGCCAAAGTCTCCAAGCAGGCTTTGTTTACTTGTTGTTTTAGATATATTCAATCTTTCAAACGAATTGGGAAATCAAAACCGTCTCATTGTTGGTCTCCTATCTGGTTTAATAGGTAGCCGATTTGATTGCGATCTTGAAGAAACGAGAAGAATGCCCCTAGAAATAGAGTAAAAAAGCTAAAGATGATCGGGATAAACCATCGAGTTGGAACGAGATCAGAACCAATGCATGAGCGACTGTGTGCAGCAGAGTATAAACAGGTAGTTTCAAGTTCTATACAACGAAAAATAAACATACACATTCTGGATACGTGTATTAATTCACTCCCAAAGCCTTTAATGCCGTCAATGCACCATGCCCAATTCTATAATTCCAAACGCCCATTCCCTTGAAATATTCTCTTTATCTATTCTAAAAATGTGAAAAGATTTGTATGTAATATGTTCATCGCGCGTGTGGCTTCGTAAGCATCTATGACACAAGATATGTTGATCTCACTCGCCCCTGAATGTCGCTTGTTAGTTATCGAATCGATGCATGGGACGGAGATTCTAAATTTACCCTGAGATATCATTTCGATATTGACGTTGTTTTCTCCTAGGGTAGAAAACATTTTGCCGGCAATTCCAACCATATTTTTCATTTCCGATCCTACCAAACTGAGAATGGCCATTTCACTAAGGATGCTTACTTCGCCGCACTCTTGGAGCTCCGCCTTGGTCCGCTGCATCTCTTCTGCGGCGATGTGCGCTGAATGAACGGCCATAGAGACATGAACCTCACTGGTAGAAATAAGATCAACAGATATCTGTCGACTATCCAGTATAGAAAACACCTTGGCGAAGAACCCGTGCGAAATCGATCTCTTGTTTGAGTGTACGTTTATGACGGATATTTTGTCCTTGATAGTAACGGCTGTAGGGCGCTTGGGCGTCTTTCTTAAGTTTGCAGGGCTTGGACTTCTGCTATGGGTATGCTGTGAAGGTTCTAATATAGGATCAGGCAGAATGATTGTGCCATTTCCTCGCGGGTTCTTAACGTTCTTAATTCGGATCCTGATGGGTGGGGTCGCTCGAATTACTTGGTCCATAGTCAAGTGATGGATGACCTCGGAACCATAGAACGTCAATTCCGCTGCTTCGGATGGTGTTATAGTGGACAAAAGCCGCGCGGTTGGCACTTTCGAGGGATCTGCAGTAAATATACCATCAACTTCTTTCCATACCTGCAATTCTTCTGCTGCGACTCCAACAGCCACTAATGCCGCGCAAAGATCCGTATATCCTCGTCCAATTTCTCCGTCCATTAAACCACCTGGGACAGTTCCGAAATATCCAGTAATAATAGGCACTCTGTCCTCACAGGCGTCTATCTTCTCTTTTATTGCCACAGCCACGTCTCTGTAAAACTCTAAGTTCATTCCCTTCGGCGACTTGAAATGTATTGCGTCTGAGAGGTCTAGGTATTCGGCATCAACTCCCTATAGACTATTGTAAGCACCGGGCAATTTGAAATATGTGAGATAGCCTACCCTATCTTGTAATAAAGCTGCGACAAATCTACAGCTAAGTTTCTCTCCAAAACTGACAAGACGATCCTTCGATCTTGAATCGATCTCTAGGTGCCATCGTTCAACGGCTAATCGATATTCTCGTATCTCCTTGCACTCTGTCTCAATGTCCTTTGCCAGCTTCGAGGCTATAGCTTCATCCTGTATATGTGACTTCGCTGCCGCAATGTGATCGTCGCAGATAACATCCACCAGCCCTTCGTATTTGCTGGCCAAGCTCCGGTAGTGTTCTGAATCTGTGTCTTTCAAAGAATTGACTGCTTGAAGGACACCGTGGATCTCTAATAATCTGTAAAGACCAGCATTAGTATATCCACTCATGCGCAATTCTCCCAGATTTCAGAAGACCCTTACCGACTTGTTGTGCCCTCGACCTTCTTTCCGGTACTCCTCGCGGAGCAGACAACTGCGATTCTATGATCTTTCAAGCTTGCACTGAAAACCTAATTAGTTTCAGAATCGCTTTGACTGGCAATGTTCCACAATGCACCCACCGTACAATATCTTCTGCAATATTCACAGCGAATTTGCCCACACTTGTGCCACCAAACTTCTGTACTACCCAGCTTCGATGACTGTCATTGTGGTTCAAAGAATTGGAAATTAACGGTGAAGCATCGACATGCCCGTTGCACTGAACTTCAGTTGTCATTGTCCAAAACTGCCAGTGGATTAATCCAATTGAGTACTGCAAGGCGAATTAGTTTTAAATTTGAAATAGATAACTGAGATATTTTGAAGAACAATGGAGAATAGTTATAAAAGTATAGAAAAGTTGAGAGGATAATTTGAAAAGAGTCATACCAGAGATATGTATAATTCGTCAGGAGAAACAATTATTTTCGAACCTGCATCGGCATCATATCGGACCCCAGTAATGCGGGACCAGTGCAGTCACGTCAGACCTACAATTCAAAGTTCTCTATCATTAGCGAGACGTTGAGGCAAATAAATTGGAGCTAAGATAATATTTATGGAGAAATTGAAAAAGGGGGAAAAGGTTGCATTTTGAATACTGACCTGATGTACATCGAGCTACTTACTCAAATAATCATGAGTATAAGGTATTCATTCATCTGAGTCTCTTGAGGTAGCTACGATGATATTGCGTGATATTATATCTTCATTAGACTTGGATTAGACTTCTGTTTGTCACAAAGAGAATAATTAGTAATCAAGGAGGGGATAAACCATCAAAGATCCCTTCAGATTCATTGATGTGACAGAACGCCAATCAGGTACACTGTTCCGATTGCTTTCCTATTCATTGTCTAGAAAAGTGATAGAAAGCAAGTAATTCACTCTATATGTAGTAGCAAATGATATCAACACGGGTGTTGATAGCCAGATTTTTGAGAAGGTTTTTGGTTCCATGATGCTAGAAATTACTCAAAAGACACAATGTCATTAGGAAAGTTTCCAACAGGTCAAGCAGTATTGAATCATATATGGAAACTAAATCCTGTGCGTTTCCTTTCTTATCACCATTATTCCCCGTTATAGATAATTACAACAGTAAAGCTACCCCTCACATGGGAAACGCCATCCAACCCGATACTCCAATGGCACTGAGCCAAAATCTTCAATAAACCAGCGAACAAATACTCAAGTCGCCGGGGTAAGATAATCAAGACCATCCCAATTTTACACCTTAGGTATCCATCCATTCTACAGCCATTCGTATAATCGTTGGTCGTTAAAAAATCGTCCTTCCCTGTCACATTATCCAACCCCCAAAACCCTTGACCATCCATTGCGCCTCGCCTTTGACCCAATTACCCAATACGTAGAGTTTCATCCAAAACTTCAAGACATGGATCCTTGTGATATAGCATGAAGAGAATTAGATTCCATCGATGTATGCCCATCATCTTGGACGAATCCATATTTTCCCATTGAAAATTCATCTTCAGGCGTCCTCATTCCAATCCCGCTATCATCATGACCAGCAGCTGCATTCATTGCAGCCTCTCTTGCAAAATCCATTGGCCGAGGACCTGAGACGCGCCGCTCACCGTTCACCCCACGCCCAAGGAACTCATCACTTCCACTACTGTATCGACCTTCTTGCTGACTGTTTCTTCGACTCGCTGAGGGGTTCTTAGGCATATCCCCCATCGTTCCTTGACCGATTTCTCGCTGCATAAAACCTCCTTGCTCTGCCATGAATGCAATCATCTCGTCTAACCAACATTTAGTTACCCACCAAGCACCAAAGCTTTTACCTTGGGCGATAGTAAGATCTCTCATCACAGCTGTGCCAATTTTTTGGACACACCAAACGATTTCTGCGTGTGTAGCATACGGAAATTTGGCAGGTAGTGAGAGAAGCATGTTTACCCATCGATCGAGAACATTTTCCGTAGTTGGGTCGGCATGGACACTCGCTTGTCGTTGACGGCCCATGCGCGCAACCATTTCTCCAAAAGGGGTTTGTCCTTCTATCTCCCACGAAACCTCGCTAGGATCGAGAAGATCACGTAGTTCCGTTATTAAGAGATGAACTACGTCATCCATCCCTCTCGTAGGCACGCTTTCCGCAACTTTTCTTATGTTAACCATGGTTATAAAGTCCTCGTACATTGAATCACGATTGAAAGGATTGGATAGCATGTTTGCTGCAGCATGAGCAGTTAGATTCACTCTTAATTCTTTGTCCAAAAGACTAGCAAAAGTTGTAGCCGGTCCGACTTTCGCTTCAATAACATGTGCCGGTTGGCCGTGGAATGAGTTCTGAATATGTGTAACTAGACGGTCGGAAATGTTGCGTAAAGTGTCCAAAACTACTTTAGGCACAACCTGAAGTGTCAGAGGTGCCACGACACGCATCATACTTTGGTACATAATAATATCGCACTGGTTAATCCACGGTGCGAGGGCTTTATCGGCAAACAATTTTTGCACGGGCATCGTTAGAGTGCCTAGAAAAGCCGTGAAAAGATGGAAAAATGTTTTCTCTTTACAGAAACGAACTTGTTCGACGAGAGAAGTGCAATGAGAGCGATAGAGTGCAGATAATGCCAGTGCTGAATCTGAATCCGTGCCCGTGGGCAAAAATGGCTGGATTTTGGGGAGCGAAATAGCTCCATATTCTTGCAAAGAAGGCTCTCCTAAAGGCGCAAAATGAAGGACTTGAGGTGTCTTTGTTGTGCATTCGAGATCTGCAAGCTTCGCGACCACTGGGTGGGTGTAGAGACTGTGAGGTCTAATGAATCCCCCCGATCGTTGTTTGCGTTGCTCGGGTTCTTGAGCAATTGCGGGAGATGGAAACGGAGCTCTATCGATTGGATATTTATCCACGGGGTACTGAATTTGCGATGTCATGCTTTGACTGCTTGATTAGTATTGGCAATAAACTTACACAGGAGGTTGTGATTAACATACTTAAAACTTTGCGCAAAATTCGCATCGTTGAAGTTTGTAATGGGCTGCTGAGTTTGAATCTCATGCAATTGTGGCTGGTCATCCTTGAGACTAAAGTTGACGTAGTGGTACTTTGATTCCCCGCGCATACCAAGTCTCCGAGTTTTTAACCCCGGAAAAAGCACACGAACAAGTTTGCCGAAAGATGCAGGATTCAAGACCGTTACTTTCTCTGTGCCGCATCTCGAAACGTAGTTTGCGTAGACACGACCTCTTGGAACGGACCCTGTACCTTTATCGCAGACTTTGCTGATCCTAGAGGAATTTGTTAGTGTGATTCAAGCTCCATCACATGATGCACATACCAGAGCATAGCAAATACTTGTCTCTGTCTTTCCGACTGTGGTCCTCTTTCATTTAAAAGAAGTTCCGCAGCAACTTCTGGCAAGGTGCGGTGTTTATTTGTCTGGAATAGCTGTCTCATTTCTAACTCATTGGCGGCGCTTGATCTCGAGGCCTTCTTTGTTGTGCCAGTTGTCCCTGCTACGGAGTCTACCTCGTCTTGCTCATCACTGCGACCTTCTAAGACTTGACTGTCACCCTCTCCATAATTTTGAGCATAATTATCCATTGGTATAGATTGACGTCCGCTTTCAGGTCTATATTGCACTTCCGAATGATAAGATTGCATGTTATGATTCGAGACTCCATTGAGGGAATGCTCCATATCATAAGGTCGGGGATTTTGAAGTTGCGAAGCACTATGCATAACCATGTCTTCGGCTGACAATTGGGGAATATTGTTGTGTTGTGGATTGGAGTTGTGCTCAAACCACTGTGGCGGGTCCATATACTGCTGCTCCATTACTGGCTGTGCAAGTCCGCTATGAATACTAGTTGTGGAAGCTCGAGATTGAGGACGTTTGCGTGGTTTAGAGGACATCGCGGTGTTGGGTCTCGATCGTTTGACAGGAATTTTTTCGCCGGATGGATGTTGTTCTTGAATATTTAAAGTAGTTAGAACCTATACACATATTTGAAGAACTCGCGCACTGTAGCGCGTCATATATTAGAGACGGGTATCATCACTTACCCATAACTTCCATGCGAGGTTGTTGATCGTGAAGTCGAAGAAAATGATCGGAAAAAGTGGCTGGGCTTTGTTTATTCTGCGATGTGTACCCTTTCTTGACTTGACTATTGGCCTCTATGGACTCCTAATACTCTGATGCCAATCTGATTCTGGGATATGGATACTTACCGATTGAAAGGACAGCGAGTCGTTCCTGTTGTCGTCCTTTGTGGTGATATGTATTTTGAAAGGTTGATTTCAATTGTTTACCAAGTCTTGAGGTATTCCGGTTAACGGGGAAGCAGAACCCAGTCTAGATTAGGCTTAGTTCAATGATTGATGATGATTGGAGGATTCACAGCAAAACAAACATCAATCATAATAAAATTTGGACTAGAAAATTGGTGAAACTTTCGATTCTTCAAATGGGCGAAAGTACTGCACAGATACTTTTTTGAGTGCTGGTACGGATCGAGGAATACGTCAATTTGCATTTATTTATATCATCATTATTCGCATTCTTTCAAATTCTAATTTCCCTTATGTTGGCGGTGAACTCGGAGACTCGACTTTTCGCAGCTAGCTCATGCAAAGCAATGGAAATGTCTTGAATGAAAGTACCATATGCATTTCATATTATTATTGGGAGTTGTCAAAGTTATTCCAGAACTGTATGACAAAGTTCCACTAGTCTTTCTCAGCTATTAGACTTCATACTTTGGCTGCGAATGCTTCCATAAGAAAGGCACGAAGGAATGGAGAAGAAGGAAACAAGCAGATTCAAATATAAGAGCCACCCTTGACCACCGACCAAGTAATATCACATGTTCATGCTTTGCAAATTGTTGCTGCGAGCTGTCATTACTGTTTCCTTCCATCTATATGAATCCTTTTCAATGTTCTAATCTACTCGTACTCCTCCATATCTCCAAGTAAGCGTATAGGTAAGTCTTACATTAGAATGTCCAGATCTATTTTGTTACTCTAATCTATTCCACCGTTCACATGTGTTTTGTTATCCCCATGTATTCCATTATCGAAGAACTAATCCGTAATTTTGTTCGACGGGTTGTGGTATTCTTCATTACCATGAAGAATGTTGGCTGATCTTGTCCTGTTATTTTCCAACAGCAAGCTGCTACCATGTTCTACACTCATCTCACATACAGCTTGCATTTTGACGTGTAGCTGAAGATGATCAAGGATAACTGGCTCATTGGTAGCTCGACGACTAGATCACTAGTATGAAATAACCCAATATAAATTTATCATTGATATCTATTGATCTTATGTATATTCTGGATGATAGTACAAGAGAAACAGTGGTAAACTCATTCTCCTTCATCCCTTCAACCTCAAACCTTCGTCGGCCTGTTCTGGTCTGCGGCTTTTTCTTCTCTAGGAAGCAGTGCAAAGTTAATGATTGTACAGTTGGCATATTCAAATCTTCCCGGTCGCTATCTACCAATCAAAAGCAGACAAAATGTAAACCCTAATGCCCCCCCACCAGTCTATTCCACGTTCCTCCGAGGTTTTCTACCAGCTTCCGCACTGAGGAAGAGGAAGACAGGAACTTTAAAGGACTTGATACGTGCAACAGATTATTTGAGTAGATCTCTTCAAGTACTTTCAAACAAACGTCTTTGTGGTGAGCAGAGAAGAATTCCCCGAGTGCATTCATAAATTCCAGTATATTTTTCTACCAATTTGCTCTTTGTGCGCAGAGTTTGATGTTGACCCCCGCTCCCCCGATCGGTTGTCCAAGCTTCTCCGGTTCGTCATAGTAGCGTCAGACAAAGAACACTTTTTGCCCAACCATAGAATCCTCCTTCCTCACAAACCGTCCCACAAACACAAACAACACAAATATCAATAAGCTTCTCCAAAGTTTGCACTCACAAATCTCTACAACACACCCAACACAATCCAACACCCTTAGTAGTAGCTTTGCGCAACATCTATTTTTCAAAATGTCGTTCCAAGACAAAGTTCAGGGCACCATTGCCCAAATTGATAAGGAAGTAAGTTCCCGCACACTTCAGGATCTTGATGCGAATCTTTGGAAGATTGATGGTTTTCTGGCTATGATGGACGTGCCAAACTCTGTTGATGTATGAACCGTTTGGCTGATTGTGTGACCCAAGCTCTCCAAATACCCAACCTTGAACAACCTCGAAAAGCAAAGCAACGTTCCCAAGGTCTACGCTTTCTTGGGTGTTATTGCATTTTACTTCTTTTTCATCTTCTTCAACATTGGAGGTCAACTCCTTACGAACCTTGCTGGGTTTGTTCTTCCAGGGTACTACTCTTTGGAAGCTTTGTTCAGTGTTGGAAAAGCGGACGATACCCAGTGGCTCACGGTAAGTAATTCGCAAACGATACTTGATAGAACTAGTGCTAATATATCTAAACCTCCAGTACTGGGTCGTCTTTGCCTTCTTGACTGTCTTTGAGAGTGTGTTCACCGTTGTATATTGGTTCCCCTTCTACTACACCTTCAAGTTCATCCTCGTTTTGTGGCTCGCACTCCCAGTTACCAGGTAAGATTCATATGACCCCAACCATGCACGCATCCTCAGACAGAGCTAACACTCTTTAGCGGTGCTCAAATCGTCTTCCGCTCCTTCATTTCACCAGTCTTTTCCAGATACTTCTCAGGTGCTAGCAAGGTCAGCGCTACTGCTGACAAGTCCTTGTAATGGAACAGCAAGTGTGTACCACTATCGTGCTGCCGAAATCATCAACTCAGCAATACAGGGGCAGAATGGTGGGAACATGCGTGGAGCCATGAATGATAATTGTAGGCGTCAGATTATGAGGGGGGCGGGGTCTTGAGCCGTGGGCGTAGAGGGTAGAGCAGAAACTGCCAGACACGAATGATGTTAGTGGGACATTGCAACGAACTTCTTATCATCTGTGGGACAATTCGAGTGCTCTGTTGATATTACCTGAAATTCACCAATAGTCTCGTATTTTTTCGGTTCAAATTGATGGGATATGTGGTAGGGGAAATTTTATCGACAGTTTATTTAGGTATTGGTATGTATGATATGACAATTGGAAGGTCGAATTGGAAAAATTCGTGCCACAACTACCTCGAAATGCTTAATGACAAATTTACGTTTGATATTTGCACGTTTTATTTTAATTACCATCGTGATTGCCATATTAGGACTGTAAATTGTAAGCCAATACAATTATAGGGGTTATTACGGCACCAACTAAAATTAAAGCTCTATCATTGGTCAAGAGGTCAGTACACAGTAAGGTTAAGAGGACCGAGAGCTTGAGACTTCACTCAAACACCATAAGTTACTCTCCAACGGTTTTCAACGAACAACCCACTTTCTTTAAATATTCGGTCGATTGCAGATATGAAATTCGCAGGCCGAATCCACTGCCAACTGAAATAAATAAAACTGATGCTTGAAGTCTCCAGCGACGAGATTTGCGACTTTCCAATGGGCATTTTCCCAATACCGCAATTGCAATGCCTCTGCCAAAGCTCAGTCCGCTGCAATCGCGGCTGGCTGCGTCTCTCATGGGATCAATTATGCTCCTGATATTATATCTGACGTTTTCATCCTCTCACTTCGCATATGCCGCCGATGTTGATTCGATACGACCAGAAGATCATAACCATGAGAGGTTGATGGATATAAATATCTTGGAACTGGATAGTGAGCACGACGTTATAGAAGTAGGAGCCGAAGAATATGAGGCCGAATTTGTAGGATTTGATCGGAGCATCATTGGGAGGATTGCATCGGAGACTGACCCCATTCCATTACTTAACAATCGCGTTGTAACGACAAACATCGAACAAGGACAAACGATATCGTTTTCGTTCCTAAACTCCTCATTATGGGGTGCCCTTTCTCCAAAAGCAAGCGGTCTACCTTCTCCTGTCCAGTTTCGGAAAAGGAATGCTGGAAGTGCCGCTGATACTGGTGAGGTGGCTTTCGAGATTCCGGACCGCGAGTTTATTGGAGTCAAAGACGAGGAGCAGATTCTGTCCGGAGATCAGGGTGCAGATTCCACATTGTGGCCTCGACAATCTAGCTCCGCGAGTACTAGGGTGCTATATATCACGGTTAATACCTGCACGCAGCCAGAAGCTAAAGGGGCAAACATGGAGGCACCCTCGCAGCTAGAACTCTACATATCTGAGTCTGGGGAGAACAAGAATCCGGGACCTGGACAGGACGACAGTCTACAGCAATCTTACAAATTAGATGGTGGAGCCGCGGTAGTAACTTTGAATGCCACCGGGGATGTTTACATTGGTCTGTCGGGCTCGAATATGAGCGCGGACTACACAGGCATATGGAACGCGCAGATTGCTGCATCGATTGACGCGCCTTACCATTATTACAACAGCGACGAGTCAAATCTCCTTCTTGTGGATAGTGATAGAGGGTCAGCTCTGCTTGTTACCCATGATCTCACCACAGATAATGGCTCAATATACAATGATTGGGTTAATCTGACACCTCCCTTTACCATGTTCGCCAGCAAAACGGCAAATTCTTCCATTACAGGCCTGCAATATTCGTATTGTGGATTGGAGAATAAGGCGGAAATAGCAGGAACCATTAATGGAGGTCAGAGTACTGGCAAAATCCAAGTGTCGATGACTACGAGGGGGGAGGATGACTATCCCAAACAGCAATTATATTTTGACGGGTTAACTGCTGGCACATCCTACTATGGTATTCTCGCAATGAATGGTAACGCAACCGCTCTTGGGCGCGAGGGAGTCGGCGGTGGTGGACAAGTCTGGAAAACCATGACCTTTTCGACAATTTCGGGTATGTGGCTGTGATGATTGTTATTTATTATTGAGCTAATTCCCTGCATAGCCGACAATTGCGCTCTCGTGTATAATCTCACATTTTGCGATCAGGTTGCTTGGACAGTTCCGTCAAATCCCAACAACTTTCCAAACACTTCCGCTCTTGCAGAATGGTACGATAAATCTACCTACGAGTCTTACAAGTATTTCAAGAAAGCTTTAGCACAGATTCCTTGCAACACTACTTCGTCTGCTCAGTATTCGCTTGCTCAAAATTGCACTACTTGTGATGCTGCGTATAAAAACTGGCTTTGTTCAGTCACCATCCCAAGATGTACGGATTTTTCAAATGATCTTCCATGGTTACAGGAACGGGCTATGGGACAGCCGTTTCCAAACCATACAATGCTTAGTTCCGAGCAACTCAGCCTAGCAAACTCTTCATTGGCTATGAACGGTTCTCGAAATGTGGCTATCGATACACAGGTCCAGCCCGGGCCTTATAAGGAGATCTTACCTTGCGAGGATCTATGCTATGGGATTGTCCGTGCCTGCCCTGCCATCATGAACTTCGCGTGCCCAACCCCAGGAGATACAGGCTTTGATACAAGTTATGGCGTACGAAGAACGGCAAATGAAAGCGGGCAAGTTACGTGCAATTATCCCGGTGCTGTACATGATCGGTCTGTTGGGAGTATAAGCTCGATTCCACAAACAATGGCATTTGGAGCGGCAATGTTGAGTACGATGTTCATGTTCAGTGGCATCTGAGCAATTTTTAAAATCAGGATAAGATAAGCATGGGAGGCGTAAAGGGAAACAAACGGATCTGATCTAAATGGGACTTTTGAAATACCTCTACAAGAGAGGGTCGAATGGCATTCGAGGCTATTAGACGGCATTGTATGACACTGCATTTTTTGTATGACCATGAAACTACATAGACTTGTGCGATATATGAAGTGTATGACAATGCTCAACCACTCCTCGATCTCCACGTGATTGATAGTGAAACAAACGAGCTGCACAAGGGAGCATTCCGTCTCCTACTTCTTGACCGCCTCCCCACGAATCAAAGTCACGTACGATATACATGCATGAACATCGGGCGTTGGAGTAGGCTCCATGTTCGCCGAAGATCCAAAGCCTTACGCAGGTGTATGGGCTCATATACCTGCGTACAAACTCGCCACACACCAACGCGACCCACTCAGTAACATCCAGAGCGACTTTCCAATAATGCTAAGAAATAAGTCGGAGATAAATATCTAGCTAGATACTTAGTAACCCTTATGTAACATATAAAATGTTACATCGACATCGTTTTCCGGAAGAGGAAGGCCGCAATCGGTAAGGTCAAGTCGATAAGGATTTTAAGGAATGTATGCTCCGGCCAAACCGAACGTTTCCCATCATATTCAAAGTCAGCCTTTTCGGTTCTTTTGCTAGGATTGTTTCGTCATGCTGGTCAGTGATTCACAGGCTGCTCTGATTGCGATATAGGTAGATACTATAGAGGGACAGGCATTGTGAGGGGTCGTCGCTGATGATCCAGGGATAAAGGGAGAAGGGATGGATGGATTGTATGGATGGAATTCGTGAAACAGATTAGCATGTGAGGTTGAAAGCGAAGGTGTTAGGGTTGATTAGGGTTGTGCCAATGCTTTTTAGGTTTAGCGTTTGCTCTGGGGGTGTTAACGTCATGATGAGTTGTACTTGATGTAATTTTAAAATGTGGTCGAGAAGGGTTTGGTGTGCGTGGCACGGGCAGGCATGAACCTCGTCTTCATATTTACCTTTGGCCCTTTTGCTTCCCGTTTGCTGCAAATGATCTGCTTCCTATCAGCGTCAGCCTGGGGTGCAGAAAGGTTTGGGTTTGGCTTGCGGTTTTCGGTGATGCGATGCGGTGGGATGGTGAAATGGGTGGAATGGAAGTGGAAGAATATTTTTAGATCTTCATCATTGAACCCAGCAGAGGATGTATACGCCGAATGTTTTTATGAAAAGAATTTTCTTTATTAAGGTTATTAAATGGGAATGGGAATAGATGAAGAGATTTATTATTTTTGTTCATGGGATGAAACTTGGTAATGCATCATATCATATATGAATGACCCTTGCAGATATTGATTCTCCAAGAGATTGGTTGATTTATCTTTCATGGCTTTCATGGCTTTCAGCTCACATTTGACAAATCCATACTCCGTACCTAGCTCAGGCTGGCATCCATCAACCGGTAGATAGGTATTCTAGGTATTGTACTAAAATAATCCAAGGCTTCGTATGGTTTTATTCTTTCGTTCCGTTTCCTCCCAACTTCGATTTTAATTGGTTAGCTAAAATGGAAAAATGACACGCTAAAACGCGGTTTTGAGAAAATGTAAACAAGAAACCCTTTTAGGTCGCGAAGCACCTCGATTTCTCTCGTTTTCCCCTCCCTCATCTTCCCCTCCTCTTTGCCTTAGCCTTTATTCATTTTGATACCTTTCAATCTCTACTCAATTTTGCGACGGACGACGATGACCTTCCCTTACCTTGTAATCAATTCTTTCAATATTCTCCCATAAAGTTTGCCTTTTTTTTATTGTATTTGTTACCTGGAACTAAATCAAATTCCACTTTTGACAAAGCCTCAATCCGATCAAATCCAAATCCAAATAATCCAACGAAAATCAAAAATCTACGACTGGATAAGAAAATCAAAGATCAAGTTTTGATCCATCCGAAGCGCCAACACCCCAGAACTTCAAGACGCCCTGGCCATCTTTGAGCCACCTTTAAGTCTGAAGCACCTCTGGAGAATCACTTCACATCCAATCGATTCCGTGGCAATTCGATTACACTGTACAGTAACACTCTTGGTATCCCAAGCTACCGTCAAACCCTTTGCAAGTCTCATCATCCATTCTGTGCCTACTGCACTGTGCTGTACGTGCTATCCTTACCGTCGGGAAAAGTACAACCAACAAACAACACTCTTCGCATCTTCACCATACTGTTGCACTCAATGCATACCGGGGGAGGTACCTTACTGTTCTGTGAAATCATCACGACGTCTCTTGCCTTACAACAATTGGGGTGACTTTTACCTTTTACACATACCTGTCATACTACTCTACCAAACTTTGTAGGTTGATCAAACGATCTCAAAGACAAAAGGGGGAAAAAAGAAGAAAATCCCTCGACTTTAGCTCAGGGCTTTCTTTTTCTGGCTTCTATCAGAAAGGATCACACAGACCTATTCGACTTCTTTTACCTGGTACATGCCGGTCTACTATTGCTTGAAACGGACCTTTTAGCCAAGACATACATACTTTCGGGCCACTTCCTTGCTTCCACACATCCTATTTTCTCGTGCTCGGCATATCGCCGTCTTACAATTCCCATCCTTTTCCTCCCCGTTCAGCCTTAATACAGTACGTACAGTACAAATTCCATCACCATATTTGCGCTTGCTTTCCGCTCTCTTCTTCTATTGCTGCGCCACCATCTTCTCCACGCAAGCGCAACACATCTCACAATACATCTGTCTTTCGTCTTCGACTTGGCGATTTTTCAGTACCATCTAAATACTTCAATCTCAATTTCCTATCGTAACGCTCCACCACATACGATTCCGATATCATAATTTGATCATAGTTGCAGCAATCCAGACCATTTGCCCTTGCGTCCTCGCTTTTCCAAACTTGGAATCCACCGTAATCTCGCTCCACAATCCGATCCGTGGTCGATCCTGGACAGCACACACTCACTTGAGCACCCACTCCCGGTATGCATGCCTTTAGATAATCCTCGTTATCCCGTCGAGCGTTTTTCTCCAGAATGACATATTTTCCATAGGGCTAACATCAAATGCTCCAGCTTTTCCACACTTACCGGTACCTATTCAAAATTACTGCATCATCATCAGGTCACGCGTTGATTGAATAAATCTCATCAACACTTATCAGCGCGTCGTTGACACTCTACAATGTCTTCGTCGCGTTACACGCAGCAGCCGCTGCAAATTTATCAAGATCCCGTCACATCTTATGATAGCGCACCAATGCCGTCGACGAAAAATTCAAGAAATTCAAAAAAATCATCGCCCTTGAGAACAATCAAGAACAACGCCTCGAAACGAAATGTGATCTTCAACCCACCTCAAACTGGACCTAGCAAACACTCACCGCTGAAGTCGAATAATCATATTTCAAGTTCGCCTTCAAGGGCACCATTTGGCAATAAACTAAACATGGTACCGATGCCACCACCTTCAGGATCGCGATGCACTACCGACTCGATTGCGAAGAAGCAACCCTTTCAACCTAAATATAAGTGTGCCCCGCAGAAAGCACTATTTACCACTTTCATGAACACTCGACCTCAAGGAAAAGAGAACTGTCCACATTCTATATATTCGTCGCATTCACAACCACATTTTCGCGACGATTTTTCAAGCTGCAACTTTTCCTTGGAAGGATTGTATGGTCGGAAACCTTCACTGAAGCGGTCTTTGATGGAAGCAGCCCCCATTCCGGAAGCGAAAGTTCAAAACAAGTCGAAAATAGAGGAGGGAAATGACACATCAACCCCTCGGGAACTTCCGGAGCCGGACTCATTCCCGCCGATTCACGACGACGGCTTCAAACCTTCTCACAGTTATGCTCAGTTGATCGGCATGTCGATCTTAAGAGCTCCGAATCGACGCCTCACTTTAGCGCAAATTTACAAATGGATATCCGATAACTACACTTTCTACAACGCAGCCGACGCCGGCTGGCAAAATAGTATTCGTCATAATCTTAGTCTTAACAAGGCTTTTGTAAAACAGGAGCGACCAAAGGATGATCCAGGAAAAGGTAATTATTGGGCAATTCAACCAGGAATGGAATATCAATTCATCAAGGAGAAGACCTCACGGAAACCTGCAGGCCCCAATGAGAATCTCCCGGTCTTAAATACAGCCCTGACACCTGTCGACCCACCAGAGCCTACACCACCCACGCCAATGTTTAAGGATTTACCCTCGTCTAGCCACGAGGTATCATTGCCAAAATCAACGTATACCTTGCCAGACAACGAACTTCCTCCTATCCCAGAGTTATCCTCAGATGCCACAATTCCTGCTTCAGAATTCAACCAAGAAGTTGAAGAGGAAGACGCCCCTCCATCTTCCCCGCAAATACAATCATCCCCACCAACAGGATTAATGCATTCTTCTCCTCCTGTGGTTCGCCACGCATCGAGACGTAATCATACACCACCTCCCGTTCCACGCTTTCCATGTTCATCACATACTAGATCACACAAACCGAAAGTTTGCGTCCATGGATGATAGTGGGTACTTTTCATCACTTGAATCTTCGGCTATGAGACCAAATGGTGTCAGTCGGTTGCTAACATCTGAAGCTGATCGACCAAGGATTAAGCGTGGCCGAGCCGAGGAAGAAATCGCTCGTCTTCGTGGTTCCTCGTACGATAGCCCCAGCAAAGGCAGGTCGTTTGGTGGATTCATTCCACCATCATCTTCTCCATTACGTCGAGTTCAACCACATGACAACTATCAAATGCTGCCCCCACTTACTCCTGCTGTCAAGTTAAAGGCTCCCCTGAAACCACCACCGTCAATATCTCCAAACACAAACCTTCGCATGCATCGTGATAGGGTTAGGGAGCTCGTTGGCTCGCCAATCCGTGGCCTAACTGTTCTTGAAGATAGTGCATGGAGCCCAGCTTTCAATCTTGACAATAATTCCTACATGTTTTCCGGTTACGTGCCAGACCTTGATATATTCCAAGATTCTACAGCATCCTTTCCCGGTACAAGCAATGGATCACCAGAGAAGAGATCAGCTAAGAGACCTCGTTTGGATCGTTCGAGATCTGCAAAACTTTTATCTGATGTGACCAATTTCAACTTGAATAAGAGCCTCACCTCTACACCGATTCTCAAACTTACACCCTCGCTAGGTGGACCTTCACCATACCTATCCCCAACGAAAGGAGGTTTGCACTTTATGGATTCTCCATGTAAACCAAACAACTCTTCGAAATTCAATTCCCCAACCTTGAACCTTGGTAACTTCGACCTTCCTCAGGATGATTTTTTCAACTCTGAATTCCTCACTGAAGATCTATCGGACTATGCAGGTCTCGATATTACACAGCGCTTTCCAAAAATCGGTTCCGGAGCTCAACAACAATCAAGGAATACACCCAAGAATCAACCACCTCGACCATCAATGGGCCGAAGTTCTACTTCACGCTTCTAGGCTACTTTAACAATAGTGTATTAAATGCACGCATAATGACTTAATGAATGTTACGACATTATGGAATTTGAGCCATCAACTTCTACCCTTCTTTATCCATGGGTGGGAGACGTTAATATTTGCTCAGGGGGGTTGATAGGATATTGATAGAGTTTGGGAAAGCCTCACGGCCTTTTGTTAATGATAATGATGTTTGGGTACATATTGTTTTGATTAGCAGGCCTTTTTATTTATTCGTTTTTGTTTTTTTACTTGGTTTGCGTTGTCTTGCGTTTTTGCGTTTGCTGTCTTCGGAATTGGGAAACAAGTGTGGGTGGACTATTTCTGTGTTTGCATTTGGAGTAGGTACTTAGCAATTAGGGTGGGCGGTAACTTCTCGGTCTTTGATTTCTTGTACTCTCTGACTATATTTGGTACTGGACCTGGACATGGATCTAGATTTGACATAATGCATGGCGCTGTAGGGGGAATATTCACTCATGTTTCTACAATAGGGTTTGCAAATGGGTATGCGTTGGTGGATATCTGGGAAGGAAGGACAAACGGATGGATGAATAGCGATGAATCTAGCGATTAAGGAGTTTCACAAATTCTTACATTGGTAAGAATTGATTGATGATTAGGTTACTCTTGGCCTGCTCGTTTTTAGATGGGAAAATTCATTGAGAGTATCAGGTTGGGAAAGGATAGTTAGTGATATGAAGAAATCATGAAATGAGGAAATTCCTTTCAATATATGAAATTTTTAAACTTATTCTTGATCTTGTATGTGTTGTAGTGATGTGTGTTTGTGAATATAATGGGAGTGAATACGGTGCAAGGCAGAATAGGTGAATAAATTGATAAGTTATAAATCAACAAGTGAACAGATTTATAATCAAGTAAATGAATAAATGAGTATTATATTGATTGAAATAAGGTTATTTCTTATCTTACAACACTATCTATCTAAAATCTATCTATATATTCGACACCCCCATTATAATTTCGCTTAGATAGAGGGGTAGATGAATGGATGAAAACACTTCTTCATTTTCTCATTTTCTCATTTTCCCGTTCTTGAGAGGAAAAGGAGGGGGGAGAAGGAGGGGGAGAGAAGAAAGAAGAGAAAGGGAAAGTGGGAAGGGGGGGATATAAATAGGAGAATTTTGAGAGATATTTACTGGGTTGTGGGATGTGGGATGTGGGATGCTTGATGTTTACTAGAGTGGATGATGGGTTTGGTAGTTGTATGTGGTTGTGGTGGTAGTACAAGGTTAGGATGGGTTGGAGGTTGAGAAGGGGATGAGTTTGGATGTTGGGATAGGATAGATGGGATGTATTAGAGTTGGAAGTAGATAGATTTTGGATTAGGAGGAGAGGGGGGTGGGGGTGAAGATGAAGAAAATGGTATGAAATATGATGAGAAGTGAAGAGAGAAGATTAAAGGAGAAGAGATAGATGATTAACAGTGTTATTCTGGGAGCATCTGAAATGGCGGCGGAACACCAAGGGCCTCAAGTATCTAAGCTCTTTTGAAATGAATAAGCAACATTACCGAGCACTATCAATAAATGCCACGGTACCTTATTTGCAAGTAAAGACTCTCAACAGCTACCACCAGAAGCAGGTATAGATGGATTTGGATATTTAGGATTTTGGGGAGCTGTGATGTGCATGTATATATGATTATGATTAATTATATAACTGGTTGAATAGTTATTGTATCCTGATATTCTAATGTTTTAGTATTTTGTTTAATTATAAAAGATTTTTATAGGGGATAGTGTGACCAAAAGGGTGTTTATAGACCAGCAATTGTATTTAACTTAGAATCTACAGGTGAAGAGCACCTGTAGATGGGGATAGCTACTCTATATACACACAAATGAATGGCCTAGCCGCAATGGCTAGGCAAAAATAAGTCATATTTATCCCTCCAACGATCTTACTTTGCCGATAACCATTGATACCTAGTACTTGTCCGGATCTGATCCTCAGGTCACCTGAATCGTGACAGTTACGCCTGGTAACAGGAAACTCTCATGTGCAATCAATATCACGTGACTGGCTCAGTAAGGATCAGTGAGCTCAGTACTGAGCCGCATTGATCCTACTGAGTAGCCATCGGCACGAAGGTCTATATAATCTAGATGGATTTCCTTTGTATAGAGCTTCGTGCTCAAGATCAATCATTTAGTATACTCTACTATTAGTTACGAATTGCATATCATTATTGTCATTACTTAAGTCCCTGCTTGACGCCTAGTTGTAAACCACCTCGAGAGCCTAGAGCACTTCCACGTGATCTAGATGGCAAACCTCGTAACAATTGATAATAAAATTATTTTAAGCTTCACTTTAAAGGGGTTTTGTAAATATTTATCTACTCATCTATCTATATACCTACCTACCTACCTACCTACCTTTCTATCTAAATAGATATATTTTTCTTAAGTGAAGTACAATTACTCATAGAAAAATAAATTCACTAAACCCTATCAAATATCATACACACCCATACACCCATACACTCAAAGATCCATACATTCAATTCAACCTCTAATAAATAAACAATATATTCAAACCAAACCACTGCACTCCGCTCAAATCCACCCGAATCCAAAGATAATCCAACTCCCAACTCCCAAGTCATAGATTTCATTCCATAAGATATACATCAATAAAAACAATCACCAAAATCCAGTAATCCAAATAACATAAAACTCACCCACCTAACCTTACCTCATCTCACCTCACCTCACCCTACCTCACCTTACCTAATCTAAGCCACTCACTCACTGTTTCACAAACCTACTCATAACAAGACAACTATTCAAAACTTTCCAATCTCATTTCACCATAGCAACTACAAAGCAATAAATGACTTACACACACATCTACACATCTACACATCTACCTCCCTAGCCAGCTAAACAAACCACTACCAAAAAAAGAAAGTATATGCCCAATCCCGGTACCGGTACCGGATGATCTATCTACATTAACAGCATGTATTACACATGAGAATATACTTTACTTTACTTTTACTTTCCTTATGCTGTACATTATTTAACAATTACCAATGGGATGATAATATTTGGAATGGTGGCTAAAAATGAAATGAAATTTGCATTGTATTTTGATACTCACATATGCTTGATGGGAAATTTAGGAAAATATTTTTTGATATAACAGGGAGGGACCAGCTTTTAATGTTCTACTCCAGGAGAAGGTGTAAATGTTTATAAACGTAATTAGTTTAAAATAAAAATAAATTTCATATTCTATTCCAAGTACATTAATTAATACATAATAAAGAGACTTCGATAATATCCCAAAGCCTTGAATATCCATCCATCCAAGCGACATCCAAATCTCAAATCTCAAATCTCAAATCTCAAATCTCAAATCTCAAATCTCAAATCTCAAATCTCAAATCTCAAATCTCATAAATACAAAAATATAAAAATGGGGGTCCATCAGATCAGTCACCATTTGAAAAATCTCTCATCTTCGGATACCCGGCCGGGCTCTTGGAAACTCTCGTGAGGAACAACACAAATATTCATTTTGAGATACACACAACTGACACATGGTGGGATTTGCAGTCATGCGCCAGTGACAGTTCATACCTCGTGTGTATCTAACTTTCAATGCCTAAAACGCCTTGACTTGAGATTACTACTGTAGATGCTGTCCTTGTGTAGCATGTAACCACTTGGACGTGGGGGTTTTTGTGGTGAATATCTTGCGGTGAGGAATTGAAAGGTTTGAATATGTGTTTGGTGGTAACATAAAGGATGATTGAGTGGTGGTTGCAATTGTGTGAAAATTTCACATGAAAATTAATATACTCCTTATCAATTGAGAGTTGAATATGCTTGTGTTAGGTGTGGTTGTTGGGAGATGTGGCGCTCAGCGGGGAGCCGGATGCATTTGATATTCAGCCATGAAATGACAAGTTGATATGGTAAGATCTTACTTTCACACGTGTGCTCAGATGAGTGCTTGCGTTAGGTTAGATGACATGATTTATAAACTTAGGAATGAGTGAAATTGTGCGGTGAGACAGAAATGTGATATTTTCAAAGGAATGCACTGTCCATTGATGCATTCACAGTGGTTGCTCCGAACTTTTGATATAGAAATCATCTTGGACACACATGTGAGAATGACCATAGCAACCTGCCAATATTGTATTGGTCAATTCTCACCCCCAAATTATGAGGATGTGATGATAGATGCCAAGGTACCGAGAAATATGAGGGATTGATCTATGAGGGATTTAAATATATATGAAATGTAAATTAAAAAAGCTTATTTTGAGGTACTGTGTAATGGTAACACAACGTCGGAATAACCAGTAGGTTGGAAAAGGAACGATGAGCTTTAAAATTGTGAGAATGTAAAAGGGTCGACAGTGTGATGGGAGTGATAATTATGATTGGTTGACCATGGAATGCAGTCAAGAGGTCGGTTTAATACGGAGAAACAAGGTATAATAAGTGTACAGAGTACGTATGGTATATTTGGAGATGTGAAATATGAAATATGCAATTCAAAATTCCAATGCACTTGCGGGAGATGATCCTACGAGATATCCTAGTAGATGTTGAAGAAATGACAGGCCAAGGTAGGTAGGTAGATAGATAGATACATAGATAGCTGGGTAGCTAGGTAGAGTAGGTACTTGTGATAATGCCGCATGTGTTGGCATAATTCTGGGGTACTGTACCGTCCGAACCATTTAGGTATAGATGTTTATTTCAAGATACCTGGCTTGTCTCTTCCCGCATATTTAGGGGATAAAAATGTAGCTGAAATGGAGAACTTTCCAAAGGTGCAGTGCAGCACATACATCAACGCGAGCTACTTTCATGTACATATGTAAGATGCTCCGCGTTAGGTAAAAGAATATCTGGGGTACAAGATAAGGAACCGGAGTAGATTTGGAGAAGAAAAGGTAAGAAACAGCGAACTATTTGTAAACACATTGCAAAGTACCTACCTAGTGTGTATGTGAATGGAGTGAGGTTGCGTGATATCTGAAGAAAGAATGAGGTAATTGCATTGATAGATAGATACTAGGTAGGTTGATAGAAGATAGATGGATCGATATCAAGGTTGATTGGTTGGTTGATATTTGACATTGGAATTTGTTGTATGGTACTCGAGTAGCGGCAATATAATATATATACATACAACACTCAAAGTTGCATCCACCTTCTGGCAATATCTGTTTAGGCGGAGGAGGAGTAGCGGGAGCGGGGTAATTAAGACTTTTTTTTTTTGATTAATGTGACGTCGGTTGAATGCGGATAAAAAGTTAAAAAGATAAAGAATCCAATTTGTACGGAGTACGAGTAGTAGTTGCCTTTGCTTTTGCATGGACAAGAAAACCTCGGGTCAAAACTCTTGGTTTCATATAGGGCTGAATCTGAAGAGAGAACATTTGCTTTGATTTTGGATGTTTTTGAAATATGAACATGGAAGTCTATATTCGTGTCTCGTATCGAAGTTATTTTATCTATTTGAAGGATCATTGAATGAAGATATTGAAAAATATTGACATGGATGATTTTAAAGGGTCTAACTTCTAGTAAGACCAAACCATCATCCCGTCTTATTAGTCAATTGATAATTTAATGGTGTCGGTGATTGAATGTTGGTAGGTCTCTGTTGTTTGGCCAGGGTCAAGTAAATAAATCATAAATTAGACGAAGGAAAGAAAATCAAAATGCTCTGCCCCTATAGGGCTCATAGGGTTCATCAGGTTGATAGGGTTCATTCAAAGGCCGTAGAGGTTCAAGTAGTGAAGTAATAATAGAGTAATGGCCAAGAATCACAACCACTGGCCCATCAATACGAGCGTAATAAGGGGAGGGCGAAGAGGCAGAGGAAGAGGGAAGCCAACTTGATGCCAAGTGGAACTTAGCGATACAGTTTCCGTGAGTACGGAGTAAGCCCTCACACCATTTGAACTATACCAATTCATGCACATGCGCATGCTCATGCTCATGCCCATATTCATGTCATGTTAACATCATCTGTCGGAAGGAGCGCCTATTGCTTACTGCTTATTTAAAAAACTGTTGTATCCTTCTTTAACCGATGTGGCGAGAGCTGCGGCAACAATATAAATTTAAAATCCTTTGCTGAAGTTAACGTTCCCTCTGAAGTTCCTCTGAAAGTTAACATGTACGCTTACCAATCAACAACACCTGGGCAAATGTGGGAAACAGGTGAGTCTCAAAACAGCAGTTGATGGAGGAGATTTGGTGCGGCATCTATGACGATGGGTGAAACTCTCTTTCATTCCATTTCTTTTCATTTTTGAGATCTTCCATCTTTCTATCTTCCCATCATCACATATCCGTCAATCAGGTGTTGTAGTCCGGGGACACTTCGAAGTCTCGGGATCTTTTGGAGGTGGAGTGGAATCTTTGAGTTGGCTAACCTTGGCAAGATGACTTGTTATGAATTGATCTTTTGACTTGAAGTTAATGGAAATGAATCGTGGTTGATTCTTGATCTATTGAGTAAGGGTGACAATTGATTTATGTATCAGTCTTTATAATCAATTTCTCTCTTCTTGGGAAAGATCGAAGGATTCGCCTTCTCCCAAGAGATTTAGTATCATATTGCATGGTCGAAAAACATGATAGGGGGTACATTATCTTGCCGACTTTTGATAACTACTCAGTACTCCGGCCCCAGCATGGTGATCTCATTGCACTTTGACACGATAATGTTATACTGCCGCCTTGTGTAAGGTAATCCCACAAATTCGAGATACTAAAGAGTAATAAAAATCCACACAGAGGGGAAAGACACCAATGGAGACATACATGTAAGACTTAGCAATGGGCTCTGCTAACCAACAGAAAGCAAAGGTCGGTCAAACGATAGACCCTGGCTAATCAGATTTCCACATACCGAGTAACGAAACGACCCGTACACAGCTGCTCCATTGACCTGCTCCGTACACCTACACCTAATATGAAAGACGACCTCGAAATTATTCCCCTTTGAAGGCTTCAAGACCCGAACCTTGAATTTGAGCAAGAGTCACCCTCCCCTAGTCTAGTATGTTCCAACCGTTCAACGTCAGCATTATGCAACTAATTAATCTGCATGATGCAGCTCTGAAATCGGGAGGTTGTTGACCACAGACTAGGATTAGATTACGGAGTACTCTATTCTCAGCATACATTGTGTCGAAGGTATGAGAATGATGTACTTTAAGCATGTAAGTGCTAAGTATGGACCATGTAGGTAAGGAAGTATGTGTGTGTGTGTGTGTGTGTGTGTGTGTGTGTGTGTATATTTGTAGGTACGGTAATATATGTATGGATGGATGTATGTACGGAGTATGTACGGAAAATGTACGGAATATGAGTAAAGTGTACGGAGTATATGAGTAAAATGTGCGTAAGGTTTATAGTCAGTCAGTTAGTCAGTCAATCAGTCAGTTCAGTCTATTTGCACACTGTATTCATAAACGCAGCCATTGAAAATCCAACCGGGATAACTTGAGATTAATCCCTCATAGAAAGCCCCTGTGCATACAATTTTTACACTGAAAGAATTTTCTTCATAGACCTGTAACTGTGACCTGTTGGACCGAGGAACGCTTAATCAAATGTTTGACATGCAGAGTATACTATAATAATAGAGGGGAGGTATTTTCATAATTATTCTCAGGATACCTACCTAGGTAGCTAGATAACCTTACCACTTGTAGAAATATTTAAATGAAGTTTATTCACTAATACGATTATCAAATTTATCTATTCTGTACCTCTGTACTTCTGCACTCCTGTACACAATTTGATTAAATCCCTGAATTGCATGTAGAAAACGTGCATCCACCCACAGGTCACTACAATAATAAATAGTGAGGAGACGTACTGAAAGCGGACCGACCTTCTTTCCAAGTTTGAAAATAAGTCAAAATAATAAGTTCACAAGTCGGCTACTTTACTAGGCAGTTATTAGGTAGGCAATGTAATTTTGGTATACCTTTATAGTAATTATGATTATAATAATTATAATCATATCTAATAAGAATCCCTTTTCCCACTCTTCAAATTTTATAACAAAGGTGCGAAATATTAAAGAGGCAAAAGGGTCCTCCTCTTTCATTGAGAATCTTTGAATCTTTTTCTCGATTCTTCCACCAGCCAGCATACCTCAGCTGTCTCCTACCTAGGACCTATTCGATCATATCCTATCCATCCTATCCTGCCGTATTATATCATACCTAGTACCTGATTGTACTCGACCTTTTATTATTAATATTATTTCCAAGCAAGGCTGTGTACTTTTGTGCTTTAACATTCTTGTTTGTACTCAAGCTGTAACCATCAAATACTAAGCTACTACCACCTACTCACCATACTTATTACCTACCTACATAGATATTCGATATTCGATACTCGAGGTATTCGTATTCCGTACGACACTACTTTAAAGAGACGGGTAAAGCGCACTCCAGACAGACATTACTACGGAGATTACCACTCCCTTCACCCAGAAATTACCACGAATCTCAAAGCCTGCTCCTCCTCCGACTACAGTACATACACACAAAGCCCACCAGAGTATCCCGACGGGATCCATAACCATTTTTCAAGTCTACCGGTGAATTAGGCTCGAAATCACCTAGCACGCACCACACTGCCAAGTTAGGACCGCCCACTATCGATTCGGACATCACATAAGCTTTTTTTGGTGGCAGAGAAATCGAGATAGAGATAATTCCAATTTCTTAATAATTCGAGATTCCCGACCACCAAACTTCTTTTTCCAACTTCATTTCCACTTCACCGAAAAGTTTCAATTAAAGATTCAATATTCGTGTCGAGGCAAACCAACAAGAATATAAAGAGTCAACCTGATTCACTTCCACAATTCCATCACCATTGACTCCTCTGATTTATAATTCCCTACTCAAACGGACTTTCCACTTTCAACCTTTTTCCCGCAGACGTCCCACAAGTCAGAACTTACAAGCCCACACGCCCACACAAAAACACGAAAACACAAATTTCCAACAAAGCACGGGCATTGCCCGCTACCTCCGCCTTTGGCGGACATCTTTTTACTGATTGCAATCGATACGAAGCGCTTCTCAAATTCTTCAAGAAAACTGAAATATCATGGCTTCAGTCGCGGTACCAAGAGATCTCGTCGTAGAGAAGGCACAGCCCTCACCCACGCCCTCTCTTCCCTCTTCCTCACATGGATCACCTCAATCTCGCCCTACAACTTCAAATATGAGCGCCATCACAAGTACCGAAAACCTAAGTATGAATGGAACTCTTACGCCACCTCCTCCGGTTGTTCTCAAGACGGCACCTATGCCCACCACTGCTGAGAAGCCCTCGATGACGAAACGTTTGACAAGAATGTTCTCTACGAAGGATCCAACGAGGTCGGAAAGTAGCATCTCATCTAGTGCAGCATCTGCCTCTTCGACCCCAAAGCCTGCAGATGGTGCCACATCCCCATCATCGTCGAGGCCTGGCTCTCTATCTCGAAAGACTTCCTCACAAGAAAAGAAGAACCCCTCCGATAAACCTAGTACAGCATCTACGACGAGGGATAAAAATAGTTCGACAAAGGACAAAAAGGCACCCGCAAACCATCAACGATTCCTTACTATGCCTGATGTGCAAGGCGGTCATGAGCATCATCTGAAGAGTGCCAAGAGACAAGAGAAACTTGGGGAAATGCTGCGAGGTTTGATTAGCGGGAAGGCGAAACAATCCGAGGCCCATGAAGGCGAACAGCAACTCTCACTAATGTCAAACTGGGTGGATCAGCTAAAGCGTGAGAAAGAATCCCTGGCCACAGAAAAGAAGGGTGGACCCAACGCGACGGCCACATTGGTAGATAAATATGGAAAATGTAATGAAGTTATTGGCCGTGGTGCTTTCGGCATTGTTAGGATATCTCACAAAAGATCTGAGCAGGGAACAGAGCAACTCTATGCTGTGAAGGAATTCCGAAGAAGACCCGAAGAGAATGAAAGAAAATACAGCAAAAGGCTTACTTCCGAGTTCTGTATATCTTCCTCATTACGACACCCTAACGTTATTCACACTCTCGACCTCCTCCAAGACTCGAAAGGGGACTACTGTGAGGTTATGGAGTTTTGCGCAGGTGGCGATCTTTACACTTTAGTTCTCGCAGCGGGAAAGCTCGAAGTGGTAGAAGCGGATTGCTACTTTAAACAGATGATGCGTGGCGTCGAATATATGCATGAGATGGGAGTTGCTCATCGAGATTTAAAACCTGAGAATCTTCTTTTGACTACACACGGCTCTTTGAAAATAACAGATTTTGGGAATGGCGAATGCTTCCGAATGGCGTGGGAAAAGGACGCACACATGGTAACTGGGCTTTGTGGTTCCGCTCCTTATATCGCTCCCGAAGAGTACATTGACAAAGAATTCGACGCAAGAGCTGTCGACGTTTGGGCAACAGGTGTGATTTACATGGCAATGCGTACAGGTCGTCACCTGTGGAGAGTCGCGAAGAGAGATGAGGATGAGTTTTATGAGAAGTATTTAGAAGGTCGCAGGGATGAGGAGGGATACGCTCCCATCGAGTCGTTACATCGGGTATGTCTCCTATTTACAAATTTCGAGCTACATGAACTAACATCAAGATAGGCACGCTGTCGTAATGTTATCTATTCGATACTTGATCCTAATCCTCATCGTCGTATCACGGCTTCGCAAGTTCTCAAGTCCGAATGGGGCCGTGAAATAAAACTTTGCCAAGCTGGTGAGGAAGGGCTCTGACATTATATGCTGGATAGTGGAATTACATGCAGAAAGAGCATGTTCAAGAGCATGATCGAACAAGCAAATGTCCAAGGAGGTATGAAACCATGTAGGACTGAACATAAATTCCGCTCCACCAGCAACTTCGAATGTCATGAGTGTGGTTTCATTTGTTATTATGACCCAACTGGAATGGGAGCATATAAGGAAGTCAAAAACGACACTGGTGTCTCAACAAGCATCGCGCAATGAGGGGTGGCATATTTCACATGAGCATTGCATTACAGCAACAGTTTGGCGTTTCGGGGATTTTTACAAGCAGCATAGCATAGCACAATTTCGTTTCTTCCAAACCCTGGCTGCTTTACTTTTGAAGCCACAATTTTTAAGATTTACTCAATTTTAGCCATGGGTCTTTTTTCCTTTTCTAGGGCGAATTTGGTGGGGCAGCGATACAGAAGGGATCTCTTCTTCTTTTACGAGTACCCATGATACAATTAGGACTATGGCATGATACAGTCGTTTTTTCTTCTTCCTTTTTTGGACAGTTACAAATTTTATTCTCTTCTTTTGAGACTAGTTGCCTAAAGTATTTTCCTTTTGGCTCTCTCTGTCTCATAGTCATAGTTTTTTTTATTGGGTGGATGGATGAGTTAAAATTAGCTTGCTCTTCATGGTTATTACACGTGTGGGAGTTCTTTCGGTAGAGGGTGGAATGACTGCATAGCTTGCTTGCTTGCTGGTTAGTTAGTTTGTTGGCTGGGTGGAAGGAGGTTTCTGTGTATTTGAGCGCAAGAGAAAGAGAAAGAGCGAAAGGAAGTTTACATTACATGATGAATCGGTATGGATGGCTGAATGGATGGGTAGGTGGAAAGGAAAATGGAAAGTTATTGGTTGTGTGTGTGTGCATCCTCCCATACTGCGATACTGCGAGCGATACTGTAGATAAATGATGAAGGAGATTGATTAGAAGGTGTGGATGGATTGATATTGAGAGATTGAGATTGAGATTGGGAAATCCATCCGTGGGTGGGGAATGAATACATAGAACTCAACCTCATACTCATACTCATACTCATTGACAAGTGTAGGTAGGTACCTAGGTACCTAAGAATTATACTGTACCGAGTAAAAAGAGTCAAGATGGATAGAGAAAAGAAAGAATGTGAATGAAGATACAAAAGATTAAATTGAGTTATTGTTGAAATGAAAATATTGAAAATACTGAGAATATTGTGAATGTAGATGTGGTGTACTAGGTAGGTAGGTAGGTATTTATTTAATTTTTATTTTGCTTTCGTTTGGATTTTGACTTTCATTTTTATTTTTATATCCATTTCCCTCCCTTTCCTATCCATATACCCCGTCCATATTCAATCAACTATTTGCTACTCAGTTTAACTGAACAGTTGATCCAATCCAATCCGATCCGATTCAATCTAAACCATTGCCCCCCTCACTACTACACTCTTTCTCTTCGAACTCTGCATCTTTTTATACCCGTGCTGTCCTGTTTGTGACCAGCAATATCATACTGTTAATACTGTACTGTACCTGTAATAATTGTACTTGAACCAAATCATCACATTCCAAAATCACACACAACAAGAAGAAGAGTATTAGAGGGTTATTTTATTCGCATGGAAAAGAATAGACTAGAATCCATTCATTCATTTTCTGAAAATTTCCCATCCCTTAACCTTCACCCCTGCCGCGTCCACCCTCAACTTTCAAAGGCACCAAAAAAACCCTCATGGAAATTCATTGTATCCCCCGTTCCTTTTTCCCATCCATCCATTCAACCCCAATTTCACCCTGTACCACTTTCATCAACCCTAGCGAATTAAATAGATTGTGTCCATTATAACCATGAATCAACGTATCAATCCTATGAAGAATGTAAATAAACCATGAGATCATAATGGCTCAAGAAAGTATACTGACAGGCACGTACAACATGCTCTGCCATCATAAAACGCAAAATGAGTATTGCCGTTCCAGAAAATAAAAGTGAAGCTCCGGTTATAGCATTATTGTTGGATAGACAAAAGAAAGAAAGATAGACGACGAGAAATAAACTAAGAATGGAGGAGATCCCACGCCCGAGTACACAGGCGCAAGAACTCTTCCTTCTTCTGTTGTGTGGTCATTGGACTGTCTCGTCCTTCACCAAATGGCCCAGTTCTTCTTGAAGTTGGAGGACCTTGTCCGAGGGGTGGACTAGCTCCTTCCTCGTATTCTGCTCTAGGTCTTCTTCTACCACTGCTTCGACTAGCCTCTGAAGCTCTTGAGTTGACGTTTGTGGGTGAAGGAGGTGTAGGTGGTTGGTGACCTCCATAGTGTACGAGCTTAGGTAAAAGTTCAGCACGGCCACCAGCTAAATCAGCTTGTGCATCCTCAGCAGAACGGTATTCACGAGGACGCTGATGTCCTGCGGATGCAGGTGGCTGTGGTGCATGTCCTGGAGATGGGAAGCCTGGCCTCGAGTTGGAATGCGAAGAATTCGAATTTGAATTTGAATTTTGGTACATGTTAGCTCGTGGTGATTCACGGTGTGCGCCTAGATTTTCAGCCGCGAAGACATCCGCGATTGGTGGTAGTCTGTTGGCAGTTTGAGTAGCAGGGACGTGGTGAATGTGAGATGTGTTGGAAAGATTCGAAGGTTGGTTGGCGACGTGACGGGTCAAAGGTTGTGGTTGATGTCTACCAGGAAAGCTGTGGTGCATAGGAGCGGATTGGATAACTCTTTCGTTTGCGAATTGCTCGTGGGACGGTGCAACAATGCTTAATCCTGGCGGCGCCTTTCTCCTCGATGTACCTGGTGTCTTCGCTGGCAACCCACTCAATTCCCTTTCTTTAGCACTCTCCATTGGCGCATCACCTGGCTTTGCAGTTTGTTGTAATCGTGACTCAATGATATGCCTCTGTTGTTCACGGACAGATAAACTTCGCTGTAATTGTTCTCGCATCGTTGGATCTTGTGTGACAAAGCCTGGCGAGAGACATGCTAATCCGACGTCTTGAATACCCAGTCCACCAGACTCAGCACCTCTACCTGTCAATTGACTAGCTGATGGTCTTCCAGTACCCGGATGGACACTTGAGGTGTTTTTGGTCAGGTCAAGCTTTCGAGGTCTATGACGGGAAGAAGCTGTGATTTCAGGCGAGGATGGTTCCTTTTTCACAATTATCTTGGGCGGTGGACCATTTCGAGAACTACTGAAATTATGACGTTAGTATAATTGTATCTGACAATGAATGAATTGATAATAAATCGAGAAAAAGTACGTACGTAGTAGGTGAAGGTTTTGTTGGAGTTGATTTTGGGCTTCCGCTCCCTGTACGTTGTGCTGCCATTGTTGCGTTCGGTGTGGCCGAGGTAGGTACTCTTTGCGCCGGAGGAGAATTCGAAGGTTTCGAGGGTGTGATATCAACATATGATGATCTATCGTGAGGTACAGGTGAAGGAGCCATTGCAATAGCTGTACTCATTTTGATCGAGGTACGAATGTGTATATGAATGAGGAGGAGCAAAAAAGAAAAGGATTGGTGTGGGAGATGGTGAAACTTGCTGATGTTTGAAAATGAGGGAGCCTTCTCGCTTTCTCGCTTCCTCGTCTCCAATCAATCGCTTGTAAGTAGGTAAGTAAAGTAAAGTAAAGTAGTAAAATCTTGTCTTGCTTGAATCACTCTTCACTCTTCGCTCTTCGCTATTTGCAGTGCAAAGAGTAAATAAAATAATGCACGCGTTACTGGTTTATGTGGTGTGGTGTGGTGCAGTAGTAAATGGCTTCTCTTTCCCTTTTACCTCTTCCCTTCCGATTCTTGTACTCTCCCTCTTTCCGTATCTTTCAAGATTCGGATTCGTGCGTCCGTCAGTCGGCGTATTTCCACAAATTCAGCGTAGAATTTGATTACTATACTTTCTATCCGATGTACAAAAGTGTATAGTCGCAAACCACAGGGTGAGATGTAAAAAACAAATTGTGGCAGTTTCGTTCCGTTGACACGAGCGAAAGTTGTGAAAGCTGATTGATGCCCAGAGCTAGCAGTAATAAAGCGAGGTTTTGCGTATTTTTGATGGGGAGTTGGATGGTGGTTTGACTCAAGTTTTGACCCTCTCTCTACCAGTTACGTAGCGTAGCAGGTAACGAATAACGGCACTGGGTATTTATTTCCAGGTATACTGTTATTGTGGTGAGGAGTGAATGAATCCCTGTGAGATGTTTATGTATGCGTACTGAAGAGGAATTGACTTCGAGTGTGAGTTTCCTTTTTGAATGTGCCGACGCGTAAGAGTATAATCCTGATGTGGTGTTGTGAAGATCCTGGTACTGACACTGACTGATTGACTGACTGACTGATAGCAGTAGTCGAAAAAGGAAGGAGGCTTATCGAGTGATAGTACCGTACACCAGGAGTAGTGATATGGATAGCTTTAATGCATATGATGGGGTGAAAGGTATCTATCTATCTCTCTTTAGATGCTGTTATCGATGTTGTTATATGTAGATAAATCAACAAAATCAAGTCCGCGAGCAAGAAGAAATAGGTAGTAACAGATGCGATTGAAGAGGGGTTACTCCTTCATAAAAGAGGTCGCAGCAGTTTGAGAAAGGTCACATTGGGTCAGGATGGGTGGCGGTGAGGTTTTATGAATCAAATTGAAATCGAGGCTTTTTCCAGGCTTTCGAGGTAATCGAGGTTTGTTTAGGTGGGTGTGTTTCAGGTTATTTCGTATACAGCATAAGTTAAGACTTCTTAAGACTCTTAGCGGGATCCTATATACTTTATTACCCAGGTAGTATAGATGGTCGGTTTTAGTTTTTAGTAGATGCAGAAGTAGGAAGTAGGCTAAATCTATCTATGGAGTATGTTTATTGATAACCCAAACCATTCATTCGATATTAATAAAATGTTCTTTTTCCTTTTATAAACTCTGCCCACCTACCTAGGTATCCTCAGATAAATTGGATGATTGGATTAATTAGACTAATTGAATTAGAGATGCAAAGAGACCCTCTCCACCTCTTAAAATGGTCAAATCAAGCAGGCAGATACCCAGGTTGATCAAAAGGAAAGAAGAAGGGAAAAAAAAAGAGGTTCAAACACCCGTGCTAGTGCTAAGGAATCGTGTGGTGCACTGGTGTCCGAATACTAGCTAGTTAGACTGAGGAGCAGGGTGGGAATGGATTCATTGGTTATCCAGGCTGTGATTCAAGGTTCTTTCGGCTGTATGGGTTGTATGGGCTGTATGATTGTTTGATATGGTTGTTGGTAATGGATCCAATGGGTATTCGATATTGCAATGGTGATACGAGTTCACATACGTGGGTATCGATTTGTCTGGATATTGAAAGATTGACAGGAACAGAAAGATTGACTTCCAAGATGAGATCTTGGAATCTGGATACAGGAGCTGAAGGTTAAAAGAATTGATCGAAGTTGGATACTGGATACTGGATACTGCGTGTACAGATGGATCCAAACCCTTCTACCGGTATAATAGAGTGGTATTCCGTCCAACTTGAGGCATCGCTGAAGGATCCTTGGTTGAGAGTCAATGCGTTACTTCCAACTCATGTAGATTTCAAGATTTCAAGATTCCATTTATATATAGTCCGACAATTGGAGTTTGGCCTTTCTAGCCTTTTCCTAGGAAAAGACTTGAGAGGGGTTGACGTTTTGATAGAGATTAGGGAAAAGATAAAAAGGAGGGGAAATGATATGTTCCAGTCAAATCACCCGTCTCATGTATTTTTGAATGCCAAAAAGGTGCTTTCGTATGGAGGTATGCGTATGTATTCGTGTGTCCAAAGACGTAACTGTTAGTTGGGATCCATAATAGTAAATAGATTTGAAGATCTCATATGGAAGAATTCCCAAAGGAATAGAAATTGGAGAAATATGGAGTTTCATTATGGAGGGGAGGGATTGGGAATTTGATGAAGATCCAAATTATCCATCCATTCGACACAACTTTTGACGTTTTGTTTCTACGGAGTATGCTGGGTTTGATTCATTTGCTCTGATGGGTAAGGATTTCATTAAAGTTGGAAGATCAATGCTGTTATCGTTAAGCATTGATATCATAATTCAAGATGGGATGAAAGGATGAATTCGCATATACTATGTCCATGCAGTTATTTGTTGATGTGTGAACCATTCACCATTCCTATATTTGATACCTACCTAGCAAACGACAGCCATGAGTTAGTTGTGTTGCCATACGAGATTCCCTCCATAAATTGCTTATGCGCAATATATCGTATCATACTCCCAAGAGAGAAGAGGCTCATCTCAGGAAATGAAGTTCAAAGGAAGCTTGGACTTTCTGATAATGAACTATTGTTTTACATTCAACTCGAAGGGCAGAGAGTGCGGTACCTAGGTAGTACCTGGCCTGACGGGATTCGGATAAATAGAGTTGTTACCTAGGTGCCTAGTAGTAGTTATTATTATTATTATTATCCTTGGTGAAAATAGCAGATTAGATCTGGGCAGCCGGTGTTAATGTGGTGGGTGGATGCGGTTGGCTCATGAAAAATAATCAAAACATGAATCCAATCCTAAATGTCTTTGGCCATTACCATTTTCTCCCCCAAATGGATATAAGACATGATCAGAAATGATCACTATTTGTATGGATCGCCGTTGAAGAGTCTCAGCTAGATCTTGAATGGTGAAGACCACCACAGAAAACCAAGGCAAGTTTCAATGTTTGTGTTCTTAAACCGTCCCATGAATCTAAAGATTTTCATCAAAACTCCAAAAGATCGTTTTTCATGCTTTTGAGTTTCAACCTTTTTTTAACCCCGGTAAGTTCTGATCTGCAGGATCTAGAAATCAATATTTCATAAGTGCTTTATTATTAGTGAAACCCTTGCTAGTCCCGCATCAAGTTTTATTCAAATTGCATATCGTTATCATCATTTTAAGCTTAGGGGCGAAAGCATTTGTTGTCCCTTTCGTTTCAATGATAATTTTATGAAATGAGATGCAGTCCTGATCTGGCGAGCACTTAATATACATCACACGAATTTGAAATAATCGTTAGATCTTGCATGCATGTGAGTGACTGTCCCTACCGAGGAAGTAATAAATAATTATTACTTTACAGTGCTTCGGATAATTGCATCGAATATCTGATTTGTACAGAGTACACACTACTCCGTACATGTCATGTTCTCGAGGATCAACTTTCTCGCTTGCCGCCCTGACGATCAATCGGGTGTGCACTGAGGATAAGCATGGTCTGTGGACACAAACCCCTCTTCTTCCATACAACACATCGTTGTGAAGAGCTGAACTTGAGCCATGAGAAAGGGTATTCCAGCTTAAGATCATAAATGTTTGTGATAAGAACCATCCGTTGCTCGCATCGCCCGCCCTCGATTAAGTTCGTATTCCTCCTTGGTTGCTACGAATAAGCACGTACACTGTCCAGACAGTACTGATGACGGGCCCCTTATGACTGACTGATGACCTTCGGAGCCACAAAAAGTGTACGTGACACAACAAAGCTGACTTGGCTTTTTCAAACCCAATCGGTGATCAAGAACATGGACATCGAGACTCAACAGCTTCAGATCTGACAGCTCCCATTCGTTGAACAACGAAGTTGACAAATTCTCCCACAGCCAGTCAAGGCAAGTCAAGAACCGAGGCCATTTTTTTTAAGAAAAAACACAACCAGCCGAACCCCTCATAATATTGAGTGAAAGTGTGGTCCATGCGGATGTGGCCTTAAAAGAATCCCTGTTACAACTGCGACGGTTGCGTTTTACAAAACGAATACCCTGGCTAAAATACAACCAACCAAATGGTTCAATGAATAATCTTCCTTGAAACGCGCCTCACATCCCCCTCCAATCAAACTTCTCCACATGAAAGAAGATGCCGTGGAAGAAGTTGGCCAAGATGATTCCGATAGTGACAACGCAGATACGGAAGCTCTTACCAGGAGAATGAAACACGAAGAAAAACAATTGCTTTTCTTATTTCTACTCGGTATATTAATCACATTATCCTCTGACTCTTTATTGCATACAGCCATCGTCTCCAATGGCATGTTCCACCGACGAAGTCTAGCGATGCTTCGGTGCAAAGGAGTGTTTCCCAGGAGTATATCTCGTTTATGGTAGACGATCCTTGTACGTTTTTCCGAGAGCAATTTTGTATATAAATGAATCTTGGTAGAAGTTTGTCCTTTCAAGAAGCTGTTTTTTTCTTCGGATATTTAGTAGCTTTTACTTTGTTTCGGAGTCATGATTTTGCATCTTCGTCTCGTCGGATTAAAATAGGGGGAGTGATGGGAGTTTATTATCTGGATCCTGATTGATCAATTTTGAGACTTGGATTCTCTGAGTGCTTGGAAGCGCGCTCATCCATCCCTACAGGGTTGCTATAGCCTGATATGGCCTAAGCAGATGCCTCAGCAGCGCTTGTAACCTCTGTCCGCTAAAGCCTGGATGATTTCATTGGTTCACTTCTGACAACGTCTTAATTGCTGAATGGGCGGAATTCTCTTCAGCTCATAAATGATCAAATAGTTTCTTTTGGGGCGGGTGGATTCCTTCAAAAACTTCGGCGGTACCAGAGTAGTTCTTTGGGATAACGATGCCGAAAGGCCTTGTGAGATTTCGGAAGCCGATGGGATATATCTGACAGTTTAGCCTTTTTGTACTCATGTCTCACACCAGCTTAAAAATTACCAAATGCTTGATAAGGTAAAACGGTTCGGTATCCGTACCCATGAATCTGAGAAAGATGTCGTGATGACTTCTTAGTATATCGGAGTAATCAACCAGACGAACGGGTCTGCGGTTCCAGGGGCGGGAGGATAATCGTACTCTACTAAAGGAGTTGTATTGAGTGAAGGATCGAGCATTGAGGCCATGAGCGAGTACACTTTGATAGACTATAGGTTCAAATGTCAAGACCTTCCTTTACCTCAACATTTGATATTGCTGCTACGCCCAAGTGCTACAAATTATTACAGATACCTGCTTCCCATACAGCCAGCATCTCATTCTATGAAAACAGCTAAGGTTTTTAAAGCATTAGCCATAAACAAATCAATCATCAATCAATACGATAGTCAATACAACAATCAGAATTACCAGGAAAATCCCTATGATGGGGAGTCTACAAAAACGTGATATCTCTATCCAAACTCTTCTCAATTCATCTGATGATGATCTATATCAACTATCACTCCAAACACCATATACAAGCATAGCTGACGAGGTATACCAAATCCCAAATTTTTCCAACAGTCCAAGTCAGTCGGATATCAAGAAACCAAGCAACCAAGCTGTAACGATACTGTACTGGAGGCAGCGGCTAAGGTTTCGTCTGGTTGGTAGTTATGGGTTAAGGCTTTATCACTGGTATTCACTTGGAAGTGAATTCGTTACTAGATCAAGTAGAATGTAGGTAGACTAATTGATAACTAAGTTGAGCACGAAGCTCCTAAACTATGAAACTACTCTGACTATATAATGAACGAAGAAGGGAGCCCCCAGGAGCTTTCTGGCTCCTCAGTGCTCCTTATCACGTGATTCCTTTTCATCCCAGGACACTAATGCTACGTTGTAACATTATAAACTATTATCACGTGTTATAGGATCACATGAATAGTCTTGTGAGGGAGCGAGGGAACGAAGGAGCGAGATTCGAATCTCGCTCCCCAGCTCCATCGCTCCAATGTTGGAATACGAAGGTCTATATAATCAAGATGGATTCCCTTTGTATAGAGCCTCGTGCTCAAGATCAATCATTTAGTATACTCTACTATTAGTTACGAATTGCATTATTTGTTGAAACTGAGTTGTTTGGAAGTAGTAGTATTCTTAGATGTAGGTTAAAACTAAGGATCTAAGTTACAGTAATGGTAGAATTGAAGATATTCCCAATTATGGTCCGTGCACCATAATGGTCATATGACCTCAATTCTAGGCCCATAATGACCTTAATTTCAACATTATTGTCATTACTTTAAGTCCCTGCTTGACGCCTAGTTATAAACCACCTCGAGAGCCTAGAGCACTTCCACGTGATCTAGACGGCAAACCTCGTAACAATATTATTATTAAAAGTTCTAATAATAATAGATAAAAAGAATATAATATTATATAATTTCTAATAAAAATTGAATAAAAAGAATATTAATAGATTAATTTATATATTATAAATCGATTAATTTTTCAATAAAAAACTTTCTAAATGGGAAAAATTCATCGGTTTCCAGGAAGGAGAAAATCCCATCCATATTTAAACAGAAAATATAAACAGCCTCAGGCCCAAACAAAAAAATATCAAAAAGATCCCTTATCTACACGTGACATTGACAAAATTTATCAAAATTATCAATCTTGCCGTCCTTCCCAATCAGACATTCCCTTTTGCGCCTATCTAACTCACGATAACCCTCTCCCAAATAACTCAATCATGGCACCACGAAAGAAGGAAGCGGAGGCTGAAGCGCCTGCATCGACACCTGCAGAAGATGTACCGATGGAGGAGGTACCCGCAGAGTCTGAAGGCGAAATCCTCATGCGCGAAGATCCGCACAACCCCGCCGCGATGATGTTCCAAGAACAGAGACTTCGTATTGTAAGAGCGCAGGAAATCCTCAAGGAATATTGGGGTTGTTTTTTTAGGAGAGTGTGCTAATTTGGTGGAATTTAGCTCCCTGGGTCTACGGATAAAGCTGCTTCTTTTGAGTTTAAGAAGGAAGACCACACATTAGGCAATGCATTGAGATATATTATCATGAAGAAGTAGGTTGAATTCCTAGCTGCCTGCTAAACGTTGAGATTGATTCATGCTAATGATATTGATTGCAGTCCTGATGTCGAATTCTGCGGTTATTCGATACCACATCCTTCGGAAGAGTTAATGAACGTTCGAATTCAGACATACGGTCAGTATCATTCGTTCCATATCTTGTGGAGCCAATTGGCTAATGCTATGATAGATTATTCGGCTGAAGATGCTTTGAGAAAAGGATTAGATGATCTGATAGACCTTTGTGATGTGGTCGCCGATAAGTTCACAGAGGCACGGGAGGCGCATGCTTCTAAGATGGAGACATAAAGCAGGTAATATATTGGGTATGATATCTTAGATAAAAAGGCATGGTAAGGCGTATAAAAGGGGAGGTTCTCATGGAGTTCAATTGAGGTTCATTGGGATATGTACAAAGCGACAAAAATAAGACAACAACTTCTAATTGCGTCCCTGTATATCGAGGTTAGAATGGACTGAAGAGGGGAGTAAATTGCAAACATACCTCCAGGAAACCGGCCATGAAATTTTGTGGTAGTCTCGAAGTTGGGTCTTCTTCTTGTCGGAAATACTTCAAGATGTGAGGAAGTTGTTTCCAGTAATTCAATGTCTCCTGTTAGGGCATAAAGTCAGCAAAGAGACTTTATGTACAGCCCAATGCATCTAAGAATCGACAGCTGCGTCCCCAGACTGCGCTCATGCCAGAGATCCTTTCCATATGCAGAAACCTCCCACTATATCATGCACTATACTACATAAAACCCCTCTTCCATCTAGCCCCACGACATTCCCCAGACATAACCTCTTTAATATGTGTAACGTACCTGAAATTCCGCATGGCTCTCATACAACAACTTATCCACCGTCTGAATTTGATTCACATATCTGTGCCTTTCGAACTCCGACCGCATCTTCGTCCTCAACTGTGAAACTGGAATGCCGAGCGAGTACATCGTTTGGATTTCCGGAGCCTACATCAACACCCATCAGTTTCCCTACTCCCTACATATCCGCCACTTCTCCGGATCCTTCCTACAGATTTAGAGCAGACATACAGCACGGATCCATTCTCTGTAACTCTTCAATACTCTTGATTTCGCATCAGTCCAGTTGACGGCTACAACACCAATTAGCTTCTCTTCTTTTACAAAGTCATAGTACTATGGCTCAAAGAGTATGGAGGCGGTACTTACACTGGCGCGTCCGCTGCGCAAGATAAGTAGGATTAATAACCATTGTCGCTGATTCGTTGTGGTCTCTTCCCTTCAAACCAGACCTCAGAAGATGAGGTTCATTAACAGAAGCGACTGATCCAAATGCGTCACGTGGATGCGACGAACCTTAAATTTTAAGCCCGGAGCTCGAGGCTGACGAATTAATTTTCGAGAGCTTGCTTGCTTCACCCCGCCTACAAATTGATATACTTTGATACCCATTACAACTACAATCTCATTTTTGACACAAAGACAGCCCAACAACCATACATCAAAAAATTTCCTCATCATAACAGCTACAACTACTACTACATTAAAATTGCAACTATGCCCGCCATCCGCCACTCCTCCAAGCGCAAAGCTCCTCCCCAAGGCTACAGTGACATCGAAGATTCCCTTCTAGTCTACAGCAACAAAATGAAAGATGCCATTGCGGCTCCACCATCTACTGGTCCCCGCCATCAAGCCACCTGGGAAATTACACAGATAAATCATCAGCGGAGTAGATACGTATGGGATATGTATTCCGAAGAGAAGATTAGCAAGGCATTGTATGATTGGTGTGTCAAGAATGGTCAGTGTGATGCGACGCTCGTGGCAAAGTGGAAGAAAGAAGGATATGAGAAGGTATGTTAATTTATTTCCTAGGGATGTGATGGTAGATGAATGCTTGAGTGGTTTACTAATGAGAATGTGATATAGCTCTGCTGTCTGAAGTGCGTTCAAACGAAAGAGACAAACTTCAACTCTACCTGTATATGCCGGGTTCCGAAGGCGGATTTGAAGGAGGACCAGGAGATTCAGTGCGTTAGTTGCGGATGTAGAGGTTGTGCTTCGAGCGATTAGGCTACTAGCTTTTTTTGCAGCTTGTTCGCCGATGCTCACTGCATTTGCGTTTGTGAGAGAAATGCGTAAAGCGAGAGCCATCCTGCTTTCATTTAAGGGAGTGATGTTTATTATTTGTTTGAGTGATGATGGCCAGAGAACCAACGACATTCAAGGATCATCATGGAGGGACTTGAGAAACGTTCACGCGGAATGGCTGAGGAGGAGCGCAGCAATTCTATGAGTATTATATGCTCTGTTACTTTGATGATACCAGCATTTGGCGTTCAGGATATTTATGGTAGGACATAAAGGAAGGCAATATTCAGAATGAAATAGGTGCATGGTTGGGGGTGTCGAATGTTAAGTTTTTGAGTCGCGCAGTATGAAAGAGAACCACAATGTTTTTGAGGTCTCTCATCATCATTAATTACATTACGAAGCACAGAATTGGGTGCTCTAAAAAAAGCCCTAGAGCACAGCATTGCTTATTTTGCGGTCTTTCTAGATGGGAGTAAGCCGAAACATCTCGGGATGAGTCCTAAAAGTTCCAGATATTCATCTGCGAATGTTTGTTCTACGGGAAATTGAAGAGAGTGTAGTGTCCAGCCTCCGGCTCGCATTATGGAAGATCTACTTCTGAGGGTGAAGCTACATGCATATTTTGCATTTGCACATGAGGCAGATAGTACCTAGATAATGAGAAGAGAGAACTAACATCCAAACCACTCGGCAAAGTTGTTAGAATATTCAAAAATGGATAGTGAACTCATTACTCCTACTGAGACAATATAATAATCGCCTAGTCTAAGTCTGAAAGCGCGAATCAGGCAAGATTGTATACAAATTCACATTGACCAAATATTATTATGTACTGACAATAGCACTCCTCCTGGAACCCCCGCAAATCTGGGGGATATGTAGACATTGAGCGAGAAGATGAGTAAATTCTCACTGGGAAAATGGTACTTGAAGAGCATACTAGATATAGAGTTCAATATGTGCATGACGAAGCAAGCGCATCTGGGAGGCTTATATAAACTAAATACTCGAGAGGCCCAATGCAATATGCAAGTCCATGCCTAGGTAGCTACAACGAAAGAATTGTCTTCCGTTGCGTAATTATGGTATTTAAGAATCGTTCAATCAATGCATCTGCCAAGCCTTCGCGAAAGTGAAATGCCTGCTGCATCAGTATCGTCAGTGGCCATTTCTATCATGATTTCTCTCCTTTGTCTTTCTGCTCTTCCTCAACCTTTTCCTTCCGCTTTTCCATGGCTCCATGAACTACACTTTCAAATGTTGTCCCACCCCTCTCACTGATATCTCTCCCCATGTTTTTTGTATTCTCTACCGCCTTGGAAACAAGGTCCGAGAATGCTTGATGACCCTCGGTAAGTTTTTCATGGAGGGAAAGTTCATTCTTACTTTCCTGGGCGCGATCCACGAGACCTTTCCATCCTTCCTGGATCCGGCCTTTCATTTCTGCATGATTCGGAAGATTGATCATGTAGCGATCGGCTTTATATTCCTTTTTATGATCTACTCGTCGGGTCAAATAAACTGTGGTGGCCTGCCCTTTGGCAGCACGAATCCGATCGACCTCTTGTTGGTAAGCGGTGTCATAAATGCTGAACTCTGCTGCTGTCGGAGACTCAGCAATCAATTCTTCAGGTGGCGCATCCAGAGAACCATCCTCATTAACCCCTGCTCCAATCCCTAAATATAGAGGCTGTTCATCCAAAGGATCATGAGCATGTCCCTTGTCACCAGAATGCTGCTCTCGGAGCCCCGGACGATTTGTTATCGAATCAGATGAATCAGATTTTTCAATCTTCTGATATGAGTATATTTTGCCTATGGGCTCCTCATCCGCTACAATCGTATTAGAAGAGTCCATCCGACTTGCTATAGTTCGAGTACCATCAGCTGACGGATATGTGCCATCATGGTGGACACCTTCAGCAGCAAGCGCCCCCTCAATCATACGTCTATCCTCGAGATCCGAGCTTTTAGACCTCTGAAGCACCGATTCCTTTTGCTCATCCATCCCCAATGATGGATGCAGAACACGTATACCTTTGCCTAAAGTCTCAGATATAGCATTGGGTCTTCTCTGCTCTAATTTTGCCTTGAATTTCTTCACAGCTTTCATGACTACGAGAAGCCCTCTCATTTTAGTGGTTATTGCATGATTGACCTCAGTTTCACTTGGCGGCTCAACCAAGGTTGCTATGTTGTCCTCCTTAGATAGCAAGGGGTCGCTCCCATTATTGGTTACCCAAGGGTGCTCCTACTAGATGTCAGCCATTTTCGGGTATAAAAAATGTAGGGGAAGCGTACACGGATGTCGTCCATAGTGATTCGTTTTTTAGGATCTTTCTCGAGGAGTTTTCTCATTAAATCGACAAACTGAGGGTCAATATTTGGCTCATATTCAAGTTCATCGTTCTTGATCGCCTCGTACAACTCAAGGACTCCGGTTTTCTCGAAAGGTATATGACCGAAGCGCAGACAATATAGTGAGACTCCCATGGACCAGATATCAGCCGCTCTTCCGGAGACATCACCATGCTTCGTGATACATAACTCTGGCGGCAGAAAAGCCGGAGATCCTGTAGATTTGGCCGTCATCATATCTGAAGCTTTCTCGAACATCTCCGAAACTCCAAAATCCACAACTTTTAGCACATCGTCCTCGGTCAAAAGTAAATTATCTGGCTTGATGTCCCGGTGCACGACGCCTTGAGCATGAACTCCATGATGTCAGCCTAAGTCAATACAGAAATCCTAAAAGTACCCACGATATTCAATGCCAAGTATTAGATCTCTAAACCAGCATCTGCAACTTTCAATGTCATATGGATCTGCTTTTTCTCCAAGCCCAACCTTCATAACGACACCTTTCTTACACATCTCCAGAACCATGTAAAGTGAATCTTCCTCCGGGTCATCCAACACCTCTATCAAACTGACAAGGTTCGGGTGATTCAATTTCTTCATGATTGCGATCTCCTCTTTTATCAGGTACAAAGGATTCCCTTGTTGTTCACCGATGTGAATATCAGAGGCCGAATGGCGATGCAGAGGAGAGTTGAGTCCGCCTCCCGCTGCGAGATGTCCTGGTCGTCTCACATAATGCGGTCTTCGAAGGATATTCGATCGTGCTCTTTTCCGTAACCTTGATTTTGAGAACTCCTTGACTGCCTATGTACCCAATATTAAACCAATAGTCAATGGCTTGGGACAGAAGCCCTTACAAATTCGCTTCCATACTGATCCACCGCTAAATGAACAGCTCCAAAAGATCCTCTACCGATTTCGTCCTTGATGACATATTGGTTAATGTGATGTTCAGCCCTGCCATCTTGTTCATTGTTCATGTACTCGGATCTTGCATCAAGCGTTTCCTTTATGCAATTAATATATATCTACTGCGGGAAGCGATTTATAGCGAACCTTTACTTCCCGGTGCACAGAAGCACTGCGACGGTGATGTCGAAGAGGGCTTTGATATGAGGGGGCAGATCTCGAAAGCCAGTAAGCGGGAGATAAAGATAAGAGGGGTATTTTGAGGGGGGTATTTACAGATATTGTACCATAGGTGGGCGGCCATCAACTAGTTCACCTGGTATGTCAAGTGAAATGCCTGTGTATTTGTTAATTTAGCTCACACTTTGAGGACTTTTCTGTGGTTATGGTGAACAATTGAAAAGTTTCACACACCATGAGAAGGAAGAATGCCCGCATCAGCCTCTTTCTGAGTAATATCACCCGGATGGCCTGGTTGTTCACAATCGCCAGCGAATGAAGACATTTTTGTAGGTAGTTAAATATTTCCCCTCATATCTCAAGGCCAGCTATCGTGAAGGTTGGGAGAATGAAAGACAAAGAGACAAATATTTGGGGGAAGAAAGGGTAAGATACTCGTAGAATGGTGAGGCTATCATAAATAATTCTGACGAATGAGAAGCTTTCATCAAAGGGCTGGGCCGATCCCTGGGATTCTCAGGACAAGGCTTGCTTAGCTCGATAAAAGCTTAAAATTAGCATGCATTTAGCATGCACTATCCATTGAATTGTGAAACTGGTTACTAAATTAAAGCCCTTACCGTACATACAAAGCCTTGTCATTGATAACTTAAGGCTGAGAGTGTTTCCAAGGGGACTATCAACAAAACAAATAGTCCTTTAGACTACATCGTATTCATTCTCATCATGGTTGTCTATTCCTTTTACATATTCGATAGGCACAGTAAGTCATTACATATCTTCAAATTTCCAATCAAATGTTGACCATATGCCCCAGCCGAATGCATCTATTCCAAACTCTGGCACCGCAATAATGAGCGACCCATCTCGACCACGACCGCAACGGTGCGACCCATCTCCGGCTCCAGCAACTCCAGCGCCGTACCTCCCATCAATGCGCCAGAACTTGCTGCCCCGAAGAGTCGCCCAGGAAAGTTGAGTGCGCAAGATGATGCGAAATTGATATTCGGAACTATATTCTCACTGCGCAACATGGTGAGGAAGTTGGGAGGACCCGATGATAGCTTCATAGCCTTTCGAACCGGACAGTACAAGTTACATTATTACGAGACACCGACGAATATAAAGTTCGTGATGCTTACGGACACACAAACTCCAACTATGAGGCAGGTGCTACATCAGATTTATGTCAATCTGTATGTGGAATTTGGTATGGCTGCTCCCCAATGTTATCCTTGCGTATGTACTGATGCTCTGCAGTTGTCAAGAATCCTTTATCCCCTGTCGAACATCCTGGAGGTGAAGGTGTTGCGAACGAGCTCTTCGAACTGGCGCTCGACCAATTCGTCAAAGGCGTTCTTTGACGTCCAATACCCGTTAGAGCCTAATGATTTACACACAATGGATTCAATTTCGTATATAATATAATATGAACGGTAATGCAAAAAGACATAGTAGCAGCGGGAGGCGTTCATGGGACATTGGAGTCGAGGTTAAAGGGGACACTGATAGAACCAGGAGTGAGCAAACGAGCCCGTATGAAATCACGAATACATCCAGTTTTAGGTAAACCAAATCTCGGCATGGGTGCTGTCCAAATTAGTGTGAGAATCTAATCGTCGTGCACGCTAGAATGTCTGGCATTCTGGAGCGCGATCATGGTATACTTGTCAGACAGGACCCAAGTTAGACAGTGTAGATGGTAAATGTCTCATGGCTAGTCTAAAAGGATGATATAATTATGCCATTATTTTGGTATCTTTTACATAACTCATTTCTTCCTTGCCTTAACAAATTTCCCGCAACCTTGCCCAGTAATGATTCCCATATTCCACACATTCCAAATATTCTTTCGAGTCTGTATAAACGTCATCGACATACAATCTACAATTATATCGCCCTGTCCGCAGGCTCTACCGCTTTCCCCCATGCACTTTCAAATCTGCTTGCGGTCCCCACATCTATGAGACTGCCTTGGCCACTAGAAGCCACGGCAGTGATCTCGGATTCGCCCAAGCCATTCTTCGACACTAATATAGCACTTCCAAAGTCATCGACTGGGTTGATCTCGTTCTCGTGACTAGAGTAAACCACAGCAGCAAAAGCCTCCAACTCCCTAACCTGCTCCATGGCTTGAAGATATTCATTGGGCACACCGTTGCCTATAGAATGTGCCTGTCTAGTGAGGACAGCCAATATTAATGGAAGTTTTACCGGTTTTGGCTCAACGACTTCCGTAAAACGAGTATCATCTGGCTGAGAAGGAATCTTGAAACTTTGCTGGGCTATCTTTTGTTCAACAAGAGTTGAAAAGCCAGCATCGAGAAGCATAGTGAGGACATGTGAGAACGGTGGAGAGTCGATAAGGTCCGAAGTTTCATCAAGTAGCCGTCTCAGAGGTGATATAGGGGAGGATGAAGGGGTCTCAGGCTCCATAGTTTTCATGCCAGACTCTTTGATTACAAAATCTTCTTGGTCTCTTGGTGGCAGTAGGTACTGCAACCATCGAGACGCCTGTCTGTCCTCGGGGGTGGCCCCTTCTACCTTTTTACGAACCTCGAGCGTCAACTCAGAGAACTTGGCCATGGTAAGCTCTTCTCTGATAGAAGTATCCCTGAATACTTCTTTCACTGCAGCTTCGACCTTATACATAACATCCCTCCACCCTCTATGAAGTAACCACCAGCTGAATGTAAGGTATCGTCTATTCGTTTCGAAATCGTTCCCATATGCTTGCTCTGAATTATCATCATCGTGGTTCTCCAAATTAATCGTTGACTGCTCCACGCCACCTGTAGCCAAAGAGACTACACTCGAAAGGTAACTGCGACGTCCTAGGAGATTGAGCTGTATTCGCGTGAGGAGTGTGAGAAGAGCGAGCGTATATATCAAAGTGAATGATCGCGTGATAGCTAGCACATGTCAGCAATGGATGGAAAGATGAACCCAATTAGCTCACAACTAATCTTGAGATCGTTCCACAACTGCATCTTTGACCTTTTCACCCTCTGTACTTGCTGTTCCCCTTGTTGTCCTCCATCTTGCGCTCCATCTATACCCAATTCTAATCCTGAAGGTATGCCGAGTTGACTTATATGCATTCCACTATCACTGAAACTTGCCATACTTCTACCATCATCGTCGGTAATGCTCGGAGGACTGGAACCCCAATCTGATCGACGACCTTCTCCATTTCGTGCCTGCTTGGCAGCTTTCTGCTGTTGCAACTCATCCGTGATCCTCTCGGTTTTCAATTCTGCAAGAATGTTCTCGGTGGCTGTGGGAAGGAGGGCTAAGACAGTGTAGGTGCAATCTTCTTGATTTTGTTCAAATCGACGGCGTAGGCTAAGAATAGGTGTATAAGCATGAGTTTATCATCTCATCCTACTGGATACTAGACATACTTCTCTCGAGCTATACGATCACTACTCATGCGTTGTCGAGCATCCGATATCTTTCCCAACACATATTGAGTCGCGACATAGCCTACACCAATCACTCCAAATCCAATCGCAAGGGGAGTTCTATTTCTCCTTGCCCATTTGCGGATGGAATTCATGATTCTGTTTCTTTTCCAGAAAAAAGATTCGAACCACAATCACATAACGTTAAAAAAACGATTGCTCAAAAGGTTGAAAATAAAAATAAGATGAAATAAAACAGGATTGAATGTTCAATGTTGAATGTTGAATGATAAGATTTATCAAAGTTTCCGTCAGGCCCAGAGAAAGCTCCAGTCCCTTTGTTGTCTCGCGGCCGAGGATGTTGAATTACCAGCCACAACCAAACTCCACAACTCGGCTGTGGGTTTCGCAGGTCCGATTCAAGGATAAGGGAATCTAGTTTTACACTATTGCATCTATTGCATCTATTGCATAACTTCCTACTCCGTACCCCTCCATGTGAATGCACAAAGACCAAAGCTTTCAAAGTGCACGATCAAACTCTGAAAACAACAAAACACATCAAACACAAATGAGAAGATTGATTACTGACAATGGATCAGCGCAGACCACCCGAATATATTATTGAGGTGTTTGCTGACCCTAGCTCAGTGAGAGAGGTCATTAGAGGCAAGCAGCGACTGTGTTTCATTGACATCATCAGCATCAGCATAACATAACATGCCATTATTAATGCGCCTACTAACTTGACTCCTATACAGGCATTCTACATACCATTTTCTTCCATCGTTTCTTCCCTTCTATTAGACCAAAGACTCGCGATGTTCTTGACATGACTCTGCCATACATGGAGAATGTTGAAATTGAAACACTTATCGATCAAAGGACCGCTGCTCTGGTGCGGCAACTAGACACCAACTCAGATCTCGGCGCGAGAAATACCGGTGTGAGAGGACAAATGGCTGTTCAATTCTTTGAGAAGAAACGAAGGAAGGCTTGGTTTACGAAAGGAGTATGTTGAGTCTGGAGTACAATTCCGATGATCCGAATCGTATTCTTTCTATTCCAAATACTTCACTGCTGACTTGAATAAAAAGGAGGAAGAGGTATGTTGGGAACAGTGGACTTTGGATGTTACATTGGCGACTCCGCGAACAGAAAGTGGTAAGGATTTTCGAATGATTTATGATATGCCTATGGCTGGCTCACACTGTGTTCTACAGAACGAGCAAAGGTCAGAAGTGCGATGGAAGCTATGTTACTGAAAGCCGCAATGAAGATTGTGACAACGGTTAACATGGAGAAAGATCATATCCCGCCTATTACTACGAACGAGGCAAACCCTTTTCCTTATCAGATTATAATAAACCCAAGAGGAGATAGCTGGGGAGCCCGTATGAGTATATTTTGAGGGGAAAAGATGAGCATGAGCATTGTAAATAATGGTTTTGGAGTTTCGGAGCTGGATAGAGGATACTTTGGATACAGATACCCAATATGAATTGTTTTTTATTCGCAAATCATGAACTCTATATTTATTTTTAACATGTAGTGGCGACATAAGGCATTATGCCATATCCCCCTTTACCAACTTCTAGCCCAGTCAAGATAAACAAGATTGGATAATCAGGCAATCAGACATTCATATATTCCACTCCATTTAGGAATTGACTTCATTTAGACGATGATACGTGTTATTATAGCCATAGCTATGGATTCATTGCTCGTTCATCGTAAAAGTCTCACATGCTACATAGTCACGAGTTTCGTGAAATACAACAAGTGCTCAGGTGCCAATATAGACCCTTTCGTAACATCGTAAAATCGACATTTCATGTCATATCAGGCCCTGCTAAATCCCCTTCCCCGTCCACGCCCTCTTCCAAACCTGACACTGGTCGGAACAAATCTCAGCGCTGACATGGCTGTTTCTAAACCCTTCATTTGATCATCTTCTTGCTTGAGAACTGGCACTGAAGTCTCTAATCCTTCCATGCCATCATTCTTTATCGGCACTGAGGCGTCATTGGGTCTACTGATAAGCTCCTCTCGTTCATTACTTTGCTTGCTCGAAGTAAGCTCAGCAGTGGCCGCGCGTTGCTTAACTTCCTCGGGGTTCATTTGTACTGCTGAGCTGTGTCTTCGATGTCCATGGCGTCCTGATCTAAGCATGGAGCTTTTGTGATCAATGCCATCATTCACTACGAAGAATTCATACTGCTGAGGAAACATGTGTTTGTCGATGAGATGCATACGTCTCTTTTGAGGAGTTGAGCATTTTCTATCACAGTCTTCAACAAAACAAGAATACTACTTGAGAATTAGTAGATATAAACTAGACACGCTCAAGGGGTCTCTTACGATCTTTTCTCCTCTGTCCTTTCTGACACTAACCAACGCATCATGGTTTTCCTCGATGTGAAGGTTAAGAAAGTGTTCCGAAGGAAAGTTCTTGCGACACTCCAAACATCGGTTCATGTGAGACTTCTTGTAGTGTACTTCATATTCATCGTATGAAAGGAAGGATAAAGTCCGCTGATGACCTGGCAAAGAGCACCGCATTATTGACGGGCTTTCGTTGCTCTCCTGATCAAGGTGGACAATTTTGGAGAAGGCTGAAGGTGTAGAGATTGAGGTAGCTTGCGTTTCATGTGCTACCGATGTATCGAGGCTCTCTGTGATCTCCGAATCTGGAGATAGATCATCAAACTCTTCATCTCTTAAACGTTTTGTCATGGTGTAAGAAGATGAAAGGAAATAAAAGAAAGATAAGATGCAGGGGAATTACTCTATTATTGAAAATAGTTTTCCTTCTGCTTCTGACTTCCTCCTTTACCTTCGATGACTGATAGTGTCCGCACTTATAGCACAAATATCGAACCTAGTCGATAGGAGCAAGTGAGTTAGAAATCTGAGGAACCGGAACTTTGGAAGTTGAGAGTCGCGTTTCCCAGTTCTATGTACGCATTATTGTTAATTTCTGACGAGCAGGTGCTTATATTCTGTGACTGCCGACATGTGTTTATTCTGTGAGAACAAAAGTGTTCATGCTGTTGTGGCTACCCGTAGCATTCAGGTGAAAATGCCATCCTATATAAAAGTACTCTGTCTAATACGAGTATACTTCTTGGAGTTAGCTCAGCACGTGCTCCATTTTTGACATCAAGAGAAAAGGGCGGTGTAGGTGGCAGAAAATTGCATGTGTACTAGTAGTGGGCGAAATTGACTAAAAAACCATGGGTACTAGAGAATCATCACTTCCATTATAATTCATCATCGGTTTCCTTTCCCCTCATCTCCCTCATGTATTCTCATAAGCATAAGGCCCAGAAAGACCATAAAGTCTTTTTGCCATATCATTCTTGCTTAATCCCTTGAAGCGATTATTTGATAGTGAATTAATTTGATTAAGTCTGGATTCACCTTGACTTTTTTGCAAATTTCCACCGAGCCTCAATTTGTGACCTTCCCTCACATTTATTTTCCCACCAGACTCCATGGCCAACTCCTACAACTTTTATTCTGGTGTAGGAAGACAAAAATCAACTTAACAATAAGTCCACCTTGGGATCCTTTGCAATCTCCCAAGGAGCTTTAGCTATGGATAATTCTTCCATTCAACAAAATTGGCTGTGAGTTCCTGTTGTCCCGGTCGCACTACCATGTCAATCCACACCAACTTACAATCCCTCAGCGTTGCACAAAAGATCGAGAAGGAGTTACAATTGCAGTTAAACAAGGATTCTCCTACATTTGAAGATATTCAACACCTTCTCACACAGTTCGTCAACGCACTCTTGTCTTTATCGCACCGGTTAATCATCTTAGGTTGCGCATTGCTTGTGAAGCCGTTATCTTTGGCGACTTTGAATATGCTACTAAGCAGCGTGTACAACATCGTCTTTGGGACTCGCACAGTCTAATTAATTCTCGATACCGAAAGTTCGTAGCTCATTACCGTTCCGCAGATCAGAAACGCCGTGCCGTGGAGCGCCGAAAGTTGGAGAAACACTATGTCGATTTTCTCAAGGAGAGCCAGTATTTCTACAAGGGATATATTCAGCGTGTTGCCTCTCACTTTGGCCCTCTTCCTGCGTTGCAACGTATTGCAAATCGCCTTTCTCTGAGCTCGCTGTCCGTGGACAAGCCGATCAAAGTCAGCAAAAGTCTTGAACATCTTCTTAAGCTGTCCTGTCACTTCACATTACTCCGCCTCGGAGACTTGAGTAGATATCGAAATGACTTAAGAATCAAGGAACGCAGCTGGGACCCCGCCCTAGGATACTATCATCTAGCCGAAGCTCTTTATCCTGATTCTGGCAACGCCCACAACCAAATGGCAGTCATTGCTCTCGCTGATGGAAGCCATCTCGACGCCTTGTACCATCTATTACGCGCAGTTGCTGTCAAAGAACCACACACATTGGCTCGTGGAAACCTGGCTATTGAGTACAAAAAAATATCTACCACTTGGGAGAAGGAAAGACAGAGTAAACGTCGCCCAGCACCCGTTGAGTCCGCACTGGTCATTTGGTTCGTAAGACTCCAAGCAAGGTTTTATAAGGGTGTCGAATTTTCTACTCAAGGAGAGTTGGAGAATGAAGTTTTGGGTCAACTGGTGTCAGCATTGAAGGATCACTCCTTCGAGGAAACCTTGAACAAGTTGGTGCTGATCAATATGGCTGCGAATTATCTGGCTACTCAAAGACTTACTGGCAAGTGATGATTTACCCCTGAATTTATTTTTCCATGTAAATTTTTTAACATAATGTGTAGAAGCAGAGGGTGGTGTAACTGATGACCTCAAGAAATCATTCTATTTCCTTCTTGGCTTCAACCTGCAGGTATTCTGCGTTTTGCTACGAGCACTGATCTCAGAACTTGCCGATGCAGCTGAAGCCGAAAATCTGGAGTCTTTGACCGCCACAGATTCTTCCGGCGATTCCCTCGAAAAGCTCGGCCCAGTCGCAATTAGGGTCCTACCCGGTATTCGTCAATACTTCGCCTGGGTTATTTCCCAACGTCTCGTCCTTGTCGGCCTTGGAAACGGAATTGACCAGGAGTCTACAGGGCGCTTGGTCAGCCATATCCAAAATATGTGGAAAACGGCCGCAGAGGCACTTTCCGCGCTGGTTAACTTCTTTCCCGTGGCATCCCTTCCTTATCTTCCATATCTGTTGCCCGAAGACGAACAAACTGTCGGATTCAAGCCTCTCCGAGACCCGCCTAGTGGTTTGGAAGAGTACAGTCTTTACAATAAAGATGATGGTTTTTTGAAAGCTCGTGTCTCTGATGGCATCATTCGTCAACCTGATAATGAGAACTATTCTCGTATTCGGGATATCTTACGAGCTGGTATGGCTCTTCACTTTGAAAAACCATGTCCAATTATCATGACCCGCGATGGTAGATTTATCTATGGTACCGAAAGCGCTGTGAGCCCCCCGTCGGATACATCTGCAATCCCAAGCCAGCTAGCGGAGCCCACTTACGCTGTGCAGAACTACGCCAAGACCGGTAACGAGAATCTCGCAGGATCAGATTCTCTGGGCATCATGGATACTGAAATGAACCGCATGGTGGACGATTTACTCGAGCCTGCAAGCCTTACTCCTAGTGACGATACGTCTTATGGTATGAGTAGTTCTACTGCAAATGCAGTATTTGCGCCCATTGGCTCCGAGAGAACACGTCTATCGGCAAGTAACCATATTACACCAGGCAAAGCCTTTCCAAGTCTGCCTGGCATCTGGGGCTCCCCCTTCACACCCAAGCCTCATGAGCTTCGAACCATCAGTCCCGAAAAGCCTTCAAGTTCCGGTGGATTTTCATCGATGAATTACTCAACCAACAGAGAGCAGCTCGCTGCCGCTGCGGCGCTCGATAACATGACTAAGATGCAACCACAGAGCTCAAATGGTGCTGCAACGTATACAAGGGGCCAGTTTTCATCTTTTGATACGTCCAAGCCTGTTAGTCAGATGTTGCAGGAGTCTTTGGCCAAGCAATTTGAATCTATGTCACTCTCATCATCAGGGTTCTCAACAAACAGCAGCATCTACGCAAATAATTCTCCACCAAAGGCATACTACGGTAGGACCTTCGGTTGCTCATCCTTTAATGGCCATGATAGTACTACCTCTCCAAGTGCTAGCGATTATGAGCGAACTACAATGCTACAGAGCTCACTCTGGAACACCCAGACCGATAATGGCAACCGTACACCTCCCGCTGGACAAGGGTACCGAGGCTGATTGTCAAGTTATTACTATGAATCATTGATGATTCATAACAAAACACCAATTTGATATCGTCATCACCCACATCTTCATCCGACAACAAACACTTTCGCGTCTATTGTCAGAAATTAGTAAGAAGTCTCTGCTCTCAAAGAGTCGAGGTCATCACTAGGAGCCACCAGACAAATCATTAGCAAGCAGAACTCATCAGCACATTGTAGGAAAACCAGTCAAAAGCTGTGATTGAGAAATATCAAAGCAGGTATGGGTAAAAAAACGTTTTATTGGGTCTCTAACGACACGCTAGCTCTATAATTTGATCGTGGAGGATCATAAGTCATGCATCATGCATTACATCATTTCGATTGTAGACGCTCCTGTTGTTGAAACCATCACCCGAACGCCGTCTAGAACCAGAATGGAAAAAAGTCATAGATATCTACTGGCTGGTAGGCTTGTAAGTCTGCTTAGGGAAGGGAAATCTGCAAATATCGTTAGTCTATAATCTAGACAATTTGATGAAGTTGTACAGTGATGTTCCAAATACTAGGTGTGAGATGCATATATAGAATGATTGAAAAACTTACGAGGGACCCAACTCCTGAATGCTCAACTTAGCTAACCATTGCCCTTGGTCAATGCATTGCTCGAGGGATTCTCCAGCAACCAAACCAGCAGTAAAGCCAGCGGCGAAAGCATCTCCAGCACCTGTAGTATCGTTGATCAAGCTCTTGTCGATGGCGTGAACGGGGTATTCCTTAACATCTTGTCCGTTGACTGCTACAACAGTAGGAAGAGTTCCTTGTGTAATAATAGCCACTCTCTCTCTCTTCTTGTTCTCCTTTGGCAAAGCGGCCAATGCCTTGGCGATCTCCTTGATATCTTTAGACTCGACGCCGTGGCTCTCTGCCCATGCCAATGCCTCAGTCTCGTTACCAATAACGTAATCCCAGTATGGTGCGGTTGCATCAAGAGGCTCCTTAAAGAATTGGGAGATAAATGGTGCGGAGAGGGAAAAGACAAATGCCTTGTTATTCTTGGCAGCCTCTTCAGCAAGGACTTGGATAGCAGGTGGACACACAGTCAAATGGTAACCACCAACAAAGTAATGCGTAGCACCCTCAACCAACTTCCATACCTCAGGCGACTTCAAGTGCTCCAAATCATAGTGATTCGCAGCGCCCAAATCGGTACACATAGATCGGTTGTGATCGGTGATGACAACACCACATCGTCCCGTAGGCTGAGTTTTGTCAACACGGTATTCGACGCGGAGACCGGCGGTCTTGACGGCATCGTGGAGAATGGCGGCGTATTTGTCGTCACCGACTCCGCCGAGGAAGACAACGCTGTTGGGTGGAAGAATGTATTGAGCACCACGAGCAGTGTTTTGGGCTCCGCCTCCGGCAATTAGTTTGGCAGAGTAATTGTTGAGGAGATCTTCGTAGATGGGAATGTGCTTTTCTTCGGCCAGGATGGCATCGTTGGGTTTGAGGCCGTATTTGTCGAGAAGAGCTTGGTCTCCCTGGGCTTGGATATCTGGAGACCAAGGTTAGTTTTGGTTTAATGATGTATATGGCAGAAGCTTGGTTCGAAGCTCGAATGAAGAGATTCCTCCCCCTTGAGAGTGGATGGACTAGAGATTTGAAAATCTTCTACATTCAGAAACTGTTTGAGAGCTGTAGATTGTCCGTCCAAGGGTGATACATTGTGAAGATTGGTGGGAACCCATCTCTACCTACCAAGCAATGGGTTTTCCAAGCAAAGGAGGGCGTATTCTTTAATTCCAGACATAGTTACTATAGCTTTGCTGGTATATTTTAGGATGTTGTGTTTTGATGGCGGGGCTACTGTGCGATGAAGAAAGATTTGGTGGGGTTGGATTTTGACTGGGGTTCTAAAAGACAAAGGCCCACAGTGAGAAACAAATCTTCTGATGCAGGACATGCTTCGGAGGCCGAGAATTATTTCAACTAACAAAGTGCACAAGATGTATATTTGTGAATGGAGAATCACTGGGAATTACTCTGTTCTAATTCTTCAAATCAAGTTGGTAGAAAAGCCATCAATTCATTTTGCATGGTGTCTGTTAACATGCCATCACGATCTCCTGATCACTAGTAAATCATGCCAGAGCACACAAGATTGTTTGGTAGAAGTCTTTTCTGTCATCCTCGCTGAGATCCATCCCAAATTACAAAGATGCAGGCCCAACATATCCGAAGCAATGAAAACCCCCTTAACTCGCTCAATCCTTGACCTTTTGAGTACCACGTAACAGACCAGTTCTTCTTGCAGCAATGAGACCAGCCTTTTGACCTTGTGCGGCATATCTTGAGATTGTGGATGCTTTACCAATATGTTGATGGTTACCACCCTATTCTTTATTAGCGCTTGTTTCTGGCAGCAATGGCAGATTTTACATACTCCGTGAGGATGGTCAACGGGGTTCATGGCAACACCACGAGTCTTTGGCCATGAGTTACGCTTGACGGCGAACTTGTGCTTAGCACGGGATGCCTCTGTAATTCAAAGTCAGTGTACCGAACTTTGGAGGTCCTTTATCAACTATCGAGCCTTGGAAACGTACTCAAGAGAGGTTTGTCGGTTCTTCCTCCACCAGCAACGATACCAATCATTCCACGGGCGCTGCTCTTGATAACCTTCTTGGCACCGGATGGGAGCTTGACACGGGTCTTGCCCTCATCAGGGTTGTGTCCGATAACGGTAACATAGTTACCAGAGGTACGTCCCAATGCACCACGGTCGCCTGCCTTCTCCTCAACGTTGGAGATAACGGTACCTTCTGGAACGGATCCGAGAGGGAGAACGTTTCCGACTGTGAGGTTGGCGTTCTTTCCAGCGTAGATGAATTGTCCGGTGTACATTCCCTCGTTGGCGATGAAGGTCTCAGTGTGGAGCTTGAATCTGTATGGATCGCGGAAGACAACCTTTGCGAGAGGAGCACCACGTCCTGGGTCGTGGATGATGTCCTTTACGACACCACGGACGTAACCGTGTCTCTCAGCATAGTCGAGAGTTCTGAATTGAGCTGGTGCCTTGTTCAATCTGGTGTTGGCTGTGAAGATCGAGCCACGGCCCTTTCTTTGGTTGCGAATAACCCGACTGAAAAATTTCGGTTGTTAGCTATAGTTCTGCGATTCAAAATATGTTCTCACCCATCCAATCCGTCAAGAATTGGCTGGAGGGGAAGCTGCGCGCATGTCCTCCACTTTCAGTCGCATTTATTCAGTGAAATAGAGAACCAGAGCACTCCAGTAGCATATTGAAAGGAGATAGTAAAATATCAAGTGTACGTACCCCATATTGACAATTAGTTGGCGATGGATTGTTAATTGTCGACCAAGAACTTCAAGAACTTTCAATAGTGGAAGGAACGAATATTTCCATTGTGCCGGCCAAAATCATAAGCGACTGCACTAGCCCCGAAAAAAAGTTGTTGGCCTTAGATAATAGATGATTAATATAAGGCAGCTGTTTCACCGGGATACGCTAGTGGATATTTTAACTGACGACTTGTTGAAACTACCCCCGAATTTATCTTAACATACAGTTTTCAATATTACAGATCACAGTCCGACAATCAAAATTAAAATGGCATAGGGATACTTGATGTAAAGATTGGAGACTGGTCTGTTGTTTGGCTTGGATTAGGACTCATCTGGTCTGGTGGTAATATTGACTTCCTTCCTCCATCGCCTCATACTGTGTGTTGCATCATATGTCACCGAAGTCTATAGTCACATCAATCGATTCCAGCGTTGCACGCTTCTTATTCCGTGGTGTAAAATCCTGTGGATTCATTGGAGATTTTTCAGGCCTTCGGATAGTGTTTGGAGGCAATCTTCAAACTCTGGAGTTCTTTGAAAATAGCTTCTTCATTCCACTTTCGTTGTGATTGTGTAGTACCTCATGACTTGGTGGATTTTTTGAAGCTGGCGAATCGCATGGATGGTCCAGAGCTAGGCCATGTGAGCCATGTGCCCTGCTCGGCGAGGAAATAGCGGGGTGCCTAATCGATCCTAAATATCATGGCTCCCAATGTCCGAGATTATTTCAAGAATTGAAAAATCTCCTTTTCATTATGTGCGATGCTCGCGTGGGTGTTCGCAAAGTGATTGCATTTACTGTTCTGGGAGGAGTGCACGAAATTTCGTACCTTTGCCTACAGTCCCAAGCTGCTACCACATATACATTTTCAATGTCCTGTACACTTTCAATATCCTATACATTTTCAATATCCTGTACACTTTCAATATCCCAAGCTATTTGAATTCTCCAAGCTATTTCATCAATTGAAAGGATACTATCTGTTGTTCCGGGAACAGTAAAGGAAATTTTGTACCTTTCCCTGCAGTTCCAGTTACCACCACAAATACACTATCATTATCTCAAGTTGTATCAACAATTGAAAAGATACCATTTACTGTTCCGGAAATAGTATAGGAAATTTCGTGTCGTTCCCTATTATTCCGAGCTCCTACAATCCCGAATTACTTCTGCAGGCACCCTATCAATCTCCTAAGTAATTTCAACGATCGAAAAGACACTATTTAATGTTCCAGAGTATCGCTCTGTCCAGCATGAAGATGTCACTCAATCTATCAGAACGGCCCGCTCGAACCTGACTGTTGCCCCACTGTGGAAGTCATATTTGCAAATGAATTTGGCAATCTTGATGGATACTGCATATCATGCACACTAAGCCGAGGAACCGGAGTTTGTGGATGAAAAACTTTCTCTTGAAGGAGAACGGGAGCATCAGGGCATGATTCAGGTCCAGGTAGAGTCTCAGCGGCCATTCCAGAGGGCTCAGGAGCAGGTCCAGAGTTAGATACAGGAGAAGATGCAGGTATTAAGGTAGATGATCCAGAGGAGGGCCCGGAAAACGTATTGGAGAACTTACTGGAGGAAGCAGCGCATGATCGGTGCACAGCTGTTAGGTAATGGCGCGTAGGTTACATGGCTATGGCTGTGGACCGTGGCGAACAATTTTCCAGGTGTTTTATCGGAAGATTCTTTATTGGGGTATTGATACCTAGTTTTCCATCAGGGCGTTCGTTCATAAGTTCGTTCATTTGTATAGGCAGGCATATATGCACAAGCGCACACATGGGCATATGGGTAAGGGAGATTTAGTGGATATGACCAATTATTATCAAGGGGCTTAAAATTCGTTTGAATATTATCTATGTCTATCTCTTTGTGTTGTACGTGCGTGACAGAATGCTTAGACCAATAAATCGAGTCGCGCTTGTCGGCAATATCTCAAAGTTCCCTCTGACTTCATCATCTAAAAAGCTTCTTATCAAACCAATTCAGAACATCAGAACACCACGACTCAACCATATCATGGCCTCTTCTGATGACTCCTCAGATCTTTCCTCGGTACCATCTGAGGATGAAAGTTTACAATTAACGAAAACAGATGGCATTCTTAAATTCTTCTCAAAAGCCCCAAAACCCAGTGCAGCACGCAAAATCGAGGCATCTCCACCACGACCAAAGAGAGAACCGTCACCACCTCATGAATATGTCTTAGCAGATAACCCAGACATTGCCGTATGTATAACTCTTATCGTCGCGTACTCAAGAGTTTTACACGTTCAAACCGCGTGGTTGTAGGGTTCAATTGTGGCTAACACGAAATCTGCATAGTTTATCGTCATGTTCCGTGCCCGGTTCACTGAAGCTTTTCCAAAATCCCTACCCAATTTCGGACCCCAGGAATTAGAGCGCGCTGTTGTCGATACTACACCTGGAGAGCATGCGGAACAATTTCTTTGCGCATTGCTGGGGCTACTTCTAAATAGAAAGCAGGATGTGAAGTAAGTCATATTTGCGTCATACTTACTCTACTTCGCATTACTTCAGAGTTTGTGCAGAACCACTGGCTGACCACCTATCGCTCACAGAGCCGGACACTATAATCGCGCCCTCGAGGAGGCTGTTCAGACGCATAAACTACAATGGGCGAAGGACTGGGAAAGCAAAAACCCTCTTTCTGGTGGAGCTACATTCACTTCCATGTCTCCCACGGAGCGGGTAGCTTAAACAAAGTCCACAGAAGCAAAGAATCTGGCTGACTTTTTAATATAGCTTACCCTTCTACGCACTCTCATCCTCTGGTCCTTGGCTTCCTCAGATGTGGTTAAGGGCATGATCACAGCCTCTTACAAACAAACTCGCCATGAAGATGATCTAAATCAACCACTTTCCGTACAACCCTGGGGTTCAGATGCCGATCGACGTCGCTACTATCTGATTGAGGGTCTGGATGATACACACTTCAGAGTCTACAGAGAGAGCAATTACACAGGCTTAAAGAGAACTTGGTGGAGTGTCGCAAGTGATATAGACGAGTTGAAATTATTAGCAGAGAAACTGATCAAGGACGATGGTGGTCAGAAGGCCAGAACGCTGAGTGCGAAAATGCTTGCGGCAGTCCCACGGTTCGAAGCAACTGAAGAGGTGCGTAATCTTTTTTGTGACCCTTTGTTTCTTTTCTTTTTAAGCGTTACTTACAATGTCACAGAAACGAAAGAGAAGAGAATACCGACAAGCTCGTAAAGAGCAATTCAAACGTCCTGAACCAAACTTCTCCATGTATGAAGGTCGTACCAGAGGAAAGCGCATGAAGTACACGTATTCAGATGATGAAGATGAGGTTTTTTCTGATACTACTGGATCCCGTCGTTCTACTCGAAACACTGGTAATCACACACCAGCTGAGCCAGCTGGGCCTACTGTCACATTGAGTGGTCGTCAGGTCAGATCCCGTGTTGGTGGAGCCTATGGTGAAAGTGTTCTGAGTGGAACACATGCCCTCGCAGAAAGTCTTGGAGATGTCGAGCTGGGTGAAGAATCGGAGGAAGTGACCTCTAGACCACGCCGTGCTGCTGCCTCCAGCCGTGGACGTGATTGGGCGTCTAAGGGAAAGCATATTGAAGGATATAATTCAGTGGACGATATGGAAGACGATGAGGAGGATGATGCTAGTGAGCAAGACTATGGCGATGACGAAGAAGAAGACGATCAAGTCTCTCTGGCAAGCGATATGGACAAGATGGAAGAGGAGAATGACGAGAACGAAGACATGGAGGATGGCAATGACGAGAAGAAGAGTTTAATTGTCAAGCTTCCGATCAAAACGCCAACCCCTGAGAAGAAGACTACGATCAAGCTCCAGTTGAGCCCCCGGACCGAGTCGAACTCGGACAGTATGGTCCCTCGAAAAGTTGTTAGCCCAAATACATCTTTGGAATTCAATAACGAGGAGAAATCTGTTTTGACCGAAGCCGACAACAAAACTAAGCCCATCTCCATCACAACGAAATCGATTTCGACCCAACTCTCGCCTTCTCTCACTTTCCGCGGTAGTCCTGAAAAAGCGTCTACTCTACCACCATCAATAAATGTTGGTCACGGTGGTTCTTAATGTAATAACAATTCATGATAGCGGGTATGGAAAAAGGTATTATGACAAAAGGCGTAAAGATAAAAGGCATGGTGCTTTGCTTTGGTGGGTGCTACCAGAGCTGATTATTGGGTATATTTATGTTCTTTGACATGCGCAAATTATTCTTCGGAGCATTACAACATAATTACCTGTGACAGTCTTATGGCTGTTGCAATAAAAAGTTACATGATTGCATATGCTCCCTCCATCTCATCGTGATCAGGTCAGTTGAAATCTGAAGAATGCGTGCCGTGATTAGATAGATACATTGAGCTCCCTCCTATCCCGATGTATCAAATGAGTCCTCACAATGTGTAGTTCCACCTACTCAAAGAACTCAAAATGTACATTGGTATTTTGTTCTATATACCGTCCCTAACGCCATCCATGCAAATGCACCATTCCTTTTCTCGAAAAACCTCATGATTCATGGACTCAATCTCCAGCTGAAGCTTGGTTTTCAAAATACTGCCCCAATTCCATCAGTAACGGGAAGTGGTATTAATAAAGCATGGCAAGGGGACTTACATCCCCCATCTCCGCCGCCAACTTCGCATTCTTTCCGATCTCTGCTATCTTCTCTTTGATCGGCCAGTTGTTGACCGTGTACCACCATCGACGGACTCGGGCGCCCGTACTATTGCCGCTGAGTTTGGCGTTCTTGTTCCAATGCTTCCAGCCGGCCCAGAGGAGGGTCACAGCAACGCCTTGGATGAGTGGCATGCATACCTACGCATGAGAATTAGTTCGGTGTCCCATATGTTAAAAGTAAAGAATAGAATAACTGCCGGGAAAGAAAATATTACCTGGTCTCTAATCGTTATGAAAGCAACCTTCCAATACGAATCTGCATGCGCAATACTAGCCAAGTAACTCTGCTCGAATCGTAGATCCGGTATAGGCGGGAAGCTCGCTCTGCGTGGTAATGGTCTTATAACATCGTATGGAATATCCTCCTCTACTTCTTCCTCGCCATCGATACTATCTTTCTCAATGTATGCGTATTCTGGGTGAATGGAAACGGGCTCCTTGCTGGAGGCGGCGGTAGAAGGGTTTATGTCATGGTCGGGAGATGGATCGCGTTTTATTGATGCGCTCTGAATTGTGGAGGCAATTTCGAGGGGAACAGAAGAAGACATTGTGAGATAGCGGGGTGTGTGGGTGTAAATATCTGAGCTACAATTTCTCGTTGTTGATGGCTTTGAGCTGTTCGGTGGAGTTTGCCGGGTTCCGAGCTTCTGACGATTTTTGGTGAACGCATTCAAAAATTCCCATCACTGATACCAGGACATGTTTCCCTCAAAATGTATCTGGTATAATTCAGTTTTCTGTGTCTATCTTAAATCCTGCCATGGCATTATTTGCATATTCATGTCCTTTCGTTCTCTTGCAAGGGCATAGTTTAATTCGAGATATTATGACAAAAGAGCAATACCTACGTCGCCTCGAGCATTCAGCAGTGCTTGCTTTCAACAGACGGTGTGGTACCTAGTGGGCCATATATTACATTGCCCCAACATACATAAGAGTTTACCATGTTTGTACAAGATTATGGATCCAACAAGTGCTGAATGGAAAATAATGTACATCACATAGGTTGTGTACTTTGTCTATTGGCCACACAAGGTCGAGTAGGTATTTATTAGTTCATGGTAAGGTCTTACGTGGAAAATTCACAACTTAAAGCCAAATATTTCCCAGGTGATCATATCTAGACATTTGGATTTCTACTTTACTCATTTCTGCTCAATTTAAATACAATGTATTCTGATTTGCCCGACCATCGTTATCAAGTTTTCCAGAAAACCCTGCTTGAGCATGAGTACCATCATGAGGATGCTTTTGTCTCTGCCAGCCTTTCACGTCTTCATCATGGTGTCTACGATCTCGAGAAACTAAATCTCGATGGACCTCAGCCATACAACGTCACGTTTGTAGCTATCACTTTTGTCTTCCATCCCATGCACTCTGTTGAGCGTAGATTTAAAAGAGCTCAAATAAGCATTCAGGCTTTTAAAACTCTAGGGGAAAAGGTCACCGATCAACCGCTGAGGATTATAAAATTTGCTCCACATATTGCATTTGGTCGCTATTCGACGGAGAATTTACATTGGAATTTTTCCTTGGGTTAGTAATTACCTTTTACTTCAAATGCATCGGGAACGAAAAGCTTTGGTTGAGAGCCTTGAGTCCAGAGCAGAATTTCCGATAGTTCGGACTGCAGTTCAGATGGGAAACTCATGAATTTCTGAGTTGAAATGAATATTCTGGGTGGATTTAGTACTTCAACCAGTTCCAGATTTCAAAGAGGTTCAGTAATAGGCTGAATAATCAATAATCCATCATTGGAGAACGACAGCCCAGACTATTGAAACGCCAGGATTAACTCGTCTAATAATCTTTCTAACTTAACTATCAGGAGCCATCCTAGGGGTCTCTTTACCGACGACCGCAGCTGTCACTCCCTCGACTGAGTACGATAAATCAAAGGTCATCGGCAGCACGTTAAAGATACAAGGCTCAACTCGATCTGCTAAAGGCATCGAGAGCAGCAAGCTTATTTGGTCGCTCGAAGAGAACGAACAACAGGCTACAGGGCTTCCTCGAGAATTCACTTTCGTCTTCTTGGTCGAACAGCCAGTCGCTAAAGCACCATTCGCCTTGGAAATCGGAATTAAGCCTGTATTTTCACATAGTATCGAGACAAGTATCTTCGGCGATGAGATCAGTCAGAAGTCTGACATACTATGGGAGGAAGTTGGACAAACGTAGGTTACTTCTTATTTGAAATCATGGAAACGATGACTCGAGTGCCAGATTCTCTCTCTTTGACTGGTGTTAAATTCTGCGGCAGGTTTTCTAGCAGTCCACATGCATTCAATTTCGCTACCATGATCGGATCATTCGAACATTTAGTAGAGCTGCCAGGAAGTGCCTCGACCATTCAGGTAAGGGTATTTGCTATGGATGGGGCATATTGTTGACATTGTTTCAGGACTACGTTGCCACTGAATCTGGTATTCACATTAATATTCCGGAGTCCTCAGAGTAACTCGGACACACTATCTCAGCAGCTACTAAATACAATGATAAATATCTCACCTTTCAGTCTTTGCAATTTCTCCCGCTGGCCATGCGATAACTTTAAATATATGTTGATCATAGTGATAAAATCTAACAGCAGAGAAACATTCAAGTGCTGGACTAAGCTAGAGCTGGAAGTGGTATGGATATATAATCATAATGCTACGCAGAGTGTTCAATGACCCGTACTGGTAGATTAGATTTCAACTCTTAATTATCAAAATTCCTTAGATATTTGAAATAATTCAATATTTTAAAATAATTTGAATATTCTAACTATATACAACTTACTTTTTTTTTTAAAATATTTCTTAAATATAATTTATTATGGTAGTTGATTTGAAAATCCTAAATGAATTCAGAGATTCAAAACTCCTTACTGTTGAACCATAATCTAGACTATTAAATACTCTGATACCACGAAGGAAAGTTCTTCAGCAGCAGGGCTAGGCTCTAGAGTCCTAGAATCACGAATGCAATGAAGTGACTTTCAGAGATAGCACGACAGGCTCATCTTCTTGTGGTCGCATTCTGGAAATTCAGTAAAGTGAAGCAGTGTTATAGAATTAGCTGCCTAACCTTCCTTTTCCCATGAGCTTGTGTGGCTGCGTTTACTACTTTCATTACACATTCTGTGCCATAAATATCCACTAAGGAATTCCACACTCTAGCCGAGATAATAGGCGAATTTTCTGCGCCGCAAAGATCCGTTGGACCTTCATTCAAGTTCTCCCACATATCAGAAACATCTTGCTGCGAAAGGAGCTCTTTGAAGACTTTCATCTTTCATCATAACCTCTCTCTCGATATCTCCCAAAATGTTCCCCGTAAAATCAGTAGCCGGGTGGTGCTAGATTATAATTATAAATGGATTACAAGTCGGGCATTTTTGGGAAGAAAGCTAGACTTCTAATTTGTTACATAAATAGCTTCTGAAACTATCGTTACCTGGTGGAGAGTTTGTATCAAACTATCAAAGGATGGTCAGACTGCTATCATTGGCGGGGGTGCAAACGTGAGTGAGATTGTTAGCACACTTATGAGTTTAGGAAAGCGCAGCCGAGTTTCTAGCCAAGCTTGAAGAAAGAATCTGGATTTTAATGTGGCTATCAGTGACTGGCATCTGCGAGTGCGTCGGCTTCTCTACACCGGCTCTGGGAAGCGGCACGCTTAGCTCCAGGGCCACTACGGATTCATGGCTTATCAAGTCATCTCAGCCCGCCTCTCGCTCCCGAGTGGCGAACTTGTCACTGTGTCGGAGAATTGCAATACGTCCTTAAAGTTTTGAATGTTCTAAATGTTTTTATTTTACATCCTCCTTCGAGAGCCCTTCCTCTGAGAATCCTCATCAAAATATTATACACATTCAGATCTCTAAAAACTCTTCAACTTCTTCATCTTTCAGATCTTAGACGTCTCAGCTGTTGAACACCGTATACGTATACACAAGTCATCCATTAGCAAACACTATCCTCCATATCGTACGGATAATATTGTGTCAGACAACATTAACAGAATACTTACATCAAAATGTTCACTGAAAATCCTACACGGTTTCTTCTCCCTTATATTTTGCTCTCGTAACATCTCTATTTATACTACATAAAGTGATCTGATGATCTTCATGGGATTCACTTGTCTAGGTTAGAAATGTTGGAAATAGACAATCAACGATGAAGCAAACCAACTGAAGACATGTGATTAAGGAATAACTACCTTAAGAATAATTTTTGTAATATATATTGTTATTTGTTTCTATGTGGTGGAAAGATAGTCATCCCATCATCAACCAAAAGATAGGAAGAACCAGAAAATGTCATATACCCCGACCCAATTACCAACACACAAACTCCAAACATAAATAAACGCCATTGATATCAGTATCCCATCGTTTCATATCCGTCATTAGAATCCATTACGATCCGCATCTCCTTCCTATTGGTACACTCCCCTCCATCTAACCTACGGGTAACTCGCAACACCACCACCACGTTTACGACCCAAAAATTGAATGACAATTGACCCAATAAAACATGCCGCTGTGAACCAAAGAAATGCCGTGCTTGCCTGAGTTTCTCGACATCTACTCGTAGCTTCATCAGTGGTTTCCCTAAAGCTAAGACGTCTCTCCGTGAAGCTGAACGGATTGTTATGGTGAATGACATAACCAATAAAATCATCGCAGTTACCGACTTTGATTGTCGCCGCGTATGCCTGCAAGCAGTTTCTTTTTGTTAGCAATAGTTCATGAAGGCGCTGGTGACGCGGTAACGTACGATTCCTCCTGTGAGAAGGATAAACGATGCGATGCCGTCGAGGATAAGCATTATCGTGCCTTGTAAAGCTTCCATGAAACAAGCTACTACCCCAATAGCTGCAATGATGATTGCGGCGCCACCACAGAAGGAACCGTATATTATGAGTGACCACGAGAAACCCGGTCCATAACCTTTGATCATGATCACGGATAATGCTAGAACGACGGCAGCGAACAATAGCTGTTAAGGTTAGCCATATGATTTATATGATATAAGATTCCGAATGGAGTTTATCTGAAAAACGCGGAGAGCTAGTGTGACAATCATTCTGGCTTGTGGTTATATGCTAATTATTTTCAAATACTATAGCATTTAGATGTAAATTGAGTGAAGCCAGAGGCCATCTGGTCGAGTAAAATGGATATTATATACTTTCAAGCCCTACAAAGGTTGACAGAGAAATGAGTCAAGCGAGGTTCAATATAGATAGGACAAGGTAAGAATCTCATGACAATTATCCCATGTCCATAAGCACAGCCTATGTATGCAGTGAGCAAGGAGCCTTACTAGAGGATTGTGGCACCGTGTTTTATAGACTCTGCCTTAATAAACACAGTGTCGATGAGATTGACGTTGTACTTCAACCTAGAATCAATCTTACTGTAATGTAACTGGTTTAACCGCGTAGGAAAATGGAGATGTACATGTGTACTCCATATCAAGTACAAGAAAACTCGACAGTCTTCTCGAAGTCGATAATTAGTCCTAATTCACGGGTACTACCGTGGCAGATACCCCTCCGAGGAACGAATATACTACATTGTTGCCCTCGTATCTGTTGAATGAAAAACAACACAAGTTTGACGAATATGCATGTGGTTCATGTGGTAGTTCACCATCTTAGCGAACCAACTCCAATAGCATAGACAACATCAATGCAAAACATCGATTGTTCGAACGGCAGCCAAACAATCTCAATGCCTAAGAAACTACTCGACGGAAGGATCCTCCTGCATTTATTAAAAATTTTGAAACATGGAGGACTCGTTGCTGAGCCGCCACTGCAAGATACGAAATAAGATTAAATCAACGTATCGATGCATTATAAGTTTGACAGGTGTGTGGTGGTACAGAAGGAGAGCCCTATGGGAGGTAGGATAGTACATTCAGCCTCTACTCAGTGGCGCCTATGGGAACCGACTCCAAATTTAGATGGAAAACTGCGGATGTATATAAGATAAGACGAAGGCTGTTTGAAATGAGTGAGATGGTACTGTATCAGCCTTTATCATAAGCTCAACCAATAATTGAGTTTAAACGATTCTTGGCAGGTATCTTTCCATTCATCTCAAATATCGTTTGATGGTTTGAAGGAAGAAGCATTAAAATGCACACAAGGTTTGGATCCGAACATTGGATTTACACCCCGTTCACAGCCACACTTTATAATAAGCTTAACTTTAAAGCCACATCTAATTTTGTCCAATCGACATGCAGTTACGAGCTTGCACTTCTACCACATCCAATGAGCCAGTGATATGATAGTCCAATGAGTCTTCAAGTGGAGTCTCAGGATACAGGGAACGCGTCTCGGGATATAGAGAATGAGTCTCAGGAAATCGAGAAAGAAGTCGAAGAACTGGAGAAGAAATTAGCAGCTGCGAAAGCCCGATTAGCCTGTCGAACTCTCTCCCCCACATCCTCTAGAGATCACCGTCCCAATATAAACAATGGTGAGAAAACTCCTAGTCTCTTTAGGTAAGCTCCATTTCTAACCAAGCCCAGCACCATCCCTCTCTCCACAATACAATCATTTCCTCCTCCTGCTCTCCGATTCTGCGCTCCCACTCGGATCATTCGCCTTCAGCAGCGGTCTAGAATCCTATCTCGCGCACACGAAACCCCAATCATCATTCACAGATTTCCTCGCCTTCTCACTCTCCTCCTATGCATCCACCACTCTTCCCTTCGTGCTCGCCGCTCATCGGAACCCCGAGGATTTGATCCATCTAGATGATGCCCAGGATGCTTCGATCATGTGTACCGTCGGACGACGAGCTTCGATTGCTCAGGGAAGAGCTTTATTGTCTATCTGGGATCGATCGTTTTCTACTGCTTTAGCTTCGGAGTTCTCCACTTCTTCATCTGTTGTTGGAAGTAATATTTTAAAGGAATTTTCTGCACTTCTCAAATCTATATCCTCAGCACCTAAAACTACTTCGGGAGAAATACCACCTGTATCCGCTCATCTAGCACCTTTATTTGGTGCCATTACGTCGACTGTGGGAATGAGTTTAGAGCAGACTGCATATGTATTTATGTTAAGTCATGTGAAGGCTTTGCTTTCGGCCGCTGTGAGAGCCAGTATGTTTGGACCGTATCATGCACAGAAAGTTTTGGCGAGTGGTGAAGTTCAGATGGGAATTAAAGAGGCTATTGAAAGGGAATGGAATACCAAGGTTGAGGATGCTGGTCAGAGTGTACCGGTTATGGATTTATGGATTGGAAGACATGAGATGCTATACTCGAGGATTTTCAACAGTTGATGACTATAATGAAATCATGGAGAACACAACCATATCATGGGACGAATTGCTTTAATCTTGCTCATTACTTCTATTTTCGAAGCTGAGACAATGCTGCTATGATTTTGGCTTGTCTAAAAGACCGAGCATTATACTGTACACGATGGTAATAGTAGTTGACCAACTCCTTAACTCCGCTTAAACCCCCATCTAATCACTATCGCTATCATAAGCTACCAATGGTCCCGCGGGTGCTTTCGGTTTTGGCTTCGTTGCGATTGACCCTTTGGCACTTTCTAATGCTGCAAGAGTACTACTGGAAAATATACCTCCACTCTCCTCTTTCTGTTCCGTCTGCTCATAGATATCCGATTCGAGCATGAGTCTTTGCTCCTCTTCTAACTCTAGTCCTTGTCTGCCAACTGGGTTTACAGCATTGGCACCCCTAGCAAAATAAACGTCATCAGGCGCTTCATACCCTGCCAGTCCAAAACCTCCTTCTATTCTCTTGCGTTTTCGTGCTTCTGGATCCCTTCCCTCTATCTCAGCCACAAATTCCGCAGGTAAAGCCCTCCGAACAGCTTCCGCAGCTTGCTCCTCTATCCTTCGTACCTCTCGCGCCTGCGCCATCGGATTCGGATCTGCCGTCGCCCATCTTACGTTCAAGATTTCGTTATGATCTAAAGATTGATGTGCCATTGCTTCTTTCGCAAATTGTGCATTTGCCTCATTTGAATATGTGATAAAAGCTACACCTCTTGTATTCAGAACCCGGACTAGCATAGATTAGCATGTAGTCATTACCACATTTAAGATATAGAGACTTACTTCTCTCAACCTGGCCCCATTCTGCAAAATGTCGCGCAACAATTTCTTCAATATCATCGCTGACATGTATCCTTCCCACATAAATTGTTCTATTTTGCCTCATGAAACTTCCTGTGCCTCCCATATCATCTCTATAATCCGAATGTTTGTCCCGACCAAATACATCCACATTCGGATTGAACATATCATGAATACCTGGCAAACGATGTAGATATTCACATTCCTGACCTTTTGGACAAATTCCTCGTGCAAAAAATAAACAGAAATAACTGCCCGTCACTTTGTCGGCTTTAGTATATCCAGTATCATTTGCGATGTTGCAACGTCCCGCCGCAGCAGTTTTTGATAAATATTTGTCTTCCCGATCACCACCAGACCATTTGTTATACCAGATATTGAAAATAGTACCAGTTTGTGGAGGAGGTTCGCTCTTTATCGTTGAGGGATCAACTTGGGGACGCGCTGGACGCTTTTTTCGACGTATGATTTTCTTAACTTTGCGCTCAGCGGGTGCGCCTGTTTCATTGTTTATCGTAGCTAGAGCTGTTGAGTTTTCCTCCGAAGCTTCAATGGCTGGCGCCATGGTTGGCGGACTTGCATTCTCGACTTCAGACATTTTGATGATGGATGTGGTTGTTGTCACTGCGAGACGGAATCGAGAGCTTTGAAAAGTTTAAGGCTGAGATCAATGCACCGCCACTTCACGCCACACATTTCTAGCGGGCTAGGGAGCGGAAGATCTTTATCTCAGAATTCGGACATCATAGCAATTTTTGATATATCCATTACTTTTCGGCGAAGATAACCCAAAATTGTTTATTATTCCTCAGCGATGCCCAACGCCATACAGTTTTAGAAACTCTCATTAGTTTTGAAGCAGATTGATTGAGAAAATTTCGTCCCTGGTGAACCCCCTGCTCCTGATTAGCCTCTATATGGGAGAGGGAGGAAAATGGTTGGCTTGATATTCTATAACCTTGTGATTCATCTGAAGCGCAAGATACTACAAGTCACATTCGAGTAATAAAGCAAATATAGTTTAAGACATATATTATATATGAATCTTGAATCATGATATTCATATCTGTCAACACCTTATATTTGTACACTTTGATTTCCGCACTTTTCATATTCCCCATCCTTCCCCTTCGATACATGGTTTTATAACGTTCGCTTTCATTTTCCATCCTCAAAAATGTAACTACTCGCCCCAAAGAAAAGAGGCCAATCAGTGATACCACAATCCACCCCTTCTGTCACCATGCATCTATGTTAAGTACCCTTATTATGCCTAAATCCATAGGAAGCTTTGGGTATCGTATTTCGTTACGACATCAAAAAAGAGAAAAGGAAAAAAATGTGTACAAGAAATGAATATGCTGAAAGGAAAAACTCCAAGGCGATGCAATGTCCAGCGCTTGCAATGCGTTTGAAGCATGTACTAGTTTAATACAGGTGCTGCAAAAGAAGCAAGGAAACTGCCAATAACCTAATCAAGTGATTGGGTTCAAAAATGGGCTCAGTAACAACTCGTCAGCACTCGGTCGTTTGGTATGTTCGACCTCAAAAGTTGATGCCAAGAAGATCTTCGCATCAGAGCTGGCTTCGTCTGGCACGGTAGGACTAATTCTTGCACCACCGATTTTGAAAATGGCTTGTAGTTGAGAGCAATCAGGGAACGGGTGGGTACCAGTCATCATTTCAATTACAAGGCAACCGAGTGACCAAATATCTGCTTTGCGTGTGTAGGCGGTTTGTTTGACGACCTCAGGCGCCATCCAGAATACGGATCCTTGCAGTGAAGGTCGGTTTTTATTATTGCCAGGTCCATTGAGAAGATTCGAGGCTTCGATTTTCTTTGAGATTCCAAAATCAGAGATTTTAATCCCACCCTTGTTGTCAACAAGGATATTTGCACCTTTGATATCTCTGTGAATTATATCTTTGCCATGGAGATAAGCCAAGCCAGTGACAATTTGTCGCACAAAACTTCGAATTAGAGGCTCTCCCAATGCTCCATAAGAATTAAGCATAGTTTGGACGGAACCACCAGGCACGTATTCAAGGAAAATGTTGAGGTGATTGTCGGATGAGCTTGCTCCGAGATATTGAACAATGTTGGGATGCTGAAGATCGCGAAGGAAACTAATCTCACGCTTCAAAGCGTCGATCATACTCTTCTTGCGAGCATCGTTTTTACTGTCCGTACTAGGCGAAGGTGTCTCGACTTGCTTGACCGCAAGTAGTTCACCCGTGACGGCATGTAAAGCCAAGAAAACACTACCAAAGGAACCTTGTCCAATAAGTGCACCCTTCATCCATTTGCTGTCATCCCAAGAGTCACCCTGTAGGAAACTTTCCAATTCTTCGTCCAATTCCTCTCCATCATTGATCAGTGCTTGGGTGATTTCTTTCAAAGAATCCCCAGCTTCTGTGCTACCATCTTCGAAGTAGCTATCTCTAACGCTACCTCCATCATCAGCAGTTACGTTGACATTGGTAGTATCAGATCCGCTATCAGTCGCGAAAGAGACATAAGATTTGCGATTCGGCTCAGTTGGGGATTCTTCTTGGACAATGTCGAGTAATGAAGAAGCCACCGAGTCTCTAAATCGACTACTAGTTGCTCTTGAGAGGTCCAAAGGTCGGACTTTTGCTAATTGGCTATTACCCATGAGCCAAGTATCGGCAATCGTGGGCATTGGTGGGGCATCAGCTACGCTCGAAGCGAAGCTGAGGTTACTGGCAACACTCAAACGGCTGTTGACCTTACTTAGACGAGTAGATCTCCGCACTGAAAGTCTTGCGGTGCGATCAATCTCTTCACGAGGATGATCAGGAAAGTATGTCGTCAAATCCGACGTGATCAATTCACTTGGGGGTCTCTGTCCAAAGAAGTGGCGCAGACCACCTTTCTTGCCTATTTTATGCCTTGAACTTTCTCGGGAATCGGCTGGCAGTGGTCTCTCAAGATCCTTCGCCGCATTATACACGTTGCGCTCTCTCTCAGTGATGGACAGGTTAGATCCAGCCGACTGAAACGAAGCAGGTGATAATGGATGTTGAAGGTTGTCATTCCAGGTCTCTCCGAGCATTTTCTGAACTTTGAGTTGACTACGCTTGTTATCGGAGGTTTCGATAGCACGGTTATGAGTTGTTGTAGCTTCTTCCAATGCGATGCTGGCGGCTCGCTGTAGCTCATCGTCGCCTGGTTCACCTGCATGTATCTTTCGCAAGATAAGTCGATTTCTCTCAGCTCTCTTTTGATCTTTGATGATGCGCCAGAGTTCAGCCTCTGGCAATCGACGGCATTGGCTGGGATCCGGATCGACACCAGCAAGGACCCAGAAGCAATAGTTCCGATCATGGTCCTCGCGGTAACCAAATTTCCTCAAAGTCAATCGCATCACCTCGTCGCAGGAGCTACAATCGGCGACTTTGACCACCTTGGTGACACCCTTAGAAGATATGACTCTGATGACATCCTGGTTTGTGGGCAATGAAGCCATGAGCGAGCCATCGATGCTTGGGTTGGCTCGAGTATGACCACCAGCTAGCCGAGATATCTGTGGCTGTGCAGGATCAGATGGGGTGGTAGGCCGCCTTCCAGAAACAGTCGCAGCACTTCCTGGTATGCTAATATTATTCGAACCATTAAAGTATCCTTGACTTTGTTCCCGCTTCATTTGTTCTGCTGGGCTCATGATACCATATCTCTGTTGTCGTAGAGGTCGAACCTCAGAATTTGTCAAGGGTGAGACAGGCCGCGAAGCTGGTTTACTGACGTTCTCGGGAATCGCTGTAGCGGTATTAAAAGAATCAAACTGTCTCGAGAATCTCTTGCCCGTAGATGCAGACATATTTCGGCTTCCAGAATTTGTAGGACGTGGGGAGCCAGAAGAAGACGGGGTGTGCGCAAAAGTATCTAGTGTCGCGAAAGAATCCTGTGATTGAAATCGTCAAAATCAATCCACTGTAATGAGCACTTAAACAACACTTACCCTATTCCTCTTCTTCTGGTTGGCATAGGCCTTCGTCCTGAGCTTTTTGATGCCCAAGAAGAGACGAACGCGATCTCCTATCTTTTCAATACCCATTTCTTGAAGCACCGCTTTATCCATTTCTAGAAGGTTCTCGCCATTTATATTGTTCTTCTTGAATAATTTCTCATAATCGCCGCAGTTGATACTCCTTAGCCAATCGCAAACTTGATCCTCATCCCACCTCTTTGCGGACTCTGGACGGTCTACATCCGAAAACTCAGATTCTGTAGGGCTTGCGAACGTCTGGTTTGTGGCCAACATAGCTGGCGCTCTTCTACTTGATTGTGTAGTGGCCGATTGTGAATTGGAAGAGAAAGAAGATGAGGACGGGCCCAGCGATGCGGGAAAAGGATTCTTTGAAGCTAGCATTGCCATTGTGTCGATGGCATTACAAGGGCATAAAGGTGGCTGATTAATGTACTAATTGGAGTTTGTAGAAGCAGGAGCGAATTGGCAACAAAGGGAGAAGACCTGGCGAGGGTCGATTATTTTTGAAAACAAGTCAGAAGATTCTGATTCGACAGGTGATTGCTTATACAGGTCAGATGGTAATTATCTGTTCGAGGGGTTAAGTTGAAGGTTCAAAAAAAAGATTGAAAGCGAGTGTCGCAAGGTTGAATTGAATGAAGTGATGGAGGATTTGGGTTTTTTTGTAGGTAAGTCTTACAACCGACTGTGTGCGAATGCTCAATTGCTCAATGATCGTGTTGCAAGATATGTCGTTCTTGTATGTTGTTAATTGATTGATATAGATCTTCCAGGATCTATTTTAATAATTAATGAGTTCTATAGATATACCACCTGGTAAAGATCTATTGAAGGTTCGTGGATTGTGATGTGAGATGGGATCAAAGAACCGACACCGAGAAGAGGAGGGTTTGAGTGCTACAAGTACGTGCCCATGTGAAGTGTGACTGGGTTGTGGTGAGATAAAGTTTGAAGTGGATATTTTTCCCACTAGACGGGAAAATAAATATAATAAATAATCGGGGCAGGAATTAATAATTGGGATACGGAGGAAAGATAAAATATTGATAAATGAATTTTACGAATAGAGTCAATGGACCGATGGAAACTCAAGGTAGAAGGTAGGGAGAATACTGGACTGTACTATATTTATTGTACGTAGGTAGGTAGTCTGAATCAAGGGTTTCCGTTGAATGAGGGTGCGACGACGGGGGATTTATTATTACTAGGTAGGTAGTAGGCAAAGAGCAGGCAGGTATGATGGATGGTTGGTATGATGGCAACTATGATGTTAGATCGGGACTAGGTGCTTAAATTCCCCAAGAGAAGACTGAGAGACCGAAAGACTGATAAACTGAGACCCTGAGACTCTGGGAATCTGAGAATCTGAGAATCTGAGACAACAATGGACGCGGCTGCCAAAGTAAGCTATCACGCTATGTTTTGTATGAGTGGGGAAAGGGAAAGGGAAGAGAGGCGAGGAGATCAGAGCAAAGAGGCAGTTGGATCAATTGATGATTTGTTTGGATGTGGATTAGCACGAGGATGAAAAGGAGCCAGGATTGAAAGAATTAACTAGGCCCTGTACTGCACTCAGCAAATCAAGGGCAAGGGCGCAATCATGAGATTAACCCAATCTGGTCAAGGGTCAAATGATTATGCATGTTATTTTTTCAAGCCTTCTCCCAGAGAACCGAGAACTTGAACCTTTCTAAGATTTTTCGGAGTAGATGCTGAAAAGAATCAACTTACCTTACCAGCTTACTAGCTTATAACTGACTAGCTTACTACATAGACACCCTGGTAAATCTGTAAACACCTACATGCGCGTACGAGGGGTGCTAGTCTAGTGTATGCCAGTGAATGGGCATCATGGATAATCGATTTTATGGGAGATGGGTACACCGTACTGCAAGCTTTAAAAGATATGTGATATGTACTCTGTATGTGGGCGTTCTAGAGTAGTAGCTTTACTCCGGAACTAAAATAATCCTAGATCATACATACATAGTGCATACACAGGAAAACCCTCTCAAGTCCCCAATTGAAAGTCAGAGAAAGCACATCGACGCAATCCGGCTTGCCAAAATCGTTGAAATGCGTCCCAAAGCTATGCCATGCTTCTACTCGGCAAACATGCAAGATGATTCTAAGATGTTCTCGGGAGGGCAAAACCGAATAATCTAGATCAGGTGAGGTGAGGATTTTGGTTCTGTTTCGGTTTCTTCCGAGCATAGTAGATAAAGATCAGAAACTAGAAACCTGGTGGACCAAGATCCGAGGGATTTGACGATAAAGGAAAGGCATCATCAAATTGATTAAATTATGGCTGTGGATGTTTCTCAATATCAAAGAAACCGTGAAATCTACTGTGGGATCTGGAGCAAATGGAAGAGGGCTGATTAAAACATAAACTGAGGCAAAGATCAGATCCAATGTTTTGGAATTTTGGTACCGTCCACTGTACGTCTATTTTCATATTGAGCGATAAGACAAGAAGCATATGGCATCGGTCTCAAACGGCCGTACAGACCAGTATCTCCTCCCAGATTCCTGCCCTATGCGCTGGCAACAATTCTCATGCAACAGGCAGTCAGATGAATATACGGGGTAAGAAGTTGAATATTTTTACAAATCTTATTTGCTCAAATCTTTTGCCTCCATCTTTAGGAATATCCCACAGTCTCAAATTTTTTGGTCGTCTTGAGGATGGCCCGGATCTTTAGCTTTCAATTGGTTCCTACATGGGTAGTAGGTGCTAGGTACTAGGTTGAACGTTTGATGGTCGCTGATTATCTTATTATCTTTTTACTCTATCTAAAGAGAAGATGAAACGTCCCAAAAGTCGAAAAGTCGAAAAGTCGGTCGAACAAGACAGCTTATGCACGCGAATGGCCAGGGGGCCTGGCTCGGGAATAATAACATCATACTGTAATTTCATAGCCTTAGGGATTTTAGCCTTGAAGGCGAATCCCTTTCGTCGATGCCAGGGGAACGAAGGTAAATCGGAAAATAGATATGGAAATAGAAATAATACCGGTATGTATTGCTTGGAGATGAAGGAAGGGTCTAATCAAAAGTGTATCGTAGTATCGTATCGTATCGTATCGATTTGTGTCATCTTAATCAATTGGAGGAGTTTATACCCATCCACGTGTTATATCAGTGCTTTCTATAACCTGTTATCATAACCTACTAGGTATCTAAGCATGTACATAGCCATAGCATTGTAACAATATACGAATGATGGATGGATCATTGATGGAACCATTCGTAGAACAAACAGCATAAACCTGGATATGCTGATGAGCTCTCTCGCTAGAATATCATATGGTTGGTTGTAAGCTAGACTATGAAACCAACTTTCAGATCATCAGATGGCGGCAACATCCTGCAGCTTATTACGATTTAATCTTTTCTCGTAGCCTCCAACCAAAAACTACCGTGTACTCTATGTACTCCCCGTTCGCGTAATCCACAAATACCTAACTACATACTCCGCCCGTATCTAAGGTAGTAGCATCGAGCCCAACGTGGAAAAAAAGGCCTAAAAGTAATGGCCGAGTACCTGAACAACGCTGATGAACAAGATATAGAGCACACAACTTACAAGCGACCCTTTAGAGTGGGATTTACCTTCGGATTTGCCGCTGTCAATAGCCACAATTGCATACCGTTCACTTGATCCTCTCGATGATTTTTGTTTGGTGTTTGAGAATTTGCTCCAATGATCCATTCCCAATCCTACCTGATGACCGCAGATCAATTATGAAACTCCAAGGGTCGCGAAAGCATTGACGAAACTTGGAAACTTTCTTGACCAATGATAATATTCGTCAGCGCATCACGGTTTACGGAGTACACAGTAGTATTTCAGATCCGGACTTTATAATCCTTAAGCTTGACTACCGGGAAAAAGAATCATGTTGTGGACTTTGGTACTGCAACAATCGCCGCATTCATGTAGTATGTACCATTCTATTCTTGGTCCTTCGGCAAGCAAAACTTTACGTTGTTAAAGTCAAAGCCGCAGAGCATTCTTCTAGACTATGATCCAGAGATGCTTTTCGGTATATCTCTTTCCGCTTGTTTGACAAGACTTGCGCATCATCAGCATCAGCAATGATGTTTTCCCTACCATTCCCCCCGGGTCAGGGATTCTGGAATACGCAAAATATCTTCAGCATGATCTTCACTATATCTGAAGACATGAGGTCACCTGTCTGAGCTCATCCTTATCGAACTCGTTTCAAGCATTCTTAATTTCCTTTCCTCAATGCTGTCACTTGTTGCCTCGATATCCCCTGCTTTTCAATCTTTTTCAGTCCATCACCAAATCCAGGGAGGTTTGCATTCCTATTGATCTAAACATAAGATTAGCAGCATGTGAAGCCCCCGCAATCGATATGTTATAAACATTATCTTCGTATTTTTGGCTCAGGGGGATGAAACCTCCGCCCCCAACTGACACCTTGACTTTCCAAGACCGGGAGAAATCTCTTAACGACCCCTCGCCTAGGGCAGTTCTGGCTATAGAAATACATCGTCAATGTCGTTGAACCTTAACGACGCAAATTTACTGTGCTCATCATTCAAAACCCGAGACCAAGGTCTTTTCAATGTTTCCAGCTAATGTTTGTCATCGTATCCATGATTCAGCACTGATGAACGAAGATCAGTACTCAAGATGTGGACATGCCATGCCTCAAACCAACTTGGCCAAGTCATCCCGCCGATATAGATTACGATTATACTTCGAGTTTATTTGGGGATACCCCAGTGTCATTAGTGGGAGGACCGGGAGACCGTAAATATCCTCTCCCGGAAACTTCGAGGAAGTTACGACAGATACTAACGATCTCGGACCACGAGGGCTGTGCGTACAAATACGTACCGGTACTACCCAAGAGGAAAATGTATCTAAAATTTGACATACGAGATAAATCATGCTGTGTAATCCATAGCTATATCCATGAGCTGCGTACGGATCTACTGGGCGATATCAGAGTCCTTGCTTCGGTGTTAAGATACAGAGCCTCGCAGAAGCAACATGGGCTGTAACCAAAACTTGGACTGTTTACAATAAAAGAGCGCAAGGCTCATTCGCTAGATGGAGATGACAGTACAATAACATATACATCGACTGCTATTATCTGAGTCCTCGTGGAGCTTACCTAGAGCTTACCTAGAGCTTTTCAACCAGGAAGAACTTAGAGTGGCATGCTGTAAGACCTCAAACTTTCGATGCTGTATATGGGGACACTGCATCCAGGGTAACAAAATGTGTCTACCCGCAAAATGAAAGCCTCGTATCCCATAATTGTACAAGGGCGACACATATGACCCTAAATATGTTGTGATCCTCAAAAGGACCGAGTAGTTAATAATCATGTGACATCTAAATCACGTGTGTTTGATACGGCCTGCCACTAATTCGTCAAGTGCAGTTGAAGCTATGGCTTGCCAGCCTTGGACAACGAATCACAGCCTCGAGCTCAACGACCATGAGGTAGCTCATACAAACAACGACGGATGGCTCTCGACCCATCAAGCGGCTATGTAGCCGCAAGAAATCTACAAGATCTTAATGAGATTGCACTTCCAATATTTAACGTCGAGAAAGTACAACTACAATTCTCTATAGCCTCCGACTTTGTAGCGGCGCAAGTCGCAAACAATGTCCTGGTTTTGGCACTTTCAGATGGGAGGATTCTAAGAATCGACCTGGACAATCCCGCAGATATAGATGGTGAGACTTTACACACCTAATATTTATTGAATCGGCCAACTGATTGTTGATTTAGATATTGACCTACCTAAAAAGACCTCGGAGGTTGGAGTGATACGGCGCATGTTCCTCGACCCAACAGCTTCACATCTGATTATATGTACTTCACAAGGGGAGAACTATTACATTCATACACAATCCAGGCAACCTAGGCCTCTTTCTCGATTGCGGGGTGTATCGATAGAATGTATTGCTTGGAATCCTTCGTTACCTACATCTTCGACCAGGGAGATACTTATTGGGACTTCCGATGGAATGATTTATGAAGGGTATATAGAAACTGCCACGGAATTCTACAGGAAGGAGGACAAATATTTAAAAGCGCTTATGAGGCTTCCGGACGGACCTGTTACTGGGCTCTGGGTGGACCTTGTCACTGGTAGACCTGACGCCAGAGAAGTCCGACGAGTAATGATAGCTACACAAAGTCGGGTTCTTCACTTAGTAGGCAAGATTGGCCGGGTCGCACATGAAGGGGGTGCATCAATATTTACACGGCTTTTCGAGACGGAACAACCCACGATTCATGAATTGTCTAGGATATCTACAACTGCAGCTTCTTCTCTTGTGGTGTCCCCAAATCATCCCGACTCAGCGTCCATGGAAAGTCTAACCCCAGATCGTACTTTCGCATGGCTTTCGTCACAAGGTGTGTACTATGGAACGTTAATGACTACACCAGCCACCTCAGATTTGGGCGCAAGATTATTTACCGAGGCAAAATTGTTACCTAGGTCTCAATTGCCGGCTTCGGAGAATTCCATGGGTCGCAAGAAGCCAGTTCCAGACTCAATCGACTCTATCGCGTTGACTCAGTGGCATATTCTTCATCTGATTGGTGGAAGGGTCGTTGCTGTCAATCGACTAGATGATAGAGTAATATTTGATCAAGTAGTCTTGGAACCTGGCCAGCAAGCACTTGGACTGTTCGCTGACCAAGAGAAGAACACGTTTTGGCTCTTCACTACACAAGAAATTTATGAAATTGTTGTCACAGATGAAGATAGAGATGTATGGAAAGTTATGCTACAGACCGAACATTTTGACGCAGCGTTGCGTTATGCCAGGGGCCCAGCTCAGAAGGATGCTGTCGCTACAGCGTCTGGTGACTACCTCATTAGTAAAGGTTCATATCTTGAAGCTGCGGGAGTATACGGAAAGAGTAGCAAACCATTCGAACAAGTTGCACTTATATTCGTTGACAATGACCAACAAGATGCTTTACGAAAGTATCTTCTGACAAAACTTACGACGTACAGAAAGGCCTCGACAATGCAGCGTATTATGATTGCGAGTTGGCTGGTAGAAATATTTATGTCAAAGCTTAATTCCCTAGATGATACGATCATCACTAAAGCTGAATTGTCTGAAAATTTGAATCCTACCGAGACTAGAAATCAATTAGACACAATTCGAGCGGAATACCAAGACTTTGTCACAAAATACAAAACTGACCTCGACAAGAAGACTACGTACGACATAATCAGCAGCCATGGCAGGGAGGATGAACTCTTATTCTTTGCCAGTGCTGTAAATGATTACAATTATGTTCTCTCCTACTGGATACAGAGAGAGCGATGGAAGGAGGCATTGGATGTGTTGAAGAGGCAAACATCACCCGAAATCTTCTATCGATATAGCAGTGGACTCATGACGCACGTAGCCACTGACCTTGTCGATATTCTAATGAGGCATCCAGACTTGAAGCCTCGGAATCTTATTCCTGCTTTACTGAACTACGATAAGCATTTTCAAGGGCCTCTGTCAAAAAACCAAGCCGTTCGTTATCTCCTACATGTTATCAATCACCTAAACTCAACGGAAGCTGCTGTACATAATACACTAATATCGATTTATGCCTCTCACCCATCAAAAGATGAATCGGCTCTCCTCTCATACCTCGAATCGCAAGGTGATGATCCAAGTTTTGATTCAGACTTTGCTCTTCGACTTTGCATTCAACACTCGCGAGTTCAATCTTGTGTACACATCTATAGCACCATGGGGCAATATTTACAAGCTGTAGAACTCGCCCTCGCACATTCGGAAATAGATCTCGCCTCTCTCGTTGCCGACCGCCCTCTTTCAAATCCTCCACTACGAAAGAAGCTCTGGCTTGCAGTTGCCAAAAAAGTAATATCTCAATCAAATGGCATCAAAACCGCCATTGAATTTCTCAAACGTTGCGATCTTCTCAAAATCGAAGATCTCATCCCTTTCTTCCCTGACTTCGTCGTAATTGACGACTTCAAGGAAGAGATCTGTGCTGCGCTCGAAGACTACAGTCGCAATATCGATGCCCTCAAGAAAGAAATGGACGAATCTTCTCAAACGGCTACGAATATTAAAATCGACATCGCGGCTCTTGATCAACGGTATGCTATTGTGGAACCAGGAGAAAAATGCTACGTGTGCACGTTACCGCTACTGAGTCGTCAATTCTTTGTCTTTCCTTGTCAACATGCTTTTCATAGTGATTGTTTGGGTAAGCGAGTTATGGATCAGGTGGGTGTGGGTAGGGCAAAGAGGATTAGAGAGGTACAGATGTTGATTAGTAAGGGAATGGTTATGGGTGCGAAGAGGGAAGCGTTGATTGCTGAGTTGGATGGTTTGGTGGCGAGTGCTTGGTGAGTTCTTTTTTATCTTTAGGCGAGGAGATAGAGATTATGAAAGGTCATATATGGGTTTAGATGTGGAATATATCTTGCTAACTTGAATATTAGTATCCTCTGTAGCGACTTTGCGATTAAACGAATCGACGAACCATTTGTTACAGCGTCGGATGATAGGAATGAGTGGGCATTATAGATGGATATGAATTTTATCATATTTTTCATCATGGTACTTAGCTAGCGTGTATTGCATTTGGGAGGAGTTTTTTTTAAACAATAAAAAGAAATAATTAAATAAATCTTCTATTAATTATAAAAAAATAATTTATTTATATTTATATTTATATTTATATTTATATTTATATTTATATTTATATTTATATTTATATTTATATTTATATTTATATTTATATTTATATTTATATTTATATTTATATTTATATTTATATTTATATTTATATTTATATTTATATTTATATTTATCTTTATCTTTATCTTTATCTTTATCTTTATCTTTATCTTTATCTTTATCTTTATCTTTCTCTCCCTCTCCCTCTCCCTCTCCCTCTCCCTCTCCCTCTCCCTCTCCCTCTCCCTCTCCCTCTCCCTCTCCCTCTCCCTCTTTCCTTGTTCACACACACACAATCATTCAATCAATCAATTCGATTCTTAATATCTTAATATCTCAATTCTCATCTCATCCTATATATATATATACCCTCCATTCCTAATTCAACATTCCACTAATTCAACAATCCACTCCTATTTCAAATGTATCCCCCCATTTCAATTCAATCAAATCAAATCAATACACACCCCGAATCCCCATATCTAATCTACCAACACCAGCACCAACACCAACGCCAATAATTTATAATGCATACATACATATATAAAATGTACGATTACTCCTAAAAAGAATAGCCCGCTTTAGTCTTCCCTACCCTTCCCTTTCCTTTCCTTTCCTTCCATTCCAATCCCATTGCTTCCTATGCATGCCTTAGCCTCCCTCCATTTCCCCTTCCCTATAGTCAAAGATATGAAAACTTCACCCAATTCGAATTTGCAAGCCAAGCCAACAACCAATACATCCGTGAATCCTTCCAGATGATCCGCTCAGCCATTCCTCAATATCCTCAATATACAGTAAAAGTTATGTTATGTTATGGAATGCACTTTCCACCAAGTCCATTAATCCAACCCCTGAATTAAAGAAATCAAGTAAAGTAGGCAGGTTCTTCCCTATTCTTCCTTGCTGTCTTCTGCGCCCTGTATGTATGCATGCATGCTTGCAATATGCCTTCGCTTTTTCACTTTTAATACGAGTAAAATCCCGATTCTCCAACTCCATTCCCAAATGCAACGCGAAGAAACAATTCATCCACCATGTGCAAAAGTCTCGAGTCGCAGTGACAAATATCAAGGTTCCATTTCGAATAATCCACCGTCCATCTCAAACATCCTGTCGTTACCTAATGATCCCAGGTCGGGTAATAGGCCCCCATCCTTACTGCGTTTGTATGATAACCGCTTTGGGTTGAGCTTAGTAGTATCCGGCTCATCTAACTCAAACAACTTTTCATTGCCTAAAGAAGGCAAGTCAGGTAATAAACCTCCATCTTTACTACGCTTGTAGGATATGCGTTTAAACTGGATAGAATCCGGCTCATCCATCGGCTTCTCGTTCTCCTTGTCCATGGGATTAATCACTTCTGCTAAAGGTGTCATGCCAGAAAATCGGTCATTTGTAATTTCGACAGGATTTCCCAATTCGATCCTTGGAGTCGTGTTGCTTAAAACCTGTTCTAAGATTCCTCGGTCGCTCATCGCAGTCGTAGGACGCATGGCATGCTCACCGAAAATCTGAGTAGGGTCATACCCATCCACACCCATTGCGATGTTTCTATTCCTTTCCCCTGTTAGAGTCCAATCTTCCAATCTCGGTATTCCACTTATCCCTAGGAGTAGAGGATTTGACCACTTGATCAACATCTTGAGGCGTTAACTCTTGTGTTTACTGGCTTCTCAACTCCGACGCCAAAATTTTTCAGTGTCCGCTTCACCGAACTTTTCACATGGTGATTTTCACGGCCTGAGGAACTCGTGGCGCGGCGCGTATCTCTCATACTAGCGCTCATTCGTTTCATGGCGATATCTTGATCGTCCTGCATATAAGGCACCTCGAGAACAGTGTGGTTTTTCGCAATCGCATTGACGAGTATCGTAAATCCTTGGAGATTGATATCGTTGTGTTCACAGAAAATATGTGTCAAACCTCTATTTTCTTCCAAGACAGAAGAAAGTGTGTTCGCCCCTTCCAAACCCAAGTTCTGGTACTCTATACGAAGAGACTTCAAAGTGTTGTTCTTCTTAAGACCAGTCAATGCTTGATTTAAGCCGATTCCAAATCGCGTAACCTCCAGATGTGCTTGTTCTCCAGATATGTCCAAGTCTTGAAGGGTGGTGTTCTCAGCAAAAACCCTCTGCATGGTTTCACAGGTCTCCGGACTTGCATCGTAGGGGAGTGACGCTTTCGAGATATCAAGTACTTGAATCGTAGTGTTGGTGCGCAGAGCTTCTAACAATCGTTTAAAGTGCTCCTCTTTGGTGAATTCGATCATCCGAACCACGAGTTTTGTTGGTGTGTAATTTTCTTGAATAGCCTTCACAAAATCACTTATTCCCTTCTCCAGCCGATTAGCACTTACGTGGAGTTCCAAATCACGAGGTTCACCAGCGACTCGAGTCATAGCTCGCATGAGAAGAGCAACATGCGATCCACTTAGGTTGCATTGATCCATCTGTAAGCTGCGAAGCCCATTAGACATGTCACTTGTAAGATAGGCGGAAATTGTATCCAGTGTTTGATCGTTTACCTGCCAAGTTAGCAAAAAAAACTCAAAATTCGAGGAACAAACTTACAGGAATACCGTTCAGGATCAACTCCTCTAGTCGCCAGGCGAGCATAACTTCGGGAACAAAGAGTGGTTGGTCGCCAGAAGTACGGGTAATCATTGATAAATCAAGCTTACGGACATGCGAAAATCGACTCATGGATACTTGAAATCGTTCAAGAAGGATTCGCCCCGGGTTGTTGGATACATTGATGCACTCTAGTGTTTGGTTCTGTCGTTCCAGAAGAGTTAAAAGTTGCATTATCCCCCGATCGCTCAGCCCACAGCGCGAGCACTCGATCGCCCTGATCCCAGCCTTAGGATTATTCAATGCAGGAATCATAGCATCAAGATCCGTTTCCCCCAACTCAATTCCGTTTAGAACAATCCAATTAACATCGGTTAGCTGAGCGCTGCATAAGGGCATTAACGCTGCAGTAATTTCGCAACCTGGATCTTTGTGAAGAACACCGCCTTCGTCATCAAATGTGTCCCGCGGCCTTCTTCTGGGAAGGGCGTTGCTGAAATCCATCTTTCGAAGCTGTAATGATTTCAACGCAAGTGCTTGAACCTCTTGGTACAATAGAGACCCGTCCTGCGGCTTCATCGTGAAGTAGGTATCTATCGCAATACCTACTCGAGTAGTCCATGCTACATGATCTATGCCGTAGGAATCCACAATACCATGCAAGCAATGAAGATCAATATCAGCGAAAGAAATTGAGCGAAAAGATTCGTTATATCGTAAAGACCTAAAGATAGCAAGCAGTTCGTAAATCGTATATTTAGCTGTCAAGGCAGGAGGGTATAAACGAAATTCTGGAGCATCCTCGACACTCCAATCTACTGCATATTTTATATTTATGGGATTACACTAGATACGTCAGCCAGGTTAGAATTACTAGCACACAGATGAGATCTTACATTGTAGGCCATGCAATAAGCAACAAGAGTTCTATCAAAGCATCCATACTCCTCCTCTTCGTAAACTAGTGGGATATCACCAGATTCCAGCAGGCGTTTAGGCCCGTTGAATGTGAAGTTGTAGTCTAGCCATGCCGGTTTAAGATACTGTATGGCTTGGAAGATGACTACAGCAATGTCATGTGTAGCTGAAGCTGCCAACTCGAGCATACTAGCTTGTTGAAGTGGTGTTCTATGCTAATATTAGTCTTTACACTTCTATTTACTGCTATAATGCTAAATCACTGGAAATGGGAACTCTTTGAACTCATGCAAGCACATGAATGTTTCGTACGACTGCACCGGTCAATACTGAAGTAGCCCCAGATTTGGTAAGAGGCGGAAGGCCATCTTGGTTGAAGACAATAGCACTCGCGACCATCAAGGAGAGAGTGTGGAGCTTCTCATACAGCACGTAAATATCTAAACATAGAGGACGGAGATTGAAGTACAATTAAAGATCTAAACTCACCTAAATGCAAGCTCAAATCGATCATCGGAATACTGCACGTTCATTGCAACTAGGGATACAAGGCCGTACGCACTTCGACTGGATTTTGGATGAAAAAGGGCACCAGACGGCAGGGTAAAGTCGGGTAGGGGTATCAAATGCAGTCGATTGATACCAATAACCATGTAGAACACTGATGACCCAAGCCTTTGAAGGTCGTCCGAAGAGGAGCGTGCACTTTTGGCCAATGGTGCTCGATTGATAACCCGGAATATTTGGAAATGATTGGCGTCATAGTCGTCCACCCCCTCCAGGGTCTGAACAAGATAACGGACAACTCGTTCAGGGTATGGTTCCGGCATCATGAGTCTGGCTTTCTGCGCAGCCGCTCTTATCGAAGTGGACCATAGATCTGCTTCCTTTGGATCATGTAACATAAGCTGAAGGGATCCTACACCATGATAATCTTCGTCTAAAAACACGACCTCGGTAGTGAAATATGGTCGCCCATCCTCCATCTTGTATACTGTGACAATCTGACCCAAAGGGATCCTGTTTTCGCCTTCGGTCGATGCATGTGAAGCTTGAGACTGTACTTCTTGTAAGGATCCTATGGATGCAGTGGATGATTGACGATGGGATTGTCGCAAGTGCGCCGGTTGTATATTGGGAAATGCCTCTATCGCCCGTGCCATGCTCTTGAAGCGCGTTAGGTGTGTATCCGTCAGCACAAGGTATTCCTTTTTCTTCCTGAACATCGAACTAGTCGTCTGAACCTCTCCATGATGAAGTATGGAAACAGCACTGCTCGCATTGAGGATACCGGCTGCAAGATAGTGATATTCCTCTTCAGGGGATTCAGGAGTGGTACCCGTCACCTCCTTTTCCTCGGCCAAATCTGTCATAGATCTTCTCCCTAAAGAACCGAATATTGAATTTGGTCTGCCTTTTTGCAGTGTACGAGGCCGCAGCTTGGGCGAATGAGCGTCGGATTTGACAGGACTAATGCTTCCATTTTCAGTATCAACATGCACCGCAGGCGTCAGACCGCTAAATATCGAACTTCTCTTCCCAAACTTCTTCTTATCCTTTTGCTCCTTGTCGCCTGTGCTGCCATTACTGACATCGGTATTTATATGGGTGAGGTTTGAGAATGATGCTCTGGTAAGGAGACTTAAGCTCTTCCGCCGAGATCCTTTGGGCGCCATCTCATAACTTTTCTCGTTACCGGCAAATTTCCTCCTAAGCTGGTCTGCAAAGGCAAAGATGAATGCTCAGGATCTTCAGGAACATTCATGCGGCAGAAATTGGGGGCTCTAATGTATATGAGCTCTGGTAGGAAATTTGGCCGGATCGAGCTATAAGAGCTGCAAAGGTGTAGAGATATGCTGGGCGAGCATTTGATTGAATGCGGAATTGGGTAATGACGAGGTTTAAGGTGAAATAGAAAAAAAACACAATTGGAGAGAGAATGTATGGAATAGGAAGATAAAACTAAAACTGTAACTGTACTGTACTGTTTGCAGTGAATATTAATTAAAGTTAAGGACCAGAAATTTGAGCTTAAATAAATTGATCGACTTTTAGAATTAATTATATTATGGATGATAACGGTAACCAACGGAAAATGGCTCGTCCTCGTTCTATTTGGTGGGGAGAATTATGGGTGACGGAATGGTGAATGAATGAATGGGTGAATGAATGAATGAATGGATGGATGGATGGATAGATGGATAGATGGATAGATGGATAGATCAGTGAATGAATGAATGAATTGAATGGTTATACGGAGTATGAACGATGGTATGAATGATTGAACGAGTGAACAACACAATTGAGCAATTGAATGAGCGATAGAACAATAATAGAATGATAGAACGATAGAATGAATAATAATGATTTATACCGAAAGAGGATTAATTCATATATATAAATAAACAATAAACCACAAATCAATGATTTTCTTCTCCAACAGAAGAAGAATATTCTGATAGAAATACTAGGTAGACCAGGTAGTATCGGTAGGTGCAGCACAAGCTAGGTGTTAGGTGCGGTACTCCTAGATATCTCTGTACCTCCGTGGTCCGTAGTTTACAGTCAGTTTACTAATAGAGCATTGAGACTTAGTAATTGATACTTGACTTTTCCAGGTTCGCTTGGTAAAAGTACTATGGGATGGTGGTATGGGTAATATGGACGGTATGGATGGCATCATGGATCTTATTTATTTAGATGTCCCTTATCTTATTATGTGTAAAGGGTGAATCGTGAATCGTGATGCTGTACAGTGTGTGCAGCCTGTGCTTTGGCTGTTAATATGCTATTGCGGGAGCGGGACAGCCAGCCAGCCAGCCATGTTTAATTAGTAAATGTTGAACCTATTATGCATGCGTGCACACTGCACATACTCCGTACATGCATGCAGAGAGATACTTACTAGGTACTAGCTAGGTACGTACTGTACCGGTACCTGCCCAGTAGTAACTATTTCAATTCTGGATTCCGCATTCCGCATTCCACATTTCGCATTCTGATTCTGGATTCTGGATTCTGTGACCCCATACAATATATGCATCCATCCATTGTAATCTATGTGTCTGCGAGCGTCAGAGCGAATTCAATTCAAAACATCCGAAGACGTCCAACCTATAGCAAAGCTCAAATCCATGGCTGAAAATGCCCCCTAAAGAGATTTGCTTGCTGATGAGAGCACTGTTTTCATAAATAACCATGTAAAGAGGCGTCAACATAAACTGGGTCATACGATTTACTTACCTGGCCTACCTACTCTTCCAGCTGCTCTGTACTTTTGTATGACTTTCAACTAATAACCAAGTCAGTCACTCGGTGGGTGAATGAATTACCTAGTATCGCACACCGTAGTCTTACCCAAGAGATCTCATAACTCTCTTCAAAATCCCACCCAGTTCCTGGTTCCCAGTTCATGGTTTGCAATCAACTAATAAGTGACTTCTCTCGCTTAGATACTCAGAATTTAGAGGAGTATCTATGTTTTGTTGTGCCATTTATGATTTATTCCCTTTATCTTCTACGAACTAGTATCAAGGCATTCCCGAGATACGAGCCAAACTTTGTTACTCATGCATCACATCCTACCTACGTTCATCCATTAGCATTGATGCCGCGATTTCTCATGACATTGTGAATCGTGTCAGGATCTTAATACTTGGGATTCCTGCAGCGTCATCTAACTGATCGTGTTGTACGCAAGCTAATGCTGTACCTACAGCTGTTTTCGGTACCTTACTTAGTGTCAGGGACGAAAGCGATGATCTTGCTTTCGTCCCATCTTTCCAAAACATCTTCCAAATTATATTTCCATCATCAAATTTCTTCAGATCTGCATGACACTCCGAAAGTGGCTTGTTTTACCTCCTTCCTCAAACATCGGAGAATATTCCAGAGAGATTAAAGCTTTCCAGGATGCGTTCATTGTTCAGCCTTGTTGGTCCATTACCCAATTATTCACCGTCAAGGGGTCCAATAACCGCAGAGCCCTTGACGGCATATCCGCCTTCTTTTCCTTCAATCCACACTTCGTATTTGTTATTTTTGTTGGTACTCTTCCCCACACAAACTCTTAATTCCTCATTTGCGTAAAGTGGAGCCAAGTTCCTGTAATCGAACCTTTTTATCATTTCTCCAGGTTGAAGTTGTGATCGTAAGACGGATAACATAAGGACCAATGAAAGCGGCCCATGAAGGAGTAGATTTCTATGTCCCTCAACCTCCCGGCAGTATAGAGGATCCAGGTGAATCGCGTGGGCGTTGAATGTAAGGGCCGAAAACCTAAATAACAGCGACTGTGTAGGTGTTATTCGCACTTCGAAATCTGGTTCGCCCGTTGCTATAAATATGGTTAGTGGAAAGAAGAAATCATTGAACGATAGTGTGAAGATGGCATACGCTTCAATATCTTTGGAGGTCTGGCGCAATCCTCTTTGGCAGTAGCTATATTTTTCTCTCGCATGAAGACGATATTTCGCGTCTCCACCAAGGACGCTCCTCCAATGTCATCGTTGTTGCCGACATGGTAGCGTTTTGATAATTTTTGATCAACCATAGCAGACTTCCCAGAAGCAATTGCGCAGCTCCCTCCATTCGGGTTCGTCTGCGGACCGTCTCCAGCTTCAGCAACGCCAATTCGTCTCTCAATGTTTACAAATACTTTCTCATCACCGTCATTCCCTTTGACCAAAACATCCACTATCTGTTCTATACAAGCGGCTCGCACATTGTCAAAACGAAGCTGCTCTGCACTTTTAGTATTGAAAGCAATAGACCCACCAGCCCACATGCGGCGCACAAATGGCGGCCCTGGGGACTGCAAAGGATCTGTGCCATCATCAAGTAGCGCATTGCTTGGAATTTGCGGAGAGAAATAGACTAGATGGTGCGACTGGGGAAGAAGTGCTGTATCGCTACACTCATCTCGTCCGAGTGTAGAAGAGTATGGAAGGGTAAGATCTGGGAATTTGAAATTGGCAGGGTAGCATGAAGGTGGAAGGAAATCTGCAAGAGATATATTCAAAAGATGAGAAGGGGTTGGCGATAAGTAATCATATATAATGTTGGGTTGGCGTGAAGTGAGCTGCTCGTGGAGAGTTTGCTGTATTGAAGACTTTCGAGCATGCGCCGTCGACATTAACGAGCGATTGGCAGCACGAAAGCTATATGGCCGAGGTCGAAAGAGATTGAACAATCTCATGTCAAAATTTTACGCGGAAAACATCTGCTAGAATATCATAAATTCGTCATCACTAAGTATGAGGGATAGAAGTACATGAAAGATGGAAGAAGATTTTGAGGATCTAAAAGAAATGGAAAACCCAAGCCGAATGCCGAGAAAAGCGTCATTCTTATCGATAAGAATCCGATAACGGCAGATATACACTGGTATCTAAATTTTCCCTCATATGCCCAGTACCATCCATGAATGCCATCCAATTCCATTGATATCCCTTTTATATTTATTTCTGTCTATCCACAAGTTTATCTTCCCAGCTTCCAAGCCAGCGCCAGTTTTTTGTGTATTTGTCGAGATTATCCAATGCTCCAGCGACTTTTCCCTCAGGATCACTCAGCTTACTGCCTTCAAACTCGACGAAGAAGATGTATTGGAATGGAACTACTTTTGTAGGCCGGCTGTTGATACTGGTCAAATTGACTTGGTATCTCTTGAAACAATCCAGCACATCTGCGAGTGCACCGGGTGTTCGGTGATCAATCGTGAAAGTAACCATGGACTTCGCCGCAACATTAACCTTCGTCGCAGATGTATCCACACCTTTGCGCAAAATGAGAAATCTGGTAGTATTGTCTTCACGATCTTCGATTCCCTTTGCAAGAATATCCAATCCATGAATATCTGCTGCGAGCGAACTAGCAATTGCTGCACTCGTACCAGACTTATCTGCTTTCACAATTTCGGCCGCTTTGCTTGTGGAACTGACGTCCAGTCTCTCAACACCCTTCAAGTATGTTCCTAAAAATGCTTCGCATTGGCCATATGCCTGTGGATGTGTGTAAATTCTTTGAATGTGATTGAGACTAGATAACGGCGTCGTCTTTGGCTTGACTGGAGATGGGGTCGAGGTAGTTGGAGTACAAGTACCGGACATTACTGGAGAATCTGCCGTCGAAATATAACCTAACAGGCAGTGACTAACATCAAGATAGGCTTCGCCACATATTGTGACATCTTTATATAAGGAATGGCGATCTGCGAGGAGTTCTAGGGTAAAGATCACAGCTCCATTCGTGGAATTCTCGAAAGGCACAACACCTAACTCTGCCTGGCCCGACTGCACTGCCTCAAAAACATCTATATACAGTCAGTGATTTGTAGGAGAAAGCCCGAAGGCAGCAATACCTGGAATTCCAATTGCCGGCTGATAATCGTATTTCTCTTTATCGAAGCATCCAAGAGCGGCCTGGGGGTGACAATCATCTGTTAGTCCTATGGAAATCGCACATGGCTCATAATGTTGACAATTGAAGGGCGCTGGACACTTGATTAAACGAAGGTCAAATACCTGATGAGTATAAGAAGAAACAGGTCCAAGGAAAGAGATAGCAGGTGTGCTAGAGGAGTTGGTTTTGGACTGCATCGTTCAACTTGACTTCATTCCTTCTCGGTGTGGATGTTGTTCGGTGGTTCGGGAAAGACTTTAATAAAATTCCGGTATTTAAAAAAAAATTGGGTTCACTGCATTTCGGAAAGATTCGCGTACCACTCATACGGTCATATTGTTGTCGAAAACGGTTGTGATGACTCTAGAGAAAGCGATGGAAATCTTTGATATTTATTTTGCTACTGTTGCGAGCCCCCGCTACTGTAAACATGAGAAAGAACCCCACCTCGTCACAACTTCGCACTGGCTTTGCCAGAGACTTCGGATCCGATGGTCCTGAAAGTGTGGTCCAACAGACTACTTGAAAGTCTTACAAGGTTTGGGTGCTAGCTCTTGTAATCATGAGAATCTGAGGTGGGGATCGGGAGCAAAGGAAAATTCATAGATACAAAGCCACAATACGAGTGAGCGACACAGCATGAAGGATCGAGCTTAAGTATAAAAATTGTCTGATATTTGAGTTCAGAGATCTAATCTATCCATAATTGATCTGGTGATACTGAACTTCAGATATTTAATACCTTTTGATAGCAAGCAATTCTGCCAAAACGCAATCTTTCTTCAACCTTAACACGCATGAGAAACATCAGGGTATCGCCTAGTTTTTCAGGGATTCATATGTTCTGCACAAGACTATTAGAAAGTGTCCAGAGCGAACAACCATGGATCATGTACCTGAAATATGGTTTCTCCAACTCAAGAAGCCGTCATGACGGACCGAAGAGGGCTGGGACGGGTGTTCCCTGAGTTCCCTCTTAGTCTCGAGCCGGCTGGGCTAGCCGGCTGCGCTGGGGTCGTCTGTTGCACGGCACGAGGGCGGTGTGACAGAATTTGGCTTGACGGTTCGACTGGAGTTGGCTCCTCGCCCGATGCGAGGGCATCAAACTGTCAATCTACATGTATATTAGCTTCTGAAAGTTTGACCATTTGTGAGATAGTCGTAACATACCGTCGTAGTAATCATCATCATCATCGACTTCGGCCAACTGCTCAAAGTTGACCTTATAACGCAAGAGGCCACCGATACCACCAAAACCCTTAACGAATTGGTTACCCTCACTAGATCTGTCCGAAACAAACTCGAGTGTTGTACCAAAATCCCTGTACTTCTCGGCGATCCATTCTAAGAACGATTCTGAAGAGACAACCTCCATTTCTTGACCAGTTTCCTTATCCATGAATTGTTCTCGATTCGCAGTCTCGGATTGCTTAGTAGTGTGGAGGATTGTTTGATTACCATTGCTGTCCTTCAACACCCATCGGTTGATTTCGAGGTTCTCGAAAACAATCAGAACTTCAACAGCACCTAGTTCCAAAGCCTTCAAAGTATCCTCAACACCATAACAAACTCGACCCGTGTCTTGACTGATTTCCTCAAAGTACTTTCCGATGAGCTTCTTCTCCTGAATGAACTTGACGTTGCTAAGTGTTTCGGCCGAAAGCTCAATGGCCTGATTGAATCCGTTCTCCCCACCATAAGAAACATCAACGACCTTAATGACCTTTGTGGCCAAACGGTTGTCAAACAGGTCAGACTGGTTGAGATCATTTTTGAAATCGGCGGAACCGGCCAAGATAATACCAGCTACGTTAACCTTATCGGCCGTAATGAAATTCTGGACAGCTAATTCGGCAACCTTTCGGACGTAGTTGTGTCGCTTTTCCTCACGAAGACGTGCAAAACGAAGAGCAGATTGTCCACCACGACCATGCTTCTTTGGCAAATCGACAGAAAACTTGTGCACAACATCTCTAGTGTTTCCACTCAATGTACCAAAAAGGGCGCCATTTCCGTCCATAATGATGAAACCGAACTTTTGGTCAGATTCCAACAATTCAGCGAGAGCTTCTGTGTGAAATTTGTTGTCGCAGAGGTAGAGAGATGTGTTGATGGGCTTGAAGGGCTCGAAATCAATGTTGACCTTCCTTTCCTTTCCTTCTGAAGTTAGAATTTCACCACAGTATACGACCAAGCCATTTGGCGGAACTTTGTTATACAACTTGAGTCTTTGTTGCGTAGATGTGATAGCAGAAAGAACGGATTGACGATTGACACGGGACTTGATGTTCGACGCGGTACCCTATATCCAAGCCCGAGTCAGCATGTAAAAGGGAAAACATCCAGGAAAGTGTCAACATACGTATTCTTCTGCCAACATTTTCGCCGCACGGGAGACTTGATCCTTTGGCGCTGGACAACATGTTAGAGAGTCTACAAGCAAATGGATGGATGTGGTCCCTTACGAATAATGAGAGAAATCATGGAGGTTCCATTTCCACGCGCAGCTTCGAGACGTTTAATCAATTTTTTCACTTTCCAAATCTCGATATTCTTCTCGGCCTCGTTTGCCTGAGCGTCACTCATATTGGCGGATAATGAGACAAAACCACTTAGACAATTCGGGATTGATAAATAATTTGACCTGTGAGTGGGTTACACAATCCGTTGGACTCTGCAGTTCACAATTGTCAATTGTCCAAATTGTCCTGCCTTTGTAGTATTTGTGACGTGGGCTTAGGGTCAGAGTGTGGATAGAAGAAATTTAGTGTGCTAGTAAAGCTTAGGCGAGGGGTCGGGAACTCTTTTGATCGAAAAGAAAAAACGTCACTTGCCAAGCTTTGTCTTCTCTATACAGTGGGGGAAGGTATAATAATAAAGTTTAATGAAGAAAAGTAGTTTATATTCAGACCCTTTAGTTATATTGCTATTATAAATTAAAGGATTTATTATTATCACTTAAACTTTTTAATTCAAATTTATAATTTATAATTATATGTTACGACGGGTAACAATTAGGTCACAGGATTAGTAATAACACGTGATGCGAGAACTCGAAGAGCTCGAAGGCTTGGCCTCTCGAGCCCTTCGCTCCCTTCGAGCCACGAAGCATGAAGGTCTATATAATCAAGACGGATTTCCTTTGTATAGAGCTTCGTGCTCAAGATCAATCATTTAGTATACTCTACTATTAGTTACGAATTGCATATCATTATTTGTCATTACTTAAGTCCCTGCTTGATGTTACGCCGGGTAACAAGAAGACGCTCACGTGCTACCAATATCATGTGACTGACTCAGTGAGGATCAGCAAGCTCAGTACTGAGCCATACTGATCCTACTGATCAGCTAGAACACGAAGGTCTATATAATCAAGATGGATTTCCTTTGTATAGAGCTTCGTGCTCAAGATCAATCATTTAGTATACTCTACTATTAGTTACGAATTGCATTATTGTCATTACTTTAAGTCCCTGCTTGACGCCTAGTTATAAACCATCTCGAGAGCCTAGATGTTACAACGGCTATCTTCTATGCCGCGTCACATGACTAAACCAAGGTAACGTAATTAAAGTCACGTTATGGACCGCTGAGGAACGCTGGCTGTCCAGGACCGCTGCGCGGTCCTGACTAGCCATAGGCATGAAGGTCTATATAATCAAGACGGATTTCCTTTGTATAGAGCTTCGTGCTCAAGATCAATCATTTAGTATACTCTACTATTAGTTACGAATTGCATATCATTATTGTCATTACTTCAAGTCCCTGCTTGACGCCTAGTTATAAACCTACTTCGAGAGCCTAGAGCACTTCCACGTGATCTAGACGGCAAACCTCGTAACATTATATTAAAAGTTTTAAAATTTATTTATTATATATTAAATAAAATTATGTTAAAATTAAAAAAAAAATTACTTTTTTAAATCTTCATTATTTTTATTAAAATTGACATAATTTTATAAAAAGATAATAATCTATTTAGTTTTAAAACTATTATTTCATTCAGGGCCGGGCGCAAAGTGTAACGGAAACCCGGTTTCTGACCATATAGACCTCGTTGTCACGATTCACCATCAGGATTGTGTCCTGGGATGAAAAGGAATCACGTGATAAGGAGCCCTAGGAACCAGAAAGCTCCTGGGGGCTCCCTTTATCGATCATTATATAGTCAGAGTAGTTTCATAGTTTAGGAGCTTCGTGCTTAACTTAGTTATCAATTAGTTACCTACATTCTACTTGATCTAGTAACGACTTCACTTCCAAGTGAATACCAGTGATAAAGCCTTAACCCATAACTACCAACCAGACGAAACCTTAGGCAGCCGCTGCCTCCAGTACAGTATCGTTACACTCGGGTACATAAGCAATCAGAACACATGATTGTAGAAAAATCATCATTCCACGATCGCATGTTCTACTCCAGAATGTATGTGGCATCTGTTGCAATATGAGGCTTGTTGGGAGCATGATGTGGTTTACGTGCCATTAGGGCCTGGAAGCCTCCAAAAAACGTGTATATAAACTAGACATCCTTTCAACACGCGCTCTTCACTTGTAAGTTAGATTCCAAGTAGATCCAATTGATAGCTTACATACACTCTTTTAGTCACAACGTTCACTATTGATGTAAGCGGTAGTAGGATTACTAAGATCTAGGTAGAGAAAAAGGAATTGTAAATTATTTGAGCCATAAAGTTATGTCTAATAATGGAAGTTCTCGAAGATACTTGTTTAATCGAGTTCCCGTCATCCTCCAAACCCGAGAAACCTTCCTTTGCAGACATGGAAAATAAAACTTTCTTTCACTTTTTTTCAGGAACAAAGAAATTCTATTCATATATTGATTATGAAGAAACAAGAACTTTCCTTCTTCAAAAATCTACTTTTACTTACCTTATACAGAAAATGCCTGTAATTACCAGGTCTAAATCTAAACGATGTCTCTCATCTATTCCAAAAGATGTAAAGTTATATCTTCCCAAAGTTTCTTCCTCAGATGACCCTCCACAAAACCTTGTTGTTTACCCAAAGTGTCGTCAGAGCCAGTCAAAACAACAGTCCAGACAACAATCGCGAAAACAATCTCACAAATATCAAGATTCTAGCCAAGAGAAGCCTCCCGGAGGAAGCACAAACATTCATTTGCCAAACCTCTCTTCTACTACTATCACTCACTGGCCTTGCCGTGCCTGCGATTGCCCTCAAGGGGTCTTCGAATTATTCGTTCCTATCTGTGTCAATTGTGGGCACGATATGGACAATCATGAACTTCCGGATTCCGACGCATTTAATCCTCTCTGTGATTATATTTGCGAAAGAGAAGAGCTGGTTTCTTCAGTTCTACAACAGGCAATAATTATGGGAATGGTGGTTATTCGTGCTACCCCTGTAGTGGGAAAGACAACCCTTCTCAAGTTACTTGGCCGCCATATTCTTTTTCACAAACGAGAACTTGAGCCTATATTCATTACTTGGCAGCCCAAGCATGAACGCAATAATCTTCCATACCAGCAGTTTCTAGACGAGAAAGCAGTCAGCGTACAAGAAGCAAACGCTAAGCATCGTCCACATAACCCGAAAGCCAAAAGGATTTTTCTTATCGATGAGGCTCAAGGTTCTTATGAAGACGAAGATTTTTGGACTCATGACCTCAAAAACCACCTCACTAGATCGCGACCAATATTTGTGCTTGCCTGTCTTTATAGCCCGGTTGGCATTTTCGGGAGCCAAGGCCAACGGGTCGAATCGCGAGCTTCTAAAGTAGACACTCTCAATCGAATAGAATTACGCCCATCTAAATCTAATTCTTTAGGCATGCTCTTCAAACCGGAAGAGACATTGACCAAGGTCAGCAAATGGATCCATCAGAATGATCTCAAACCTGAAAGTGTCGATCGTATAGCTATAGCTGAGTATATTCACTCTGCTACTGACGGTCATCCGGGCATGGTTGGGACAATCTTAGCTTGTTTTGGAGTGTTGATTTCACAGGTAATTTCCCCTTGGCCGTTTTCAATGAGTTATTTTGGAAAAATATTCTTACCATTCATTGCTTCATAAGAACGTTCCAAATCGTCCCAGATGGAGATGGTCACCAGCTTTTGTTCACGAGTTTCTTATTGAGCATAATACACTACTGGAATTTCTTGGTCAATGGGGCAGAGGGGTCTGGACCGCCGCAGGAGAAAATCACTTAAAACAATGTTTAAGAGGCGATCCTTATAGTCACCTCAAATATTCGGATATTGCAGATGCAATGCGTAAAGTAGCAAGACTACCCAAAGGCTGCACAGAACTACGAACGGATTCCATAACTGCATTAACATTCTGTCATAAAATGGGGTTCCTATACGCGGAGGAGCTTAGGCATAGAAGTGGCGTAATGACTTACATTTTCGCCTCTCCAATACATCGAAGGTATATACATTCAACCTGTCTTCTATCTATACTAATTAAAATCAGAATTGCATATCGACGTCTCATCCCTGGTCCACCACCAGGAACCAATTCAGATCAAATCACGCTCCAGCAAGCCTGTCTAAACGCTATTGAAAGATTCAGCCCATCCGTTTTACATCATCGTGTTCCCTCGTCGAACAGCAGTTTTCAGTCTATTGACAGCTGGGGTATCCCAGAAGCTGCTTTCCAAGATGAAATGTATTGTTGTCTTAATTATGAGCTTCATAATCTACCAATTTTATCTGAATATGCTGAAACCAAGGATGGACGAATCGATTTCTATATCTTTGATAAAAGATGGGGGATTGAGATACTTCAATCCGGTAACAATGGAAGATTAGAAGAACATGCAAATCGATTTCGATATGGGGGAAAATATTATAAGTGGGGTATTTTCGAAGAATACATCATTCTTAATTTTTGTTCGAAATCTTCTATCGATACTCTTCAAGTCAAAGGTAATATTTTCTTTCAATTTTGGAGCTAAATCTTATCTAATATACATTCTACTTTTCTAGATATTGATATACTAAAGCATATATTACATATTGTTATCGACGCGAATGAATGTACTGCGGAAGTATATACATATAACAAACAGCTACAAGCAACCTTGGATCTGGGCGAGGGAAGACAACGATGGCATTCTGCTGAGCAGAGTTCAACTTCTGAAGACTTCGATGTTTATATGACTCTGCGAGATCAGAAGATAGAAATGGAGCAGACGAAGAAAGAGAAGCAGGAAATGAGACAAGAAATAATTCAATTAAAATTACAACTTAATCAGAGATGATCTAGGTATTTCAAAGAGGAGAAAATGGAAGATAAAAAGGAACAGATATTGTTGTTTTTCTTTTGTTTTGTTTTTTGTGAGTTAAAAATAACATCATTGTTGTCGGTATCAATCCATATGCCTAATACAGGTTTTCTCGGTCCTAGTGTTTCCAGAAACACGCTAATCTGTGGATACAACCATAAGATACTTTAAATAACAGTTATATACGGAGGGGAAGTCTCTTCTATATGCAACACTACTAGAGATATAGGAGTTGGAAAAGGTCCAAAGTCCACCGCGTCTCAATCCAACTCGCCAACGCAAAACTGTATCTTGCTCACTACCATGTCAGGCTATAGCAGCGCCCGTACATCGAAATGCTGAAGATTTCTAACTAAATCATAAAGCTTAGTTATTTACCCTTTCGGAAGGTCGGCGATGTGCTGGATCCTGAAGGAAATATAGTACTGTTTAATCGCTATTTTCCATGGAATCTTCCTTACTTCTTCCACCACCTGAAACTTTAACGATTGGATCCAAACTTTCTACATTGCCGTCCTCATCTGCGAAAGTCGTCATCAGAGGGATGTCTAATTTGGAACCATCTCCCATGCCTCCTGTATCTGAATCGATGTCGAGGTTAGGAATAATACTTAGGGTCTTGTTCTTAGCTTCGGAATCTGAGACGAACAAACACTGTAACCATAATCAATTCGTTCATCACTCTCACTTTGTAAAGCCTTCATAACAGTAGCCGCAATAATTGGTAATCTGAACAAATGGTTACGTGTAGCATTAGAAGAAAGCTCAGTGGAAGAACCTCAAGCTCCATTTCAATCTCTCCGCCTCCCTGGATCTAAGAAAAAATTAAGGCGGCTGATCGAAAATGTTCGAGACTATGACGAAATACTCACTAGTTCTTGTGGACAATCTGGGTCTTTGATAAATTTCGCCCTTAACTTCGCTTTAGCTTCGTCAGATAACATCGGAAATCCTGCAAAGACTGCGGCTGTTGTAGTACGACCTATGTGTCTTCCTTCTGGATCTGCTTCCTCCTTGTCAAATGTTAGCTATCTTCTAGACTCCGAAGGAATTAGTTTACCGGGTTGTCTTCAGCCAACGTCGCTTTTGAGGATTTGACACCCCGAACGGAGCGCAGTTCATATCTATGAGTGCTATTTTTGGCATCCTTCCAATCGTTACCGCACATGATCCAGGTAGGTTTATCTATTATACAAACTTCGCCATCGCAGATCATCAGAAACATATCATACGCTTTCTTGTCAACTTGTGCTCCCTAGTCGACACATCTGCCTTGAAAGAGCATCATCTCTGGATCCGGATATCTACCATGCCCAGATGTTTTCTCGGATGCGTTTAATGGCCGTTTGACAATGCGACTCTTACACTTCTCGAATACGTGATCGATTGGATTATCTTTGCAGCGGTGCTCAACAGTTCGTAGATCACTACAATGGGTAAACGAAGCCCATTGTCGTTGGCAAATTTTTGTTGTTGGGAGCTAAAGTGATATACGGACTAGTGAAATATTCCGAGATTGAGATATAGGCTGGGATTAGTATTGCTCTGCGCATTATCTTGGAGTTTCGAGATCGTTATAAGCCAGTGTTTGCTAGGAGTCTTTGCATGTTAGGTCTGGTTATATTCTACATTTCTTATTTGGAGGAATGTGGAGGACGACATACTGAGATATTTCCCACATGAATGTTAGTAACTTCTGCTGTAAGCTTAATAATGTCTATATATATATGTTGATTGGGATATCCCAAAGATGTTGATAAAGTAAATAGCCCTCAGCTTCTGTTCGACTTCTCTTTCATCCTACACCTTACTGCTCCTTCCTTCTTTCGATAATCGAAGCCACCTCCTTCCTTCCTAATGTTAGCTGCTTATTGCGAGCCTCCTTCCCAAGTTAGTAGATGAGCTAGAGATCAATGAGGGATCTCATTGATCTGTGATAGTGCATTCTGGTCTAGGATGAGCATATCATAAGTATAGTTAGTGGCCGTTTAACAGAGCACACACATTTGAGCTATAGCACCAAGCATATAATCGAAGTTTAAGAGATAGCATATAGTTGCTTTAAGGATCTCAAGCAGTGAAAAAGAAGATTCCTTGAGTAGTTCCTAGAATATAATCTCTTCTCCGTCCTCATTCCAAATTTAACTCATATTCATTATTGCTGGATAATGGATGCAAATTTTCGAGCTACATTTACATTTACATTTACATTTCATCTCATCTAGATCAATAAATACAAATCATATCAGGCTTCCCGTACAAGCCCCCAAAATACCTCGCATGCTACTATATCCGTTCCACTCATTCCATCAAACCTATCCTGTCAGATATCCTAAAAACTTCACTTTCGCCCCATCCATCATTCACCTCAAATCAAGCCCAATCCCAATAACTTTTCCTTACTAAAAATTCCAAATGTTCCTTGAAGAAGTCCTCCAACCAAGCTGCAAGCTGCAAGCTCAGCAAAACCCACTGCCCTTAAGGAGGGCAGAAGAAACTCCTCAGACGGACAGAATGTTCAACAGTTTGGATTGACAGGCTACATTCATACTTTCAACAGCTTGAACTCTTTAAATATTTGAACATAATTCAATATTAATATAACCAATTTGAATATCCTTATTACATTTGATTTTGAATTGATTTGGATATCTTGAATAAATTCGGAGATTCAAAGCTTCTTATTGTGGAGTTACAATCTAGAGTATTGGATACTCTGCAGGACGCATTTGATCTGCACAAACAAGTCTGTTTGTTACCTTTAAGGTATGGATGGCGAGTTGTTGTTAGGATGGTTTATATGGAGGAGCTTTGGTATTGGTAGGGTGAGTTATGTGGGTGATGATCTTGGGTGGGTGGGCTTGGACTTGGAGATGGTAAGGTTGGAGGGTTCTGAGGTTTATGATCAATCAATCTTAAGTCTTCTGATATACATAATCTACATGAAGAAGAGACTCGAGATCGGTGGTAGAAGTTCATCGTATGTTTTATTACTGGCTGGAATGTAAAATAAGAAAAGTGTCAACGTCAAGAAAGAGAGTGGCAAGACTCATTCACCATTGTAAACTAGGCTCCCAACCTTAGGTGTGTGGTTTCTATATCCTGACGAATAGCCTACCTATTTGATGAATGTCCAGCATGATAGTAACATTAAACGGTAAGAAATCTGTAATTCTTCGAAAAGACCATGTAGGATCGACCAACAACACCGAAGTGGACAATGAATCAAGGTATTGGACAAGCGCGTCATGATTGAGCATGTTCCTCTGCTAATTTTGCACGGTATATCGTCGTAATGCTCATGTGAAGAATTGCAAGACTTCCATTTTTAGAATTCGTGGATAATGCGTGTGGAAAAAGTCTTGTTTGTCAACGTTAGTGACGCGCGGAAATCTAGGATAATTCCCAGGTGGACAAGTGATTATCTCTATAGAAGGGTATGAGTGATGCTGAGGAAAGTAATATTGGGCAGGGACTTTGTTTTGAGAGGGTGGGAATGGTGATTGAGACTGGGAGGCAGGACGGTATAGACAGAGACGAAATTGAAATATTCGGATCCCTGGTTAAGTGACCTCAAACATGTTGCAGATATTTTTTATAAAGTAGTATTGGGCCTGGTCTGATGAGGAAAATGTTGGCGGTCATGACCGTGAAACTTCTCACACCAGATCCGCATAAAATGCTAATTACCCAATGACAACGCCCGTCTCGTAACCGAGACTCCGACCCCAAAAATACAATTTCCGCCTCCACGCCAAGCTTATCCCACCATTTCAAATTCCAAATCTTCACCTTAATCCCGATTCAGTTTCCAATATTGCATGCATTGTGAAGTGCCGATCCCTGCTCTATGCTGACATCTTGCACTCATACCGATTCTCCTGCAGCTCGTCGTAAAATCCCCGCGAATGAATCAGCTGCGGACCCCAACCAACAACAACTTCCAGCCCCTTCGCATACCTCTATAGTGTCGATGTTACTACCCGATTCTTGAGCTGAAGTAAGCATAAGTCGTGCGTATGCGTCAGTAAGCACGTTGTCGAGGGAACATAGAACGTATGTGGTGGGAATTGTGCGCCATGCCGCAATTGTGGTTCGGTGGTACAATACTGATGTAGCTTGGGGGCGCATAATGTGTGCATACTAGAAGGTTTAGTAAGCAGTGCTTTTGCTTTGGCTAGAACAACTCACGTATTCGGCATGGTCATGAGGTAAGTCATTGTAAAAGTATTGAATCGCCAATGCAGATGGAATAGACACAGTGCCGGCCTTTTTCTAACATGTAGCGAACAGTAAGCTAGGGTCGAGAGACCTGAAAGGAAAAAGTATTATGATGAAGTGAGAATAAAAATGCCTTGGCGAGATTGTGATTTCCAAATCTTATCAAAAGTATTTGGTTGAAGGAGAGATTTTGATCGTAAGACTTACACGTGAAGTTGTATTGCAGTGGATATATGGTGGGAAAGAACTATAGTCTCCTTCTTCGCAAAGTTTAAAGCCCTCTTGGACGACCCACGCCATGACAAATACGATTCGTAGAACTCCACCGTTTAAGCCCCTTTGTGCCCTCTCTGTTTTGCCAAGGCCTTGCAAAGCATCGCCACCCGGTACACCGGCATAAGAATGCAGGATTACAATGACATCGTGACCTGCTTCTACAAGATGTGAGACAGAACTTCGGATTGCTCTAGTATCCTGAGCAGGATCATTTGACGCATGATTTCCATTCACAAGTACTGATGGGAGCTGAACTGGGAGGACAGGATATCCGTAGTGACCGAGGAGAGTTCTGAGCGGATCAAAAATGGCTGAAGTATGGCAAAAGCCTGGAACACAGACGAACGTAGGCCTAGACATGACAGATACTTGATTCGGTGGTAATGATTCGATTGATGATGGAAAATTGTACTTCGACAGCTACTACATATATAGAGAAATCCATCTTCACATCCAGAATATCTCCAACAAGTGTGCTGAGAGACCATGGCCATCGACCACACATTTTCAATTCATAGTCATTGTAAGTCCCCTGGTCGCCTCTGCGTTAAGGGCTGCGGTCGCGCGAATAATTCTTGCATTGTCCAATTATCCAATAATAAAGGGAAGTAATAAAATCTCCCAATTATAACTCTTGTTTATGTTTCATAGCCAATGAATACCCGCCACTTGTTTTCAGGCTACTCATTTAGTAAATACATTATCTTCACAAAATCTCGTGCCCAAACCTTTTGGTGCTGGACTTCACCTTCCCGATCGATCGGATTTGGGTAGTATCTCTAGGATCAATTCCTAAACCCGACGCTTAAGGCTATTTATGCTAGAGATCTCACGAGATATGCTCCGGGTCGAGCCCCATCATCCACTCGTCTATTCCCAGCGCCACACTACAATGCAAGCTTGGATCTGGAGACTTTCAAAGGGGGCGAGAAGATGACGAGCGAAAATAATAGTACAAGTAAGAACGGAGGAGCTAAACAGCGGCAGTGCTTGAGGAATAGCCAATGTTCGCACAATAAAAGTCTTAAGATAGTCATTATGCATAATCTCTATATATATCACGGATTTGTCATGCGTACGAAGACACCTTGTGCCTCGATTGACGACGACTTTGCACTGCCTCCAACATCTAACTCAGGGAATTTGTATTCAAATCAAAAAGTGACAATGTTCCCAGCACTACCAGGATAAAATAATGACACAAAGAACACTAATATGAAGCTCGACCAAGCGCATTCGTGTTGAAGTATTTCCGGCATATTGGGTTTGAATCACGAAGACCTCACCATCGTGCAGACCGAAATGCCCTAAGACCGTTGACCTACTGGCGCGCGGAAAGGTAGGAATGAGGCCGTATCTTATTGCCGATCTCAGCTTCTGCAAATTCGTGTTTTATGATATTGGATAGGTTTGTGTAAGCATTTCTCAACAACTTGCTTCCAGCGACAGGACTGTAAGATTGTGAGGGACCCTTGGCTAGGCTGGCGTTTCTGTTGCACAAGGGTAGCAATAGCTTTTGAGACAATTAAGCAGCACATGAATACTTTCAATGTATCTTGAACTCATATGGCTATTGAGTCTCAAGTAAGAATCCATAGCAAGAACAAATCACTGGACATGGTTGTTGAAATCTCTTGAGAAAATCAACTAGTAGCAAGAGAAGTTTGGACGACATGACGGCGCTTGAAGATGCCGCTCTCGCTTACTAAGGTAATCTAAAATAGAACTATATCCACGCCTCGTTGACGTTACGTATACTCTTACTATAGACTACCTATCTAATGATTCTGTTTTGATTTTCGTATGTTTCAGGGTCCGCGATTGAGTGACCAACAGAGACTTTACAAATTTAGGCGCCAGCTATGAATAAAGTTACAAAGTACGGAGTAATGCTACCATTTACTCAGTCAGTGAGGCGTAGGAGAGTTTTGCCGCCATTAAAGCGACTTGGTATGACGAGTCTGCAGTCATCCAGTTGCTTTCCATGATGAGCTTAGTGCGGATCGAGCCTTCCCGGCGTCGGTACTGGAGACTGCCCATCCCATGGCGTGAACGTTTACGGAGTACCGTGGATTGACCGACAGAGTACGTGTGACTTGGTTTCAGGCCTACACCGCCTAACATCAGTTAGCTCCGAGATGACAAGAAGAAGCTGCAGATCTAAAATCACCAGAGATGTAGTGCTTGTCCCTGTCTCCTGTCATGCGAAATTCTACATCTAGCTTGTACTCCGAGCATTTCAACAAGTTACCGAGGCCGGCAACGACTCTCGTATCGATTGTCACACTCAAGAATACTGGGTAAAGTATCTTGTATTAGAAAATACTAAGCTAAGGAGAAAAGAAGAAGGAAAACAAGAGTAGAGAGTTTTCCTGTGATTAAATACAAACGGGGCATGCCACGTGACCCGAAGGTGTGAGGCGTCACACAAAAGATATTAAATAAGTATATATTTCATAAATTTTATTTAAGGTTTCTAAAGTAAAGTCAATAGAAAGAATTATAACTTTTAAAATATATTCTTATTTAATACCTCTACTGTATTTAAATTAATAAAATTTGAAAAA